GAAATGCTTACTCTTTTATTTTTTATTATTTATTATAGGGATGTGTATCCTCCTGCAGAGCAGTACGTCAACCATGCTGACAAATCACACATTACCCTTGTTGAAGCTTTCAGAAACATGCAGATAGAGGAAGGAGAGGAGCCTCTTGAGAACGGGGACTCTACTCATGAGGTATTCTAAATATAGAGCTAACATCACACACACCACAAAAGGTTGCTAGAAATTTTCATAAACTATGATATTGTATTTTGTTTTTATGCTACAAAATTAATAACTTCAATACATTGTTAGTTGTTGTGATAGACTATTGGTTTATTTTGTTGTCCTTGTGTTGCAGTTGACTGAACAAAATGGAGAAGAGCACTACGCAGAGGAACAGAATGCAGAGGAAGGAAGCCAAGAGGAGGCAGTTGTAGTGGATGCAGATTCTACAGATGGTGCAGTACTCGTTAATGGTAACGAGGCTGACGAAGAGTGGGGTACGAATAATGAAGGAGCCCCGTCAGCCTAAAAGCAATTGGTTGGGGTGGTGTGAAAATCGAAATTTTGTCTCTGGTGATTAATTGTTTCTGAAGTGCCATTTCTAACTCCCATTTGACAAATAGCTGTTTTTACTATAACTACTACTACTACCACTTGAATCCTAACTCTTCTAATTGCTTTTAATTTTTAGTGTATTGGATACTGACTGCACTGCAATTAGACTGTATATTTGGGAATCAAGGGGAAATAATAAAATAATGTCAATTGATAACAGTGAATTATTGACTAAATCTTATAACTATTTTTACATGATTTTATACGACTATGAGGCTTGGTAGTTTGTAACGTTTTATTGTTTTTTGCACACTTCTGTTTGTTAATTTGCCTTGGGAATTTTTTTCTGCATATAATTTATGCAAAATTCTTCCTGTAAAATCATCCTGTTGCATAATAAGATTATGAGGTTAGTATCATTAATGAATTCTGGATGTACATTCCAAAGTCGTAAGATTGGCTATTGATCTTGGTTTTATTGCTTACTAGTTGTGCCCTTTAAATATAAATGTTCTAGATGCCTGGCTTTCTGAATTCAGCCTTGACAAACCTTTTTGTTTTTATATAATTGCTTGCTTCGCTATTTAGCCTGCAAAACTTATCTACCAGATTTTGTATTCTTACGATATTACTGACCTCGATTGTGAAAACGTCACGTTAATAAAGCTGTTTCCTTTTTAAATTTGGTTTGGTTGGTTCTTGGTCCTCACTTAATATTCATCTTTGTTGGCAGTTCTTGCGCCACATCACTAGGTCCCATCAAGACAGTCGATTCCAGCTTCTGGGATATTTATGAGGTTAGGATAAATCCATATTGTATTGGCTACAACATCTGGCCTTGCATTTGCAAAAATGTGGAAATCAGTAGTCGAGCCATTTAGTCAACTTACTGATAAATTATTTTCTCTAGCGGTTTCATGAATATGTAATCAAATGATAGTTTTTGGTTATTATCAAATGATCTTATTATCATCTGCAAATAGACTATTTTTGGGTTGATAAACCACTTCTTTCCTTTCTTCAATTTGCATGCTTGCATAGCTGAGAAGTATTGCAAAAATAAAAATAAAAATACCGGCTGTGTTTGTGTCATCTGCAGACATAAGCGTGTTGTGAAAGAATTTGCATTGCATGTTTTTGGATGATTATGCATAACATAGGCGTGATAATTTTCTAGTGTATTATCGGTTTCATGTCCTTCAATTTAAAATGCAGGTCATGAAGAGATTCTGCGGACTGGTTGTTTCTGTTTCTTGGTGTTGTGGTTTTATAGTGCCCTGAATTTTGTCATTTTGTACGTGGTAAACAATATTATTTAGGGTCAGTTACAATTTACTAGAGTTTATAGCACATTCTTTCGGGGCTTTTACCTCAATATATTCGTGCCATTGTGAATGTAGAAAAGCGGAACTAGAGATGGGTGCCTGTTTAAATTTTAGATAGTTTCTTTTCTTGACCATTTTTTTAAAAATCTTTATAGTTTCTTGGATTGTAAACATGGATGGTTAACAGGGAAAATAATGATTCTTCCTCGAGGTTTCTTCTATCGAGTGTCGGCAAGATGCACTTCCAAGTTATTCTAATTTCGGGTTGAACAGTAGTTATTTGTTTTTTAAATAACATATCGTATATTAAAATTAAGTGGAGTTATGAAGTTTTAATTCTTTTTGAATTGTGTAAATTTTTGTAAATTTGATTGATTATATAGAAAATTTAAATTCAATGATTAAATTAATAAAATTTATCTTTTATAGAAAATATTATTTGAAATGTTATTTTATTAAATTTGATACTTGATATCATTTTATTTTGTTCTTATATATAAAACATGCTTATGTTATATTAGTCATTAGACCTTTAATTATTTTTAGTTGAGTTTCAATATAATAAATCACGGATTTATTTAAAATTTGTCAACAATAAATAATAATTTGCCACATCATTAATAGAACAAATAATAATACATCATTTCAACTTAAGTCGATAAAATAATTGAATAGAAAAGTAGAAGTTGATTCTACATATGTATTTACAAATTTCTTGTAGCAACTCTATTGCCCACCACTCAAATCATTATTTCCAACCGAAAACTCAAACCAAATTCCTAATTGATACATGTTCTTCAATCATTAAAAAGATTCAAAATCGTGAAGGAAACCATCACTACTCATCCTAATGTTTAACATAATCCCACAATCTATTTAATCCAAGTAAACAAATAATGAATAAATATGGTAGCTCTTCATCCAGAACGTTTGAGATTTAAGTTGTGTGCGAAAATGTTTGGGAAGTATGTCTGGGAGTAATTCTCGTGAGGTCAATAGCAGAGTATTTGGAAGGAGAAAAATAATAGCCTCATTTTTTGTTTTTGGGTATTTTGCCAAAATATGATAAAAATAAAAAAAAATTTACCAAAATAGAATATTTATAAAATATTTTTCCTATTTGAAGTATTTTTTTGTCACATCACTTTAAATGTTATTTTTTAGTGGATTGACACTTGTTTTTTTTTTATTAAAAAAAATAAAATTAATGCTCCAAGATAAGTCAGTACGAGTAAGTATTTTTGTCACGTTCAACCTATGATAAATAATAAGGTCTATACTTGCTTTGAGCTATTGCCTAATTTAGGTTCTTCCATTAGTTTATATCATCTCAACAATTATTTTTTATTTTATTAAATATCTATCAATGTATGTATTTTTATGTAGTTTTTTTTTTCTTCCATTTATAATATCACTCACTCCTCGCATACTAGTGAATGTGCAAAGGGAGTTTAACTAAAACTATAACTGAAAAAAAAAAATAAAGAGGTGGGTGGGGGGGATTCAAGTTGTTGCTCATGACATGTTTTATCATTAATATTACATTTCTTTGATGGCCTATTCAAGTGTTGTTCATGAGAATGACTTGTTCAAGAATATCAACTTTGTTTTTTTATTATTAAAAAATAAGTGTTAGTTTTTATGCCTTGTAAGACTGACACTTAAAATAATGTAACAAAAAATATCACAGATAGAAAAAATATTGCATGAATATCCTATTTTGGCAATTTTTTTATTTTTACTATATTTTGGAAAAAAAAAAAAAAAACTCCCATTTCTTCCCACTTTTTAATTTGTCTAAGATTTGGCCTTTCAATTGAGTACGTGCCATTGATTGACCAATAAAAAATGGGTGGCTCCCCTTCATTGGAAACCCATAATCGGAAATGTTGGTAAAATCTCAGACCATGTTTAATTGGATCAACTTGTAATGGAGGGAAAGAATAATGATGAAGACGTGAGATAGCTCACAAGGGAGATTCAATGTCAATAAAAGAAAAAAAATTCCTTTAAAAAATACAACCATTAGATGTGAGGAAAAAAAGTGGGATATAGGAAAATATAGATTAAGGGTGAATAATTGTGATGAAATTATATAAATTATGAGTTATTTTTAATTGAGCATTATTTTAAATATTCGAGTATAAAATTGATTATACGTGGTTGAATATCGTGATTAGAATAAAAGTGAAGTGAACTTTCTTAAAGGGATTAAACCAAACAATAATTAACACATTGCACATGTTATAAATATTTATGTAGTTACTTTTTTGGTGTATGTTTTGTTCAACAAATAATTAGATATTGCTTTTTTAAGTGCGTAAATATAAATATCACTAAAATAAATTTTACCATTCTTAATAAAATCTTTTTTATACATAAAATCATAAATTATATTTATAAAAAATAATTATTTAACAAAGATAAATAAAGTTGTATACGAGTGAAGGAGGATGTCATTGGATAGGATTAAGATGAATTTATTTTATTTAAAAGTTTACTTTAGTAATTGAATTTTTTTTTAATGAAAACAATGTCATTTAGTAAAATAGCTAAAATTATCCACTAACATTTTTTAAAAACATTATTTTAAGAAGGATTCGAGTTTTCCTAGTTGAAAGCAATTTTTCTATTATTTAATTATTCTTAGTTTATTGATTTAATTTTAAAACTTTAATACTTTCCCGTTATCATGTTATTTGGTGTTTATGATAAGATTAGAATTGACAAAATAGGAATTTTATATAAGATTAAAATGATATGAACGTGATAAATTTGTATATTATATAATATTTAGTGTAAATCAAACATTTAAATAAATAATATTATGTTATTCTAATTAAGATAACAAAAAATGTGCTATAAATTATATATAAACAATAACAATAATTTTAAAAAAAATTTATATATAACTTTTAATCCATTTTTTCTATATATTTGTAAATATAGAGGGTTCCCTATGGAGGATAAACTAGAGCCATGAGCCATCGCACGTGTCGTAAGTCAGAAGCGAACCAATCACCGACTCTCAAATCCGAACAGACTCAGAATTTCCTGAAATACCCCTTACAAATAAGATAATTCCTCCAACAACCCTTCGCTTTTTAGAGCGTTCTTTCTTCGTCTTTCAGTTTCAATTGCTGACGACACAAACCAAATCTCCCAAAAATTATCTAATCTAGGGTTTCGCAATTCGCAAGGCGTAACCCTTGCCTTCCACTCTCATCACCCCAATAATTAACTCTATCTCCCCCTTGATTTTCGCCTTTCGTTCTCTCTCTTTTCACGCGCTTCAATTTGCCCATCTTCATCATTTGACTGCGCTGCGATTTTAGCTTTTGAGTTTTGATTTCTTCGTCACGAGAGTGGTTATTTAAGGCCCCCATAACGTTTTTGGCGCTTTCCTTATACGTGATTGATTCAGATTTTGTTTAATTAATTGCTTTCCACTTTCCGAGGAAGTGTAGGTTTTTTAGGGTTTTAGGAATGGCGAGCGCGGGTGAAGAACAGGTTGAGTATGAGAGTGATCCCGAAGAGGCCAAGAGATCCTTGGCAATGCGGAGGAGGCGTGAGGCCAGTGATGATGAAGAAGAAGCTGAAGGTGATGGAAGAGGAAAAGGTGCAGATCGCCGGATTACTCATTCCGATGATTCCGACGGCGAGGGTGGAGTCGCCGAATATGACGACGAAGAAGAATTGGAAGAAGAAGAAGAAGGGGTTGACGAAGAGGAAGAAGTAGAAGAAGAGGAGGAGGAGGAGGAGGAAGAAGAAGAAGAGGTGGGCGAGGAGAGGGGTGGAGAGGAAGGTGGTGCAAATGGCACAGTGGTTATGGCAAAAGATTCTGATGCTGATGTGAAAGCCCCTTTGGAAGAATCAGGGAACATGGATGATGAAGAGAAGAAGGAGAATGAACCGTTTGCAGTGCCTACAGCTGGAGCATTTTACATGCACGATGACCGTTTCAGGGATAATGCTGGTGCCCGCCATAGGTATCTAAATCTTCACTGGAACCCGTGCATAACTTGTGTTTGGCGTTACGTGGTTGCTTTTAAAATACTTTGGTGATGAAATAACTTGTTTTGTTTTGTATTGTGTTTGTTTTTTACCTTTTGTCTTGTTTAGGCGTATGCGTGGTGGAAGGAGACTGTGGGAGTCTAAGGATGACAGGAAATGGGGACATGATAAGTTTGAGGAAATTACTTTGCAGGAAAGGCACTACAAGGAGGTAATGGTTTTATAGATATGCAGTACTGAGATTTTTTTCTTGCTTCCTGAAATGAAACCTTACTAATGGATTCTGCATTAAATTTAGGGAAGGAGACCTTCTAAGGGTAATTATCGAGGCCGTGGTAAAACTCGAGGTGTTGATCGTGGAGGATATGTTCGAGGTAACAGAAAGGGATATGATAACAGAAGCAATCAAACTCAGGCACCAAAGGGTACTGTGCGTGGGCGAGGGCCCCGAAGGTATGAGCCTACTAATAAAAGCAACGATTCAGTATCCCACGTGCAAAATAAACAGTGAGTACAGACTGTATTTGATATTATTAGTGCATTCATGCTACCTATACATGTCAAGGCTTTCTGATCATAATTTTGTTTTGTTATTTCCCAAGATCTGGGAAGCCACAAGAGAAAACTTCACATGCTAGTTCAGGGAGAACTTCCATCTCTAATTTGGAATCTGATCCTGTCGCTGCTAAGAAGCAAGTATTTGCATCGAATTTGAATTCTGCATCTCCTCCATTTTACCCATCGAGCTCTTCCAACAAAGATATAAATCTGACACCTAAAGGAGATGTCCAAACTGGTGGCACAAGCAGGAACGTTCGCACTGGTGTTGTGGATGAGGGTTTTTTGGCTCAACAAAACAATGCACTTCTTCGGGGAAAGAATGTTGCTGATCATGTCAGCATGGACAAGCTGTACATTGATGGGCCCGTTGCTCCATCTATTGGAAAGACTTTTAACAATTTGCATATTCCGCCACCTGTATCTTCTGGAGTCAATGCTTCTCAGTCTGCTCATCCAAGAGCTCCTGGGAGGGGTGGAGCAGTACCAGTACAGATTAATTATCAGCCTGCTACCTCTCATAATCAAGTCAACAAAATTGATCCAACACAACTCCAGGCTATTCAAAGAACTGCTCCAGGGAGAACTTCAACTTCTATGCAAGCCCCACCTGCTTCACAGTTGGCTCATCGACCTGGTAGTGGGTCTCAACCTTCATCTCCCCCCAAAACGTCTGTCGCAATTAGTTCATTGGATTCTGGAGAAATCGATACAGCTTCAGAATCAGGTAAATCCAAGGGTGCACTGGTTGGGAAAGGAAAGGGAGGTTCCCAGGGTAGTGGAAGGGGCTCTTTTGTTTATGGTGGAGCTATGGGGACTACTGGAAATATGGGTGGTAATCATGGAGATCAGAATTTTCCGGCTTTCTTGCCAGGTTAGTTTTATTTAGCTGTTTTATTGATAAGTATCAACAGTGCTGACTTAGCAGTAAATTTGGATCCAATGTATTTAATGCAGTTCATCTTTCTGCTGTTTGAATATGTTCTCATGCATCAAGTAGAAGTAGTAGCATCATTTGTCTGTGGAAAGTTGAGTGGTTGTATTATTTACTCCGTTACAGACAGTTTTTTGGCAGTGAGTGTCCTGATTTATCAACACCTCCATTGTTTTTTGTGTGTTGTACATGTAATCCTTTTCAGAACAGATGCCTACTTTTGTGTATTTTATTCAATTTTTCTGATTTTCATTGGGCTCTGGTGGGAGGCAGTTATGCAATTTGGAGGGCAGCATCCTGGTGGTATAGGAGTTCCTGCCGTGGGCATGGCATTCCCTGGATATGTTGCTCAGCCTCAACTTGGTTTAGGAAACTCTGAAATGACATGGTAAGATTATTAACATCTGAAATTTATCCGATGTTGAATGATGTTTAAAGTGTTAAATATGTGGAGAATTCACAAGGTTTTAGTGCCTTTGACGTGGTTGAATTCTCCCCCTCCCTGTGTGCATCTGTGTATGATCCCCAGTTGCAATTTTCTTTTAAGGATACTGTAATCATTATCATAATGTATCTTCATAAGTGAAATGTTTTGAGGTTTGTGCAAAATGTCTTATTATTTGTATATATTTTTCTTTCTTTTTTCTAAATTATTGTATTTGTTTTAGTTCCCTTTTTTATTGGAACGCGTATTAATCACTTCCTTTTTTGGCTCAGGCTACCAGTTCTGACCGGTGCTGCAGGAGCTTTAGGGGCTACATACTGTTCACCCTATCTCACTGTCGATGGTGCTTATCATGCTCGACAATCAGGACAGACATCTGCAGCAACTACTTCAAGGTTGCTACTTTTTGTAGCTTTGATATGATTTCATATAATTTTACTATATTTTGCTACTTAGATGCATATTGAACATGTTCAAAATGGTTCTTGCTTTTGTTTAATTTCCATGTTTAGCTTGGCACAATCAGTGATATATATATATATATATATATATATATATATATATATATAGTGTGGGGAGGGAATTTATAATGAAATGGCTTTTCTCATGCTTTTCTTGCCTCCATTAGATTTAATGTTGCTGTAGCTTTTTGGGTGGTTTTGTGATTTCCATTTTCCTTGCAGCAAGGAAAATAATGTGAATAAAGCTAATAATGAGTGGAAGCCACCGCAGAAACCTGGTAAGAGATTGATATTCCTTCTCCATTAACATTGCTTATTTATCCATTACCATTGTTAGTTATTAATTTCTTTTTTGGCGTTGACCCATCTACAGAGTCTGTCAGTGATGAGTTTGGACAGCGACAAAACAAGCCCCGCAGGCAAGTTGAATTGCAAAAGCATTTCATTTTAATGTTTTCTTTTGGGGGGTGGGGGGCCTGAGTATGATTGTGCTGGAATTGTTTTTCTTTGGATTCTAGGGATAATACTACTGGCATATTTTTAATTTTATCATCATAATCTCAATGAACGTGGGAATGTTCTATGCAGATACTCAGAGATGAATTTTGGGCAATGAAGTATTATATAGGATGCAACTTGTTTGAATAAGAAGATAAGGTTTGTTATTTACGCCTTATTAATGTATTTTTTTTCTTAATTCTTAATTGGGTTACAAACTTCTAAGTTTTGTAACTTTTTGTTTTGCAGGCCTTGTTCCTCTTGGTCCTCTGTTCTCCAGCTTTTGTTCTGGAGTACTTTGGACAGCGATATGTTTCAAGAATTTTTAGGTGACTATAGAACTTGTATTCTCGCTGAGAATGTTATTGTTATTGTTCATGGTTCCTCATGTTTTGGGATTGCTTGGAAACGCCTTGTGCTTTATTATATGTTGACACACCTTTTTTTCTTTCCCTATTCCATTTTCTTCCCTGCAGTTATATAACGCCTGTTCATGCTGTCGTCCATTTAAAGAAGTTATTGCAGCTTGACAGGTGGTAGTTGCTTGTGTAATTGTGCGGTAAGGATATAATCTTATCTTATCATAAGTATTAACTGTGCAAACGATATCCTTGCAAATTGATGCTGTGGGAATCATGAAAGTTGGGGGATGCTTTGCAGGTTTTTCTTGCGTTTTGCTTTAGTGAAGCTCGTGAGAAACATAGGCAGGCTTCTCTACAACTATGAATATGGGAAATGAATGATTATTGTTGTGCTGCAATTGATTGCTCGTGGAGTTGAAAACTTTCTCGTGTAAATGGTTTTCTTATTCATCTGCTATGGATTTGTGGTAAAGCACTGAGACATCATGTAATCGTTTTATTTTTTGCAATTCAAGTTAGTGTTTTTGACTGAATTTGATATTCGATGCAAAGGATGCTTGGTTTTGACATTGTTTCAGTTATTGCCCGTCGAAATCAACCATTCCCCCTGTTGGCTCTGCGAGAAATTTGGGCTATAGTGGAAAATGTAGTTTTATCATTTCCTCTGCAAATTATTAAAATCAAGATAAAATAAAAATGTGCTATTTTTTTTGTAAATATTGAAATATTAATAGAAAATATTTTCTTAGACGAGATTTTACTTACTTGAGTTTTTTTTCCCCCTTGGGAAGAGCATGTTCAATTCCAGATGGATTTCTTTCTGGCTTTCGTGTAGAATATAAGAAAATAATAATCGGAACATTCCTTCCAAATTATACGTGGATTAGTAGAACCTAAGCTCCAAGCCGAATGTTGTGCATAAAAAATGGTTTACTTTCTTAAGCATGGAACTTATAAAGAATAAATGAAAAAACAGAAAGTGACGGCTGAAAGTTGAAGATTGTAAGATGCGTGTTTAAATAGAATTAATGATTTTCTGTGAACACAACTGTAGTTATTTGCATTTGACCATCTCAATTAAATTTCACGTAGAATATGAAAAGCTTAAATTCTAAAATAATACTTTTACGATAAAATCTATCTTATCGTCACGTTGGATGGGGTATATATACTTTCCTTTCTCTTTTCCATGCACAACAATCTAGCTAGAACAAAGGACGATTTTAAATCTGTCCGATCCGAAAATTGTTGAGTAATTAATTCAAGAAAATTATATTATTTTGGATTAACAATAAAGAAAATCGCTTTCATTATCCCCAAGAAGAAATGGAGTGGTGAGTGCGCGGATTTATTAATTTTTATACATTTAATTCGTGAAAAGCTTATGTCAAGGATTTTCTTATATAAATTTAATTAAACTAATAAAAATTATATCAATAATTTTATTTAGTTAATAATGTAATTTTTTTAATTAAAACAATGTATTAAGGTTGAACTCTTCCTATATTTATATTTTTACATAATAAATTTTTGTATTATTTACTTAAAATAATTTGTGTAAAAAAGAACTAAAGTGACAGTGGTGAAAGGAGGGTCAAACGCCAAAGGAATGTGTAGTAATTAGTATCGATCCAACGGTTAGAATGTTTGAGTGAGACCCACCGACGGTGCAGGTTAATTTGGGAACGATAACCCGCTTAACCAATAACAGAAAATCTTCACACGTGTACGATGCACGTGGTAGTATCCATTTGTCTCGGATTCAGACGCTTGTCTCTCTCTGCCCCTGTTGAACTTGGCTGCCTCAACTGAACCTAACTCACAGAGTGACAGTGTAGAAGCGTCGGTGATGAAAGAGCGAGTTCAAGAATCTCTGTTCAAAGTGAATGTATGAAGAAGCAAAGACACTGAAACACAGATCTTCAACTTCAAAAACAGTCAATCCATGTAATCACTCTTTTTTCTCTTCTTTACTTCCTCTGCTTCTATACATTGTTAATGCTTTTTCCATATTCTTCGTTCGTTGCTTAATTCACTTTCCTTTTTCGTTACGAATATTAAATAAACAGAAACTCTACTCTGCTTCTTCCGAATTATATAGTTCCATTCTTTTTCCCTTTTTCTTGCAAAACTACTTCCTTCTTTCTTTATTTCGTTTTTTATGGAGAAATTATATCTTTCTTGTCTTTCTGGTTTACTTCTTCAAACTAGTGTTGGCGCTTCAAGCATTTGGTTGAATTAGTGATATGATAGTTCGGGAAACTGATGGAGGAAAGCATCAATAGAGGGGAATTTCAGGCTAGTTTGGCTAAGCCTTCTTCATTGAGGTCTGGTGGTAGTTTCAAATCAACCCTATCTGGAAGATCAACTCCGCGAAATTCTCCTTCGTTTCGGCGGCTTAATTCCGGCAGAACACCAAGAAAAGAAGGAAGAGGTAGCGTAGGTGGTGCACTGTGGTTTAGGAGCAATCGCTTACTTTTGTGGTTGCTTCTAATTACCCTCTGGGCTTATCTTGGATTTTTTGTTCAGTCCAGGTGGGCTCATAGTGATAAGAAGGAGGAATTTTCTGGCTTTGGAACTGGACTGAGAAATCCTGACTCCGATGCTGAACGGATTCAGCGCCGTGATTTGATTGCTAGTGATAATTCCTTATCTGCTATTAATGAGACAGTTACAAATAAACCAGGGATTAGTAAAACTATAAATGTAGCTTTGGCCAAGAAAGAAAATGATGTTCCATCTCGTCGTAAAACAAGCTCAAAGAAGAGGAGCAGGCGATCAATACATGCTTTGAAAGGTAAATCGCGCGGTAAGCTGAAACCAACTACTGAAGTTAAGAACAGTGATATAGAGGAGCAGGAGCCAGAAATTCCTACAACCAATAGTACGTACGGATTGCTTGTTGGTCCATTTGGCTCAATGGAGGACAGGATTCTGGAATGGAGTCCTCAGAAACGTTCTGGGACATGTAACAGGAAGGGGGACTTTGCACGACTTGTTTGGTCCAGAAGATTTATCTTGGTATTCCATGAGCTTTCCATGACTGGAGCACCCCTCTCAATGATGGAGTTGGCAACAGAGCTTTTGAGCTGTGGGGCTACTGTTTCAGTTGTCGTGCTTAGCAAGAAGGGTGGTTTGATGTCAGAGCTTGGCAGGAGACGAATCAAGGTACTTGAGGACAAAGCAGATCTCAGTTTCAAAACTGCAATGAAGGCTGATCTTGTCATTGCTGGTTCGGCTGTCTGTGCATCTTGGATTGGTAAGTGCAGAACAAATTGAATATGCTTTGGACAACTTTATTCTTCTGAATACTCGTTGTCAATATAATTTGTAACATCTAGGCAGTTTATATAATTTGTTGCTGCAAGTTTGTAATTTCACTCTTCAACGTGTTTTAATAGAACATCATTGTCTTATATATTTTCAGAACAATATATTGAACATTTTCCTGCTGGTGCAAGCCAAATTGCCTGGTGGATTATGGAAAACCGGCGAGAGTACTTTAATCGTTCAAAGGATGTCTTGGACAGAGTAAAGATGTTGGTTTTTCTTTCTGAATCACAGTCTAAACAATGGCAAAAATGGTGTGAAGAGGAAAGCATAAAACTGAGATCCCAACCAGAAATTATTCCATTGTCTGTTAATGATGAACTGGCATTTGTAGCTGGCATTCCTTCAACACTTAACACTCCATCCTTTAGTACTGAGAAAATGGTTGAGAAAAGGCAATTGTTGCGAGAATCAGTTCGACAAGAAATGGGCTTGACTGATAATGATATGCTTGTAATGTCTCTGAGTAGCATCAACCCTGGGAAGGGCCAGCTATTACTTCTCGAATCTGCAAGCTCAGTACTAGAACAAGGACAGTTGCAAGATGATAAGAAAATGAAAAAATCATCAAATATAAGGGAAGGTCTATCTACCCGAGCTAGAAGACATCGTATCAGAAAATTGTTGCCATCTTTGAAGGAGGGCAAAGTAGCTTTGAATGATATCTCAAGCAATTCTTTAAGCAGGTTACATGAATCTGAAAATAAAGTATTATATCTTATGGTTGTGTAATATCCATTTTTTTATTTGTTCCACTGATTATGTAAACTTATGACTTTCACAGAGGGAAACAAGTGTTGCCTAACAACAAAGGAATACTGCAGCAATCTCTCAAAGTTCTCATTGGTTCTGTTGGATCTAAGAGTAACAAGGTGGATTATGTTAGAAGCCTTCTAAGTTTCTTAGAACAGCATCCAAACTCCTCAAAATCAGTCTTGTGGACTCCAGCCACAACACGGGTTGCCTCACTTTACTCTGCCGCAGATGTTTATGTTATAAATTCTCAGGTAGGTCTTGTGCAAACTTCAAACTAAAATATGTATAAAGTAGCTAGTAAAATACTTATACATGCATATAATTTAAATGTAAGTATGCTTATATATAAATATTACAATTGGTTCAAAATTGCTTCATCATGTTGGAAATATTGTGATGTTGGCTGTAAGTTATTTGTTGAGATAGATGGAATATATATATATATATATATATATATATATATATATATATTTATTTATTTATTTATTTATTTTATTTTTTCCCTAATGTGGAATTCCATCATATTATCTTGAAGACTTTAAGTTTGTACCTTATCTTAGATGTTTGAATTTTGACCAGGCCTGTTCAGTTTTCTGTGTTAATAAAGTAAAATATTTAGTAAGTAATTAATGAAATTGTTGTAAATAGCAACGAATGCTGGTTTTGGCTCTGTTTTCTGTTGACACAAAAAAAAGTATTTCGTTTTACAGCTTGACAGAATTGCTGAAACTACGCATTCCAGATGTTACCTTCATTTAGAGTCATTGAATTAATTATAGAAACATTCTTCAATGTGCAAAGCTATTAAACTAATTAACAAAATGGTGAACAGGGTCTGGGAGAAACATTTGGACGGGTGACTATAGAAGCGATGGCGTTTGGTCTTCCGGTATGACTTCCAACTTTCTTTCCCATATTCATCTCATGTAATGATATATTCCGTTAGTTTCATCCTTGATCTTCAGAATATCATTACTTATTGACTTTAGAAAAGTAAAATTTTCCTAGATTACTGCTCTCTTGCGGCTGGCCATTCTTGTTTCACAATACTTGATATGTTCAACTATCAAAATCAGGTTCTTTGAATACTGCATACATGTCCTGTTATACATCTAAACTTCCACCTATAAAGAAGGTTTTATGACATGCCATAACCCAAAACTATATTTTCTCCTTAAATCCATCATAAACTGAAGCATAGGATAGCAAATTGGCTTTAGTTGTGAAGCAGCAGCAATTGGGGATGGATCTAGTGTGGGGTTAATTATCTTTGCTTTGCTTCTTTCTATTCCTTATTCAGTGAAGGCAGTTGATAATCTCTATGATTTTCATTGTCTGTGGAGCAGATTCTCGGAACAGATGCTGGGGGAACACAAGAGATTGTTGAGCACAATGTCACAGGTCTTCTTCATCCTGTAGGACATCCAGGGAATCATGTCCTTGCTCAGAATCTCCGGTTTTTGCTTAAAAACCAGTTAGCAAGGAAGCAGATGGGGGTGGAAGGAAGAAAGAAGGTGCAGAGAATGTATTTGAAGCAACACATGTATAAGAAATTTGTAGAGGTTATTGTCAGGTGCATGAGAAGCAAATAAGTGAAAGAACTGCTTGGTGCTAGCAATGCTCCCAATTCTTTTATTGGATTACATGTTCCCGTCACTGTGAGTCTCTTTGTACCGAGTGCAATTCTTGTGCCAATTTATAAGATACCCTGCTCCTCTGTTTTCTTTTATCAGGAAATAATTTTTTTTATGCCTTTCTGAAGAGCAATATTCAATCATGTTTGAGTGCATATCAATACACTTTCCTCTCTTACGACATTCTTGTTGCCTGCTGGTGACACATTCGTTTCAAGTTAAAATGAACTAAATGCAGTGCATAATAGAGGAGAGTTTAATTTGTTTTAAAATTAATGACGATAATAAAATCGACAAAACTGAACAAATTTGATAAAAGGTGAAAATGCAGTTATTGCCTCCTTACGGGCTTCGAGCCCCCTTTGCTAGAAATAGTATCACTTTATCTTTTGGCACTCTTTATACTCAACTGAAAGGTTAATTCTATAGTCGACAATCAAACTATGCATTAAATCATTAAAAATAGAGACAAGATCATGGGGGTGTCCTAACTGTTGAAAATATTTTTAAAGGAGCTTATTAAAAATATCTTATAACTTCCATATGCGGCTTTTGTTTAGTTCAATAAATTTCTTGCTATAACTTATTAAAATAGGTTATTCAGATTCAAATACAGGAATTAGTGATTTATTTAATCAGATACATAACTATTTTGTTTATTTATTAATGTGTATCGAAGTTGTAGAGGTCTACTTCATATGATGTGAAATATTGTCTTTTGATGGGAAAAAAATGTAGGCAGGTAGACAGTGTTCATGTTTTTCGTCACACAAGAGGTGAACTTGATTGAAAATCAAATGATTCGGGCTACTACAGTCATAACTGATGAATATAAAGTTATAAACCTCTAGAATGAATACCTATAACGTCTTTTTTCTGGTAAAAAATCTATAACTTTTAAAATCAGAAAGAGGCAGCATGTTTCAGCAAATATCGGAGCTCTGTGGAAGCAAAAAAAAATTTTTTGATGAATTAAAAAAAGAAAACAGAGGACACACTGTCTAGTGTAGAAAAACAATTCAAAATAATTGAGATCATATGTTAATTTTTTAAAGCAATTAAAAGCCACAGGCGAGGTTTTTTTTTTTGGTTGGTATAAACGCTAATGTTTTCGCATTAATTTCTTTTTCAAACATATCAACTATAATTAAAATAAGCAGGCCATCGTTGCGATCAACGTACGTGTCTAAGCAAATTTTTGGCAATGACACTAATTGAATATAAAATAATACATGACTTCAACACAAGAATTCGCTGATACTTGACTATTCTTTTCTCTCTCTTTTTTTTAATTAAAAAAAATCTTTTCATGACAATTGACCTAATTTTCTATTTATTTGTACTCAAAGGAGTTGATTCATGAAACAATTCTATATAGAATAAGTTATATATACATATAAAAATATAATTTTTTATATTATAATTCTAAAAACTCTTTCACTCAATTTAAATTTTTTATTTAATTTATATTTAATAGTTATAATTTATTATTTTATTGACCGTTAGATATAAATTAAATAAAAAATTTAGATTAAATATAATTTTTTTAAAAATTTATGCTAATATAAAAAGATCTTTTCTCAATATATATATATATATATATATATATATATATATATAAATTATTTATCAAATTTTTATCGTATCTATGTACATATTAATTAGTCTCTTCTATGTTTACTCATATTACAAAATGTATTTTCCACTAACATGAGTTGGTCTAACTAATAAGGAATTGGCTTCTTTTAAACAGTGTATTTACTGAGTTTTGTTAAAAAAATAAAAGTGTCAAAAGAGTTTTACCTTTTAAATGAATATATCTTAATTTTATTTGGATTAGTTAAAATTTAATGTAATTGTAAAAAATTTAGAGCATATTTAATTTTCTTTTTAAAAATAATTTTATATTTTAAAAAATAAAATGTACGTATAAATTTATACTATATTTTATTTTTAAAAACATAAAACTAATTTTAAAATAAAAATAAACATGTTTTTAATATCCAAAATTATATGTTAATTTCTCCATGACAGAGTAAACAACTTGAGTACTCCAACTTTTTAAAATTATATGTTAATTTCAAGAAATTCTAACATACATACATATATATATATATATATATATATAAAATTAAAAAATATATATTGTATGATTTAAAAAACCGACACGACAACGCATTAGTCACCGTTTTCACGAAAATTCTTTGGTGATATTTACGGCTAATCTTAAAATAAAATAAAATAAATAAAATGACCTCCTTGTCGTTTCAAGAGAGATTGTCTCCTTGGCAAAGCCAACGACCAAAAAGGTATTTAAAAATAATGAAAAGAAGACAAAAATGTGTGTTCTAAACTCCTACTTAAAGATACAAATGGAATCCTTCTATCGGCACAATCAAATCTCTGAAATTGGCGGGAGAGCGAGGAAGAGAGATTTTGTTGCTCACTTCACTCGAGTCCTCCTTGCATGTATATATATAGTTAGCTAATTAATTATCATTAACATGTCACGTATTAGAAAAGTCATAGGAGGCCTCAAGCCTGCGTTTCTGATGGTGGTGGTTCAATTTTCTTATGCTGGGGTTAGCATTTTGTACAAAATGGTTGCAAATGATGGCATGAGTTTGAGTGTCCTTATGGCCTATCGCTTTCTCTTTGCATCTCTTTTCATGGTTCCTCTTGCCTACCTTGTCGAAAGGTGACATTTTTTAAACTAAGCTTTTCCCTTCAAAATCATTTTCTCATTCAAGTTAAATTCAATTTTAGTTTTCCAATGCATGTTGCATATTTGACTCCTTATTCATTTGTTTCCTTTTTGGTTAACAAAGGATTGCGTGTTCATTTTGAAGCAAACATTTTAGGAAAACTATAGAAATTAAACATTTTAATGATTTACGTATGTATAGTTTCAACCACTCAGTTGTTTTTATAAAACACAACTAACGTTGTGGATTATATTTATGCATGCTTCTACAGAAAGAGCAAGCCACGAATCACAGTACAAGTACTCATTCAAGCATTTCTTTGTGGATTATTTGGGTAAGTTGAATCCATGTTTTACACATATCCGAATATACTTCTAAAAATGCCCATACCATACATAATGAAATTTTATATATATACTAAAATGAAAATTTGTCATTTCATAATTGCACCATCAGGGCATCCTTACAACAAAATTTGTTCGTGGAAGCAGTGGCTTTGGCAAGTGCAACATATGCTACGGCCATGTACAACCTCATTCCTGGTGTTACATTTATCTTAGCCGTCATCTTTGGGTAGGGCCCATATTCTCCATATATATGTTGTGTGTGTATAGTATGTATATTTATATTTATATGTGCCCCATATAAATTATATCCCACTGGTTGATTGATTTTGTAATTTCAATTAATGCTATTCTCAGATTAGAAAGGCTGAACATTAAAGCATCAACAGGGAAAGCCAAGGTGCTTGGAACTGTGATGGGAATAGGTGGAGCCATGATGCTCACATTCTGTAAGAGCACTGAGATTCACATCTGGTCAACGCATGTGAACCTGATGCGACATCTACAGCCACACGATGTGCCTGAAACTCAAGTTTGGGGCACTTCTCTTGCTTTGGGCACTTGTGTATCCTATTCAATATGGTTGATAATTCAGGTGAACTTCACTTCCTATAAACACCTATCAGAATAGTCTGAATTATACACAGAGAAGTGTGAGATTCAACATATTTTTACTTATATAAAAAATTATAAAGAGCATCAAATTAAAAGTCAGATTCGTCTTTTTTTTTTTTAATAAATTTTACCTAATAATAAGTTACTTTGAAAGAATGTATTAGAGAGTGTATTATTAAAACTTGAAATCATATATGTTTTGTGTTATGGATTACAATATAACTTTTATTTTGTGTGTGGTAGGCTAGGATGAGCGAAAAGTTTCCCTGGCATTACACAAGTGCGGCATTGATGTCAGTGATGGCCTGCATTCAATCAATTATATTTGCTCTAGTGATGGAAAGAAAAAACTGGAGTCGTTGGAAGCTTGGCTGGAATATCAGACTTCTCACTGCAGTTTATACGGTACATATAGTTCCCTTTATATTTTATGACCCTTAAAATTGAGTCAACAACTAAAGTTTATATAAATCTTAGCTTAATGTAGAATGACATGTTTGTGGGTAATTAAATCTGCATTAGGGTGTTGTGGCATCTGGACTGGCTTGGGTTCTCATAACGTGGTGCGTGTGCTTAAAGGGCCCACTTTTTGCTTCAATTTTCAACCCCCTCTTCCTAGTTCTAGTGGCCATTGCAGGGTCTCTGGTGTTGGATGAAAGGCTCCAATTGGGAAGGTTCATACATTAATTTCACTGATATCACTAATTTGTTAGGCCTTATTGATATAAACTGATTTTATTTTATTTTTGTTTTAAATTACAGCATAATAGGTTCATTATTGATTGTGTTGGGGCTATACACTGTCTTGTGGGGTAAAGGAGAAGAATTTAAGAGAACTATCAAGATGAAGCTAACAAAAGGCTCATTCGAAGTTGAATCATTGGAGACAATTACCAAAAATCATGCAAATGGTAAATGTTTTGAAAATGATAATAGTGACATGAATTCTGGTATTACTGTTACTACCGTAAAAGAAGGAAAAGGACAAAGTGAAGTGGAAGATGCTTCAACAAATGGGACCGGAGAAAATAAAATTAAGGAAATTCCAATTGACTATGAAGGACCAAAAAGGTAGTGCCTAGCTAGCTAGTTAGCACTCCATAGCAGTGTGGCATGATGAAGAAATGAAACCAAAGGAAACTTAGTTATGCTCACCAGAGAAGTTCAGAATAATATCATTTTTGTCTTAATTTTCTCTATAGGACTCGAAGTATTGATTGTAGAAACCTATGAATGTTGGAATTCAATAACTAGCAGTTTCTATTACTATATGTTTTTCCCCTTTTGCTAAGTGTATGTTTTAAATTAATTCCTTATGAATCACTATACAATTTTATCTTATACTATCCAAAGTCTTCGTGGCAAATATTGTCTCTTTATATGCATCGTTAAACTGCATCTGCAAATCCTGTGTGTATATTAAAAAATATTGTGTATAATAAATAAATTTATTTAATGTAATACCAACTTAATTATTTTGACATTATTATTCGATATTCCCATATATTAAGGTAATATTAAAAATTTTAAACTCTCAACTAATAGCCTATCAAAACTTCTTAACTTATTTATAATTCATTATGGTATTACAGGACTGTGTAATCTTATACTATTTTCATTCTTATTTATCTTTATAAAGAAAAATTTGTTTTTATTTATCTATCTACATAAAATTTTAAGATAATATTAATGATTATTTTTTACTGATATTCTTTTGTTCATTATTTTTTTTAGTAAACTAATAAAGTATTTATACTGTTTGAATATCTGAAGGTGAAAGAGAGATAGTGTAATAAAATAAATAGAGAGTAAATTAGTAATTTTATTAAATCATATTTTTTAAAAAATCAAATATCTCGATTGAAGTAAATTATAATATTAAATTAACTATTAAAAATCTATGATAGAATAGTCACTTTACTGTACAATTGCACTGGAAAGAAGACAAAAAAAAAAAAAAAAAGCAATTCAAATGCTTTTACAGTAAAATAACAGAAACACCATCATTAAGTAGTTGAACTGCTTTAATAAAAGTATGGATTAAGTAATCTATACTTTCAATAGATTACTTAATCCACATCTCTAATTTATAATTACAGCAGCAAATGCTAAGCTAAGGGGGAAAAAAAAAAGATGTCAATTTACAAGTTATTACTTCTTATCTCTACATTTCATCTGGTCACTTTTTGTCTCTATCCCTGGAATGCTCAACCTATGATCCAACTTGGAGAAAATTTGTTGTGGACACTTGACTTATGCAAGCGCCCAACTAGTGCAGCCTTCACACTAACAGCATATTGTTTTGACATTTTTTAGTGACTTTTTTGTCTTACTTGAAAAGGAAATCATTTGTTCAAAAAAGACCCTTCACAGCTTACTCAACCAATATTGTGGATTTATACAAGATAAGTTTTATTCATAAGTTTAATTATAACTAAAATCAAGGCTAATTAGGCACGAATTAGGACGGGTTTGTTTGATTGAGTTAGAAAATTTGCAGCTTTGCATTCACACGGAAGCATGCGTTGTTCATCGATCAGAAATCATGTAGTTTACCCTGAGAGAATAACGAATTAGCCTTGATTGAGCAGACACAATCTGTCAACCCTAATTATAAAAGAAGACCCATCAGTTATAAGGATGTGACTCGTTCCTGTGCTTTTTTATTAACATTCCCTCAAATCCGCAATAGTATGTTGCTAACGAGGAATTGATGTTTGTTTTGTATTATTTGTTACGTTTAATATAAGCTTGTTGAGAAGGAGCAAAGAATTTGGGAAAATAAAACAAGAAGGATTGGTTTTTTATTTGTAACATTTTTGTTTCTAATAACCCTAAACAAAAGGATAAGTGTGTAATGCACTGCGATTAATGAGCACACCATAGTCATATATATATATATACAAAACTCTTTAAAAGCCAGCGAAAGAAAAATGATCAAGCTTTTAGGAGTAAGCACTAGGAAAAGCAACCAAATGAAAACAAAAATGTTGCTTCATCTATAATATATATATATATACATATAACCGCGCCAAAACAAAACTTAAGCCTTAAATTTCCAAAAAGCAACCAGACAGTACGTGGCCCGTGTAGTCATCTGGGCTCAGCATTTTAGCCCAAGCACCACTCTTCAGATCCAACACAAAGCCCACATGCGGTTCCCCGAACCCACTCGACCCAATCAACAACAGCGCTCCTTCCCACGCGCCCACGCACGCAACGTTCCTAATCTCAGCCGGAACCTTCGCCACCGTTCGCCACGCGTTACCATGCAAAGCCACCACGTCACCGCCCCTGCACATGTACATTCTCCCCTCCTCCGCATCACCACCGTCCACGCACGTGCGCGGACACGTAGCATCATCCAAAAACTCATCCTCCACGGGGCCCCACTTCCACGTGGCAACATCGAAAGCCTCGGCGCTACGCTCGAACCGCCCCTGCATCTCCGTGCAGTAACCGCCAACGACGCAGAGCGTGCCGCGGCGGAACACGGCCTTGCACTCGTCGCGCTCCCTCGCCATGTCCGGGAGCGTGACCCACACGTCCCTTTCCACGTCATACGCAAACGCAGATCTCAGCGCGTTCTTCTCCTCGTCGTGCCCGCCCGCAACGTACACCGTATGATCATGATCAGACGCGCATGCGAAGAACATGCGTGGCCCACCTGGCATGTCGGCCCCACGGCGCCACTTGGCCGACATAAAATTGTAAATAAAAACCGAATTCGACGCTTTCCACGAATCTGGGTCCCACCCGCCCATTACCACAAGATCGTACCCGACTCCTGCTATTTGACAGAACATGGGTAACCCGGAAGCGAATTCGGGTGCCGTGGGTAACTCACTCCATGAAGCGGTTTTCGGTTCGAATATGCTGAGTCGGTAAACCGGGTTCGTGGTGGCCTTGACGAGTAAACCACCACCGCATTTTTCAGAGTCAACTTTGGATTGGACCGTGACGAGGATTTTCTGTGCGTGCCCCGTGCTCCTCCTCTGACGGCGGAACTCTGGCAACTGAATCTCCGTCTGCCACCCTTTGCAGACGGATGCAACCGCCGGAAACTGCTCGTACGAAATCCGAATTAAACAGTCTCGGGCTACGTCCTCCGGTAGACCTGAAATCAATTCCATCGTAGTTTGTAAAAGAAAGATCAATTGAGTGTATGATTGTATTAGAGACGACCCTTGAACATTGAGATAGCAGAAAGATAGGGTTTTTAGCTGAAAGCTTGAAACTTGATTGAAGGGGTGTAAACGGTGCGAATAGAAGAAGGGGTTTTGGAGGTTTATGGAGAAAAGTTGAATTTTGAAAAGGAGAATCTTAAAACATAAAAAGGACTGTGGATCCAGAGATAATGGGGTGATGTGTATGATATGGCTTTTATAGGAACGACACTGCCACTCACACGCCGTTTCAGATAAGTTTTGAGTGATATTATTATTATTCTGAACAAAAAGAAAATTATAAACTGTGGGTGTTCTAGAAGGTTTTTAGGAAACCGGCAACTGGCGAAGTGAAAGGGAAAGGAAAAAGCAAACAAGTGTTGCCAATGTCGTTTGGCTACAACCAATAGTTGTTGGTTTTAATTTCATTTTCCCTTAGAAAGAGAAATTTCATTAAACAAACAAACATAGTAAAATACTGATTTATATTGTGTGTACATCGTTAATACACTAATTGGTGTTACTCACTCACCTAGTAACGTGATTGGAGATTGACTTTGCAATTATTGTGGGCCAGTAGATTTCCGTGTAAACCGTGTTTCGATTACTTGTTTAATATTTTGTGTGCTAGTATTTATCTTTATCTTTTTGCGTGTGCAACATGTACAGCCGTAGAAACAACTTGAACGTCACCGGCTAACACAACCGTCCTTTTCACTGTCAATTTGATTCTTTTTCGGTGCAAACAAATAGACCAAACGCACCAAATCACCAATCAAGTTTCTCGATACATTATCGGCACTAAGAAGGAGCGCAGACCGGACCAAGGATTAAACTCACACAACTTGGATAACAATTGTTTTCATTATTCACTATAAACTCCTTTTATAAAATTTTATTGAAAAACAATTTCATTATTCCTAACTATTTTTGCTCACTTTCATCAAAGTTTGGCAACATGGGTTGGATTGGCATGTTGGAAACTTTAGTGGGGCCCACTTCTCTGATAAGAGGGATAGGAATGAAAGGTTTCAGCCCAAAAGTCCAAACTAGAAATCGCTTTGCTGTCACCTCTCTTGCTATTTCAATTGCATTGCCCATTCTTATCTCTTCTAGAAAAAAAAAAAATGAAAACTACCCATAATTTGTTTTATTTCTACTTTTCCACCTAGATTAGACGTGGCCAAAACCCCTTTTGCACTGCATAGATACAGTGATAAACAAACTAATCTGCTTAATCTCACAATTCAGATTAACATAATTTTTTAAGCATGGCTAAGTCCGCATATACTCGTGATGTTTTTGAAAGTTTAAATTACTTTAATCAATGGAAAGATTATATGTATCATGTTAAAATAACTTGTTCTTTGGGTGGCTAAATTAGTTTGTGAAACCACTCAATCAACTCATTTAACTTGGGGATTATTAGTAGCCAGATTTATTATGGGTGCTAATATTTATGAGAAACGATCAAATATTCAGTAGCTAAATCTTTATTTTACATATTTGTGATAATATGATTTATAAATTTTTACTCATAAACATTTGTGTGTGTGTGTGTGTAATATAACTCAGTTGCAAAACTAAAGTATTCTTAAAATGATTATCTAAGTTTAAGATGTTTAACGTGTGGATTAAAATTTTAACTATCTAAATCTCCAACTGTTTAAATTTGTTGAACTCATCCAATTTAATGAAAGAATTCTGTTAGAATAATATATTTTGATTTAAACGTTTTTATTAGAAAATAATATATTTATTATATTAAAATTATAAAAGTTGTGATACAATGTGAGAAAAAATTATGTAGTTAGACACACCATCATTAAAATAAAAAAATTAATTGTAAAAAATAAGGACTAAAATAAATAAGTAAATAAATTTTTTATAGAAATATATTTAAACTAAATTTGACTCATGTATTCATTGGATGAAATAGTATTGGGGATTCCTCTCTAGTTTCACATTTTGAGTAAAGTTTTGTTACCTTTTGTCCTTTCCCATTGCACTTTAGAAACAGACGAAGGATAGATAAAATTTGGCTGGTGGTAGGATCCATATCTCTAACTTTGTGCTTTGGACCCAACCCAGTTGTGAGGCTTCTTTCTTTCTCCTCTTTGAAGATCAAAGCTTTCAATTTTCCCCGACAAGTGGAGTGAATGTTGACCCTTTACTTGAATGAACTCTTGCAAATTTAAGTTCCATCTTGCTAGTGGTAACTTGCTTGTCCACATTTAACATCAAATGAGTACCTTTCACATGGCACTTGAAAAAGAGGCCGGATTAATGGTTAACCACGACTTTTCTCCCACCCATTAATTTGGGAAATCAACAATTATTAATAATTTAATTACCAAATTAATCAATTATTATTAACTTAACAAGTTCAAAATTTGGTATTAGTTTTTTCAAAAACATTTATAAAAAAATAAGACAAAAATATCTTTAGACATTATTTGTATACTTTTTCATTAGTTAAAAGTAACGTAGTTAGAAACAAGGCACCCCCAATAGGACAACAAATACGAAAAAGTGTAATCTCTCTCTTCCAAATTTCCTTATCATGGCACTCAATTATTTACGGATCTCGCTTGAAATTAACTGGATTTAAGGCACCCCATTAAGGAATTTAGGTAGACGTTACTTAATTCATAAAAAAATGTTACAAACCTCTTTTTTATTATTAAAATTTATTAATTAATATTCACTGTGATCTCTACTTTGTATATATGATGTAAAAATATTCATTTTTATATGATGACATGTACATGTGTAAAACAACGTAAAGACAAAATAATTGCACTTTGCACGAATTAGAAATTGAATCGATATTAAAAATATTTACACGACTAAAGTAACAACAAATCATATCATTACGAAATTAATAATAAAAAAATAAAGACGAGTGTCCTTATTTGAAGCAATAATTAGTATCCCCACCCTAATGAACAAGTTCTCTTATGTAGGAATGGTTCAAAGGTGAAAGTTCAAACCACATGGCTAAAGATGTGACGATTGATGGAGCCAAGGATGGAAATTTGCATGGATAGGATGATGGACAGTTGATAGCTAAGTCCACCATCAGATGAAAATTTTATTTCGAATTTGTATATTATATTAAAAGGTCAATGTATTTCTTTTATTGCTCCAATTGCTTTCAAGGCCATGGAAAAATAATAGTATGCGATATGCATTATTGGATCTGTCCCATGTCATGAGTCACCATAATTCTTCTAGAAGCATTGGTGTCATGTGACCACCACCCTCTTTCCAAACTAGCCATAGCATGTTCATGGGCTCCACGCCCTTGTGCTCCAATTATTTTAATATAAGTATACAACAATTAATCATATCACCACTCCTTATTTTAACAATTATGAAATCCATCTCCCAACCGTTTAGATTGTTAATTCTATAGTTTCTTACATGTTGTACTAAAACTATACATACTACGTGCTAATTTCAGGTTTCCCCATCATGTCATTAGGTTTCACATTGTTAAGATGATAAGTTAATGTTCACATAAAAAAGTAATAAGGTGAATATTAAACTAGTCTCAAACCAGAAGCCTTTTATTTTTAATTGGGTGGTTCATGGTGTGAATAGTCTTGACCAAACTGAACTGATGATAAGTTAATATTTTTTTAATCTCATGGTCAAAACTCAAAAGGTTTTTGCAATCTAACACGTTACCAGTTTCAACTTCCCAACGAAGTATGCAATTGGTTTTATTTTTATCGCCTAGACTATGTGCTCCATGATCAATTGGTTTTATTTATTGTAACAAAATTAATTAGGAACATTGCTATACTTAACGTGAGTATGGTTATATGATTATCCACTATAAACTCTCCATATTTATTCATTTTTTTAGCAAATATTCATTCCATAAGACTTTTAATGCATGTTTAGAAACATAATAAAATTATATTACTTATTACATTAGATTTTTATTAGCAAAATAGAGTGGACTTGACTTGAACAGAGAAACCTGTTTTGGAGCCTCGAATTAACACAACACATCAAACGCAAATGCAATGAAGCTGCTAGCGTAATATTGCAACTACATCTTAATTTTATTGTTTTTTATAAGAACTGAATCTTAAAGCATTGTAGTTAGGTGAATGCAGACAACATAGAAACTCAAGGTTCGACGTACACGTTACATATAAATTGCTTATTAATCTAACGGATTAAACAAAACAACCGATTATTAGTCTCTGAGGGTTGAACCTTCTCTCAGCTAGATTATCGATTCCAGCACTTACACACATGCTGCAACCTTTACGATCGCCGACAATATGGTCTTATGCAAACACCTCTTTACCTTTTCAAAAGTTTCACGTAAAAAGATTACCCCATTAAAGTAACGATGAAATAGAATAATTCGAGAGTACGTAACGAGTGTTATACAGATTGATAATTGATGGAACTTATAAACCGTCCTTGTATTATTTTATTCAATTAAAATTATTTAAATAAGAACAACATGATTTATTTAATCATGAACAATGTAAGAAGAGAATACAGGTGCGACGTTTGGTCCAGACCAATAATGTAATTTTTGTATTTCATTTAAAATGTATTGATATTATAAAAATTCATTATTATTTAATCATGAACTATTATATTAATAAAAAGTATTTTAATTTCTTATCATTTGCTTTATAATTTTTCTCAATTTAAACAACGTAAAATTTCTTTATTTTCTGACTATTATTCTTTTCTTTATTTATTATTATCATTTATTAATCCAAACGAAAGTGTAAAGGAAACGGAAGAAGTAACAAAAATCCCGACTCTCAAGTACTTTGTAAGACTTTTTAAATCCCTAATGACAGAAGCCAAGCGATTACAAGAAAAATACCGGTAACATATTATTTGATATTTTTTATTAATTAAAATATTTAAGACTTTTTAGTCTCCTTGAACATAATAATAATAATAATGTGTGTCTCACCTTAAATAAATAATTTTTAAATTAATTTCAGCTAATAATTATAAATATATTAAAAATATGTCAATGGGTGTATTAGTAAGTAGATCTTCACGTCACAATCGTTCGGCTTCAGAGAGTCACTCTTTTAGTACTTTCAATTTTTATTCAGTTGAGCTACATACCTGACGTATCACGTATGGTTTTTCTTGCTGCTACAATTTATAATTTTAGAATTATGTAGAATCAGTTAGAAGCTCTCGCTGTTTGAATATTGGTCACTTTCACATCATTTTATCAAATTTGATTAGTAAGTCTGCCATGCTCATTCTTTGATAATATAAAAAAAAAATGTTATTTAGTTAATTTGTTTACTTTTAAATATTGTACAATTAATTCTCGAGCTGAATAATAATATAAATATGTTGATTTATGATTCAAACATCTTGTTAGTAAAATTAGATCTGAACGATGAATTATTTCTTTCATTCGAACTAGAATCAAAATCAAAGAACCCTACTTCCCTTGTTCTCTCTGTTATTATAACTCTTCTTACAGACGGTGTGCACGTAAAATACAACACCGATTAAGGTGATCCCTTTTTTTCTCGTTATCACTCAATGACAACAATTTGTTATGCTAAGCTAATGGTATTCATTGACTATGTTCAAGACTGAATTATTAAATATGAATTAACCATAGGTTTAATTATAGAATTTAATTTTAGTGTGCTATTTATATAAACTTTCTTATACTATACTAATTAGAATTATTATTAATATAATTTTTATATTAATAATTACAAAAGTCGATTATTTTTACTGATATAATAATAGTGCAAATTTTTTTTTACACTATTAGTATATTTATATTAAATTCTTAATAATAACTTAATTGATTTATAAAGTGTATAATAAAAATTTATCAACCACAGATTTAATAAGGCATTGATTTCATCCCAAACTTTCATAGTTTAGTTTTATAAAATACTGCTTGTAATAAACTAATTTTGTGGGAGGTATGGTTCACTGCAATGCGATGGTGCTGCAAGAGCAAAGGTGGTCCGCGACATATCTTTTTTGGGGTTGTTTTTGTTTGAGAATTCAAGAATTGATGAGTAAAATTCAACTATATACCAGTTTGTTTAATTTCAAGCTCGAGAGGTTTCTAACCGGGACAAGTATGTAATTAAGTTGAAAGTAAAAAAAAAATCATAAATTTAAAGGCTCTGGTCAAAAAGTTAGCTAATGTTTTTAAAGAGTATAAAAATTTATTTGATTTATTTTAAAAAATATTTATTTCCTTATTTTATTCTCATGTCATAATTAATGTTGTGAAGTTGATCTAAATTGATTTTATAACTAAATAAAACATGATGAAAGTCTAAAAAAATTAATCATCACTATCAGTTGAGTTTTCTTGCTAAGCTCATTCATTTTACTTAAAAGGCACCGAAGAATCCTCCAAATGAGACAAAAGATAGTTCAGGAAAATAAATTGGCCGAACTTATTTTACATTCAATGTAGAGAAGCCAAGTCCAAAAGCTCTTTGTACGTATCTGATACGAAAGATTTCACCTTCATGGTCGGTTTCCCATCGCTTCCCGGGGACATACACTTCACACCAATGACAGTAGCCAAACCTGCACAGATAAATTTTTCAATCCTGTGTGAAGAATAATCTTCAATTCACAATTAAAGCTAAATTATTAAAATATGAAACTCTTAGCAGCACCTCCCGTCAACAAATAAGTGAAGGTTTAGGCCGAATTGATTATGATTTTATTTTACTTACTTTCGTGCACGCGACCATACACCAGTCTTTCCCCTTTCCAGTATTCCAATGGCCTTGTTTTGATCCTGGTGCTTCTCCTTAATCCAGATTTCCATGCAGTACCCGCAGCTGGGAAGAAAGAAAAATCATGTCACAACAAGAAATTCTTGACAATGAATGGATAAGATAAATGACAAGGAGAAACCTGCAAGGCTCTGTCTCCGCGAAAGTTGTTTATCCTTCGACTCTCTTTGTGAACGTAATTTAACTCTCTTTTGTCCATTAACAGGAACCACAGAACCGTCTGTCTTTTCCTGTACCAGAAGACAGATTCAATTCTAAAAGCAGCCAGCCATGAAAATGGACAGTTACTAAACAGACTGATACGGAATGATGTGCCAGGGATTACACAATTATTTTCATAAGACTTTAACTCAGACTCCAATTTCAAACTAGGACATTTTAATTTATGTTGTTATAGTTCCAATTTCCAATTACACCATCTATTTACAATCTGAATTGGACGGTTACAATTTAGTTTTACCTTTCAAATAGGATAAGGTGGAGGGTACCGGAAGTTCTGGGATTGCTAATTAAGTCTAACTACCTTCCACCAACTGATCTAACAATTTAGGCTTAATCACATTCGAAGTGTGTCATCCCTGTTCATTTTATAGCATGTCCAAAACCACTTGATTGCTACATTATCCATTTCACAGTATAAAAAATTCTGATGGTAGTTTATGGTGCTTATTTGCTTTGCATCCTAAGGTAGGAGCCCTTAGAAATATGTAAATAACCACTATACAGAAGTTATTATTAATCATTTATTTCACAAATTTGATACTTAAACAAAAGAACTCACATTTATTTTTTTTAAAAATGATAATATCCACGTATAGGGAAAATATTAGAAAAGGGAAAAGAAATTAAAAGGCAATTTTATTTAGTACCAGAAACTGTTTGATTATCATTATCTGAATATGTTAAATTGCTAACAAATGATAAAATGATTGAATTGTTAAGATACAAATAGTTTTAAAATTGAGGGAGGTTGAAAAGGAAATCGACAAATCTAGTAACCTGTAAACAATGTTCTGGATCATCATCTGATCTTCTAGTGCATTTATCCATAGCATTGGCTTGATGTCCAGCAGGATTTAATTGAACAGCTAATGCATACCACAATAAAGTTAGCGTCATCAGAGATAAACACTAATTTAAAGTTAAATTCTCCCCTGATTTTGGATCAAAGGGCAACTTATAAGGGGAGTTCACAACATCGTCATAACATGTCAGGCAGCAACAACAATAATCCACCCTAAACTACACAGATCAAGTGATATCGTTGATTCCATAAATTTACCTTAGACAGTGTTCAGCACAACCTTTTTGGCCTTCTCTTCTTATTAAAAACAGAAGCTCCTTCAAATAGCTTCTATAGAAGCTCTATTTTTTGGGCTTTCATTCATTTAAAAAAAAAAACACGAGTTTTTCTAAAATTGTATTTGGTCCACATTCTCTTCTCAGCTTCTCCTTTTAAGAAGTCAAAAAACACCTGGGTCAACTACTACCTTACAATAGTGTTATAACTTGCATGATTGTGAAATTCCAGGGATGGTTTGATTGGTTTCTGTCAACGCTAGAAGGGTAGCCTATTGTGTCATATGTATTAACGAATGTTAAAGACAAACGTATTCTAAAGATTATAATAATTTCAGGTCAGAGGCACGTACAAACTGTACTCTGCTTCAGGTTCAAACAATTATGTATGGCCTTTTAACATAAAAGCACATCCAAAGCCAACGAACTTTCAATGGAATAAATAAACTAGCCTTGCACATGGCAGCAATGCGCATGCACAAATTAGTTGCTATTGTTCTTTTATTTTGTTGGTAATGTAAATGAAACTACATTTTGCAGAGAAATACATTCTGAACAAGAGTAACACCTGATACAATACCACCTTTGCTGACTTACTCAAGAAGGCAGAAGCGTGATCTAGGAGTTTGTCAGTAATTGAGTACATTACTTCCATTTATTTTGGTAGCTATTTTGGATAAGAATTCATTAGGACTAGATTGAGTTAGGATAAGAGTTTGTTAGTAATAGACAAAGTTATTTCCATTCATTATGGCTCTGTTATTGTGCATAGGAGTTTGTTACATCGGGATATTATAAATAAGTAGGCTTAGGGAAGCAGAAAAAAGTTTCTGATTGGTTATTGTATTATTGGGAGTCGGTCCACTCAATACAGACCCTCTAGTTGGAAATAATGTGTTCAGATTCTGCATCTATTTTTTCCAGCTTCTCTCTCTCTGTCTCTCCCTCTCTAAGCTTTCTTTACTGCTGAATATTTTTGTTCTTGCCTTCTTGGTACCTAACAACTGCACTGGAAAAACAAGCTTGACCAGAAGCAGCTGATTTGTTGCATTGCATATACTGACAGGTTAGAGGAAAGTCACATTCCTAGTGTTTAGGCATTATGCTTTTGGTTAATTGCATTGTATATATCGCTCAGAAGCATATGAATGAATATATACATACCAAGTGGGTTCACCAAGTTGAAATTCAAATCATCCATTGGCACAGAAGCAGTAAATGTCTGTCTATTTTCTACCTGTATCAATCAGATTACAAAAAATTCAATCAGATTTTCAGAGTTAAAACTTTGCCAGCAACTTAAGATGAAAAACTAAAATATTCAAAAGAAACATACTTTGTTCTCAGATTGACAGGATTCATTTGCCTCAATGTTTGACCTGTCTAGGCTGTCATCCATAACCCTTTCAGCCATACCACTGCCTCCAATATCCATGTCCATGTCAACACAAGGTTCATTTGAGTCAATATTAGCATCAAGCCTAGGTTCCCTCGAGTTATCCATCTTGGGGTTTTGAGAAATAGTGGTACAATTTCTCACAGTGTCCTCATCCAAACTTGTTCCATCATCTGTAATTACATCTTCAATTGAGGGCACAATCAGTTTATTTGATGACTCCCCAGAATTGTCGTTTTTGGAATATTCAGAAATACTGGCACAATTTCTGTCTGTGTCCAAAACTGCTCTTGTCTTACCAATTGCAATAACATCTTCAGTAATAGGTGTATTCCGTTCATTGGACAGCTTCCTGGAATCAAGATTGAATTCCGGGATTACATTAAGAGTTGGAGAGCAGTTTCTTGTGGATAAATGATCGATTTCCTGAGCTGAAAAAGGATCCACTGATTGCTTTGACTGTGAAATGTGCTTCTGCAATGATGACAATGCAGCAAATGGACTTCTTGGTGGGGTGGGTGAAGCTAATTGCTGTACAGGGCATCGAACATCCTTTCTAAGAGGTGTCTTGTTATTCATTCCTTTCAACAAATTATCGATGTCAGATAAAGGCTTCCTTTGTTTTGATGAATTTGATCGCAGTGGTTTCAGATCAATCACTTGATTATCTGGGAAGTCTGGAAGGGATAAGTTCTCTAAAACAATGGGCTTGATCAGTAACCTCTCCTGCAAAAGAGTAATTGCCCCATCCCCCTCTAGATCTTCAGAACTGCAACTAAGCAATCCATCCAATATTTCATCAAGTTTGTTCTCGTCAACAGCAGATGAATCTGCAGCAAAATACATAATAAGAATGTTTGAAGTGTGAAAAAAAGGCCGGGGTAGGAGAAAAGGGTACTGATTTTAGGATATGTGCTGAGAGGTAATCAAGCCTGAGTTGCCCCCATACTGCATAGGATACCATTCACTCACCCGCTACTTCACTTTCCAAGGATTTCAGACAAGTTCCACCTTTGTCAGCGTTCTCAGCAACAGGATCAAGACTGTCAGATCCGAATGCCTCTTGAGAAGATTGAACACAAACATTATTGTCAAGGGTTTCTTTTGGATATCTATGCCTGTATTTGATTGACCTGACTCATATAACATTAAGGCCAAATTAGACAACAGAACAAAAGATGACAAACATCATAAACAAGGCAATGGAGACTGATTATCTGAATATCACGACAGTACTGTTGATTATTCTCCAAAAGTCCTGGCCGACGTTGTCGCGGTCTAGTGGATGTATTATCCTGATCAGGCTCAAACGACACACCCCCCAGCTGCTTCTGTATTTCTCTTTTCGCATCTATCCATCAAATGCAAATCCAAATAAGAACCCAAGAGATATCCACATAAATGTCATCCAAGGTGTAATCAGGAATCAGAAAGAGAAACAAACAGTGACTTACTTTCCAACCGTTCATGGGCCAAGAAGAATTCCACCGGGTCTTTCAGATTATCAAGGTCCAACGTTGGTAACAAACTCTCAACAGAGGGTCTGTGAAAAAGATACACGAGAAAGAAATTACAGTCAGCACGAGATAAGGGGAAATGGGGTGGGGATTCACAGAGAAAACAATAATTATAAGCTTTACTTTTTAGTTGGCTTTATAGAGAAACGTGGACGCTTGAGGCCTAAGGCTGGTCTTCGTAGACGACAAAACTCTTCATCCTCTTCAGCAACAACATCACCACCACCATCATCATCATCATTTCTCTTGTCAGAAGATGGACCTCTCGAATTATCAGAGTTGAACAGTTCTGGATTTTCATCCATTATGGATTTCGTCTGCTCCGCGAGTTTAGCAGGACTTCGCAAGGCCTGTACTAGCACAAGAGGCATCAATGGCGATAACATTAATATTATTGTAATTGAAATGCTAAATTAAAACTATAATAAACTCAAATTAATTGTTAATTAATAATAATCATAATTTCTCTTTACTTACCATGGATCTGAGGTGAGTGTGGATGGTGAGAAGATGTTGGTCTAAGTCGATTGGATTGGAGGGAGAGAGAGATGCTGAAGGGAAGAGGGAAAGGCCCCAATAGTTAGAGAGAGGATCCTCTAATTCATTGTCTTCCATCTCCATTTACGTTCGCGCGGCATAACTGTTTGGGAGATAAGAAAACCCTAGGAATTTGATGGAAGTTGTCGCTTTTCTATTCAATTCAAAATTGAAAACAAGTAACTGAGCGGGAGCTTCTCCTCCTTTGTGAAATTAATTGAAGCTCGTTGCTATGTTCATTCTACTCTCTCCCTTTTCGCATTTGCTCACGGGCCATTTGGGTCAGGCCAGAATAATTTTTTGAGCATGATACTCGTTACTGGGCCCACGGTTTCAGCCTTAACGGGCCTTGCTTATGTTCGTTAAATCAAAAAATTCACGTGACCAAAAACATGAATCGAAAGAAAGTGTTGCAAATGAATAAAATATTGAGTTGTTTGGTAAAATAAAAATATGGAAGATCAAAATTACTATTCACTACTAAAAATACATTACGTATAATTTGTCTAACACATGAATTAAGTGATATGTTATTGTCTTAATCAATTATTGATCTTAAATTTTTAATATATATTTGCGTTAAATATTTAGAAAAAAAATTATCTTAAAAGAAGCGTGAACGGCAGGATTCGAACCTGCGCGGGCAGAGCCCACATGATTTCTAGTCATGCCCGATAACCACTCCGGCACGTCCACGAGTTGATGCACAAACCTTTTATTTATTTGTTGAATCGGTGACTAGAGCTTACGAAACAACGAGAACACATGCGAAACAGAACGGCTTCATAACAATTAACAAACGCAGCAGCGAAAGCAAGGGGAAGAAGCAAAGAGGTTTTTGTCTTTTATGTTGATCAGTCAATTTGTCTGCCTATTTATCTCTATTTATTGTTATTCATATCGATAGCCACATGCCGCTCAATGTTCATATTCCCTTGCATGTCTTTGTTCATTGATGAAGTTTTAGAACGATTTCGATTTTTATAGTGGATCCTGAATGCAGGTTTCTTTACTGGAACTTGGGTGTTTTTCAAATTTGGAACTATACCATCCACTAAGTAGATAATGCCATGTCTGATATTAAAATAAGTACTAATAACAAAGGTTCCAAGCGGAACCTACCATCATGGACAAGTTCAGGGGATAACGAGGACAAAAACTGTGCAAAGAAACCAACTTTGGAGGGTAAAGGTGAGAAATCCAGTGAAGTTGAGACACCCAAGAAGAGAAAAGTACAAACTGAAAATGGCGGAAAATCTTCCGCCTCTACCTCTAGTTTGGAATCCAAAAGCTTCAACAAGCTTCTGGTATTTGATTAAATAAGGAACAATTGAGGAGCCATCGTGGTTTTTTGGTTTCCTTGCACTATTTTTGAATGTTGATTGAGCTTATTAACTGGTTTGTGGACAGGAAGGGGTGGTTTTTGTGCTGTCAGGCTTTGTCAATCCGGAGCGCAGCATGTTGCGGTCACGAGCCATGGAAATGGGAGCAGAATATCAGCCTGACTGGAACTCTGATTGCACTCTCTTAGTTTGTGCATTTCCAAATACTCCAAAGTTTCGACAAGTTGAAGCTGATGGTGGAACCATTGTGTCAAAGGTTTTCCTTTTTGCTTGTTTTGCTTACATGTGAATGATATCTCTATTTTCCTTTTTATGTAATGTGCTAATTGAAGCATTTACCTTTTCTTTTTCTATAGCCTTGGTGATGTTAATTGTCAAATATTGATGCATATCAAGCTTTAAAACTTTTTATTTTTGGGCATTAGGATTTTCTCTAGCCTTGCAGATTCTTGACTGTATCATTTTCTAAATATTTTGCAGGTGATAGTCTCACTTAAAATGACGTTTCCTTTACTCTTTTTTCTTTTTGGGCATTAGGATTGGATAATAGAGTGTTACACCCAGAGGAAGCTGACTGAAATTGAAGCTTACCTTATGCATGCTGGGAAACCATGGCGTAAAGGAAATGGATCACATGAAGTCAATGGAGGTCATATAATTGTACATGTATATACTAGTATATAGGATAGGACCTAAACTTAGTGATCTCTTTCTGGCATCTAATGACTGCTATACTGATAGCTGCATGCATACTTCTCGCGTGAAAATTAAGATTTAAAGAAGCCCATTAAGATTGTATGGTTCTGCTGACTTGCATCTTAGATCTGATTTTTCAAATTCTTCTCTTTACTCTTTTTTTTTTCTGGAAAAGTAAATAGAAAATAAAAATGATATATTTTTGGAATAAAGTTGCAATGTCACTTGAGATAAAGTGATGTCTATTGACTATTTAAATGATATTATCTATAGCTGATTATTTCTAAAAATACTAAAACACTTTTTTTTTTCTTTAAACATTTTGTCACATCCATCTTCTACACTGGAAATATATATAAATAGGTGATAGTGTAATTGTGAAGCTAATAGCCAATATTTGTTATCTAATATGTCCTTGTGAGGATCTTGCCAACCTCCTAGCCCCACTCCCCAGTGTTATATTCATCTAATTTATTATCTAACCTACCCGTCTTGTGAACTCTATTGGTAATTACAGATCAAAAACCATCTGTACCGAGGCAATCACCAAAGCATGTTCAAAAAGAACTACCTTCAAAGTCAAATACCTCTATAAAATCAAAGGTAAAGCTGAAGGTGTTTTGTAAGTGGGCTTTTCTTGATTTGAGAATAATGGGTCCAAATAACCTTGATTTTATCTGCCAACAACTAAATTTGTCATAAAATTTAATGCTTGCTGCATGTTCCAGGGAAAAGACATTGATGTTGCTAGGAAATGTTTTAATCCTTCTGAAGTGAAGATGTGGGCTGTTGATGATTTGAATAAAACAATTCAGTGGCTGGAAAGTCAAGAAGAAAAGGTTATAATCTACCATTTCCCATAAAAAAACGTTTTGTTCATTCTAGGAATCTAGAGGTTATGACTGACTTTCTTTTAAGCATTCAGAACTTGCATAGAATCAAACTTAAGTGCAAACAAGTGATTTGCATTGGAACCAAATTCATTTGTTAGAAAAACGCAGTTTTCACTGCCCCATCATTCAGTGTTATATGCTTGAAGGCTGTTGCTGTCTGTTGTTCCCACTTAATTGTGCTTAAGGTTGATAGATATGTCCCTTATGAATCTAAACATTATGTTAATCATTTCAGCCAGATACAAGTGAGATAACAAAAATAGCTGCAGAAGGGATTCTAACTTGTTTGCAAGATGCAATATGTTCCCTTGAGGAAAAGCAGGTAATGTACAAACAGAAAACTGTTTACCACTCGTGTTAGTTTGCGAGCAACTTTTCTGGTATTTATTTGCCTGGGGGATGCTAGCAATCCTTGTTTAAATTCTCTGTGGGAGTAACCATAGTATGTTATCCTTGTTTGATAAATAAAGAGCAGAATTATGTTATCATTTAAAATTCAAGTGAATTTCCTTGAAGGGTTCACTTTTTTCAAACATGTGAGGTAAGGATCCCTGGTATGCTTTCTAAAAGATATTTTCAATGCAACTGTTTGTTATATGAGTATTCATTGTGTTTTGTCGTCTATCATAGGAGGATACGAGGTCGGCTGAGTAGAAAATATAAAAAACCACAAACATGTCAAATATTTTCATGAACACCAATAGTAATAGTACTTAGTATTTTCTATTTCCTAATCATTTATATCGCACTTTTTTTTTTTGGTGCTCCTAGATAAATTTTCTTCGCAACCTTTATACCTTTTTTATGATCCCAGGAACAATCTATAGCACCTATAATTGCTGACTAATTTCACTTAGATACTGGCTGATCATTTGATTGAGTCAGCATGCAGAATGACGCACGTCTATATTAAAACCTTCCTTCGACTGACTTTGGCATAACACTGTTGTCTGAATCTTGTGCTATCATTGGCATTCTTACTTTTAGTTTCAATGCAATGCCTTTATCTTAAAAATTAAATCAAATATATGATTTGACAATTGATTGTGTTTGTCTTATTAACTTCAATCAGGACATCCGGAAAGGAACTGAGGACTGGAAATTCTTACCACGTGTTGTTGAAGAGCTTGCAAAGTTGGATGTAGTAGGAAACAATATGAACTCATTGTCAAAGGAAGATCTTCACAGACAGGCTTTGGATTGTAAAAGTATTTATGAGGTGGAACTAAATCGTCTAGATCGTGATAGGAAAAAGAAATCAAAGATAAATGAAGAACAACTAAGCAAAACTGGAAGAACAAATGACAAATCTTCTGGGGCAGTTGAGTATGATAGTGATGAGACAATTGAGATGACGGAACAAGAAATAGACCTTGCCTATAAGACTTTGTCCACTAACATCTGCGGTTTATGAATGCTAATTGATAGTAATTGTGTATAAAATATTCATCTTGATGCTAAAGAGAGTTACTTGGTTCAACTAGTAGTTCGAATTGTGTTAGTTAAAGGTTTTGGTTGAATGCATTTAGTAATTTTTTATTGATAGATTATTCACGAGTATTATTTTAAGCTTTATTGAGATTTATAGCATGTTGCGACTTTGAATTCTCACTAGGGATCTGTTTAGAGGAGTTTACGACATAAGTTATTTTTCATTAAATTGAGTAATATTTCAAATGTACCTTAATTTATATCGATTTGGCAAAGTTGAATTACTTCGAAGGCATCAGCATATTTGACACTCTGAGTAAAAATTTTAATTAACTTCACACTGAGTATAAAAACAACTCAAATTTGTATATATTCATAATAAGTAGAGTTAATACTTGTAGAACGAGTTTGAGTTTAGACATACATAAAAATTCACAAAATTTGATGACTATATATATGAGTATGGATATTATATTATTTATATTCATTTATTTACACAAGTTAAATGAGGTGAGAGAAATTAAAAATGAGAAAGGTAAGAGAAATATATATTGATTATATAATCATACATTGAGTATCATGTAATCGTTTAAAAATACCATATAACTTGAAGTTTTATTCTATTGATAATTGAATTTAATGGTTAAGATTTATCTATATCAATTAAAAATTCATCATCTCATTTAATGTATCTACTATATATTTATAGATTATGTCAAATATTAAGTAGAATTGTGCCACATTCATGAAATTAACTAATTATAAACCACAAATTTTATATTAGAGAATTGATTATATTCAAATAATTATGAGATTAATTTTTCAAAATTTTTTATAAATGAATTCAAAACAGAGACAATTCTTAAAAAAAATAAAATCACTTTTATTATTCATTACAATATGCAATGTAATGAGAAATGAGTTTATTTGTAAATTTAAATTTTGAGATGTAAATTGATGATAAATTTTTAATATATGTTAAGAACATGTAAGAAAAATTAATTAACATGTCATTTGATATTATTATATATAACTATCATGACATTTTCTTATACAGAAAACAGAATTAGTAATTTGAGAGTGGAAGTCGAGAGCAAGCGGGCACAGTGAAGTGACTCGACAAATTTGCTTGTGAAGTGAATATTAAATTAGAAATAGAAGTAAAGAGGGAAAAGAAATAGCACGTAGTCATTGCTTGCTTCTTGTTGACAGTAGGGTTGCACTCTGCACGCCATCCACGACCCTTTCTCTCGCTCGCTGCCATAAACTCTCAGCTCTCTCTCTCTCTCTGCCACCGCAACGCAACGCAACAATGGGTGCTTCTCTTCCCCCCAAAGAGGCCAACCTCTTCAAGCTTATTGTTGTAAGCTTCTCTTTTTTCTTTAATTTCACGCTTCCTTCTCCTCCCTCGATCCAACTTCAATCATTTTCTACTGATTCTTCCATCTCTTAACCCTAGATTCTCCTGTTATTCTTCTTATCACTTCCTACGCTCTCTTTGTTTGCTCGCAATATCGTCAAATTTGATAGAAAATTTAAAATACGTAGCGTTCGGGATTCATTTTACTTTTGCGTTACTGTGATTTTTGAGGTCCTCCATTGAGTTTCAGGTCTTCTCTGAGTTAGAGTGGGGTTGAAAGTTCCCGAACTCTGGTCTATTTACTTTATTGCGTTCTCTGTATTATTTGTTTTTTTGTTCCTTGTTGCAACTACAAGAAGCTGAAATTATAAACTGCACTCACCAAGATAACGAATGGGATTGTTTTTATCAATGCGTGCGGAGATAACCTAGCATATTTAATTTGACCCTGCAAAGGATTAAATGAAGATGATGATTTTTTAAAATAGAAGGGAGTAGTGGATTCCTTGCGCTGATTATGTTGGTCATTGTTCTTTTTACTGCTTGTTTCAATTGAGGAATTGGATTGTGTGTCTGTAAATAAATAGTAATATTATATTATCTAACCATTAGAATGTACCCGTGGGATTCCTTTTAGTAGCATTCTTTAGGGGCTTGGTTGCTGTACTGTGAAAATAGCAAATGAATGCTTACTACTTTAGGTAATTAGATTTTAATTATCTTGGTTCATGGGAAATTTATGAGCAAGTGAAATAGTCTTGGTGCTACTGGGGGAGGGGTTTACTGCTTTGCAGGGCTTAATTTTACTTGTCTGTGCAGAAATCCTATGAAACTAAACAATACAAAAAGGGCCTCAAAGCAGCCGATGCCATTTTGAAAAAATTCCCAGATCATGGAGGTATACATTTTTAGTACTTGTTTTTCTATGTTTTATCTTCCTTGTCAGGGTATTTAATGATGTTCTAATTTGTTTAAATGAGTAACACAAAAAATTATATGTTAATTTTTTTTTCCTTACAGAAGGTTTTCTTTCTCTCTACATCTCTTAATTGTTTTGTTTCTGTGTTTTGTTTTTTCTTGTTTATGTGTCTGTTCCCGCTTCTGGTTGATAGAAACTTTATCAATGAAGGGTTTGACGTTAAATTGCATGGATCGTAAGCCTGAAGCATATAAACTGGTTCAACAAGGATTAAGGGTGAGTTGCCTTTGATTTTGCACCATTTATCATTCTTATAGTCATTGTTTGTACTTTGTCAGATGATCCAAGCTTAATTTTTGTTCTGCTGCAGAATGACCTGAAAAGTCATGTTTGCTGGCATGTTTATGGTCTCCTTTATCGTTCAGACAGAGAATACAGGGAAGCAATCAAGTGCTATCGAAATGCACTGAAAAAAGATCCCGACAATATTGAAATCTTGCGGGACCTATCACTTTTACAGGTATCATATTAATTCCTTTTGTTTGTACGTGCTTTATTTTAGCTAATGCAAAATTTGAAAGTTGCTGTCTCTCTGCAATAGCCTTAACTTGGGCTTCAGTTTTTCTATGCTGGCATCATCTATGGCATATCCTGCTCATAAACAGTTGCTTCATATTGGTGTTGTCTGTTTCACATGGAGGAAAGTTTATCATGAACTTTGTCCTTAACTTATCATGATTGCCAGTAATAGTACTTTTATGATACTGTAATTTCCTATCCATGTATATTACTCTTGGTGAAGTTCATTTGCACTTAAGTCCAAAATTACTGCCCTTCTGTTACCTATTCAAATTCAGGTTAAATTTTTCTAGAAATATCTGCTTCATCAACTTAGGAAGGATTAAGAGTAAAGGTGAAAGAAAAATCTCTCTCCATTCTCTTCCCATTAGAATCTGGATACAAATGTTTTGCAATGATATTTTACTGTATTGCTTTTCATATTGCACAGATACAGAGTCATTCTGTGAATTCTCCTATAGTGTATTTGTTTTGACCCATGTATGTGCTCTTACACCACATTGTCAGGCTCAAATGCGAGACTTAGCCGGCTTTGTTGAGACACGACAACAACTGTTGACGCTCAAGTCAAATCATCGCATGAATTGGATTGGGTTTGCTGTTGCTCATCATTTGAACTCTAAGTAAGATTTGGTTTATATAAGTTAAATGTTTTTTCTGATGAGGACTGCTCTAGCTGCCTTTATACTGAATTGTGCCTGACCTAAGGATTATCTTCTTAAATGTTTTTAATATTATTTTATGTATGAATCTTTGAAAACTGAAAACAAAGTGGCATTTTGTAATTATTTCTAAAAACTACAGAACTAATTATGTGCCCAAAAGTTAAAATCATTAACTCTGAATTAAGTTATGAACCATGTTCAAAGGACTACAATTAAAGAAAACCTTTTGCTAATGCCTTTTTGGCTTTTTGCCTCCTTTTCTAGTAGAAACATTGCCAAAAAAATAGGGGTAATTGCCTCTTTTTTTTGGGAGGGGGTTGGAATGGGGTGGGTGGGTTGGATTGTTCTTGTAGGCTCTAGAATTTGACCCAGACATCTGGACCTGGTAATGTTGTGGGTGGAGATTTTGGATCCAATTTTGTTTGAATTTCACCAAAATCACAATTATGGCATGAAGCTTTGGATCCTGCACTGGCTTTGGTATTATTGATAGATGTTACTGAAATGGCATTATTTTATTCTTTTGGTAGTTTATTTATTTACTTTCTTAATATGAAACAGTGCATCAAAAGCTATTGAAATTCTGGAAGCATATGAAGGGACATTGGAAGATGATTATCCTCCTGAAAATGAACGGTGTGAGCATGGGGAAATGCTTTTATATAAGGTCTTTTCTCTGGCTATTACTGCAGCTATTTCCTGTTTAATGTGTAAATTGCGTATTGCATAATGCCTCGTCACATATTTTGTGTTTGATGTAACTCTAACCTTAATTAGCTTTTGTTATAACATGGTGGGATTTTGAATACACTTTTACTATTTGTGAGTCTCTGTAAATGCCAATGATAGCCTTTATCCATGATAAGAATAAGACAAATGGATGCTTTCCCAGCATCTATAATTACATGTTTAATGCTTTGTATAATATATTTGTCTAGTTTGTTTTGTTGAATGTATACCTCTGTTGTCACTACCTGTGCATGTTTAGGAATATGAAGTATTTCATATGGTTCAAATGCCAGTATTAATATTATCCTCAGTCCTCACACGGTGATTTTCTGCATCAAACATCTCCATCCAGATCACTTTGTTGGAGGAATGTGGATTTTTTGAGAGTGCTCTTGAGGAATTGAGAAGGAAAGAGTTAAAAATTGTATGTGTGTTTTATCGATTGAGGTAATTTGATCATTTAATTTGTTATGAATGAGAAGCATGGTATCTTAGCTGTTTCTCATTGTGTCTATGTAGGTTGATAAGCTTGCATATAAAGAACAGGAGGTTTCACTTTTAGTCAAGCTTGGTCACTTGGAAGAAGGAGAGAAATTGTACCGGGCATTACTTTCCATGAATCCTGACAACTATAGGTGATCTTTTTGGTTGCTTACATTTTAGGTTTGGATACCTCAATTGCAATGTCTGTCTAGCTATATGTCTTCCCTGTGTTTTTCCACTATTATTGTTTCCTTTTTGCATTTACCTACAGCAGAGAAGGATATAAGATGATTTTGTTTCAGATGCCTTAATCTTTGTCTCATTTGGCTCTTTCTGGATTGATAAGCTTTTTAGTTTGTATTTGATATTGCTAACTTGTGGTAGCTAGAGAAAATTGTAATGTTTCATTTTGTTGTTCACATTCTATGAATGCGACCAAAATGTTGAGTCAGAGTCTTTTGTTCATTTTAATGATGCATAATGGTTGTATAATAACTTCCTTTTCCTGTTATTATGTTTGTAATTATGTTGTCTACAATCTTACCAGCTTGTAGAAGCTAAACAATTGTTTGTGCTTCATGTAACGTTGATGATCAGATATTATGAAGGCCTCCAAAAATGTGTTGGATTATATTCAGAAAATGGCCATTTTTCTCCTGATGAAATAGATCGGTTGGATGCTTTATACAAAACACTTGGGCAGCAATATAAGTGGTCTTCTGCTGTTAAGGTAAAGGCTGTCAATTCTCATAGTTATATATATCACATTTACTGCTATTGCTTTGCTTCTGCATCATGACCTGAACTTAATTATTATTTTGCCATATTATCTGTGTAAAAGGAGACCACTACTCCCTTCCACCACTCAATTGTTTTGTTTTCAAAAGGAAAAATATGTAGGTTAACTGTGGAATGTTATATCTTTTGTTCTTCACTGAAGATGACTAGTTTCAATTTTTGTTTTTGCCTTTTATACTCATTATATATAACTCCCATGGTTCTGATGGAGGAAGCTCTTCAGATCAGTTTTGAGTGCATCTTCCACTGATATACAATGTTGCATATTAGTGCATTTGTGGTGGCATGCTGTTGATATTTTTCTCTTATCAGAATGAGTTTATTTGAGCACATAATTTTTAAATCGAAACTTATCCCACATTATTATTTAATTATTTATTATCAGAGAATACCACTAGATTTTTTACAAGGTGACAAATTTCAAGATGCAGCAGATAGTTATATTAGGCCTCTCCTAAGCAAGGTACATTATACAAATCCTTTTTGGTAAGATATCTGCTTACTTTACTAGTTTCAAAATTGAATTGGGATTCATTGTGTTATTTCTAGGGTGTTCCATCTCTATTCTCCGATCTTTCTTCTTTATACAATCAACCTGGGAAGGTCAGTATTATTACTTACATTTCTTCTGCTTAGATAGTTTGTGTTGTGTGGTTATATATTGTATAACATAGTGGTAAAATATGTTGTTTCTGACCATGGTTTCTGATTTTCTTCACTCTTTTCCAGGCAGACATTTTGGAACAGATCATTCTTGAGTTAGAGAATTCACTTAGGAAAACTGGTCAATACCCGGGAAGGTAAGATATACTTTTAATGTCTGTTGAAGCATAGGGGTGGTGATTAAGATGTTCATTTGGTAATGGTACAAGTGTAATGTAAGCTTGGAACTACTTTCCAAGATAAAAATGTGTGCTTATGTTATTATTTTATGTGGGACTTTTTTAGAATTCATTATACTGTCACTGAATTTAGAATGACTAGAAAGTTTATGGAGAGTCAATTGTGCTTTTCTTTGGGATGATTTAGTGAGTTCTGCATTAATAATATCTAATTTTGTTTCTTAAACGTCTCTTCACTCTCTCGTGGTTGGATTTCCTGAGTTGTAATGGCTTAGTGTTGCAAAAAAGTAGCCATTAGGTTAATACTATCCACTTACGATTCAATGGTATGTCATATTGTTTCATTGAAATTTTGATGCTTTGGAACCTTTGTCTTGTACTGGATAACTAAGTATTGTTTATCTTGTATTCAGAGCGGAAAAAGAGCCCCCCTCAACTCTTATGTGGACTTTGTTCTTGTTGGCTCAGGTTCGTGACTATTTTTTTATACATTTTTTGTGGGTTCCTCCATTTTTCTTACTTTCATTTTTTATCTACTTGGTGCAGCATTATGACAGGCGGGGCCAGTATGAGATAGCTCTTTCTAAAATCAATGAGGCTATTGATCACACACCTACTGTCATTGATCTATATTCCATCAAGGTTTGCTTATACTTCTAACTAATTTTCTGCTTGTTTTAGGATTATTTCATTCCTACGTAGTCCTTTTATGTGTGTGCACGTGCGTGCATGCATTATATATAAATTTGTACTTGAGTTAGTGGAATATAATTACCAATTTAATGACATCTCTGTGGTTTGCCTTATTCACTTTGAAAAGTGCTATTAGGATAAATAATTTACATAACCCACATTGTAAGATATGTCAATCACCAGTTACTTTGAACTATTGCAGTTGGTGGGTCTAGTTACATAAGTAACTGTCACATGCAATTTGGTGTGTGTTTGGGATTAACAGCATTTTCAATTAGGTATTTGCCTTTTTTGTTGTTTAGAATGTCACTTCAAGCTATCTGTTTCTTGTATGGGCATGACTCATTTGCTATCTGATGCACTTGCAATATGTTGAAAAAATTCTAATGCCAGTTATATATATTTATTTTTTCCATATAAAATAAAAATCTATAACAATATAGGGTATGATCTTCTATGCCTGGCTGCATAAGTCAATTTCCAATTGTTGATGACCATGAAATTAGATAACATGTTTAATTTTCTTTTTCTTTAAAAAAATGATAATATCTAATAATATCAAATGCTATCCAGTAAAGGCACCAAGAGTATAGATAATTTACTCTAGTTATTCAATATGTAACATGTCCTTTCAAAGAAAGGTAAGTTAAATGATTAAATCATTAGTCTTGTTTTTAAGATCAAAGAAAGGTGAAAATGAGTTAATGCAGTTGGACTAGTGGTGACTGGTACCTTGCCTTAACAGCCAAAGCATGCAGAAAAACTTGTTGAATGATCGTTTTATGTCTTTGAATAACAGAGTCGGATACTGAAGCATGCTGGTGATTTGGTGGCTGCTGCTGCATTTGCAGATGAAGCTAGGTGTATGGATCTTGCTGATCGCTATGTTAACAGTGAATGCGTGAAGCGCATGCTGCAGGCTGATCAGGTTCTGTCTATCGATATATTTAAATTTCATTCACACCTGAGTGATGTAATTTGTGTAGCTTTTCTCTTTTGGCCTTTTTCTGACTTTATTTTGGTTCATTCCCTGATATCCAGGTGGCTTTGGCAGAAAAAACTGCTGTGTTGTTCACAAAAGATGGTGATCAACACAACAATCTACATGACATGCAGTGCATGTGGTCTGTATCTAATGTGTAATATTCTGTACTGGCTAGCAATATCGTGCTTTCATTTTGTAACATACTGTAACATCTATCTTTTGAAGGTATGAGCTTGCCTCTGCTGAAAGCTATTTCCGTCAAGGTGATCTTGGACTGGCTCTCAAGAAGTTTCTAGCAGTGGAGAAGCATTATGCAGATATTACTGAAGATCAATTTGATTTTCATTCATACTGCTTAAGGAAAATGACGTTGCGTACATATGTGGAAATGCTTAAATTTCAAGACCAATTGCATTCACATGCATACTTTCATAAAGCAGCAGCTGGAGCTATCAGGTGCATATATGTTGCCTTTAATTGGTTTACTTCATCAGTTGTTATGATAGTTAATGTTATGCAGTGCATTGTATAATGGGTTCTTACATGCATTGGGGAATTTTATTTTTAAATTGTTTCTCTGCCAGAGAGTCCTTGAGAGGTCAAATTTTTCTTATTTATGCTTCATGTTTTGTGTTTGCTTATTATTCTGTGGCTTTAAACAGCTTCACTTTAGAACTGTGGCAAATGCCATAACAGTGCAGCCTAAATTCATGTAAGTAAATGGTATTTCCTTCTGATCTTGTATTTATGATCTCATGCTTGTAATGTTTTGAGCTGCAGATGTTATATAAAATTGCATGATTCTCCTCCAAAGTCTACAGCTGAGGAAGATGATGATATGTCTAAGTTGCCTCCTTCTCAGAAAAAGAAAATGAGACAAAAACAGAGAAAGGCAGAAGCAAGAGCTAAGAAAGTATTAATCATTTCTATATCTTCTGTGGGAAATTTTTTGTTGGAAAAGTATTCATGCTATTGTTTTATTTCTATTTCAGGAGGCAGAAGAAAAGAATGAAGACTATAGTGCCAGTGGGATATCAAAGTCTGGGAAACGGCATGCAAAACCTGTTGATCCAGATCCACGTGGTGAAAAGTTGTTACAGGTAAAACTTCAATGCATTTATTGCCATTGAGAATCTTATACATTCAGTCCATGTCTAATACTGATACAGTTGTAAATTTCTTATAGCATAAATAAAACTTTTCTCTGTGAATTGACATAGAAGGTGAGTATAACCTGTCAACAACCAACTCTTCCAAAAGTTTAGGATGTTATATAAAGCCATGAAGGCTCATGGCAGGATATATTTTATCTCTAACATGACACCTCATGCTAGAGCTCTTTGGACTTTAAGCACAGATAATGCCATGCCGCTCTGATGCCATGTCATGTTCCACCTTTTGATGCTATTAATAGTTCAGAAGGATGTGTATGTGTATGCATCTTTGTGTGTGCTTGCGTGTGAAAGAGTATTCTGGTGGTTCTACAAGATGTGTATGTGTATGTGAGAGTCAAGAGAGATTTCTCCCATGCTGCAAATTGCTATAATGTTGCTACAGCTCCACCTTACAAGTTGGTAGAATAAAAATATGTAAATTTGGATTCATTATGTAAATTTGGCTAAGACTATTCTTGATTTTTATTTGAGAATTTTTTTTCCAATCTTGTTTAATAGACAAGGTTTTGTAGTTAAATTGCTGTGTTGTATCCAAAAACTTCTTTCACAATTACATTACTCAACACTTATTCAACATAGTTAATTAAAATAGTTGGTTTATCAAATACCAATTACAGTGAAATATTTCTGAAAAGCTTGTTAAGACATTTATTGGACATTTTACTCATAAAATTTGCTTATTGAGTTATTGTAACTGTTAAGGTTTATACAGTCCTGTTAATTGTGCAATTTTCTCCTGCTTAGGTTGAAGATCCATTGCTGGAAGCCACAAAATACTTGAAATTGTTGCAGAAGAATTCACCTAACTCATTGGAGACGCATTTGCTATCTTTTGAATTGTATATGAGAAAACAGAAGATTTTGCTTGCCTTCCAGGTAAAATTATGTTAAATTAGAAGCCAGGAGTTTTTTTTTTTTTTCACATTCTTCATCTTTCTTCTCAGCAAACTAAATTTGTCAGGCTAGTAATTTATTTGGGTTAACAGTTCTGGCTGTTTTGCTTTACATATTTTGGGGGCTCTGTGTTGTGAATTTATGCTGATTATTTTTGCTTATTTACTTTGCATTTATTTACATTATATAACTTTTTATTACACTTTGTCATTTTAGATTATGATGCCTGTTAAATGTGTTTTTTCCTCCATCTCTTGACTTGCAGGCTGTAAAGCAGTTACTTAGGTTGGATGCTGAACACCCTGATTCTCATCGATGCTTGGTATGCTTTCTTCTGAAGAACCAGTCAATTTCATGTCACTGAGTTTAGAAAGTTTAAGAATTTAATGTTCATAAATATCAAAACACTATATATTAATGTATGGTGTTACTTGTGCAAGTCATCTTTTTAAATTGTTTATATTTAGCATATGAGAAATTGGATAATCTAGAAAGAAAACTATTCCTCTGAATTTGGTATCAGGTGCACCCTACTCCCTGCCCCCCTTTTTTTTCTTTCATCTTTCTCTCCATTTTTAGGATATACCATCCTCTTATTATGATTTCTTCCCTCCTCCATTGAGGAAAATGATTATTTTTTCTGTTTTCATATGTTGCAGATTAAATTCTTCCATAAAGTGGGATCCATGACTGCTCCTGTGACTGACTGTGAGAAACTGATTTGGAGTGTCTTAGAAGCTGAGCGCCAAACCATTAGGTTGTCTGGTGCTATTTTTTTTACTTTTTCCTTCTGTTGTTTGTTGGGAGGCTGTTATATTAATTTTTTATTAATTTATGATTTAGTCTAACTTTCTCTCATTTATCCCTTCTATGTAGTCAGCTGCATGGAAAATCTCTGTTTGAGACAAATAATTCTTTCCTTGAAAAACATGAAGGTTAAACTAACATTTGTTGATGACCAAATTTCAAGCTTGATTATGAAGATTTCTTATTCTGCTTCCCTCCTGTTTACAGATTCTCTGATGCATAGAGCTGCTTTTGGAGAAATGTTATATATTTTGGATCCCAGCAGAAGGTTGGAAGCTGTCAAGTTGATTGAAGGATCAACAAATAACCTTGTGCCAAGGTAATGTTTTTACACCACCTCAACTGCATTATTAAGCACCAACACAACATATTTTGTGTCATGTCTTCAAATTGATATGAGGCTTGCATGTGTTGCATGCTTGTAAGTTTTGGATTAGAAAAGTTTCATAGTTTATTCTCCAGCATGACTTAGCATGGCTCAGCTTTCTGATCACATTTTGACTGATTGGATGAAAAAGCTTACAAGGGTTCATTGCCTTCCCTAGCTGGTATTGAGCCTGGTCATTTGCAGGGATGAAAGAAATGAGACCTGGGGAAATCTTATATAAAATCAGATACCTAGGCTGATTGTTTGAGGGAGTAAGGGATGATGCTGCCTATCTTTGGATGGTGGTAACCACTCCTTCACTCAGGATTTAGTCTCTCTAAAGTGAGAGGATGTGTAAAGTGAGAAAGTGACCATTGATTTGAATCATTTTGTAAATATAACTGACTTGAAATCGATGGAAGATAAACCTTCATTTTCTTGTTTTATACATCTTATATTAGTAGAACCAAATCTTTATTTGAAAGATATGAAATTGTAAGTAGGTGAGAAAAAAATGGGTCTTTAAGATGAAGATGAATGTGATGTTTTCCCCTCGATTGCTAAAGGGTTGTGGATTTCCCAAAATGACAAACCCCTTAAAACATTCCTTATTGTTAAAAAAGGGGATAGAGGGGAGAATATAAGGTAGACAAAAGGGAAACATGTGATAGATAAATAATGAAAATATTTTGAAAAAATTGAACATAGCTTATCCTATAGTTTTTGGGGTTTATCTTGTGCTTGTATTTATGGAAATGTACTTCATAGACTTTATCTCTGTTTTTACCTTTCTATACTTAAGTTTTGGCTTTCTAATCTGAGTAATGACAATATTTAGTCCTGCAATATTTTGTTTCAATAGAAATGGAGCACTTGGACCTATCAGGGAATGGAAATTTAAGGACTGTATTGTAGTTCATAAACTTCTTGGAACAGTTCTTGTTGATCAGGATGCTGCATTGAGTAAGTATCATTGGGATTGTGTTGATTAATTCTTTATGTTTTTCCGTAAACCAGACTAGTGCGTATAATGAACTCTCTTTGGAGATATGGGTATGGATGGTGCTTGTGATTTCCAAGAATAATGTGTTTGGGTTATTTTATTAACAAATTACTGATCACTCTGAGGAGAACCAGATTTTTTTAGAAGGAAAAGTGATAAAGATTTTTGAAATAACATTTAATTTAGGTTTTTTTTAATTCCCCACCAAGGGGGATTTTAATGTGTAATTTTCATTATTTTCTTCCAAAATTTGAGTTGTTTCTACACCTGCCCGTTCCTGTCTGTGTTATTTTTTATGGTCTCCTTGTAATGGTGCATCACAAGAACTTCTCATGTCCTCAATAATAATTTTGCCATGAAAACCAGGTGTGATTCGTGTCTTTATCTGATAAGAACCGCTACTTCCATCTGGAATAGCCAGGGGAAAAACCCCAAAGGAGATATAATAACTGATTTTCTATGAATTTGGGAATGGTAAATTTGGTTGCAGGATGGAAAATGCGTTGTGCTGAGTTTTTTCCGTACTCCACATACTTTGAGGGCAGCTGCAGCTCTGCCTCTCCCAACTCTGTTCTTAGTCAGATATGCAAGAACACTGAAAATGGGAATTCTAACCATTTGGTGGGAGATCACATTGTGGAATCTGTCGCATCAAATGGGAAACTTGAAGAGGCATTTAAAGATCTTGCTTTCTGAAAAACGTAGGTTCAAAAAAGGTTTGCAAGTTACACCCAGTTTGGATGCTCTTGGTAAACAAGTTGCAGTTGAAACCCATCTAAACAACTAGGTTACTGTTTCCAGTGGTGGTCATATACTGAGTTCTGGTGCAGGTTATATCAAATTCTGGACACAAGTCACAGATGTATTTTCTTTGCACGAGTTCTCCCTCACCAAATTGACATTTATTCCTTTTTTTTTGCAAATGTGTATAATTTTACCGCAATTATGTTTTAGGGTTGAATTTTTTATTTGTTCAGCCCTTTTTCCTGAGATTCTAAGAGAGAAGGCTCCATGGATCCATCATCGCAGGGAGAGCTACAGAAATTTTAGGTTTCTGGTCCTGCATGCGGCCAGGATATATATACTCCGAGAGCATGTTGTACTTTTCCTATTTGTTTGCTTGTTTATCATGTAAAATTATTGAACTATGTCAAAATTTTGCTTTAGATTTCCATATATGTGTGGAAATTCTGCTATGTTGAATACTAGCCGATGGTTGAGAAGGCTATTGTAAGTTACGATTGAAAAAAAAATAATTTAGACTAAGTGGGGCAAAATTGATATAATTTTATTAAATTCAAAGATTGATTAATTGAACTAGTATTATAATAGTAATATTATTAGATTATGATTTGTTCATTTCAATTTTAAGATTTTGTCAAATTATATCATGAAGTCTTAACTGTTATAGGATGGGTTGTGTTTGAAATTTTGATATTTTTGTAATGTCACCCTTGTTAACTTTTTTGATTTAGTAACTTAGAATTTTTAAATAAAGGAGCAGAGTTTTTTCATACTAAGTACAAATTTAAAATTTTTTACATTCAATTTGAATTTTATTTTATTTATATTTAGTAGATTATAATTTATTATTTTATGTTAAATGTAATTTAAATAAAAAATTTAAATTGAATGCAAGAATTTACTCATAAGATTTTTTATTTAAAAAATTTGAACTTAAAAAAACTAATCATATAAAGTTTTGCGTAATTTTAAGATTAAGATATATTCTGAAATCACTGGAAATTTTGAATAAGCCCGTCTGTAAAATCACGCAAATGGCTAGAATGTGAATAACATTTCAAAGTCTGGCTCGAGGTGGATCCGGCCAGGGTACGGTTTAAGTCCACGAATCCTGGTCGTTCTCCTTCTAGCCGTTGCCAGTTGCCGGACGAGCCAAGATTTGTCTTGGGCTATTCATTTAGTAGGTACTTAGATGAATTGATAAAGCCTTTTGAAGTTTGATTATAAAATTTAAGATCAAATTTTGCTCATATTTGTTCTGGTAATATATATGGATTTTGAAACAAAGTCTTCCGAATCAATTGTTCATTGCCAAGAAAACGAATTATAACGTGTTACATATAACGTTCCTTTCAAATGGCAGAAAGTATTTGGTGAGGTAAAACAAATGATGTCATATTTTGCGCTAACTTTATTTGTACTTGGACACCACTTCTCGTGTCAACCTAAATAATTAACTATCAGATCTATCTAACCGAAAATCTTCGTATACTAGACTACCAATTTCATTATTTTATTTATTACTGTTATTCTTTTTTAAACTAATAATTGTATACATGTAAATTTTGTTAAATAAGTTTACTAGTTACTTAGTCAGGTATACAAGAACGTGTCTGTACAAAGAATGTGTGAATAATGTATTCACTTCATAATGGAGGAATGATAAAAATAATAAATTGATAAATGCATATAAATTAAAAAGATAATTTATTAAAGCCATTTTAGTTGAAGCAGGTGGGATTTTGACATCATCATTATCAAGGAGGAACGGCAAGAAAAAAATAAATCAGTAAACGCTTAAAATTCAAATAGATAATTAACTAAAACTGGGTGAAGCAGGTGTTAGGATTTTGACGCCATCATGATAACAAATCACCTTTAAAAAAATTCAGCTTATTTCAGAGTTTTAAATTTTTTTTTAAAAAATCAACATTTTCATTAAATTTTGTTATATATACAGAAAGAGAACTGATAAACGAAGGAGGATTTGAAACAACCTATTTTCTACAAACAATACTTGGCGAGTATGTAAAACCGGTGCAGATGTTGGGAAAAAAAGAGGAAAAGAAAGTGACTAGGGCGGGTAAACACATTCTCAACCTTTCATTAGCTCGTAACATCACATATGCTCAAGATATTACTTAATTTGCATCTATCTTTGGATCTCACCTTCAAAGCATAATCCAAAGGTTTGATGATGTAAACTTGAAAAGGAGCAACTTCAGGGGGGATATGTACCTTTGGCTAAGATAAACTTAGCTTCTGCTGTCTTGGTATCCATTCTTATCTAATGAGGACTGGAGTCCCAGGCTGAAGGTGACCCTCCATTACTCGGACCAACTTCACTTTTACAAAGAGGGCAGGATGCATTTATCTTCAACCATTTGTCAACACATGCTACGTGAAAAACGTGAAAGCAAGGCAATTCCCTAAGCTCCTCATCATCTGCATATTTTGCTAAGCAAATGCAACAAACCTGCAAAAAAAATAAATCAGAAAGCTATTCAAAATTACATTTAAAAATGAGGCATTCTCCACATTGTGAAGGATCATAAATCATAATAATAGCCATAGATTCAAAGCCCCATTTTAAAGAATTACTTACATTCAGGTTCTAGCTATCTAAAACTTTTTTATTCATTCGTCTTTTGGCTGAATGTAAGCATAGACTCAAGGCAAATATAGTCAGTTCATAATTTTAGAACAATATATTCACCCATTAAACTTACAGCATCTTCTCCTGAAATCACCCTCTCTTTTTCTGTTCCTGCAGCCAAAATCCCACCATCATCTATAGCAGCATTGACATCCTGATCATCACCCATTTCATTGTTCTTCAACTTGAACTTGTAGATTGGTAGAGCGTTAATTGATTCTACAGTTGCTCCTCTATTTTGAGAAAAATCCTCTCGAATGCCCAAAACAGAAATTATGCAAGGCAGGCAGCAACATATGGTTGCACAAAGTATAAATGGCATAGCATATCCAATGCAGCTAAAGGTAAGAAACACAATACATAATCTGCACAAAATGAAGCCCTGATTAGGCTTGAGAAAGTAAAATAGTGGTAACACAAACAGTGTGAGAGGTACCTATACAATTGTGGAGCATCAGAAGGAGAAGTGTGACCTCCAAAGATCCAAACATTTCCTACCACAAACCAAACTGCAAAGAAGCAATCCAAGGCCATCTTGAAATGGTCTACTAATCCATTAAACCTGCAATTTAGCAAAATATTTCTCTGCTTAGTTTGCTGGTGGTTCATTAAACATGGATAAAATCAGATTGGGCAAAAAGGAAGAAAGAGATAGAAATCAAACCTAGAAGTAAAGGCTCCAGGAATTATAGTGTTTCTTGCGGCTGATTGGGCAGCATGACCATTCTCCTCATCCGAGACATGTGAAACATAAATGGCAGTATAAGTACGATCTGGAGGATTGCTTCCAGAAGATCCTTGAGATGGTTGAGACATATCTTGTTCAGTGCTTTGATTACGGTTTCGAAAACGCCAGTAAAGAATAGGAAGTGTGGCAACACAACCAGATGCATAACCCACAATCCAGGCAAATAATGGGGCTTGGGGATTTTCATTCCTGGACAATGACAAAACCACGATAGATGCTATGATCTGACTCACAGTGACTACAAGCTCAACAGAAATCCAAAGTCCAGAATTTAATGGACTCCTTCTGCGATGACCATATCCATCACCTCTTCTCAATGAGGTGGAATTTCTAGAGTTTAATCTGGATGTAGAAGATGAATTTTGATGAGTGGAGTCTTGTGTCTCCCCAGTTGGTTGATCTTCATTCTGCTGTAAATGCATTTCAGGGTGTTGATCATTATGAGATGATGTGGTTAAAGCTTCACCATTCCTTGTAATGTCAATTATATGCTGATGGCCATTACGGGTTTCCGTCTGCTCCATCAGCAAAGGATGTTGATCGGTTTGGGTGTTGCTATTTGAACCCAGAGAAGTAACATCCATCTAAATCACCAAAGTATAAGGCGACAAGGCATAGATTGGTAGTAAAAAGGTTTCCAATTGGCACCTTCTCTCACTTCGATTCCTCTCACATATAAATTTGCCGTAATATGCAGAACAAAATGTACCAAGATCTTCACTCCACGCCTGGACACGGATTAACCTTTATATATTAAAATCTTGCTACTCCCAAATCCTATAACTTGTTTTATCAAAGGTAATATACATTTTGCAAGTGAGAAGACAACAGTGCGATATATAACATAACAACAGATTATTTTCAAGGTCATTTACATGAAGATCCAGTTCCAATAAAATGAAAATGTAGTGCCAGAAGCAGTCCACTAAGGATTTAAATTCCGCACAAAATAAACAGTTAAAGGGGGAACAAAAATGGCATTAGGAACTAAATCCATGCTCACAAACAGTTAGGTAACAATTAACAGTGAATTCAGAACAGAAGAGTCTGCCAGAAACAGAAACCTAGTAATCCAAATTCCGAGTTAAACACAACATCCACGCCCACCGCATCAATTCAGAACAGAATTCATTAAGAATTCATCAGTCTGTCTCATTCAGGTAACAAACACACTGATCCATACAAGAGAAAGACTAAAAACATTTGACATCAGAAACCAAACCAAATCGAAAAGAAACCTCAAAACAACTTAAACATGTGAAAGTAATCAGTGACATTTTGAATTGAAAGTGCGAAGAAGGTTCCAACCTGATTCAGCTCTCAAACGATTCCAAGTTCACTGTGCCGTTTCTTTTGTTTCAGATTTTCCATTTTACTAAACAAAAAGAGAAACAAACATTTAATGAAATTAAATTAAAAAGATATATTTTATTTATTTAAAAATGATAACGTCAGCAGTACTTAACACGTCTCCGTGAGAAAAGAAGAGAAGGGGAAACGTTGATATCAGATTTGTGCGGTCGCGTTGACTCATGGGCTTTCCCTACCGTTTGATTTGGAAAAACGTTATCTTCTATGCTGATGATGGGAATGGAATTGAATCCAAGGGCAGAGAATGTTCCAGATGATAACAGACGTAAAGCTTCATCAGATGTGCAAAGTGGGGTCTCTTTGCTAACTTTAGGATTTTCATCCCACGGTTCCTACCTTATCCATCTTATTCTTTGTGATCGTAATATTCTCAGGAAAAAACAGTTTCTTTTAAACATATTTTAATTATATTAGTGAAATTTTCTATATTGTATAAATATTGTTCAAATAATTTTTTGATATATTATAGAAATATTCTTAAATTTTTTAATGTTTTTCAAAAGTAAATATTTTGTTTAATCATAATAAATTTTAGTATATTAAATTAAAGAGGTAAACTCTTTAAAAGTAAGAAATAAATTATAAAAAAAATTTAAAATGAAACATTTAATATAAGATAAATTACGTAGCGTAATAAAAAACATTTTTGTTCCAATAAGTTGTTAAAAATATTTTTTTAGAAAAAGTTATTAATAGAATATTCCATCATTTTAAAAGTTATATTCTTCCCATGAAAATTTACAATTTCCGTTTATTTTAATATAATGTACATGATAGTGGTGATAAGAAATTAGTAATGAATATTAAAAGAGATATATTTTGTCTCTTTTTTTAAGATCACTATTAATTAATTTTAAATATTGCATCGTATTTTTTTTTTTGGTAGATTAAATAATATTCTAAATTTAAAAATATAGAAATTTTTTTCTCAAAATTTTAATTTAACGTTTTAATTTTTTTAATAAATTGATTTTGGGATTATTATAAACTTAGTTAAGTATATTTGTGACTTGTAATTTTATTTTTTTTTATTTGGTAGACCACAGACATTTCTCTATGGGCCATAAGTTCTTAATGGGCTGATACAAAATGCAAAATGTAAAATCTACTAAAGTAGTCCATTTCAGCTCAAAAAGTGAATAATGATATATGGGCTTCGTTCGAGGGGTTAATATCATTTGAAGCTAAAACATTTTGTTTGATGGGTTCTTTTACCATCTTAAAATTTTTGGTCAAGCTTTTACCCCCTGAAATCATTAAAATATCGAAAAACATTATAAAACATACGTGTACAGCACGTGGCTGTTGATGGGCCGTTCGAGAAAAATCTAAAGCAAATGAAGCGTTGGAATACACATTTCCCTGTTTATACCCACAAATGCAGTATCCAATGAGCTTAAAGGTGGGCCCCTGAGAAATATCAGACCTTTAACACCAAGCATATGACAGGTGTCGAAAGGCCCAGGCCCATTTTCATGGCCCACTTATTTGTCTATTCCAATCATCACTTCTCAGTGCAAGGACAATGGATTTGGTTCCAAGCGTGTGACTCACACTACACTTGTCGGGGGACTCAAGCTTTTCAAATTAAGGTCATTTTCTAATTAGCATTTCAGGTATTTGCCCACACTTGTTTGAGTTCAATTATTCATTTGCTTGTTACTTTGCCCACAAAATTACCTTTTTTTAAACGTAATTATTCTTAAAAAATTTTATTATTAATTAATTAATTAATCATAGAAGCCCACTAATAAACACTTAAATTTTAGATACAAAACAAAATCTGCTTTTTAAATATATTTTTCTTTGTCACACCGATTCTATTTATAAACAAAACGGAAGAAAAGGATAAATAATTAGTTTACTTAGTTGCAGAAGTCGTGATTACTTTGTATTTCTTTTGTAGTGTCATTATAATTGATCATTGAATTTTTGTTATTAATGATGATACTTAATTTGTTATGTTGTTTAGGTTTTGCTGATGATGTAGAATACTTAGAGCCCAACCACAAATGAGCCTCACAAGGTCTACAATAGTCGTTGTGTGGTCCATTTGGGACCTCGCTGAGACCTATAATTAGTATAAAGCATGGCATCTACAATTAATTTCAAGATTTTTTATGAGTAAACTTTCCTTCTAGTTCTTAAAATTACACGTGTTTAGTTATTGGTTTTACAAAATCTCTAGTTTAATTCTTAATTTTATAAAAATTAATTTATTTAATATCATTTAAACATAAAAAGACTCCAGTTAATAAATATTTTATAAAACAAGGATTAAATAAAAAAAATTATAAATCAATGACTCAAGTGACAAACACTTTTAATTTCAAGGAATGACTCACTCTTTCCTTCGATTTGAAATGCACAATTGCTAGAATTCTAGGGAAAAAAATAAAGCAGACACACAAAACAAAGGTCTTTCATGTGGGTTGGCTATTTGACGATGAAAATTAGAAGAAAATCAAGAGAGTAGGAAATGGAGGAAAAGAAACCAATTAAAGAAATGGTGAGCTATAGGTAAAGTTCCCAATTAAGTGGCACATCCCCATAAAAACGATAGGATTATATTTCTCATGTCTTTCTAGTTTTTGCCTTAGATTTTCATCGAATCTCTTGTAACTTCTACGATCTTCTAGATACAAGTGATGTTTCTATTATTTAAACTCTCTTGATGTATGTCATTTTCATAGCAGTGTAGAAGCCCATGGAAAGAATCACACAGTGAGATACATGTACGTACCTAAACTTTTTTCCAAGTTTTATTCCAATGAATGTTAAAATTATAGCTTCTTACCGAGACTACCTTTGTCGATTCTGGTCCACCACAACTTTATGAAATAGAAAACCAAATTAAGTTAAAATGTTGTGTACGTGTCCCTAATCTTTTATGAGATGGAAAATAGTGAACTAACAATAATTTGTGAAATGTATTTTGTCGTTAGGTTGACGATTTCAATCAGAAAGGGTAGCTCATGCGTATGTCTCTCTACAAATGGAAACACACAAAGAATCCTTTTAATTATAACGATGAAATGAACCACAGATTTGGTTGCAAAACTGCGGCTTCAGTGATTCCAGAATCCAGATCCATGGAAAAACATCAATCTCTGCCATTGCTTCCTTCTTGCGAATCAAAGCAAAGATTATTTATTTTGTGTGCTTAGTGGACTATGTTCCCATCAGTTTTTGCTTCAGAAAGGATCAACCCTTACAATATTTATATTAATTGTTGCTATAATAACTCAATAATTTTTTTAGTTATATAATAATTTTAAATAATATTTTAGACAACTGTATTTACTATAATTTTATTTCAAAATTTACATATTAAGTTACAACAATTTTGCAATACTCAGTGATTTTATAATATAATTTACCCTGGGTAAATTAATTAAAAAACCTAATTTAGAAACCAAAAGTTAATATATAATAGAATTGATTTTTTTTTGGGCACTGATATTGGTTTCCTTTAAAGTAATAAATTTAAAATCTGTAGTATATTTTGAGCATCCAAAACCCTATTGGTTTTGTTTAGGGAGTTTAGATCTTTAGTTAATTTGGGGTTGAATGTGGTTTTAAGGGATGAAACTAAGAATAAGGGCAATGAGATGAGTGATGTGCCGGGGAACAACCTTATCACGTGTAACTCTGTGTGGGGCTGTACAGTGAATCTCATGCCCTTGTCGAAGCCATGGGAAACATATGCTCGGTTGGGGAGTGACATTAGCTTTAATTAACAAGGTTTTAAATATATAGGTTAGTTGAGAGCAGTTGGTTCTTCTGTATGTATATCTTTATACATATGTTCATGACTTAGCACATTAATTTGGAGACAGTTGCTCGTACTGTATATTCTTTGTATAACCAGAACTAGTGTCAGCATAACAATTATGTTCATACGTGACCCCAGTATAGATTCTTGAAGATAGATCTTTCTGATTCATATATACTGGTTGAAGATTCTCTATGATATTTCCCGCACATATATTGACTCCATTCAAACTCTGCTAAATAATTTTAAAAATAGACGTGGATAGTTAGACATAATGCTAGCTAATTAATATATAGCCTGAGATGTTTATTGATTTCAAATGTGTTTCAATCAGTATAATATCTATTTTTTTTTATCAGATATAATATCATCTAAATGTCTGTACTCTGTACTATCAATTCACTATTATATTATAAATGTGTAAAAAAAATCTGTCGTTGAACGATAATCTTTTCAGAAATTGTTTTCTTTCGACTTTTCTTGGTTGAGTATTTTGTTTTAATTTTTTATATAATTTTATATTCTCTTCAAGTACTAAGTTTAGATTTGTTTTGAAAATTTAAAATCTCAATACATTACATCAATTGAAGACACGTTTCCTTTTTTAATAACTAAAATTTAAAATTATTGTAATATTAATTAATTTAATTTTTCTTTTAAAATCATAAATTTTTTATACACAAAATTTTACTTAAAATTGTAAAATTTTTATTTTCTTTCTAAAATTTCATGAGGTTTATAATGAAATTGGAAAATAAAATGATTTTAAAACTTTCAAAAATAAAAAATTGTTAAATTTTGAAGAAATTTATAAAAGTGAGATTAGGGATTGGAGATAAAAAAAAAATTTATGGAACATTAGTTTTTTTTTTTTTCATTCTCTAAATGAATACTCAAATAAAAATGAAGATAATATTAAACTGACAGGAGAAATAAACATTTTCTGCACAGTAGATCTAGCGTTGGGATTACTACCCTCAAAAAACTGAAATAATTAAAGACTTAAATTGTGAAACATGCACTAAGGTCGAAAAATGCCTTTGATCAGTTTTCGTAACCCTAGCCATGACACGCTTCATTAGTCATATAACTAATTTTATTCCATATCCTTGAGACAATGTATCTTCCACCAAATTGGTTTGTTTAACTTTCTTTGTTTCTCAGACATTTATAAATTCAGCTGTGCATTCGTTATTATATTTAATCGCGGTAATTAAGATTCGCATCTACCCTCACAGATATGTAGTATTATAAATGATTTAGTGCTCGTACGTAGATCAGTCCAACATCAATCGTGTAACACAAGATCCATACATTAATTGATTGAAACAAAAATAAGATTATAATGTCCTCCGCAATTCATGGTATATAACAAATGCTGCAATTCGAACAAAAATAAAATAAAATAAGAGAGAGAGAGAGGAAGGATTTATCACGAATAGAATTTCAATCATGGTGCCGTTATAGCAAGTATTATAGAGTACTTTGTTTCAATAGCTAATACTGCTCTATTTTATCTGAAAACATGTTATTCTCATTCTGTGGGCATACATAGTTGGTAGTGAAGACATGCATGCATATATCCCTAACTGTGGTCGCGTGATTGAAAAGTAATTCATATCACATAATAGCTAAAGATCGATCCTTATTATATATCACGATGATCATTTTAACTTGTCAACAAATGTGAGTATTTTAGTTAAGTTTTGCAAAATATAAACTTTGCTACCTCCTTTTATACTTTTCTGTACGTGATGTCCCAATGATCAGGTATAGCATTTCTCCCAATTGGCATCTGAACATGGCCAAGACAGTACTGATACAAATTTTCATTTTAGTATTTTAGTCAAAAGATATTCAGCTTAGCCTCTTTGCATTCAATTAATTTATCTCTATAACTGCCATGGTAATTTTGTGTGAAAGAAAAGGTTGAAGTATGTCAGTTGATCTATTATTACGTTATTTTTGTCATCTCAATTAATCAAAATACGATAATTTTTAATAAATATGCGATTTTCACATTCTTTTGAATCTTATTAAGATGATATTACTTCAATTTTTTTATAAAAAATAAATAACAAATTTATCAAGATGAATAGAAAGTAATTATATATCATAAATTTATATTATATTCTAAAATTATTTATAATATTAAATATAGTCAATTTGTTGACTTATTTATTAAATAAATAAATATAATCACTTATATTAATAACTAGTGAGTATCTTGTTAAAAAAATTAATAATTAATGCATATAAAAATAATTCATTATTTTTTATAATAATTAGAATTAAAATAATACTAGAAACTATTTTCTATATAAGAAAACAAAAGGTAACATATTGGACCTGGGTTTATGCAAAATTAGAGGTAACGTCTCTTTCTTTTACACTTTCTTTTGAATTACAAACATCTAAAAAAATTGGTCGGGATTTCTTTTTCTTTGTCAGATTGGTGTGTCACTCTTTAATTTGTTTGAACTTTAAACCAAACTTTTACTTAAATTTATTACTGTTCGATGTATAAACCGGTTGAAATACTTCTTATACTTTATCAATAAAATTTATTTTGGTCCATTAAAAAGGTTATATTCTCTATTTGATCAAATTAAAGTATTTTATTCCAATGCAATTCAACCTCGAGGAACTATCTTAAGAATAAAACAGGTTCCATAAAAAATGAAGCATAAAATAAGGTAAACTCCATTTATGCTTGAAATATACGAGGCGATACTCTACTATAGGATGAAGATTCGTTCAATAAAGTACAAACAATGGTTCTCACAAAAGCTTTATATTTTTCACTTAAGTCCTTGCTAGCTCCTTAAAATTGATCATGCCTTCACCAAACACGCTGGCTGATTAAGATTTGAGAATATATGACAACTTATGTTAGGCACCCATAAATTTTCGCTCTGGACATATACCCAACTTCTTGTCCAAGACAAAGTTTAATGGCTTCTGGTCTTACGCTGGACTTTAATTATATAGTAAGCGATGAAATTGGCAGTTAGAAGGAAAAGTTGATGTTATGGTTATGAAAAAATGTTTGTCGTATCATATATCTAATATAATTTTTACTTACTAAACAAAATTTTGACAGGAGTATTATACATTTAAATGAAGATTCAACACAACCACCTATTATTCGTATCAAACTTTCATCATGCCCAAATCAAGCCTCTGCCTTGAACAGGGAACACCTACTCGATCGCTACTGGTTTAAGTTTAGAGCATCTTGTTAGAGTAAAAATGGTGATAATGAAAGAGAATAAATAATTTTTTGTGTCTGGAGTCTTGAGGCCCTGTTATTGTTAAAACCATTATCAGCTTCTTCGTTCTTTTATTTTCACTGAAGCCAACCACACTATGCTTAATTATTTTAAACAAAAATAGCTAATTAATTACTTTTTAATAGAAAATGTTCATTAACATTGAAAATTATAAAGTATATTTATTAAATTAATATATTTTATAAAATTATTTATCTATTAAACTAACTGATATATGGGAATAATATAAAGATAGTGTTTGTATAACTTTTTATAGAAAAAATATATGATATGCAATTATAATTTTAAATTTTTATTTAGAGATAAAATATTTTATTAAAAAATAAAATAAATAGTATTATAATTTTAAAAAATAAACAAAGAAATAATAAAGAAAAGGTTTTCTTAAAGACGGTAATGATAAATGAGCTAGTAAATGAATTTTTTTTTATCAAAGTATCTAAAGTAAAAAAAGAAATTAACAAATTATAAATTCAAATATTAGTCCAAGTTATACCTGAAAATATTATACGTTAAAAAGATAGTTTTGTTTATTAAATAAGTTTATAAAATAGTTAAATTAATTAAAATAACTGATGAAACATATACTTTATATATATGTTCATTCATATTATTAACTTAGAATTTTTAAGTGTGTGTAGCACGTAAAAAGCATCTAGGATTGACCACGAGGCAAATTTATCAGCTTAACCTAGAGCTACAATAAATAAATACCATATTGAGTCATATACAAAAATCTCTTATAGCCAATTGCTTTCAAAATGTTGAAAAGTTTTATAAATATATATATTGATGGAAAAGTAGTTAGGTTTTGCTATAGACGACCCTCATCAATCTCATATTGGGTAAATTATAGACAAAAGTTAAAAGATAGTGTTGAGTTATCTTCTGCCTCAAAGGTGATAAACTTTAACCTTAGGTGCATCACATTTTGATTTCTACAGTGCTTATGGCCTTGTAACTTTTGCGTACGTCCCCGAGTGTTCCCAGGACTTAGGATTGTTAAGTTTGACTCATGATTAGCTGTGATCCTTGTCAGTCCAGAGAGAATTGCCTAGGGTCCTACATACTCGACCATTTCATTTCTTTTGCTCCCTGCATCATCATGATCATGATGCTCACAAATCACACGCATTAATATGGCTTGGCATTGGTCATCATCGTCTAATTTGCGTCCGTATACACACAATAATTAGGTGAAACATGTAATTATACATGTCCTGAAACATAGAGATACCTCATTAAAATTTCATATTTACTATCCACCGAAAGAGGGAAAACAAGGTCTAAGGGTTAAATTCTCACTTACTTTTCTAATAATAATAATAATAATCTCTAATTATTATGCATATTTTATTTTTTGTCACTCTTATAGTCTCATATATTATATAAATTAATTATAAATCCTTATTCTTTCTGTTTATTAAAAGCATAAATATTATTTTTTATTCACTATTCATTTGTTTTATTTGTTAAATTTAGAAGCTAATTATTCAAAAAAGATGAATTTTGACTTTGGTTCAAAATAAATACTAAAAATACATACATCTATACACACATAATTATTCAGTAAATTTATTTACGTATTAGAATTAGGCTAGTTTGAGCCTATAAAATATTAATTTGTTTAAATTTGACTCTTTTAAAAATAGAATACTTATTTTAAAGAGTAAAGTGGATAGTTATTTATTATAAATAAATAAATATGAATCAGTTGAGGAAAAATACTAAAACTAAAAACAAATGATACAGATCAAGATTTTTCATTTATGCCAACCAAAAACCCTAAACTTGTTTGCTCTCATCTTGTCACACAGTAACGAACCCGTTATTGCATGGCGCTGATCAAATTCACCTGAGGAAAGAAACAGTATTAACGGTGTCAAATAAAATGAAGTAGAATGATAATCGATAAACTGGAGCCATTCAAATAACTGTTGTTGGTGACTTTTTATGTCGATGCTATCTTATACCAATCTCTCAATCACTGTTTGGTTTTCTCATCTCTTCTTTTAATCATCAGCAAAGAGAAATTATATTATGGACTAAAAAGCACTCAGTATCATGATATTGTCATTCCATTAATGGGGGGGGGGGGGAATTGAATATAGTTGCGTATATATAGTGTGAGATACTAATGGGAGAAAAAATGAATACCGTTGCACACGATAATCATATACATTTTTTTTTGTCAATCCTGGATTTAATTTTTTAATCAAAATATTTTTTTATATAGAAAAACTCATTTGAAACCCCTAATTAATTAAAGAATTCTGTGTTAAGGACCTACCTCTCTTAAAAGTTTGTGAAGTCTTAGTACGGTCCTCTTATTTTTTAATATTATATTTACCCTACGCCTTTTCCTATTAAATTAAAAAAATAAATAGGAATATTTGTTTGATAAAAAGGTAAAGGATAAGAAATTAATATGGTTTCTAAAATTAAAGATGCATGATACATGTGTAGTATTTAAAGGAAAAAAATAGTGGGTTTCACATAGCATGTATGCAAATGTATGTACATATAATGATGCATATTCTTCATGAAACCTTGGGTATAAATTATTCCGAAGACTAATACACTCAATCAAACAAATCACATGGCTTGTTCCCAGTCAGCTAATCAGACGGCCATGATCAAATCTCACCAAACCACAAGACAACAAGAGTCGTAGGATCTGTTCCCATATCCAACTTATGGTGCCGGCCTTTAATGGTTTTAGCGGGGAAACAACTCGTCCCTACGTTTGTTTCTCATGTGACCGACCACTTCGCCTTAGTTGACCTGTCATTGCTCCCACTATGTGCATTCCTTTCACTTTATATATTTAACAAAACCATTGCTCTTTCACAAAATATTCTCAATCCAAAAAGTGAAAAGTTCTCTCTAACCGAATTTTGATACCCTCATCGAACGGCGATCGAAGAAATGGAGAAAGAAGGTCTTGGACTTGAAATCACGGAGTTAAGGTTGGGACTTCCCGGTGGTGAACCCATATCATGTGTAGGGGACAAGAACGAGAAGAAGAGGGTGTTCTCGGAGATTGACGTTGATGGCGATGAAAACAGCTCCTCCGGTGACCGGAAAATGCAAACCAAGAATCAAGTGGTGGGGTGGCCTCCGGTGTGTTCCTACCGGAAGAAGAACAGCATGAATGAAGCCACAAAAATGTACGTCAAAGTTAGCATGGACGGAGCTCCATTTTTGCGTAAAATTGATTTAGCCATGCATAAGGGATACTCCGAGTTGGCCTTCGCTTTGGAGAAGTTCTTTGGTTGCTATGGAATAGGTGAGTTACTATTATTTTTCCCTTTTTCTTTGTGCATCCTAAATTCTTCCTTATTACTTGAAAAATTAAAATGTGTTCGTGCTAGCTAGCTAGGTTGCGCATGGTTATGTAAGGTTTAAGAAAGAAACATGCAGAATTATCATACGCTAATAAATCCCAGATGTGTGTGTGTGTGAGCACGAAATGAACTTTATAATAACTGTGTGCGACATATGGTCTCTGTGGCTAGCTATGAGATGTTAATGGTGAGAAAGGGTCATTGTCAATGGATCAATGCAGATTATCACAAGATATCCACATAGAAACCCAGAAAGAAGATAATTATGTTGTAACTTGAAAATTGGTCTACTAGTTGGTTTCTTTACTCGACGTATTATATACTTGAGCGGATATGAACAACACGGTGCTTCATAGGTTTTAGGAGTCTAGGCGAATCATAAAATCAAAAACTTCAAAATAGAAATGCTCTCACACACATATGAACAAACTTTACTCAATTAATTTTGAAAATCCTAAAAAGAATAGGCACAAGTGACATATATTAATTTAGATGGGGAGCAGAGGGACAAATTAGCAGACGAAAGTCGTACACGATAGTTAGACATTCTCCTTAGCATGTGATGGTCTGCAGTGTCTAAAGTTGAGCCACTCTATAGATGACAGAGAATTAAGCATATAATATTTATTACAATATAGATATAATTTATCGACATGAATAACATTCATAAACTTTGAATCAATTAAAAATAAAGTTAATATAGCATCAAATTTATAATAAATTGAATCCTATATACGAATATATATTTCTGAAAACATAATTTAAAATTATTGAAACTACATATTATAAAATTGAACAATAAAAACAGTGCTGCTGCATAGAAATTTAATTTATCATAAAATGAACACGTAATTACGTAACTCTAATAAGAAAAACTTCAAAGGAAAAGGAACCCCCTGCAGCCTATTTGTTTTACTGCGAACGTGTTTTAACGTCATTTTAGCAGTGATTCATGTAGCTCGGTAATTTTTTTAACTAAAAAACATATTTAATTTTGTATTAGGTAGAGTTTGTTTTAAGAAATGTGATAGTATTATCGACGCAAGACTCACAAAAAATTTAAAACATACATATCTTGACGCTTGAAATTTTTTTTCATACATCCACCATTAATAAACACAAGTAACTCTTTTTAATCTAAATTCTTCTAAAAGTATTTTTTTTCAACATCAATTCAATTAAAATATAAAACAAACAAATACCCTGAAGGACTCCCCCCACCCCCCAAAATGTTATTTTAATTACTAAAATGGAACATTATACGTATAATATATAAAATTTTTATATAGGTATTTTAAAAATATATTCTAAAACACAAAAGTGTCCTCATTGAAATGTATTAAAAAAAGACTTGAGCTAATGGCAATCAACGATAATGCTTTGTTTTTAAAATTTGTTGACAGGCGAGGCGTTGAAGGATGCGGACAATTCTGAACACGTTCCCATCTACGAGGACAAAGACGGTGACTGGATGCTGGTTGGAGATGTCCCTTGGGAGTATGTCCTTCTGGCCCCTCTTCCTCATTATTATTCTCTCTTTATTATATCTTTTTATTTTATATACAAAAGTAGGTTCTCTAGTGTCACTGCCCAACTTTCTCGAACCAACTTGAGTTCAGCTATAATTTAAGTGTATGATTAAATATCTTGCCTGTAATTAAATATGACACAAATTTAGTCTGTATATAAATTAACTAGCTACGCTATTGCACTGCCCTATTTTATTGCTCAAATTCATAAATGACTAGATTGATGAATCAAATTAACGATTAACGGTTTAAGTTAACTAGTATTTAACTAGGTCAGGTAAAAATTATTTTATAGACACTCATACACTCAGAGAGAGAGAGAGAGAGAGAGAGAGAAAGAAAATATTAATAAGTAATATGGTGTAAAAGAGGAGAAAAATAAGAAAATGTATTAAATAGGTATCGACAATAGTTAAATGTTTATAAATCAAAATTGATATCGGATAGAAGAAACTGATCATTCAGTCTAATAATCCACAACAGCCAACTAATTAAGTTATTGCATGCATCATGTTGATACTACGATATCTGTAGTGTTCATAGATTTCTATACAACTTTGCATCAAGTTTAAAAACATATACTTTCAAGAATGATGTGATGATTTAAAATTAACACCGGTAAAAAAAATGACATGTATGACCCGTATATGTGCACCTAAAATAAATCCCTTAATAATTCGTATGAACATTTTATGTGGCGTTTGGTTTGAGTGGGAGCAATCTATTCATGTTTCCGGAGACAAAAGTGATAAGCGTGTGAAATACGAGTCAAGTAAACCAAAAGTACTCTTGTCTACCACTGAGTCACCTTCCCATGTTTGCTTGGCAATATGCCACCAAACAATTGGTGGTGCATAAGCCCCCAACTTTGACTCAGTGTCTTAAACCTGGGCACTCGTCAATTTTGTTCATTTCGCTACGGAATATCTATTAGTATTATATATGTATATTCACTGTCCTCATTAATAAAGTGCTCATTATATTTTGCCTTAGATGCATGCATGGTTTATACTCTAAAACACCAGTAAAGGTCGTAAAACGGACAAACCCACATCAAGTCAGTCTAGTTCAGGTGTAGGATTCATCGAGTCGGATAAAAAAATAATTTGTTTGTTATTTGAATTTTAAAATAAAAATTCAAATTCAACGAGAATTCAAATTTTACATGCCAACTCAATCCCGATCAAGAAACATCTAGGTACATCGAATTAAAAAAAAAAGTAATTTAAATCTGAATTTTAAACTTAAATCATATTTTTACAAATCTATATGAGTTAACTTGATCTGATTGATGTATTTTATCAACTCGATCTCCACTAGTCAACTAAACTAATTAATAGTCCCACAGATTTAAAAGCCATCCAAATTGGTCCCAAAAATTGAACGCACAATAAGTTTGGCAAAATTATTTTGTAGTCGCCCAAAACAACACTTCATTACATGTACTGATTAAGTTGTCAATTGACCTAAATAATAATTTTCTACTTTGTATGCCAAATATCATAAACTCAAAACAATAACAAAAAAATTATCTTTGATCATATGTTGCCGACATGAGTGAATCCCTCATTATAATGTTCGACACATCAACATGGGAAGGTAGGGGGCCAAGGCCACAGGGTGGGGGATAATCAATTGTGGCCTGACTTCAAAAGGCAAAACCATTAGTGGTGGTCTGGTGGATACACCAAAATAAAGAGGAAGAAAAGCTTCGTATATTAGTTGGCCACATTTCCCAAGAACGATCAGATATATATATAAAGATAATATTAATAATAGTTATTTCTACTTGAAGTTATAATTTAAAAAAAAAATCGCCATGTAAATTTTATACAGCAGCTGGTAGAAATATTTGTATTCAATGTAAAATTGGTATTTTTGCAGGATGTTTATTGAGTCGTGCAAGAGGTTGAGGATTATGAAGAGATCAGATGCAAAAGGCTTCGGACTGCAACCAAAAGGGTCTTTAAAGGGATTCATAGAAGGCGTGACAAAGTGAAAGAGATGAAGCAAAAGATAGGGTTTTAGTTAACGTCGTACACGTTTTGAAGATCATTAATTCCAATTTCATGTTGTCGTTTTATTATATTTGAGGAAGCAACCCTTCTATAGTTTGATGCATGAATCACACTTTTGTCTGTGATAAGACCTGAGAATGAAGGATATATATAGGACCCCCTTTAATGAAATAGGGAAACTCATCGTTTTCGTAAATGTTTTGTCATATTTGTTAATATGCTGCACATTACAGCAAATTTATTGTCGATCCATTTTTGCTTGCTAATTCCATTTCATCTCCTTTAATTTCCTCTCTATTTTTCTACTTTATATTAATAAAAATGAAATAGAGAGTACATGAAGTAGAAATAAAATAACATTTTTGTATATTTTATTATATGACAATAAATAAATTAACTATATAAATTAACTTGTTATAATAACAATAAATTAAATTAAAAAATATTATTTGTTTAAATTTTAAATTTTATGTTAAAAAATATTATTTAACACTAAAAATAGCCAAAAAAAAACCACGCCCATTCCCTCATCCTCCCACGTTGGAGAAAATATATTTTTTTGTAATTCTTGTCTCATTTTTGCCTCTCTTCTCCTAATGAAATAAGAAAAAAATATCTTTTCTCTAATTATACATTTTTTGTTCTTTAATTCTTTTTTTCAATCAAACAAACAGTTTATATTATATTTTTATTATTTTAAAGATAAATAGAGTAAAAACAAAAAAAATACTTAAAAATAATAAACATTAGTTGTTCATGAATGGTGTTTGTTTTTTCAAGTTTTAATGTCTTTGTGTAAATTTTCGTTATTGATCAATTAAGAAAAGCACCTTAACGAGATGTAACATCAGTTGTAATAGTTTACTGGAAAAATACAACAAAATTAATGAAAAGAAAAATTAAAGTGCGAATATGAACACATGCACGAAAAGAATTCTACATAAATAAATAAAGGATAAAGAATTGACCAAGTGAGCTTAATTGATGAAAGATGGTACTCGTTTTGGTGGGCTCTTTCTTCACTAAATCTAACCTTGTTTCAGGAAAAAAAAATTTGCACAAATTAAATTCATCTAAACATTTCAAAAAAATCTTAAAGTTTAAATGTATCAATAGTCAGACTTACTCTTTTTAATTATCGTAATTTTTGTTTAAAATAAAATTATTTATTAGTATGAATTTTCTAAATTTACGATGATGCTATAATGCATATATGTGTCTAAAAATATTAAAAATATAATCAAAATTATAATAAAATTCCATTTATGATATTTTAAATATTTATTTTTAACTTCTCAACCGGTGCTCTTACAATCTTAGGATATAGTTAATTTTTTTGAAAAACATTAATAGATAAAGTGTAATATCTTCTTCAAAATTTAAAACTAATGAACTTCATCTGTAAAAAAATAAATTTATAATGAGATAGTTCCTCTGATTTTCTTATAAAAAGTTAATTAATTAATAAAAATCAATATATGAATATATATATATATATATATATATATATCATAAATTTATATTATATTATAAGAATACTTATAGTATTAAATAGTTATATTATTGATTTATATATTAAAAAGTAAAAAATTTATGAAACAAAAAAAATAATGTTTTGTTAATATAAATTTTACAATAAAAAATATAAAATAATTATAATGAATGCATCCAAAATTGTGTATTTTTTATAATTAAATTAGTAAAAAAAATAAGATAAGATTTGCTTTGTAGTTAATTTTATAAGATAAGAAAAAAGTAAAAAGAATGGTATCTTTTGAAGTCAGAGTTCATATAATTGTTCCGTACAAGGAATGCACATGATAATAATGGAAAAGTAACTTAATCCTATGTATGTAATCTTAGTTGAATCACAGCATCCCATAAATAATTCTATTTATAAGTTTTTTTTATAAATAAATATAATATATATTATAATAAATAATTGAGCACAAATTATGTTTATATTATAATTTTATGGATACTGATTATATATCTTAAAAATCTATCATGATGCATTTATTATCTTAAAATTAATGTCACAACTAAAAAGAGAGATGTTAAATAGAGTATAGTATATCTTTTATACCAAAAACTAATTGTTAATATTTTTTGTATCATACAACATATAAATCATAAACTCTTAAGTAATATAAATTTTATTCATTAGTCGATTTACCATCATAGTTCAATGGAATTTTCACTTCTTTTTCTTTTTTTCACAAATATTTTTATTAAGAAAATCCTCTCAAACAATATTTTTTATTTATATTTTCATATTTTATCAGCCTTAATTAATATAAATTAATCTTTTGCCCCTCTCTATTAGGGAATGACGGGATGATAAAAAAATATGTATATTCTTTTTTTTTTTTTATTTACACGAATAATTATACATTACTCTCTTCAATTTATTTTAGAATAAATGAATAATTAATTTATCAAAATTAAAAGATTAATTATATATCATAATATTTTTAAAATATTTATATCATTAAATAATAAATTTAGTAATTTTTGTGCTAAATTAATAATATTTTAATATTTGAAAAATGATAAATAAAAAAGTTTTATTAAAAATTATAATATTTAATATTATCAATATATTTAATTTTTGTAATATTATATAATTTTTAAAAAAAGTTATCATTCATATATTCATTGTATGTGCTTCTAGAAACATATTAAAACTACTATTAAATAAATATATCCATTTACAAGAATAATAATAAAATATTTTACTAACATAATTTTTATAAAAAATAAAAATATTAATTTAATATATTTAATAATTATTTTTTATTTTTATAATGAAAAATTAGATTGTTATTTTTATAAATATCTTTTTATTGTATACCTAAATATAGATAATAAGAAATAATATAGAGTAATTTTTTATTAAAACATTACAAGATTTTACAAAATTTAATGCATTATGTACTTTAAAATATTTTTAATTATATTTATAAGAAATAATTAATAATATTTTTTATCCAAATTATAAATAATATTTATTAAATGTGTTAATTATTAAATTTTATTTATATTTTAATTTATTGTGAAATTTATATTAATAAAACACTCACATATTATTCATATAATTGATATGCTTAATATAAGATTTTATTGTTTATGTAGCTACAAATAGCAAGTAAATATTAATCTTGAATCTTCAAAACTTAAAAACAGTTTGTAATTTTTTGCTTAAGAAAAAAAGTAATATATATATATATATATATATATTAAAAAATCATCTCATAAAAAAATTAGAGGAAGTAGCATTACACATGCACGGCAACAAGACAATCTGCACTGCAGGCATCGCTGTCAATGTTCTTCTGGGATCTTAGTTGTCTGCCTGCAACGAATTCAGTTTACCAATGTTACAGATAGTTGAGGAATAAGGATGTTATTAGTCAATGCGTTTAGATCATTAATTAAAAAGTATTAATAATATTTTAATTCTTTAATTAACATCTTAATTAGTGCTTTGATCGTATATGCAATAGAATGATAAAAAGAAAGGAACTGCTTGTATTCGAATTCGTTGCATCATGAGGTCCACTTAAATAAACAAATATTGTAAGAACCCCTCATTCATTTCACATTCTTTGAATGGTTCCATAAACGGACGTAGTATATATACTATTAAAGAATTTTACTTCTCTCACTCCTTCTTAAGATTTTGACTTCCTCGTATAGATATCATAAAATTTGTTAATTATAGAACTTAAATGCGATTATTGGATGAATACATAAAATTTGTTAAGAGCCCCATCATTAATCAATCCCATTTTTCTTTTTCATTCATCCCTTAGGTGCTGTCTATTTATCTACCCTTTTTTAAGCTTAAATTTTTATACAAGAGTTAAGAAAATAATTAGTATTTTATTTTCATAAAAAATATCACTAAATTTTCAATTATATGCTCATTGTTAGTATATTATTTAAAAAAAGCATTTTTAATAAAATAGGCATCAATAATACAGATGAATTAAAAATAATTATTCATTAAATATGTAAACTAACAATAATAAATAAATATAATGAAATTGCTAAGTACATGTAAATAAACAAATAAAGTAATTAAAAAGAGATATAATTTGCAATAAAAGCACAAAATTTTTTTTTATTATTATTGTTGCATATATAGTTTGGGTGATTATTCTATTTTAAACACGGCAGAGACTATTGAAAACAGTTTTATCAACATTTAATGTAATTTGTGTGTATTCTATTATTTTAATATTAGTACTTTTTTTATCTTCCTGTTGAATAACATTTTTTTCTCTTCCTAAATTTAATATATTAATTTGTTATAGAATTTAAAATAAATAAAAAAGATATCAATGTAATGGACGATGCGACTCACGGATTCGTACACTAATTGAAATTTTAGTGTTAACTGATTAGCCAAAGGGCAACGAGCACCCGCTGAAGATTTTAGGTTAATTTTAGTAAATTTCTATCAAATTGATATATATATATCTAATGAGTTTTATACATGAAGCAATCAAATAACATCTTCTCTATTTCCCTCACAATGCTCTTTGTCTGTCTGAATGCTTGTTGTCCAATATAAGGTTTCTGTTGAAGACTCCTTAATCTAGTTTAACTATTGAGAAAGAGAAAGACCTCTCTCAGTGACAAAACAATTAAATGGCATTGAAGGAACAAAATAGAAAGATTCCAAATGGATAGGAAACTAGTTTTGCCCTATCAAAACAAGAAACTATGAACCCATATGATATGCAAAACATAGGGACATAGCTGGCTAGGCTTCAACAATAGAAGTAATGAGCATATGTCTTTTTTAGCTATTTGGCAAGACAAGGTACCATTGATCTTAGCCTCTCGCCATGCCATGTCTATAGGAACTTGGGTTAACCATAAAGCCTATCTAGCTGTTGTCAAAGCCGCCCATGTGAATCAAGGAAGCAAATTTTAGCACAATTACTAGTACTATTGAACTGTTACTACACTATAATAAGAAGAAAATGGGTCCACTATGCCATCAATTGCCTCCCCTTTTGGGTAGAACAGGAGATGAGACTTTGAATTGTGCTTAACCCAGTGTGAATATGATGATAGATTGGTGGGTGCCATCCTTTTCTCCCTTGGCTCTGAGTTTCTTTCAAGGACAAGAAATAAGGGACCAATCTCCGCAAGTTGGAAAGAAACTTCATGACAATACACTTTTCCATTTGTTTTGTTTTCTTTTTCAATTGATTGCTAAAAGATAAAATAGAACTGGTATCTTGTGCATGAAATGGGGTATAGTGCCATAGTTTGAGATAATGTTTGCTAGTTTCTGCAATCCCGAACCCAAGGATAAGAAATGAATTTTTAACTTGATCCACATTTTGAGGAACAACCATTTATAATACAATTAAATGTTAATTATTGAATTCAAGCGTCCTCAATAAAATGCTAAATATTAGATATTTTGAAATATGAATTCTGTGGTCTTTCCTAGCATTCAAAGCCCATGATTGCTCTCCTAGAAAAGTACCGAAAACTCAAGATTAACAGCCATTAATCATGGAAAATTATATTTGAAACATGAATGATTTCTTACAAATGAATCATTCGCTTGGCCTAATGCATCATGCTTAATTATCTTCCTCAATGATTAATTTCTACGTTTCTTTTTCTTTTGATGCTTTTCATATGTAAAGGGAAGCAGTATACATCATATGAATCTTGTTATAGTATTTTGACCAATATAATTAAAGAAAACACGATCCCTTTAACAAAGCTTCCCGAGCAACACAAACTATATATGCTCCCCTAGTATGAGCAAATTAGTAGACAAAAGACTTATCAATGTTTCCAAAGCCAGATAGATCATTATACTAGTAATATTTTAGCTTGCAGTTAATCACATTGCATGTAGTTTAACTGTGGTCAAATTAATAGTAATTAATCTATTGTTTTAAATATTAATAAGGGGATTAAATTAAAATATTATAAATTATAAAAAATAAAGCTAAAAATATATAATTTAATCTAAAGGACCATATTATGTATTTGATAAAATTCTAGTCAAAAGTCCTTATGTCATTAAGTTCTTCAATCAAATAAAGACATGTAAACTTCATTAAAATAAAAATTCAAGATATAAGAAAAATATATCTACATAATCCTTGATTTGATAGCTTGACGTGAAGAATATGAAAATATTGAAAATTAATATTTTAAAATTTAATTTCTGTTCTATTAAATCCTTAAATTCTGACCTTTAAAATCTTTATTATGTGAAAAATATTTGATCTGTAGAACTTATGTGTACATGATTCAGTCCATAAAATTTAAATTATGTGTGATTTAATTTCTAAAAGATCAAATATATACTAAATTACACAGGATTTAAATTTTGGAGATGCTAAATTAGATCTTTATAAGGATAATTTTGAAAACGAATTAGTGAAAGAAATATTTTATAAATATGAAAAAAATTTAGAGTTAAAGTACACCTTATTAAATGAATGAGAATTAAGTTACGTATGACTCAAATATCAAAATACTAGATCCATTTTATTAAAAAAAAAACTTCATTTTATTTATATTTGTTTTGCAAAAAAAAAATAAATTAAATTAAGTAAATGTTATTAATAAAATTAAAGTATATTAACCTTTGGAAGAAATATAAGATATAAAAAAGAATGGTGAAAGCTTCATATAATTTCTAAGATTTTTTTAATTTAATTTTCAGAACAAGATAGAAGACTTATATGTTGATTATGAGAAATTCTAAATGAGGAGAGTTTATAAACTTTCAAAATTCTCTTAATTTTATGTTTTTAAATTGTCCTAATCTAGAGGCTTTGTATTAATAATATTTTCTCTTCTTTTACACTCTCATCACTTTTTCTTTAAACTCTCTTTTGCTGGTCATTCTAAACTTCCAAAAAAGCCAAAAGAAATACTGTAGTTTTGGGGTATAATATATTTTTCTTGTTTGGTTACGTAACATGAACTTATGCAATTCTATGAGCATGATTATGACGAGGCTTCATCCATTGCCCACGATCTCCTTCATTCATCCACCGTCATCCTATTTAAAGACAAATCCAAAAAATATGAAGAATTATAACAAACAATTAAGTTAATAAACGTTAAATTATATAATTTTTAATAAAAAAAAAAGGGATGGCAGGAATAAGACCCTTATATTCATCCCCTTATATTAATTGTTTCTTTTTTGTTAAATAAAGATAATAGTAATAGAAATTAATTAAATCTTAAATTACTTAAAAATATGAATTAATATATTAATATAAACTTAATATAATAATATATTTATCATCATAAATGATATATAATATTTTTAATTTAAAAATATACGTCCCCCTTTTTTACTCTTCAAAATCCCTTCTCAAACATACCCTAAAAAGTAATTTTAGGGGGAAAAATTGTCTAAAGGCTGAATCTGTGTTAAATTGTATATTTCTGCGTATCTACTGTGTACCATGTATGCGAACTCTCTACAGTAAAATACTTTTAATTGTACGGGGTCTCGGGGATTACGGTATCAAACAATCCCCTATCCGTTTTCGACTTTTCAACAACAGACACGGGCCCGTAAATGACGGTTATTATAGTTGAACCACGTTTGAAACTACAGGATTAGACTGAGTCACTCCCACGTGAGAGATGACCATTAAAGAGAAATGTTAAATAAATAAAAAATTAAAGACCAATTTTTAAAAAAAAAATATTATAAAAACCATCTAACACTTTCCTTTCTAATTAAATAATTCTTTACTCCTAAACATAGACTAAATAATCTGTACTTATATTTTATGAATATTATTAATTTTTTAAAAATATGCAGAAAGGAATAAAATAATATATTTAGTGTAATTAAAATGCAAAAATATGCACTACATTATAATTTTATAATTGCTTAAATTAAAAATCAAAATATCAGGTAATAATTTAAATTTTAATATCGAAAATTGGAAATATTACTATTAGACTAAATAAAGTCTATTTCATTTCATTCAAATATTTATTGTATGTTTTTATTTTTAAAAAAATTATGGAAGTTTTCCTTTCCATTTTTTTATTCTTAAACCTAATTAAATTATTGAAGTCACTTTTAGCAGGAAAACTTCTAAAGCTTAATCACGAGGGCCGTGGGGAATGGAAAAAAAATGGTAGAGGTGGCGAGGTCGTTACCGGAACCGACAAAGAAACATGGTCACGTGGTTAAGTGGGACACAAACCCTAAACCACGAGTTGTTTACGTGCACACAGACTTCGCATAGAGTTGACCGTTACTTCTAAAACGGAAACATGCGGGCCCCACCTGCTCCCCCCACTCTTTCCCTTATTTTTCACCTCTTCTATGATAAGATCGAAATCTTTAAGCACCAAGGCTCGATTGGCTAGTTGTGTGCGTAGCTTCAAATTCGTGTACTCAACCTACCATTTTTTTGAAAAAGTGCAAAATAACTAGTGTTAATTTCACATAATTTTTATTACATTATAAAATTTAAGTCCCCAAAGTCTTGTGTTTCAACTTACAAACGTGATCGCGCTTTTCTCTAATTTGTCTCCATATTAATCGGTACTGTTTGAAGAAAATTGAGCGTGACAATACGTTTATCTCCACGAGTATCTTGCTACATGGTTTAGTGTTTTCAAATGTTTGTAACAGTAATAATAATAATTAAGCATAAACAGTGGTAGATTGGACATAATTACGTGATTACGTGGAACTTTGGTGTTAGTTGAGTCGCAGGTAGTGAAGAGAGCTAAGGGGAACAATGAAACGAGAAAATGAAAGAGCAAAGTTTGATTCGAATGAAGAGGGGCCCAAACTAGAAAGCAATGGAATCAGAATCACACGCTTCCATCATACACTCTCGCATACGTGGAAGAATCGAAGCCGGTCTTTAACATACACGTGTCATGCATTCTATGGTCCAGCACTTCTCCGGCCACACGCACCATAATATAAGCGCGCACGTTGCCGAAACAACGACGCAATCGAATACTAATATCAAACATTTTGGTAGGTTTCTCTCTCTCTCTCTCTCTCTCTTTCAAATCATAAAGGCAAAATAAAGAGTTAGTCATAGCAGCAAACAAAGAAAATTGGAAAAGAGAAGTCACACGACCAAACAACCCAACTTAATTTGAACGTTGAAATTGCGCGGCGCGTGCAACTGTTTCAGAGCAAAATGTCGTCAAAAAGTGGCATCCACTTATCGGAATCTGACGCCGTTGATTGTAACTTGAAGGAGACTGAGCTCACGCTGGGACTTCCTGGCACCAAAACTGGCACAAAACGTGCTTTCTCCGACCCCGTTGAGCTTCATCTTGGAACCTCAAGGAGTGCTTCTGAAAATTCAGCGAATAAAATGTCCACATCCAAATTCCCTACACCCAAGTAAGAAACAAGCAAGCTAGGATTTGAATATTTAATTCTTTTTCGCTTAAATTATGTATGAAAAAATTGAAGGATAATTAGTTGTGGTTTAATTTTAAATTTCATGAATTGGGTGTTGATGGATGTGATGTTGCAGGCAACAAGTGGTGGGGTGGCCGCCGGTGAGGGCGAGCAGAAAGAATATTGTGATGAAGAGTTGCAAGTACGTTAAGGTGGCGGTGGATGGAGCTCCATATCTAAGAAAAGTGGATCTTGAAATGTATGAGAGTTATGAACATTTGATGAGGGAATTAGAGACCATGTTTTCTGGCTTGACCATTCGTACGTACCCAGACCCATCATCTCTTAGTGATAACGTGTGCTAATTTATGTGCTTATGTTCTGATTTTTCAAATGTGTTTGCATAATAAAATGTTATTACAAAATTAAATTATATATAATTTTTAATAAACAAATATTTATTAAATTTTTTTATTATGTACCTTTGCATTACTATAAAAAAGTTATATATTCTTCGTGTCAATATACGTAGGTATACTTTTTTGATATTAGCGGGTCTTTTTGTGGCCAACCATCGTTGCAGGTAATCATTTGATGAATGAGAGGAAACTCATGGACTCTGGAAATGGAATTGAGTACATGCCCACCTATGAGGACAAGGATGGTGACTGGATGTTGGTTGGGGATGTACCGTGGAAGTAAGTTCTATATATGATTTACCATTTGATAACTTTAAGAATTCGCCATTATTATTTCTACTATGTATAAGTCGTTTCATTTTCTTAAAAAATTAATTTCTGTTTTTTGGCTGTTGTTCTAGGATGTTCGTTGAATCATGCAAGAGGATAAGGCTTATGATTAGCTCAGAGGCCAATGGCTTAGGTTCGTTGATTTCTTTATTTATTTTTTCCTTGCGTGATATATTCATTATACAATTAAATATTATACGATGATTTTTGTTTTTAATCCTCTGATTTACGAATATCATTGCAGGTCCGAGGACAGCTTCCAAATGTACGGGTTCCATTTAGAAGAATAAGTAGTGTAATGACCATAAACTGATAAAAATCTACTAATATTCCATATCGGAGAACACCTTGAAAGCGTACAAGCTCCGGTTAGAAGCGTTAATTTTTGTGTGATGAAATATCCATGGTGCTTGATGTACATGTCCCTTTAGCACCTATAGTTAGTAACTTTCCATTTGACTTTAAAACTAGAACAACGACTGATCTCTATATTAGTGATACAAATAAATAAAGGAGGCTGGCATGTAATAAATATTATGATCATGGAGTGTGTAATGTAATGACTTTGGTGTCTGCAAAGATAGTTGTTAATTATTGTATCCCGTTTTTGTAGTTGTTGGATATATTCACCGATTGATCGATGATTTTCGATCCACTGCATAATTCACATAATATTTCTATTGATATTATATTGATCGGAAAAAGTTCCCCTAAAATCAGATTTGTCTTTAAAGGTAATCAAATAAGGATATATTCACTCTAAATTTTAATGGGTTAAGATCCTGATGCACTTTAACTTAAAAGAAAGATGGAATTATCCTTCGAGACATATTGATTTAATTTTAGATATGAATGATATGATTTATGTGTAAGTTAAAACATGCATGTTTCAAAAACTATCATGCATGAATGATATGATTTATCGCAGAGACGAAAAGTAAAGAAAGAAATAAAGAAATTTAGGTTTTCATGCTCGTCAATGAATAAATGTTTTAAAAACACGTTTGATCCTTAGGAATAATGTGATACAATTAAAACATTGACCCTTTGACACGTCATATGAAAAATTGTCTTGAAATTGTAAAGATGTTGAAATATAGGACAATTAAGTAAGGTTTCCATTATAGAACCACCCAACATTCAACCTCTCTCAAATATTATTCTCCAAAAGCTCATTCAAAACCTATTGTAATCTGCGTTTGGATGTTTTTAAGTTTGGGGAAAGGATGAGAAGGAAAACTATAAATAAAGAAACAAAGGGGATAGAAGTAAACTTAATTTCCTTTGTATGGATGTTTGAGTGGGGAAAGAAGGAAAAAGTAAGGGAAATATATTTTACGCTTACGAATAAGATAATATTTGGTTTAACTTTTTTCGATTTTTATTTTAAAATAAATAATGATATTTCAATTAATTTCCGTAAAATTTTAAAACTTTTATTAAATTATTTTTGACCTGAATAAAAATTTTAAATTTAAAAATTTTTGGGCACATTCCAAGAAGAATGAAGTGTAGTGAAGATATGTCACGTTGACTAAGACCAAGTTAAAGCCCAATGTTAAAGCCCAAATAAAACCCGAAGTCGAACTACAGAAGTTCAAGTCCAATCATTATCATACAACGACTCAATGATTGCTCAAGCTTTGACCCAAAATCACAACCAAAAAAATAAAGATTCGTAATTGCTAAAGTGTAAAATGGATAGGTTTGAAGGGTGTTAAAAACAAGGTACGAGAGTTGGTAATAAATTGAGGCACGGGTCAGTGTATACCGTATGCTTCCATATGTGTAGTTATGATGGACGGTTGTTCTTTTCCATTATTCCAGTTTCTCCTTGATATACAATTCCTCAGTTTTAAGATTATAAAATTTAAGTTTCTGGTAGGAAAATACTAGTCTTTAAGTTTTTACTTAAATAAGGTGACGTCTTTCTATATCTTGGTGACATTGCTTGACATAGGGAGGGTACTACAAAAGGCACTCCACTGCTGAAGTTAGGTTTAATTTTAAATAATAAATATTATTTAACATATAAAAGTCAACCTTTTATTTGTATCTCTTAATTATTACTCTTAATTAGATTAATTATCTTTAATTTTAATTAAGAAGGTATTCAACTTATCTTGACCGAGGGAGTACTCAGTTTTTTTTTTTTTTGGTAGGTTTAGGGTAGTATCTTATCTAATACAAAACATATATTCCAATTGAAGTTGAATTTATGAGGAGCAATTCTGGTGTAGACACGTCCAACAGCGTTAAACTAGTGACTATGACATCTTTGAATGTTTGGTTTTTACATTTTGTTAAAATTCATCAAACTACTTACTTAAAAAATTATTTTTAAAAATTACATTGCCTCTTAGAAAAATTGACTAATCACAAATTGCATTAAAAATGTGTTTAAAAGAACATGTTAGTAGTATTTCTCTGCGGCTCTTTCTACCATTCTGGAGTTAGTTTCTCACTTCCCAACCAATAAAGTCAGCAAATTCCTTTCTACTAACCACCATAATAAATGACATGTGAAAAGGAAGAAGAGAGGGAGTGGTGGGAACCCTTGAACATGATCTGGCACCTCTCTGTGCTTCTGCTTATAAATATGTGGCCAAACCCTTTCATGATTGTGAATTATCTTCTTCATCTCGTGAAAAAATGACAGGGTCTGCACCATCACAGCAGCGAATGCCATACTATGATCACGTTCGCACTCGCCGTGAGGAGAAGGGAAGCCTCTATGCTTGGTCTGTACATCTTTAGTTTCCAATTCTATTTTTTTCTTCTTTTTCTCCATCCAAGATTCAGTTTTTGTTACACACAGTAGAAGCTGATCAATTCACTCTTTGGTTCAGTTTGTATACATTATTTTGCTGCTGTTGCTGCTATGAGAGCTGTGAGTGCTGCTTGGAACGCACCTGTTGTTGCTGTCCTTAGATTACCCAACTTCCTAAGAGATGTTTCTCAAGTTTATGTTTATTATTAGTGTTGTTGTATGAAATGAACATTCTGGGAGTCAATTAGGAAGATTCTTTTAAATCACAGCCATGTACTTCAACTAATTTTAAATCACAGTCATTAATTTGTTATGCCTGTTCATTGTTAAATAAACCAAGTGCGGGAGCACAAGAGTAGTAACTAGCATGATGATAACCAGGATTTTCTGTACAAAGTATTGAAAAGAAGTACCATTAACTATCAATGACTAGTAGTAGTCTTAGCTTCTATTTGAATAAACGGCAAGCAAAGAGAGCATTTTTTGTGGTTCCTATAGCCATTTATTCCTTAAGGAAAACCAGAAAGCATTATAGCCGTTATTGTGTATAAATCAAGATATTCTCTATACATTTAAAGGAAAATAGAGCAGATACATTGACTTATCTCCACTGATGATGCATCCAAGTAATGCCGAATGCAATTCAGATTCTCTCAAAGAATTGAAAAACCAGCAATGCCTTGCCATGCATGTAGTTAACTTAGACAGCAAGGATGGGGTTTCTCCCTTCATCTATTTCAATGGTTAGGAGATGTTCAGGATCTGATCCATTTGGACCCTGCGAGTAAAGTGTAGGAAGGTATGCCTTGTATGCTGGCAGGTAGCGAGAAACAAAATCTCTCACCTGCAGACCACAAACCATGAAAATTCTTAGCATATTAGAAGGTAGATGTTACAGGCACTGAAAAGACATTATCATATATTCATCCTTAATCAAACATAAATGCATGTGAGAAACAGACCTCATCATCGGACATTCCCGGTTTTCCTGCCTCTCTCATGGCAATCTCAGCCTGCACATTCGAACAGCAAAATACAGATGCTATAATCAGGTTCTAAACACAAAGTTTGTAATTTATGAAAGAGAATGTTAAAACAACCTACCTGTAAGCGCCATTGGTAGACACAACTTGGGTCCTTAATCTTGATGACTATCCATGACTTTATGTATTTGTCCCATGCATCATAGTAAGCTTCAAGGTTTTTATTTACAGTTTCTAGCTGAAAAATAAGCACAATTGATTATTTCTATTTGCAAAAGCACAATTCAGTAGCAATTCTTCCTCTCAAGAAAACGGTGGAGAATTTGGATGATCAGTGATTCAGTATCATAAACCCCATGCGTATAATCTTAAGAAGGAAAAAGGAACTTCACTAATTCTAACCTGTGGATCAACAACCTTTACTGCTTCAACTGGAACGGGCTTGAAACCAAGCATCCAACCTTCGAACAACACAACCTAGAACATCCATCAATGTGTCATAATGGAAGCATCAACACTTTCAGAAAGGATGTTGATGTGAGCTAAAATACCAGTTGTTTCATGCCAAAAATACTCCAACAATCCCACCTATCTTATTATAATCTGTGTTCTGGTGACAAATCCAACTTTTCTCAGAACTACAACGAAATTCCCTTTTTTGGAATCGGGGAGTAGGGTAAATTTTGGTAGTAAAATACTTTCAGTAAGCTGCTCCATTTTTTATTTTTTGTCCGTGTTGGATCATTTTTACCAAGTGAAAACGATCCATCAGAAGCAGCTTAAAAGTTAAAACCAGAAGATTCTCTTACCGTAAGGGGGCCTTCAACTTCTGGCCATGTTGAAGGATCAGCACGGTCACCTCTCCCATTGAATGCAGACTGCATCCACAGGAAATTTGCAGTTAGCAACTACAAATTCAAAATAAATAAATAAAATAAATAATCCATATATGCAAGTTATCATGCCCTTACTTTATCATATCTTGGTAACTTCATTTTCATACCTGGACACTTCAAATAACAAGAAATTACACGTAAAATACAATATAACAAAGAGAAAACAAATTGAGAACAGAGAGCCACCTTCTCTTGTCATTTTGGTTAAAGATGTCATGGTTTCAACAGAAAAGGCAAGATCATGGCTTCCTGCATTTCCACGCAACTAGAAGGAAACAAGCCAAACCAAAGTATTTTAGCTTACATAAATCCTAGTGTCCCTATATAATTTATTGTTCAGTACTTCACCTATATGTGTATAATTACCTCAAGGAGTGCATTTTCTGGATTATCTTCTCTTAGTTTATTCTACAGTTCAAACATGTTGTCAGCCCAACAGAAAAAGAACAACATCGGATCATCAACTGAAAAACAAATATCGATAACAGCTTCTATATACCTGACCTTCAGCCGTCAAATAAAAATCATCTATAGATATTGTTGCGGACTTCCTGAAAAATTCATCATGTATTTGCAATTTGTTAGTTAATCTCCTATCCTTATAGTCACAAAATCAAAGGATAATATCAAGATCACTGGTGCTTCCAAGTTCAGATCCTACCTGCTAGTCTTTTGGAAAAGATAGTCAAGAGCAAAGACAAGGGTTGTCTTCCCGCAGCCTTGAGGAGCACTAAAACCAATCTGTGTCATGCAAAATGAAAAAGTTATAAGGCCCTTGAACATTTTTTTAGGAAATAAATCCTATGGTTAAATTTACAGTTATAGTCTTCTTAAGGCTTCATAATAAGCTCGATAACATCAACACATATAGAAAACAAACTATTAGAGAAAGAGTGAAATCTAGTATATATCATACTACTAAAGGAGGTATTTCTTCTCCATCTTTGAACTTGGACTGATGCTGAGCAATTTGATGTTCGCACCAGAGAAAAACTGGTACATAGTAGTGATAAAGCCTAGCTTTTTGAGGTTCTGTAAGGTACAATTCATTAAGCTGAAACAATCTGCATAAGTAATGCCCATACAATAACCACTTATCAATGGACTCAGCCACTTCCTCTTGTGTCAGACCTATTTTATCAAGTAAAGGCCCCGAGCAAATAAATTCAAAGAGGTCTTGCACAGATGAAACTTGTGCAGGTTTTGTAGGAAAAACAGAATATAGCGGACGCTTCCTGTACTCAATGCCACCACCAGTGAAACCGTTTTGTAGCCATGAGCTTCCTCTGCCTGCATGAAGTATTGTAAATGTACATTAAATATAAGTTTTGTTAACTATTACGGGTGCATAACAGATTCTAATAAATTTTTATAATAAAAAACATATTTATTACATTAAAATTATTAAAGCACGATAAATATTTTTTAATAATTAAAAAAAAACTACTTTTTTGTGCTTAAACAGGTTAATATTTTACATTAAGGATTTATATCAGATGACAGAAATCATTTCAACAGCATGGGAAAATGTAGCTGTTGAAGATGAAAATAGAGCTCCTAAAGTTCCTTTCATTCTTAACAGCAAGGTCTAATAATCAGCTGGAAGGAATTTGAGTTGTTGCATCAATAATCACTAATCAAGCAAGGTCAAAATTTGTGAGAAAATTTTCAATTCAAATGTGCTGTAGTAATCTGAGTAAACAAATTATGACACAACCCCCATGCACCCATTTATCTAATTAGACTAAATTGATGATTTTGTTTAACTGGGTTGAAAATTTGTAACATCGAGAAGACAAAAGTGAAGAAAAAGTACCTGACTTTGAGAAGTGGGTGGGGAAGTGAGAGAGCTTAGATTGGGAAGAGAGAAGAGAGAAGTGACGAGAATTGGAAAAGAAATTTAATTTAGAATTATTAGAAATATGATTATGATTATGAAAGGCAAAGGAAATGTTGTTGTTAGTGTTAGAAGAACAGAAAGAAGAGGAAGATTGCCATGGCTGAGAGAAAACATTCAAAGTCGCCATTTTTTTTATGTCTCTTTCTCTCTCTACCTTGCAATGAAATCACCAACTGAGCTTTGCAGCCACGTAGTGTTTGCTTCTTTGGCCAACAGATTGGAAGAGGAGCACCATAAAAAAAAATTAAAAAAATCTGCAATTTATCTATTAACATTACGTTTTTTTTATATGTTTTCTAAATTCTTGTTTACCCAATCATGCAGTTCTCTTATAATGATACATTTTTTCTGGAGTATTTAAATCATATTAAATTAAATTGTTTTGTAATTAATAACTTTTTTGTTATTTTTAATTCTCCCACAAAACTAAAATATCTCTAGCAAACATTAAATATAATAAAATATTCATAACGTACAATTGAAACATTATTTTATAATTCTTTTATTAATCAAAGCATTTTATACCATTGTTTGGGTTTAAAAACTTTAAATACACGTATTCTATATTTCTATTTATGATTAATGAGTGAAGAAAATGTTTTTTGTTAATTAAATTTAGTTTTCTCAGCATTTTTTTCGTTTATATTTTTATATTAACATGTATATATAAATGTTGATGTAATAATAACTTAACAGTAACGTTGATTCAGAAAAAGTGAATCCTGCAACAAAATTGTCAAATCATAAAAATAGAAACGAAAAGCAATCCACAAAAGCAATGAACACTTGTCGAGAGTAAACAAAACCTTAAAATCAAGGAACCAAATACATTAAAATCTAATTGAAGAAGCAAAAGAAAAGGGTAAAAGAATCTAATTATTGTTTTTAGTTATCAGTGCCACCGTTTTTTTTAAACTGATTAGCATCCTAACATTAAAGAAGCACACTTCAATCGATGCTTTTCGCAATCTCATAGCCCCTGTCTTATTTAATTTTATATTAACATTTTGTTTTAAATTTGATTGCATTAATATTTTTACTGTATGTTACTGAATATAAATATTTGACTATGTGTTATTGAATATAAATAGTTTGCTTTGCTAATTATATTCTATTCATACATTTATTTATAAAAAATAAATATTTAATTAAGACCATCAATTTATATTTTATTCTCGTAATACTTACACTATTAAATAGTTAAATTAGTGTGTTATATATTAAAATTTATTTATTTATTTTGATACTTTATTAACATAAATTTTATAATAAATAAAAATATAAAAATGATTAAAAATAATATGTTTAAATATTTATTACTTGTTATATTTATGAAAAAAAATTAGTAACTGTTTCTTATAAATATGGCTAGTATTTAAAAAAATTATGTCTTTTTTGAGTAAACTAATAAAATTTAAATATGTGTATTATGTTCTTTTAATGATTTGATTTTTGAATATAAAATACTTAATTTTTTATATTAAAATAATTCACTGCATAAGATTAAAAAGATGATTAAATATAATTTTTGTTTTTGTGTTTTTGTGTTTTTGTGAGTTTTTAATTCTTAAAAAAGAATCTTTTGTCTTAATCACTGAATTTTCAATCTCTCGTGTTAGATAATGTAATAAAATTTAACAAATGTCAACTTCTCAACTAGTTACGTTATCAGTTTTAAAGCCATACGTATTGAATTTAAAAAATATTTAAATTAAAATAAAAATTTATAGGCATTAAAATCAAAATTTCATGATTATTTATGTCTAATTTTAATATATAAAAAATAATTTTAATAATAATTTATTAATATTAATTTGATAGACTCAACTTTAAATTTTGAAACTATAAAAGTCAATAAAAAATTATCAAAACTCCTTCGGTTGAAAAGGGTATGTAGATTTTATTTATAAAATTTTAATATATACAAAAACACAAAAATAATAAAATTTTATCAATAATATATTTTTACTAAAAATAATAAAACATTTAGAATTTACTAAATTAATAATATTCAATAATATAATTTTAAACTTTTTAACATATACGCAACACATTAAAAAAAAACTAAAATTTTATTAAGAAATGAGTAAGGCAAAAAGAACGACATCGTTTTGCAGGCCTATCCAATGTTGAGTTTTGTCCGCATCTGCATGACAGACAGTGAGTGGCTGAGTGCACGCAAACCAAAGAGCACACTTTTTTTGAAGATTCTATCTCTTCCCTTAACTCTTCTCTCTCCCTTCCCCTCTATTTCTGGGAATTACTGTCCTCACCCCACGTTCCCATTCCCATGCATTAAACACGTTCACACTTCAATTCAAACGCATAAATAAAAAACCCTTTGCAATTTGCTAATTCCCGGAAGATCCAAGCTGTATTGCAAACTCATCTAGTTTTGAAAATTTACCAAAAAAACAAAGAGAGACAATTTTGATGGAGAGAGAGAGAGAGAGAATAATTGATTGGGTGGATGAAGTTGTTCTATTGTATCCATCGCATCTGACTCTGATCTAAGTGGGAAGTGACTTGTTCCGTCAAAATTCTGATAAGGCAAGTCAAACCCACAAAAAGCAACTGAACTAGATTGTTTCATGCTACAAAACCTCGTGCCTTGTCTCCTCTTTTGTCAAGCGTGACAAAATTGATTTTTTGTTACTCAAAAAGTTTCCTTTTTTAAAATTAATTAAAATAGTACAGTATATATTAGTAATTTGGGAAGCTTAGCATTTAAAAGTTGGATTCTTTTGGTTCACGGGTAGAGACAGTTTGTGTTGGGCAAGATCACAGAATTGGGTTGCTCAGAGATGGGTTCCTACGGACACCTTGCAAGGAGGGTCATGGAAACTGAGATGCCCGTTATGGTTCAGGTACTCTCTTATTCAATGCAATTTGACCCCTTTATTGGTTTGGACTTTGGACTGGTATTTGGTAATGCTTGCTATGAATATGACTTGTTTTTTATCATCGTGGTGGGTGTCTGTGTCTCTGCAGATGCAGGAATTGCTCCGAGGAGCTAAGAATGCCGTGTCTTTGGCCCAGGTATTTTTTGTCTCCCGCGTCTCCATTTCCAAGGTTTGTTTGTTTATGTTTTTTAGTCTAACCTCTTAGCGATTATTGCGGAGGCAGTGAGAGAAGGAGATGGAGTTTCCAATGTCTGATCGTAAATTTCTGTAGCTTGCTTGGGAGTTTGGTGTGTTATGGAGATATTGAGAAATGGGAACAGTTTATTTAGTACTTGTTCTTTTTCGGAAACTTCAAACGATGATTACAGACACTGAGACACAGTTTTAGCTCTAAACGTGCTTGTGGATTGTGGTCACTATATTATAAATTTGGTGCCTTCTTGATCTAGAAAATGGCTGAGCCACAACATTTCTTATGGGAAACTGGAGATGAGATGAAGTGGCATATTCATGAATATTTTGCCTCGAAATATCGCTAAAGTTGAAAGATGCATACCAAAAAAATAGAACCGAATTTAGAAAATCACACATGGAATAAGGTTATTATTTTATTTGTTTAGCTTGTACTTTTTTCTGTCTCATAACACAGTTACAGTTTTGGTTGCGATGCTCAATTGGAATTGTTGATCTTGAGGCCCGACCCAAATTTTCCAATTGCCAAAGGCAGTCTTAAAGTTTGATGCAGGGCGTGATTTGTATGATATAGCTTCACATAGGATTGTGAGCTAAAGTGAAAGCTACGTGGTTTTGATTATGCATCTGATTTTGGTTCATGGTTATGCATGCTTTTAATCATCAAATGAAGCTTGCCTGTTTTAATTTTTAATTGATTTTTACTGCTATGGCTGGTGACCACTATAATTCTACTGATTTTATGTACTATTATTTTCTCCTTCGCGGCAACTTGTAATGGATTTTTGAATTTATTAACTGTAGGGGGTGGTCCATTGGCAACCTCCCAAGCAAGCGTTGGAAAAGGTGAAAGAACTTGTATTTGACCCCATAGTTAGTCGTTATGGTAATGATGAAGGTATTCCTGAACTCAGAGAAGCACTGATCAAAAAGGTAAATGATATATTGTCTTTCAACTTATGTATTCTGTAATTGTATGAATTTGGAAACAGTAGCTATCTGTTTGAAGTTCTTCAATTGAATGGAGCTTGGGACTTGCATCAGATAAAAACCTATTTAAAGCTAGTGTTTAAGAATGACAAATGACAACTCTTGTTAGTTATATAGATTAATGCGTCCTATTTTCATTTGCCTTCAGATGAAGCTGATTATGTACAATTAACGTAATAACTGTCTGTAAGACGAAACTTGTGATATCATTTGGGCTATATAAAAATCTGAAGATTTATATAAAAACGCAACTCATGGACTGAGTAGATTCTGAAGATTTGCACTGCAGTTATGTTTTCATCTATAAGGAGAAATGAACATCAATTGATATTGATGCTTCGATAATATCTGCTCGCCCCTTCCTTCATCATTCAAACTCTCTAGTACATACGTAGCTTTCTCTTTCCATAATCATATGATTATATTACATATAGCTGCATTGCTGCTAGCTTTCTCCTATAAACGATGTTATGGGGTGTTGCTGTATTATTTTGTAAAAAATAAAATAACTTGCTTTTACTGTATGTATGGCCCTTTGTATCCCATTGATCTCTGCAACCAATTATTTTGCTATATGAAATTGGATCTCGGTGACCAATCAATCGACTTCTTTGTTTCTATCTTGTAGTTGCGTGATGAAAATAAGTTGCACAAATCTTCAGTAATGGTTACGGCAGGTGCCAATCAGGTGAGGTGATCCATTTTTTTTTGTTCATTATATTGTTATATTTTAAAAATGATAACACATTTTCTGAAAAAACATGGTGAAGCGCACTGGCATATCTAAAAATATAGCTTTCTTGCCTGCTTATCTAAAATCTTTATCTAATCTAAAACCATCATAGTGTTGCTACTTCTCTTTCTTGTAACTTAATGCATATTGAAAGGGGAAGTATCTGACAGGTACGGCATGTTTTTGTACCAATGGAGGCAGTACCTTTTACTGTTGACTCTGTTAACTTAATAGTTTACAGATTCTATCACTTGTGGTCTTTTAATTTTATAGTACTTGGATCTCTCCCTGTTGACCAGTTATTCAAGACTAGTGCAATTAGAGAACTCATTTTGTTTGGTTGATCAGTATAGTTTGAGCTTTGAATAATATTATGTGCTCATCACTAAACCTTTGAGGTAACACAATTCCTACCTATACAGGCATTTGTGAATCTGGTTCTTACACTGTGTGATCCAGGGGATTCCGTGGTTATGTTTGCTCCTTACTACTTCAATGCCTACATGTCCTTCCAGATGACTGGCATTACCAATATACTCGTTGGACCAGGCAACCCAGAAACACTTCATCCTGATGCAGGTAAGAAGCTGCTTGATATGGTTACTGCAATCTATTTTTTAATGGCATGTACTAGGAAAGCAAAGGCAATAATTGGTTGAGAGTATTTTTTCCCTCCATCCAGGGGATTTACACATTGGTCAGTAGTTGGATGGATTGGATCTGGATACATGTAATCCTTTCCTCTATTTAGAAGGTATATTGGGCTGTTAAGAACTCATGCATGTCCAATAGGTTGGGTGTTTTATAATGTTGGATTGAGTTGTAAGTTGCATTGTATAATAAGTCATTACCAAGTTGAATATTTGTCTGAATTTTGGTTTCTAGTTCTTGTAAATTACTGAATGCGGATTAGGATACTCCATGTGTTATTTCATTAATTTCTTTGTACAAGTTGCTCATGGTGATGAACAACTATCTGCACAATGCTGTCCTTTACATATGTAAGAATCCTAGAAGGCTAAATCATCCAAGTTTACGCATTCTTTTGGTGTCAGATTTCTTTGTTTAGGCTACTTATCAGAGTTTTCTTGATTTTTAGATTGGTTGGAAAGAATATTATCTGAAACTAAACCTGCCCCAAAGCTTGTTACTGTTGTAAATCCTGGCAATCCAACTGGAACTTACATTCCCGAGCCCCTTCTAAAGGTTTCTCTCTCTCTCTCTCTCTGAATGTATTGCAGCTAGTTTGATTATTAAAGTGGTTCTTTTTTAATTCTCTAGTGCAGCCAATATTCACGTATTTGACCGTCAATTGACCATAAGATTTCTTTGAACCTTGTAATTTATAAAATTTCTAACTACTTTCTTTAATTGATCAGAGGATTTCAGATCTCTGCAAGAATGCAGGCTCTTGGCTTGTTGTTGATAATACATATGAGTAAGTCTTCTAATTTGCTATGTTAATGGAAAATTTATCATATTGTTTTCTTTGACTACGAAGAAAACAACAAATTCTCTGTTTCTATGATTAACACCACTTAATCAATTGGTTGCGTTCGGGACAAATCATAACTTTTTATTTAATTCTTTTTTCAGTTCATTATCATTTCAGATAAATTTTTTACTCAGTCTCACTAATCTTGTGGGCAGATCTTGATGTTTCTAAAATATCCTTATGAGATCTCCCTAGTAGTCTTCACTAACTAAAAGTACCTATAGCTATAAGTATTCTACAACTGTCCTTGAATCCTCTTATATTTTCTAGAATTGCTTTAAAGCAAATTAATGCTGCATGCAGGTATTTTATGTATGGTGATCTGAAACACTCTTGTGTGGAGGGAAATCATATTGTTAACGTTTTCTCATTCTCCAAAGCATATGGAATGATGGGATGGCGTGTTGGATACGTAAGTACCACTTCTGATGTCTTAATTTCCACAGGCAGGGGAGAGAAACAATCTAGTTTAAACTATGAACCCTAAACATATATTGTTTCCACTTTTTGTTCTATCTTATCAGTCTCTTCTCTGCAGCATGGTAGTTATGTTTTCAGTTGTAAACTTCATGATTAGTGTTAAATGATAAACACTTCTTCTCTATCCTAATACGCGCTCATCGCAGATAGCATACCCATCTGAAGTAGAAGGATTTGCTGCCCAACTTCTTAAAGTTCAAGACAACATTCCGATTTGTGCTCCGATATTATCTCAGTATCTTGCCCTCTTTTCATTGGAACTGGGGCACGAATGGGTTGCAGAGCGGGTAAAAAGTCTTGACAAGAACAGAGAAATTGTTTTAGAAGCTCTCTCTCCTCTTGGAGAGGGGTCTGTGAAAGGAGGAGAAGGTGCTATATACTTGTGGGCAAAGCTCCCAGATGGAAATGGTTACGACGATTTCGAAGTTGTTCGCTGGCTAGCTAACAGGCACGGCATTGCAGTGATCCCAGGAAGTGCATGTGGTAGTTCTGGCAATCTTAGGATTTCATTTGGAGGCTTGACAGAGAATGATTGCAGAGCTGCTGCAGAGAGACTGAAGAAAGGCTTAGAAGAATTGGTTAGAGATGGACTGCGGCAGTAACTGAAGGGAAAAAAACAACACAAAAGATATCATCACATAAAAATCCACTTGCCAATGTAGCAAGTTTGCAACTTGTGCATTTGAATTTGAATTCAATAAATGATATGTGGGATAGCAAGTTTCTATTATTTTCATTTTGATATTCAAAACAATGGCTCCAAATAAATGCATGCACTTCTTCCTTATTCACTGATTCCTTATTTTATTCGTTGTTGGAAGTTGTTCGATCTAGATCTTTCACTTTTCGTTCATTTTGCTACTCTGTCAGTGTCATAGTTATTACCGGTCGATTATTGAAATTATGAACACATTGGCTTAAATTCTTAAATTCATTAATTATACTACTAGGTGTCACACATATAATGATGCAATAGTAAAAAAGATTTCTCTTTATCGACACTTGTTGCTGCCATTAATTTCCCTTTTTTCCATGCCTCATTGTTTAACTTACTGCAACATGAAACAATTTCCAACATTGATGATGGGTGGTTGGAACTGGTTGTTTGTTGTGGTTTCTGTGCGTACTAAGCAACCTGATACCATTTGTACATGAAGCATCTTTATCCTCCATGACTACTGCTACTCAAAGCAGAGTTAGTTAGATACTAAATATAGATTATAGATATTAAAAACATAACGTCATTTTACAGAAAAATTAACCTTTCACCTACACTTAACATCCGAAAGAAAAACGAAATGAATAGGAGTTGGTGGAACCTGGCATTCTATTACAATGGAATAGAAAGTGGTTAAAAAATTGAGATGGAAATACAAAGTTAGTTGGGGGCTGGTGGGGCCATTCCGTTACGACTCCAAAATCCTAATCCAAACCAAACGAATGCGTTGTGTGATTGAGAGTTGAGGCGGTGAAGATGAGTGGAGGTTCGTTGAGTGGGCTGCGAGAGCATCTGAAGTTGGCAAGAGAATACGCTGTGGAAGGACTGTACGACACTTCTATCATCTTCTTCGACGGCGCTGTTGCTCAGATCAACAAGTAATCACTAATCAATCATTCTGAATTCAAATTCAACGTTTAACTGAGGTGTTATTTGGTTTCAGGCACCTAAACAGAGTGGAAGACCCTCTAATTCGTGCTAAATGGATGAACGTGAAGAAAGCACTGTGTGAGGAAACGCAAGTGGTGAAACAGCTCCACGAAGAGAGAAGGGCGTTTAAGGAAACTCGCCATGCTTCCCAATCCCAATGTTCTTCCTCCTTCGTTTTTCAACCGTTGGATGAGTATCCCACTCCCACTAACTACGATCCTGATGTGTGGAGGCCACCCAGTCCCACTCAAGATGCTAGAAGGCCCGCCAGGCCCACTACTCGCAAGGATGGGGCTTGGGCCCGAGGTTCCTCGAGACCCGCCACTGCAACTAGTCGTGGCGCCAAGCCCAGGCCTAACTCTGGGCCCCGACCACCCACCACCGGAAAGAAAGGGAAGTCGAGCAAGGCGGATTCAGTTGTAAGTTGAATTGCATTTGCAGGGAATGTGGTTTTATTAGTCTGACATGGGAATTCAGAGTTTGCGGAATTTGTGGACAGAGTGGCGAAGAAGGGAAGTCAAAGAAGACGCAATATGAAGGTCCTGATCCAGACTTAGCAGAAATGCTTGAGAGGGATGTGTTAGAAACGTCTCCTGGTGTTAGATGGGATGACGTTGCTGGCCTCACCGAAGCCAAACGACTTCTAGAAGAAGCTGTTGTGCTTCCCTTATGGATGCCTGAATATTTCCAGGTCTTTATTCCTTTCCTCATGAAAATTAGTCATATTAGTCTTCATCTTATACAAGTTCAATTGGCACTTAATGTGTTATAAGGACTAATGTGAGGTTGTATAAGATGAAGATTGATATGGCTATTTTTTTAGGATGGAGATTAATTTGTTTACTGGTCAAAATGATGGGAACTGATATTTGCAATTTTAAATTAATGTCTATATAATACTTTGTAATTGGCAGGGGATTAGGAGACCGTGGAAAGGTGTTCTGATGTTTGGTCCTCCGGGAACTGGGAAGACGCTTCTGGCTAAAGCAGTTGCTACTGAATGTGGTACCACTTTCTTCAATGTTTCTTCAGCTACTTTGGCTTCTAAATGGCGCGGAGAGAGCGAGCGTATGGTTCGCTGTTTGTTTGATCTTGCAAGGGCGTATGCACCTAGTACTATTTTCATTGATGAAATTGATTCTCTTTGCAATGCTAGGGGGTAAGCCTTCATCATGAATTTATGTTGAACGATTGAACTAAGTCTGATTTTAGTACACTTTTACTTCATCAGGGCTTCTGGGGAACATGAATCATCCAGAAGGGTGAAGTCTGAACTTCTAGTTCAGGTTGATGGTGTAAATAATAGTTCCACAAATGAAGACGGTACCCGTAAAATAGTAATGGTTTTGGCAGCCACGAACTTCCCATGGGACATTGATGAGGCACTCAGGTCTGTGTTTGTTTTTCTGCAATCTTTTTCTTACTTCCTAAGTTCTAATGATAAATGGATGTGATTAGTTACATGTTTTGTCTGAAATCTTTTAGTCACCACTTGCTGATTCAATTTGATGTTACTGCAAAGCAGGAGAAGGCTGGAAAAACGTATATATATTCCTCTGCCCAATTTTGAGAGCCGTAAAGAGCTGATCCGTATCAATTTGAAGACTGTTGAGGCAAGTTAGGATGTTTAGTTATGTTTATATAGGATCTTGACCAGACATTGACTTATTTTTTGTCTTAAAGCCTTCAAATTTAATTGACTTTGGCTTTGAATTGATGGATTATGTTATATTGAGTAGAATTCAAGCATTTTCTTCACCAAAAACAAAATGAAAGAAACTGAGATTCTTGTCTTGCACCAGGTGGCCCCTGATGTGAATATAGATGAAGTGGCTCGCAGGACAGAGGGGTATAGTGGAGATGACTTGACAAATGTCTGTCGTGATGCTTCCCTCAATGGTATGAGGCGTAAGATTGCGGGAAAGACGCGTGATGAGATCAAGAACATGTCAAAGGACGAAATTTCCAAGGATCCTGTTGCAATGTGTGATTTTGAAGAAGCTTTGAAGAAAGTCCAACGAAGTGTTTCTCAGGCTGACATTGAACGCCATGAGAAGTGGTTTGCTGAATTTGGATCAGCATAAAGACTCTGGCGTACAATGGCATTCTTTTTAACTACTACAGATGAAATGCCTCTATTTGTTTTTTCCGTATTCTCTTTCAAAGGGTAAAAAGAACTGATGGGTGTTGATTGCATTTTTAGGTGTTGGAGGTGTCTTCAATTGTTTATTTTGTATACGTATCACTATGATTTATGAAAATATAATATGATATGTTATCAAAATCATTTAGGAGTTGGAAAAAAATTAAGGCTTTTCCTTTGGCATGATGCTCCTCCAAGAAATTGCATGAGAATTGGTAGGGGCCTAGCAGAAGGTGTGGTGGTGCTGCTGATGAGGACGTTTTCCATCATTGTATTGGGGATTTGAAATCATGGTTTTTACAACCTTCCAGAGGAGGGTCAGCTGTTTTTCACGATCAAATGATGAAGTGATTACATACTATAATAGTTTTAATTTAAAGATGGTTGCATCATTCGAATTCAAAATAAGGAAATTTCAACTTTGCTGATGAGCAGCAGTTTCAAATTATGGGTGTGTTTGAAGATATAATTTAATTAATTGTTTAGTAAGTGAGCTCTTAATATTAGAATTTAGGAAAGTATTAGGCGTGTTTTATTAATATTAATTCTTTTAATGTATTCAAAGTTGGCAACTCTGAAGAAAACCTAAAATTCTACAATAGAAAACAAAAACTACAGTTCTATTCAAGTTCTATCATTCAATTTGTATCTCCTTCGATTTATTTTTATGTTAAATGAAATTCGAATTCCATTACATCTTTGTTTTTATATTTCTTGAAATTTACTCTCTTGGGCTTTAATATATTACTGAGTGCTTTAGCCCACAAGTTAAAGAATTAAAAAATATATATTACCTTTTTTCGAAGCTCATTTTTTTTTTGTGCTTTATTTTCCATGCTTTTTAACTTCTTGTTGATGTTATTTTCCAACCCATTAGTTTTCCTCTCAATTTATATTTAGCACATTCCATTTCATGTTAATATACTTTTCTAGTTTTCTTGTTATTTACTTTCCAACAAATTTATAGTGTGTGTGTGTGTTAATAAGTGAATTATTAAGCTTATGCTTAGAAATTAATTGATAACTGGAGTCAATACCCTATCTCTCAACAACCTTTAAAATTGTAAAAAGAAATCAATGGGAAGATCAGTTTTGATTTGTGTACTAGCTATTTAATTCAGTAAAAATATAATAATTTGCAATATTTTATATCTGGATCTTCGTGTATGATATACAATCTCAATCATGGGAACTACCTAGTTTGTCGTTACATATCTATATGCAAAGTTCATCCTTATCGTTTTTTTTTTTAAATTTCGGCGCATCTCTATTAATAATAGAAGCGAATAAATTGCAGTAACAAATAATTGACAAATTTATGTCCCGATGGATGCATAAAATTATAAATCTACTAAACAGAAATAAAATAAATAATTTGAACTTAATATTTTATTCTTGATCCACAGTTTGGTATGTAGCTTTCAAAACATAATATCTTTCCAAATTATCTATATCGGGGAAAATAAAACGGATTAATGCCCTTATGAGAGAAACCTTGAATAATAATTACGGTTTGAGTATTAATTTGTTTGACATTACACTTAATTACGACCTAACAACAGTTAAAAAACTCAAATTACTTAACAATAGAAGCTAAGTAAAGGAAGCAATGAGAAGAGGAATCAGAGAAGAAATGAGACAAATGGCACGTCCCTCAAGTTTGATTAATGATTTGTAAGTGAAGTCCAATCTATAGTCAGGTTTGATCTAACTTTTCATGAAAGTACAATTGGAACCATCAAGAGTTGTCATGACTCTTCAATCACTTAGACATGTCATTGTATGTAGGGCTATGCAATACGTACACAAGAGTAGAATACGAACCCTCTAAGCCTAAAATACATGTACTCAAAAGTGTATTAGGAAGTACATTGGGAACCATCAGTCATCACCTAATGGGTCTTCTCTCTTTCACTTGAATGTAAATTGCTATTGACACATCAAGCTTTGTGTACCAATAAACACATGCCACACTCGCCTTTTTAAAACGAGAAATTGTTTGACAAAAAAAAAAACAGAAATAATAAATTAAGATAGAAAAAAGAAAGATTTATTATATAATTTTATTGAATGAATATAAGATATTTTCAATAATGGAATGATCTAACTAAACCTGTACAGGTAAAATGAGACCAGTCAACCTATTTAATCATAATCCCAAAATTGGAAACAACACAATGACCCCTCAACTTATAAGAAGACAAAAACATGGCCAGCAAATTGAACTATAAGTTTAAAAAATAAATAATATAATAAAAATATGAATACTTTTTTTAAATTAAATTCAAAATTTTACAAATAGGAATAACTTATAACATTCTTTAATCAAAATGGTTTATTTGAGAATATAAGCAACTAAAATATGAGGATAAAAAGGAAAATATAGCAAAAATTCAAAGGTATTTGTCTTTAAAAAAATTATATAAGACTTGAGAAGAAAAAATAATATAAAAAATGAAAGTAATTAATATTTTAAGCATTTAAAAACATAAAAAAAAAACTACTAAATAATGGTGAGATTAAGGAGGAGACAGTATAACAAAAAAAAAATCCAAATAAGAACTGCACTTCAATATATAAAAGTGGACAATTTACCTACAGGTTTAATTTTTGCAATTTTACACATATACAAGAAATTTCTAGCTTTTTCTTTTCACATTATTAACATCAAACACATCACTATATCCAATTTATACCTTTTGATTGAATAATTACTTGAAACCTCAAACTTTTTCTCCAGCTTCAAATAATATATTCCCTATGTTTAAAAAACTTTTCCTCAAGTCCTTGAACTATTAAACAGTTCATCATGTTATTCTTTAAATTATTACAAAGTTGGAAGCACTAATAAGTTCTCCCGAACTGACATATTTGACTCTCTAATAGTTTAAAAACTCAAAAAAAAAAAAGAATCATTTAGGTATAGATGCTAATTCGAGGTTGGTAATAAACTTCAAAGATTAACATAACTATATTTTGTATTTACTCTATTTTGGGAATAAGAAAGTGTGTAAGAAAGCAATAGCTTATGGTATTAACTTGCCAATGAATATAATACATGAGAGGGTTATAAATAGAATCACAAGAGCAGTGCCTAATGTAACAGAGAATAACTAACTTACCATTATTAATAAATATCTAACTAACTAGTTTACATATCTATAAATCTTTGTACATAAATGATACTTAATAGTTTAATGAAAAACAATATAATATACATGCAGTTCACAGTTTGAGAGAAAATATTACCCCCAATTAAACTTTGGTCGAATAAATTTCTATAATTTGGTTATAGAAATTTTTAGAATTTATTTAAAATATTTAAAAATAAGAATTTTTATCCAAAAACTTGAATTTTCTTTACTGATGAAGATCTAAATGAGTAGGTATAGGACGGTCCAAGTTGAAGCGAACACGTGCAGTGATCCCGAATGTGAGTATAGGTGCTTGGTGTGTTGTTTGGAGGGTTGTAGCATGCATCACTGTTGTGTGACAGAAGACAGATATCAGAATCAAAACCCTTAAATTATGCATGTAAGGCTTGCTTCTCGGTTCGTATAACTTGATGCAAAGTGTTATCATATGAAAGATGCATTTGTCTATGCCCTCATATGTTTAGCCACGACACACCTTCCTCATATTCAGCTGTTTTCTTTTTCTTTTCAAATATAAAAATTCAGATTTCCAAAGACCATGACATGCTTCACATTTAGGATAGACAAACACTCAATCACATATCTAATACCTTTCACACATACTTAAATGATTTTTTATATAAAAAATATTCCCACGTGCTCTTTCCGGTGCTCGACAATTTCTTTAGAAGAAAATACCATCAAATTAGTGTACATTAGTTAATAGAGGTTTTACGATAAAAATATAAAGAAAATGTTGTGTCACTCGTGATGTCCAATATAATCTTTAGATATTACAAGTTTTAAACAAAAGTGAAAAAAAAAGAAAAGTATTTAAAGAGCACGTAACCTTGTAAAAAGATATAATGATTTTTTATTATTATTTTAGCTGCAAATGAATGTTCAAATCAATTATCGGCCTTTGCATTGTTTTCATTATTTTATGAAACAAAATTTTATGGTAACATAAAATAGGTAAAGTTGGACTTATGGCACCCTTTTTTTCGTCCTAAAACTTTTCCTCATAAAATGAATAATTTGATGATTCTAACTTTTAGCGTCCGCTAAGAATTTCCTACAATATTTTTTTCCCTTTTAAGTAATAATAAAAATTACTCTTAAAATTTAGGACATAAAAAAATTATTTTCAAAAGTAAAATAATCGTTGTATAAAGTTTAAACAATTATTTTAACAGTATTGATAAGTTATTGTTTAAATAATTATTACTTATTCATTTTAGTAATAGTTTTTTTATTTACAATTATGCTAATCATAAAGCTATTGTCTAAATTGAATAAATGACCATAATTTTTAAGATATTAAATAAATAAAATTAATCTAATCCTATTAATTAATACACTAATATTGTTGGCATATAACTCAAGCATATTGCATTTTTTTAAAATATAAATAATTAGTATATTTTAGTTACGACTAAAAGTTTTGAGAACAACTTTTTTTTTTTTTGTTAAAGAAAAAATGTGGCATAAACCAGATAACCTTCAAATATTGTAGTAATTGAATAATTAATATCATTATTGCCAATATGGATGATTAATCTCTGGTCGTTGTTTATTGATAACAATAGGTAGCTAGGTTTATTAAAGAAAATATGTATTTGCACGGTTTTTTGTACCCAAAGATGGCAACATATTATTTTTTAGTAATGGTGCTTTGTGTGGATTTTAAAGGATTGTTACGGATGAACTAATGGAGTTTTCAATTGTGTTTCCCAAAAGGAAGTCTCTCTGGGAATTAACTTTGGTTTATATGATTGTATCACAGTGGAAGTTAATTTTGCAACCATGCATTGGATTAACTACTGATCAGTTTCTTTCTTCCTTTCTACTGTGTTTGGGGTTTGCAAGTCATATATATATGTATGCCACGCCTTTTATTTGCTTTTTGTGTGTGTTACTATAATCTTGAAAACAATTAAAAAGTAGTTAAGTTATAATGACTAACATTATTATAGTCATCGTGAGTTTTTGGGTGACGAAACTTTTGAAAACGATTATTGTGCAAGAGTTTTTTTTTTCCCCTTAATTTCTAACACTATGATTGATAACATAATAGGGTAGGCATATGAACCTAAACATTATATAGATAGATGCATAGGCTTACGAATGAATATGTGAAAGATGCCACCCAATTACGTTGAAACATGAAGAATCTTGCTTTTATCGTGCTGCTTTCTTAATCAAAATCATCTGCTGCAAGTAGAAAGCTAAACAAAGTGGGATTTGTAACTAGACTTGGATACTCAACGACTCGAGACTTTTTTTGGATTTATCTTGCTTTTCCATGTTTGTAAATAATGTTGCCACCCATATAAAGATCATTTACAAAATGCTTTTTTTTTTTTCTTAATGAGTGATATCTTTTACTCTATTAAAAATTAAAAGTACAGCAAATTTATACTATAATTAAGTGAAAAATTTCATTACATAATAATGCGATTTTTCTTTTGGGTCTAATGTCATGTGTATATCTTTTAGATGAAACAATTCTATTCAACTTAAGAATATTTATAACATAATAAGATTAACTCTCTCAGCATGATGTTAATGTCGTAATCTAAGATGCTTTTGTCATAGTTAAAAGAAATAAAAAAAAATTGAAAAATTAATAATGTATTTGGATTAACTTCCTTAAAATAAATCATTTTAAAATTTCATGATTTTTTAAAAACAATTATTTTCTAATAAATCAATTTGAAAATTCACTAAAACAATTTATAGATAATTTAAAGATATATATTACAAATGGGGAATGCTAGTATGCTACAACACATTGGTCCTTAACCCGTTGGGCCTTTGGGTACGCAACATTTGGCGTGCAAGACAGAATACAAAAAATGCGCTGTTAATTTAATTTTTATTAGACCTTTTTAGTATAATTAAAATGTATAATTTTAACCCCAATTTTTATTAAAATTTAATTTTTAAAATGTATTAAATATAAAAAAGAAGCTATATACTGTATTTTAGAATATGTATCAAATGTTATCTTTATTTCATTTTTTTAAAGTTAAAATATATATTTTTTATTTTTTTAACTTCTTAATAAATATTTTCTCACAGTATTGAATTACAAAATTTGATCTTTTATTAATTACTAAAGGGTCCTATTAGTTTTATATTAAGCACTTATATGAAAATTCATTAAAATTATATAAAAATATATTTTCTATTTTGATTATTTGATTAGTGTCCTAACATTTTCCATTATTAAATGATTAAAATGGTTCTTGAAATGTCTTAATTGGAAGTGATGACATATCTAAACGTGTGGTGCCTAGCAATATGGTAATGTTTGAGACTAAGTAGAGCCTTCAATTTGTACAGCTGGTACGTCAAATTGTAATAGACACCGTAAGAAACTTTGTTTTGACATATTAGGAAGAGATTCAACCATGCATGTTCTTATCCTGTAGCACAATAAATCATTTTCTAACTCAACTATGTTACTTGCTTTAAAAATGTTATTCATTCAAATCAAAAAATACTCTGTCTTCATTCACACATCAGTCTCTTTTATAAAAAATTATTTTACACAACAATTCTTTTTCAAGTTTACGTAACAATATGCTAAAAATTTAAATTTAAATTTAAATTCAAATTCAGTGATTAAATTAAAATAATTGTATATCAATTACTTTACATGCTTAATGGTCTAAATCCCCTGTTTTTTGATATATTGCCGTCCATATATTTGTGCACATTTTGCTCTGTACAATGCCGGCCTTTTTAAAAGAGAAGTTGACGCTCACGTACAACCGTTTAATTAATTAATTAATATGAATACGTACATACATTAATTAGAAGAGCCAGATTCCTGCATAATATATGTATCATTTGTCTATTTTTGGCTCTTACAATTGTGTTTTCAAATTAATATTTTATCCCAGTGTCGTGTAAACTATATACTAATCATGCATATATATATTTTAATGTTTAAATTTTGATATATTATTACTAAAAGAGATTAATTTGAGTAACAAATAATTCGATATCACTTACATCAAATCTTAAATTTAAATTTTTATATATATAAAAAATAATTAATAATACTCATTCACCACATTCAAATATGTAGTCTAAGTCATGTCTAAATTTAAAAAAATAAAAATTTATATTATTTATTTATTTTTTTTTAACTAATTATTAGTATAAAATATTTTTCGCTATCAATAAATAAAAAAATAACACCATATAATATATGTACTTCTAATCTCAAAATTTTTCAAGTAAAAACAGTTATTTCAAATTTTATAACCAAACAAATTTTATCTAAAATAAAAAAAAAACTCCAATTTCTTCCTTTTCAGACTCTAATCCCACCACCACATTGTATAACTTCTTTCAAAATTTTATTTAATTTTTGCTCTTAAGCTTTTACGATTATTTTATATTTCAAACACCTATTATGTATAAACTTCTAAATACTTAGATAAAAATAATTTGAGAATTTTATATAAAAGGACCCAATCAATTTTTTAAAACAAAAGAATAAAGTGCAGACAATTCAAATTGTAAAAAACTACGATATACCAATAAACACATTTAAAACACTAATTAAAAAATAACAAATAAAAAATATTTATTAAAAAATAAGAGACGAGGTATATGAATAATATTTGGATAATTTTTTATTCAATACTTTAAGATAATTTAGCTAAAAGTCAAAAATAAACTTAATACTAAAAAAAAAAAAAAGCAGTGGGTTCAGCAGCGACCCAAACGGTCCCGACCTCACCATGTTTGGACCACGTGAACTGCATGTGCTACGTAAAGAGAGTATTATAAATTTATAATGAATGTTATGTGAGATGTTGTGAACACACACGAGCCCATGTCCCATGAATGCAAGTCATGTCATGAGCAATTACAAGAAGAGGGCCATCACTATTCATCCTCTGTTATTAATTAATCAATGACATCATATATATGCATATTGTATATATTTTTTGCTTTTAATTTCACTTACGTGGCAGTGAAAAAAGTATGAATCAGAAACTTAAGAGCAAGTATAACATAATAAAAAGAAAGAGTGATAAAATAGTAACGATTCATTTTCCTAAAGGAAAAATAAACCTAGGATTCAAATCGACCAAAAAAAGAAAGAAAAACAAAAATTATTCTAAGTTAAATCATATTTTCAAATTTGAATTTGAATAAATGTATCCATGTTAACTTTGTGATTTATAACTGTTGAATTTAACTTGAACAAAATAATATTTAAAAAATAATAACTGTGGTTTAAATTAAAAAATTAATATATTTTTTTAAAAATACTCTAGTGATATTATGGGGACAAGCCACAAATTTGTTGTATTTTGATGTATATATTTTGGGTGCTTGGGAGGAGGCAGAGCCTCCACTAAACTAAAGCAATAGCACAAAAGGAAACCCAGCAACTGTGGTGGTTTTGTCAAATGAATGACGTTGCTGAATATCAGTAAGGTGACTAGAGGCACAAGGGACAGGTAAACGTAAAACACTAATCTAAATGCAAAATACCAAATAAATACTCTACTGGTTTTTCATGAAAATGATCATACATACAAATGAAAAACATAGGGAAGCACAAACTCTTGCTCAATTATGTGCTATTATATATTTTGTCCTCTTCTCATTAAATCTTTGAACTTTCGTAAGCACTATGTTATAAACATCCATTCTATGGACATAAAAATGGTTAAAGAGCTCTTACACTGTATCGTATCGAGTGGTGCAATATGTCAAAATATCGAAAGTGTAGAGTACTGTCTAAAATAACAGTAGGGTGCTTATTGGATTAGACGGGGATTTACTTATTCTTTTTTCGGTAGATTTTCTCCAATTTTCGATTGAAGGAGTTTTGCTTATTTTAAGAGAGTAAACGTTGTTAAATTTATTTAAAAATTTATAAAAATATTAAATTATTAATTTGATAACATTTATTAAATAAATTAAATTTATAAAGTTTAATGTACTTTTAAAAATAATCACTGTATAATATAGTTTTAATAATATAAATAAATATTGGATAAATGAATAAATAGCTATGAATTATGTTTGTTTCAAGGTTGGAGTCTTATGTATAAATGAGCTATTTTAACGACACATTAAATTACATGTGAGAAAAAGTAAGATTCAACTAATTTTTAATAAATTTTAACTAATAATTAAGATTATGTAAAAAAAAATGTATTAAAAAGTATTGTTAGTATTTTTTTCTTTCTCTCTGTATAATTCTTTTCATGTTTATAAAACGTGATATTTTTATTTTATTTATTATATACGATAATGAAATATTAAAAAAAAGAAGAAGATAAATATATAAAAATTATAATTAATATTTATATGTGTAGGAAATTTCTCGAGATGGGCAATTTGGTCACGATGGGAACCAACCCAATTGGGGCATTGTGAGTATTGTCGGATAGCGAATGAGATAAATCAGAACAAGTTGGAAGAGTTTGATTTAAATGTTTTTCTACTTGAGGACAAGACAAGGGCACATGTTGAGATAGGGGCCCCTATTCTTTTGTGGAACCCTTAAAGTTGTGAGTTGAGAGGTTGAGATGCTTCCCCTTCCTCATTTCAGTTATATACTTTGTGTAGAGGACAAGATGGTCCTTTCCTATTTTGTTCTTTCCCTTGTCCAATTACACTACGCCCTCTTTTGTTTTTTACAAATAATTTCGGCTCATGTTAATCTTGGTTTTTCACATCTCAATTTTTATTTTCTTTTTATCATATAACTTCAATATTTATTATTTTTTTCTTAAAGTATATATGCATGTACGTGTGAATTTATGTTTAGAGAAAAGGGTAATTACAAAATCCAACAGCAATCAACACCTGGGGGGGAAAAAGAATTGAATAAAAACAGTGCTTTTTCTTTCTAGCTTTTGGTTTGGGGCAAGGGCAACATTGTCGCCATCTACCCATCAGCTCTATATATACTCACTACGCACAATCATGTTTCTCATCTCATCTTTATCTTTCTATATGGTCCTATGTTTTCTTGCAAGTACTAGCACCAATAGCTACTATTTCCGAACTGGTCATAATTAGTCCCTGTTCCTAATTAGCCATATATACTACTACTATTGAAGTAGTATTCAACAGAAAGAGAGACACACGCACGCACCCTAATTGTAATTGGTCATTCATTGTTCCAAACTATGCCTTCACTCTCCGAAGCCTACCGAGCCCACCCAGTGCACGTCCAACACAAGCACCCTGACTTCAACTCCCTACAAGAACTCCCTGAATCATACACTTGGACACAGATTGATGATCACACTAATTACCCTTCCAATTATAGTGTCAAGGAGAGTGTCCCAGTTATTGATCTCAATGACCCCAATTCTTCAAAGCTCATAGGCCATGCATGCAAAACATGGGGTGTGTTCCAAGTGGTAAACCATGGCATCCCCACAAGCCTCCTTGATGACATTCAATGGCTTGGAGAGACCCTTTTCTCTCTTCCTCCTCACCAAAAACACAAAGCAGCTCGTTCCCCTGATGGTGTTGCAGGCTATGGCCTCGCTCGTATCTCTTGTTTCTTCCCCAAACTCATGTGGTCTGAGGGTTTCACAATTCTTGGATCCCCTCTTGAGCATTTCAGCAAACTCTGGCCCCAAGATTATGCCAAATACTGGTTCGTAACATAAAACAAATATATTTATATCCTCATGCACGTGTTTTCAATGCTGTATATTATTAACCTTAAAATTAAATTAACAAGCTATATATGACTTCATCTCTCTTTCTCCTTTCTTTCTTTCTTCTTTGTTTTTCATTACTAATTTCTACTTTTCTTTTTCATTAAAAAAGACATTTTTGGTATTTTTTGTGGTGACGATACAAATGGACAAATTATAAGACCATTTTCTTATCCTAATGCAATTAATTTGCAAAGATCATAATGAGGGGTATGGACCCCCTTGAAGATTAGGAGTGTGATGAGAATCTATTGCACCGAATCAACTTGCATCTATTTGTTAATATATTGGAAATCTCTTGGCTATTGGTCAACAGGGTTGTGGTATGATTTTTCCTAACACTCCTCTATTTGGGGATTTTTCTTCTTTTTTTTTTTGTCTTTTTCTTCAGTGATATTGTCTTGCAATATGATGAAACCATGAAAAAGCTAGCGGGAAAGCTGATGTGGCTCATGTTGGATTCTCTGGGTATTACAAAGGAAGACATCAAATGGGCCGGCTCAAAAGGCCAATTCAAAAAGGCTTGTGCTGCCTTGCAATTGAACTCCTACCCGACTTGCCCGGATCCGGATCGGGCCATGGGTCTTGCCCCGCATACCGACTCCACCCTTCTCACAATCCTCTACCAAAACAACATAAGCGGGCTGCAGGTTCATCGGGAAGGCAGCGGGTGGGTGACAGTGCCGCCATTCCCCGGTGGGCTGGTGATCAATGTGGGCGACCTCCTCCACATATTGTCAAACGGGTTATACCCGAGTGTGCTCCATCGGGTTCTAGTGAACCGGAGCCGGCAACGATTTTCAGTTGCCTATCTATATGGGCCCCCATCCAATGTTGAAATCTGTCCACATGCGAAGTTAGTGGGCCCAACACAGCCTCCACTGTACAGGCCAGTGACTTGGAATGAATACCTTGGCACCAAAGCAAAGCATTTCAACAAGGCACTCTCATCCGTTCGGCTTTGTGCACCTATTAACGGTTTGTTTGATGTAAGCGATCCTCGCAAAAATAGTGTGCAAGTGGGCTAGATTGCTTTGAACTTTTTCGTTTGTTCCTTATTGCATGGTCTATTTTGTACCAAACATAAAAAGGCAACAGAAATGAAGTACCTATTTTTACTTAACTGGAAACTTTTTAGTTAATCAATTGAATGTGGTGGGGGTACAAACAATACAGAAGTTGAAGAGGGTATAGATTAATTTGTTTGGCTCTAAACGGGAGAGAGAATACAGCACAAGCCATTCAGAGGATAAGATACGGCAAATCAAACAAAGTAATGCAAACATACACTCTCACTGATGTTTCGTTTGTCCTTGTATTATTGAAAGGGACATCGCAAAATTTGTCCAATTTCATTATTCAATTCGACCACAGGACGCACTAAAATACATTTTCCTTCCAACTTGATATTTATGTTAAATTTGTGTTAATGTAAATAAGACAGAGAAGGTGTATAATAATCAAAATCCTCACCTCAGTTTTAAATTTTGTGTACTAGGCACTCTAGGAACTCTCTATGTGGAGCAGTTTTGGTCCAATAGCAGATTGCTTATATAATATATGAAGTAAAATACGAAAGAATCGTTACCCAGTTTTCTATGTTCAAAATTTGGATGAAAACATATATACATAGCCGCCCAAATCTTTGTTTTGAAGTCTCTTTTATTAAAATTGTTGTTTTTCATTTCCTCAAGAAAATGGATCCCCTCGAAGCCGCATATGTATAAAATGAAGGACATGCATTTATGAGAACCTTACAAAATCACTAGAGAACGGTTCCACCCAGCCAAGTTGTGTTTTGCTCAGTTATGCTCACTGATCGATGACTGACACGGGTTGCAGATCTAATGAAAAGGATGGATGTGTTTTAGAGAGTGAAATGCATGGCTATAATTTAAGTTTTTAATTTAAGAGCTTTTCAATGTAAATTTCAATGTTAAGATTTTTTTAATGATAAAATTTTAAATATATTTTTAATTCTTTATATTTTACTATTTTTATTTTAATCTCTTTAATTTTTTGGTTTTTATATTTTTGTAAATTGTCATTTTTAATCTCTCTTATTATATTGTTCAAATAAAAATTGATTTTTTTTTTAACATTAGAGACTATACGGTATGGTAAAATTTCGGATATGATGGAGTTTGAATAGAAAATTTTTTACTAAATAAATTACCTAAGTGTGAACACAAGGAAGCCTCTAACTGCTACAGCAATCCTTTAGTTTAACTAAAGAAAATCACAAAATGAAAAAAAAAAATTCTGACGAGAACAACAATTATAGAGATTAAAAATAAAATTTTACAAAAAATTTAGATATTAAAAAAAATAAAATATACTTGAAGAGATTAAAGCTAAAAATTTGCTAAAATAAAAGATATTTAAGCCTATAATAAAAATACATAAGTTTTATTTATTTAAAAAGTTTGATTGTTTTTATTTTAGTTTATAAACATTTACTGAAAAATCATTTAAACTTATTCATATTGGATAAACATTGACAAAAATAAATAATTTTAAAACTTATCAATCATAAGCATATGAATAATAGTTTACCAGCATATACGTATTACAAATATAAAGTATATCATAAAGTATTTCTTATAATAATCTAAACAAGTATTTTCACTCAAGCTAATGTTTGCACTGACTTAGGTCAGTTTTTTTCTCCCATCTCTTCGTCTGTAAAATATCAAACCTAAAATCAAATAAAATAAAAAATGTCTTCATCTGTCTTCAAACCATCATCCTCCTTCAGCAAGATCCTTTGTAAAATGCACCTTCTCCAATAATTCTAATATCAAAGTCTATAACTTGGGGGCAAATCTTTCCTTTCAGCTAGCACCTTTTCTAAAATATAGCTTTTGATACTTTAGGAGACAACAATCCGTAGATAAGTGATGAACGTGAAAGAAACAAAGAACTTACCAGCTGCTTGGTATGTTTTTCACTCCAAATAAAATGAAATAGCGTGAGAGGGAATAATTCTCAATCATTTGACTTATGAAATCATTGTCTGAACACAACGTTGTTATTGTCTCTCTGCAACCACGTGTTGAGGGCTACCCTTAAGGTTATGATGAGGAAGTGCCTGTTTTTACCGCACTTGATGTCATTGGTTTGTCTTGTTTGCTTCCTATTAGCTTCTTTATCGTTGTTGAATTTGCATATGCATGTTGTCCCTACGTCTGTGCTGTTGGGGTCTTCCCCCATGTTTATTCAACCAGCCTGCCCTAAATTTTTCTTCTTTCTAATGATTTTCTTTATTGATAAAATGAAACATTTGTCCTCTTAAAGTAAAATCACATAAATATATTTTCATCTCAATGAACAAACTAAGTTTTGAGCAAAATCTGATATTATCATAAATTTAAAGTGTGTTTAGATATAACTTTTTTCTTCATATTTACAACATATATTTATCATAAAATTAAGTTGTTATATAAATTATTATCATAAATTAATTACGTAACTTCTATCATATGTATTTTACAAGGACTTTCCCTCCCCCTTTTCCTATTAATTAATCTGCTCGTAAACCTTTGTCGAAAGGAAAAGCTTGTATAATAGCCAGTAAGAAAAACTTCATAGGATTCCTGGGAACTGAAGGCCAATATAGGATTTGCCCAACATCACGTTCCGACAGTGGAGATCTAATCCCATTGGGTGCTTCACAATACAAAAGGAACAATTTTGATATAGGATTTTTCTTAGTGCTCATTTTAAAGGAAAGGTATCATTTACAAATTTGATATTAATTAACTTTTTGTATGAGTTAGAGTATATATCCTTGTATTATTAATTGCAATTAACCATTTATATGAGTTAGAGTATATATCATTGTATGCTATTAATTGTAATTAACCCAATTTGTTGCTTATAAAAAAAAAACTGAAGGCCAATATACAATTTCTGTAAGTGTGAAAGGAAGTTTGTATGTGTATCAATCCTGACTTTTTATTATTTTAATTATATATTTTTTAATTTCTCTTTTCCTTTTTGTAGGATCAATCATGCACCATATTTATTATTATTTTTGTTTATCTTTTCTTTCTTTAAAATTTTTATGAGTGAATCAATTTTAAGAGGTATAACAAAGATGAGTTGGGCATTATTTTTCTCCTTAAAAGATGTCAAGACATAGAGTTTTTTCTTAATTTAATTTTCTGACTTTTGTATGACAAAGAAAAATGATTTTTCTATTTCTCTAAGAATATATAAGAAATGAGAGATAAAGTAAAAAGAAAAAAGAAAAAAATTGTGTATATATATATATATATATATATATATATATATATATATATATATATGAGGAAAGATCTTCTTACACTGGTTTAAGTCTAAAAATTTTTACACTCAATTTAAACATTTCATTTAATTTATATCTAACAACAGTGAAGTAATAAATTATAACCCTTTAGATGTAAGTTAAATGAAAGGTTCAGATTAAGTGTAAAAGTTTTTAGACTTACACCAGTTTAAGAAGATCATGCCCTTATATATATATATATATTATAATTTTTTAGTCTTTTGATATAACTCAAATTAAACAATACCAATAAAAACATTTAAATATAATAAATTTACAATTTATTTTAAAATATTCATAATATTAAATGATTGAATTAGTTATATATATTTGCATAGAAAATAAATATCTTGTTAATACAAAATTTACAATAAAGTAAAATAAAAATACTTAATAATTAATAATTAATATATCTAAAGAAGGTCTAGATTTTTTATAATTGAAATAAAAAAAACATGTTTTTTTTTTATGTATAATTAGAACCAGAAGGAGTATAACGTAAATAAATTAAGATAGTAAGAGAGAGTTGCCTGTAGAACATGCATTTTATGTCTTCCAACAACAAAAAACTTCCATTTCATGTTAAGTCAAATGGTGAAAAAATGGAATTCCTTTTATATTACATAATTAATAGTACCAAAAGATCTCTGAATAAATATTTTTAGATTATCATTTAAATTAAAAGAATACAAAAAGGAGGGTAACATTATTATTATTATTATATTGATTTTGTTAAAACAATTTTTAATTTAAATTATAATATTTAATATTGCATGCAACTTCATTTTAATTTCTGACGAAAATATTTTAATAATTGATTCCTTTTAGTTATCGCAACAATTATTATATATCTCTATCATTTTATTGCGAAGCAAAGAAATGTAAGATTACTTGCATGAGCCATTATTGAAGGATTAAAGTGGTCCATTTCGACATACATGTAGTTAGTTTGTTATTAATGGAGTAGGATCAGTGAAATCGCTGTAAAACCATTGAGTTCTGAACTTTTCAACAATCTTAATGGGTTATCTTTCTAATTTCCCATTATACGGATAATGAATTAATGGTGATTACACATTAGTAGAGTGACGTGAACTATTCCATCAAATGATTAATGAATACACTTTCATGTGACAATGACATGAAGATGAACTTAACACACAGATTAGGTTGCCAACACACCAATATCTTGTTGATAAAAAAGAAATGGTGCACGATTGATTAATTGGCACACCAAGATGTATATCCGTACATTCCCAAAGAAACTTCTCCTCTGTTCAAGATTTTTGTGTCTATATACGTTACAATCTTAATTTAATTTCAATTCAGTAAGTATTTAATACTACGCTGGCTGTGTGAGTTGTCTTGCAGCATTAATTACAGTACTAAACGTAGGTGTGGGGTGCAAGTTGATCACACTGCATTATACAGGTTAAGATTGAAACACTGTTTGTTATTCTCAAATTGGAGTTATTGGGCACAACGCGACATATCTACACTACAAAACACAATACATAGAGACATGGAACATGATATGAACAAATGAATTATATGAAATTAAATATCTCGGATATGTTTTATTGAAGGTGCTATACAAGAAGTGCCAAATATAGATTTTCTTAAATTTAAAAAGTATTAGGTGTTGAACTATTTAAGCCAGGTGTATAATTGATACACGTCAAGCTTGAATGACACATATCTTTTTTCTTCAAGTGTCGGCGAGGTTTAATTAATAAGTTCAGAGCTTATGTTATGAAAAGATATTAGAGCTTGAAATATGGTGGAGTTTAACTGTTCTATGACTATGAGTTTGTGACGCAATAAGATGCATGATTTAGTTTATCCTATGGAAGGTTTGAAGCACTCCATGATGGGAATGATTGAAGTGCCTCAAGGCGAAAGACAGCTAAATCCCAACTTTGAACAAATAATTGGTGACTCAATGAAGGAAGAGGCAACCCCTTTTGGGGTGAAGTTCGGTTGTGTTTCAATATGGGTGAAATGTTTAGGAGATCATAATTATATTTGAATTTGACTAGTTTGTTCCTACATTGAGCTGTATTATGCAATGCCAATTATGTCAAAGGACTATATATGCGGCTCTTTCCAATGAACCCAAATCATGATTTTGTTGAAGTGTTTTTATCAAATATCAGAATCAAGCTTCTTTATCAGCCAGGATATCCGAATCAATCTAAGTCACATCAACTATAGATCATATAAGCTAGATTTTTATTACGATTTTGTGAATGAGATGTTTTACTTGCACCAATCGAATATGACCAATGCTTTCATCAAACTTTTCAACACGGCTTCAATATTCACCTTTTCAAATCATGTTGACGGGTGAAGTCCAAAGCCACCTTGCTGTCGATGATCTTTGTTACCTACCTCTTCTCTGATCCCACCACACGAGCAACAAGCCCATGAGGATCAGATAATAGCATTTGGTGCCAAAGAAAAATAAAATATTATACATAAAATTATGAAAAGCCATGCACTCTTCTTTCACGAGGTCAATGTCTTTTCAAATTGTGAATGACTACTATACCTTTCGGATCTATGATCAGCATTGTTATCTTAATCTTATCAATGTGATTGAGAGGTACCTCTCTTCATAAGGCTTAACCTTCGTGGGTCTATTTGATTCCAAAGAAAATGGCTACAAATTCCAAAAGCATATCGTTTTCAACGCTTAGTACACCGCACGGGCTGGCTTCTAATTGTAAGCAACGACCCGTTATTGCTATTTTATAATTTTCATATATTTCCCTATTTTGTCTTCCTTTGTCACTTGGGTTTATGTGGCTACCTTTTGCTTCCACCAGATTCCGATGTCGTTCTGCACATTAGATATATATTGCACTTAAAATATTAGACGTCCATTTAATCCATCGTACCTGGATATAATAGTTTTAATTATTGGAATAGAGTTGATAATATAACAAGAAATTTAGGATCTAACATACTAATTAAATATATATTAGTATTGGTCATGCAATACTAGCACCAATTCCGTATTCTGCTTTGTCGATCTCTTGTGGATTGCTTACCCCAAATATTTTTCACTCATTTGAGTTCAATATCTGCCATGTCTATTTTAAGCACACATATTTAAAACTAAACTATGCGTGACATGGATTTGTCCCTACCTTGTAATAATAGACTTGTAAATTCTTATAAAGATTGAAATATAAAATAATAATAAAATGATATATATAGAATAAAACTTTAAAATTTCTATTCCATCATCGCATATAATAATAATAATAAATCTTGATACAGTATATTCAATTTAATAATCACAAACAAAATTTAAATTAACAGTTTTCCAGTTATTCTGCTCTATATAGTTGTTTCTTGGTACTTGAATTTTCATGAACACAACACAACCAATGATGTAATATAAGTTAATTCAAGTATCAATCTTGGGTAGATTCTCCCAGAGACCAGACCACACAGCTAAAAGCTAAAAAGTAGCTGAGTTATTAATTTTCTTGCTTGGATGGATAAGAGACCAAAAAGCAGGCAACATGGTATAGCTATTCCTATATCGCAATAATGGGGGTGGCATATCTCAGTTATCTAAGCCAAACAAATCTAATGCTATGGAAAGCAAAAACCAGAAAAGGTCCTAAGTGGCTTAAGATCGTCAATCAGCTTACAACAAGCAGACAAAATGGCTGATATAATCAAAAGCATTTCCTCAACGAAAAACATGGGAGTATGGTAGACAAAGTGCTGAATTTTGCCAATCATACAACCCACCATTATATGCATCTAAATAACTGAATTCAGTACAATCAAAAGTATATTTTTAATTAAATAAGCCAACCTAACAAGCAGTCGTTGTAGTATAGTGGTGAGTATTCCCGCCTGTCACGCGGGTGACCCGGGTTCGATCCCCGGCAACGGCGTTCTCATTTTTGTTCTATTTTGGGGATTTTCAAGTCTCTTCTCGTGTCATGTTATATTTGGATGGGCAAAACCTTTTTTCTTTTGCTTTGGTCAAAGATAGGCCCAAGATTTTATTTTAGTCAATGGCCCATGTCGGAACATTGAAACTCAGTTTTGCTTTGTTTTTGCGTCCACCAAAAGATAGACCCAATAAAATAAAAAGTAAATTTATTCCAGCCCAACACATCCAAAAATAATTAAGCAGTTCGGTTTGATATTGTAGGATTCAAAATTTTTCTTAACCTTTTATATTAGTATTTCAAGAGACATAAAAACAAGAATTGTGGACCGAAAACAAAAAGAAGAGAAATTATTTGTGTGTAAACCTGTGTTACAAAATAATTTCTCTACATTCTGTATACCAGTCTCAAATTGCTAACTACTGAATCCAGAAACTGCATATTTTAAGGTCTTGCAAGTCATTATAAATATTTGGAGTTGATCACGAAAATATATATAGACTATAGACTATATAGACTTGAGAGTTTAAGGCAAGTTTTAATGTCATAGCACTACTTTGTAGGGTCACATTGGCATAATGGATAATCTTGATGCGAATCTTAATTTGTGCATGTCCAAGTCCATGGTCTTCATACTGCTTGTACACCATTATTGTTAGATTAACTCATTCAAGTTTAGAATTAGTTGTTTGTTTTTTAATAAACCTACTCTCCAGGAATAAAATTCTTAGTTAATTTGTTATTCCGTAGAAATAGCCATGATATAGTCATGGATCTTTCTTTTACTCCTGTTCTGTACTGGCTATATAAAGCCATTTCATTCCATTTAATAAATTAATATCATCCGACCTTAAACACTGGTATTAGAGCCCACACAAGGGCCTGATACTTAGAAAGCACAAAAAAAAAAAAACAAAAGAAGAAGAAGAGTTGAGTGAAACACATGGCTGACGGCAATAGCTTCCTCAGTATTCTGAAGTTTGATGGAGACTATGATCACTGGTCCATGTTAATGGAAAACTTGTTGAGATCAAAAGAGTACTGGAGCGTGGTGGAGCAAGGCTATGAAGAGCCTAAAACACTGGAGTCACTCACAAGAGCAGAACGTCAAACCTTGGAGGAGCGAAAGCTAAAGGACTTGAGGGCCAAGAATAATCTGTTTCAATCTATTGACAAGAATATTTTGAAAACAATCACCTAAGGAGAAGACAAATCATGGTAAGAGTAAGCATATTTATGTTCAATTTCATTTTCTTCGGGAGTTGACAAATCAAGGAGAAATTGAATTAGTACACTGTGGTACTAAGGATCAGCTAGCTGACATTATGACCAAGGCCTTGAAACTGGAAGTATTCGTGAAATTGAGAGAAAGACTTGGAATGTGCAGTAAACTGATTGTGCTTACTTGAATAACAACTCAGTTTAAGGGAGGGTTTGTTGGAAGAGTACCGTTGTTTGTGGAACAAGTTCTGACTCATTCAAGTTTAGAATTAGTTGTTTGTTTTTTAATAAACCTACTCTCCAGGGATAGGATTCTTAGTTAATTTGTTATTCCGTAGAAATAGCCATGATATAGTTATGGGTCCTTCTTTTACTCCTGTTTCTGTATTGGCTATATAAAACCATTTCATTCCATTTAATAAATTAAGCTTAAGAGTTACAATTAGTATTGATATCATCCGACCTTAAATAGTTATATGTAATATTATATTTTAATCATACTCTTCTTATGCGGAACCTGTTCTATGGGAACAAGAAACAATGTTTTAATGTACAATATAGTTGATGTTTCTCCTGATAGCGGCAAAATATTGCCAAAGCCTTGAGTTATTGTTTGTTTCATCAATGATATTAAATTGAGAACTAGTGATTAAGAACGATGCATCCACATCATCATGCAGAGATTTAGATGAATATCAATTATGAAGTGATGGAATAGGGAATTGAGAACAAGATGCAAAAATACATTACTTTGCATTGAGAATTATATTAACAATACAAAAGTATTCTTATTGGTGTGCTTACATTTATAAAAAGAAACTGAAAATGGGCAAGTACAAGTACTATCTATATTAGTGTAAAGAAAAAATGAAAATATAAAGAATCTTTCACGTTGGGAAAGAGTGGAATAGAGAAAATCTATTTATCTCTTTTGGAAGTTAAATGCCTTGATTGCAACAGCGAAAATGAATGCAAAGAGAACCGCAATGCCAGCAACAACAACAGCACAAACTCCAATGAAGTCATGTTTGATACCATAATAGTCTTCAAGGAAATATTTCACAGGCTTTCCTTCAGTTTGCATTTCTGTCATTATATCTCCAAACTGAGATGCAACCAATCCATAAATGGTCCAAGCCACTGGACAAGCCCAATAGTACCATCTCCACCACACAGGAATGCTCTGTTCAAAACCAAATAACACTTAGCATAAATAATAATATTCATAAATGCATTCATAGGTTGTTAACACTTACAGGTCTAGGGACCACAAATCCTGAGAAGAGATTCCAAATTGCATAAAATGCAGCAGCCACAATGGAAGCAACATGGTGGTTTGGTGTCACTGCCACAGACATCATGCCATAGAAGGTGAAGTACAAAAATGTGAAGTACATGAAAAATAGATACCAAAAGAATTTCTCTGCAGTCCAGTCAAATCCAATCATGGCATAAACTATGACACCATATGTCACTGCTTGAGCAAAGATGTAAGGTACCTCTACCAGAATCTGTCACAAAAAAGGTTGTGTTAATTAGCATGACTACATATGCAAACTAAGGTACTAATTATTAATTAATGATTATGTTTGTGTGATTAATACCTGTGCAAATGCATAGGGTAAGGCAGAGTACATTCCAGCAGCCTTTTCTCTATAAAACACAGTTCTTTCAACTGCTACCACTGGCTGTACTGAGGAAGAGTTTTGTACTCCAAGGAAGAGAACAGCAGTGTACATTGAACCAATAGCATTCAACAGGTCTTGTCTACTTGTGCTGTAGAATCACCAAAATGAATCAGAATTCAAGTGGAATTTGCAAGATGAGACTTTTTTTTGGTGAATAATATGATTTTGTTTAAAAATTTTGACTTACTGTTTGCCTCCAAGGTCCCAGAACATTGTTCCAAACATCAAGGCTATGAAGGTAGTGAAGAAAAACCTCACAGCAGTGTATGGTGGATTACGCCAGTAAGACCAACGTTGTTTCCATAAACAAGCTTGGCATTGGACCAAGAATGACTGAGAGTATTGAGTAGGGAAATGAAGATCCTTTGAACCAGGAGCAGACTGGCCCAGTTCTTGTATAAGCTGCTTGTTTCTCCTGAAGAACCATGGAAAACAAATTTAAGCATTTTGCAAATCAAGAAAATAAAAATGACAATGGGTACTATAGTTAATAGACTTATATTTATATGCATTATCATCTTACCTATATAGATCAGAATTCTTGTATAAATCAGTAAAATCAACACCCAAACTAAGTTCTTGTGCTGTAGTTGTAACTTCCAACATCCATGTAGCTGGATTATATCCGTCTTTGATTTTGCTCACTCCTTCAATGCTCTGCACAGTTGAATTTATTGTAAAAAAAAAATATAAATAATTATAAAGAATTACAGTGGTTCACTTAAAAGTTAATAATGTTGAAATTTAAGTAGGATTTTACCTCAAAATATTTGATCAATTGGCTTGAATGACGACCCAGTGGTCCAACATATATTTCTAGTCCTCCACGCTTCATCAGGAATAGCTGGAATCACACATAAAATAACATGTCAGGTTCAAGTCTAATGGAGAAAAAACCTACATAAGACAATTTCATTTATCATTATGATTGCTCACCTCATCAAAAGCTTCAAATATGTCAATGCTAGGTTGATGGATGGTACAAACAACTGTTCTTCCTGTGTCAACAGTGTTCCTCACTGTTCTCATAACAATTGCAGCAGCTCTTGCATCCAACCCTGAAGTAGGCTCGTCCATGAATATTATAGAGGGATTGGCCACTAATTCAACTGCAATAGTCAACCTCTTGCGTTGTTCAGTTGAGAGACCACTCACACCAGGCAAACCAACCAATGAGTTCCTTAATGGCTTCAGCTCAACTAGTTCCATGACTTCCTCAATGAACATCTGCAACCATTGGTCAAATCCAAAAAGTTTGAACAATCAGCCTCTAAGAAGAGAAAGCCAGCTATATAAATGACTTAGCTAAAAGTTTTTTCATTGTTCTTACTAACATTTCTGGTGTTGGAATCAACACTTGAAGGTAAACGAAGCCATGCTGAGTAGAGCAAGGATTCATAAACTGTAACATGAGGTGAGTGGATATCATTTTGCTCACAGTAGCCAGAGATACGAGCAAAAGTTTCTTGCTTTTTGGGATACCCAGAAATTTTTATGCTTCCTTCAATATATCCACCGGTTTTCCTACCAGCCAGAACATCCATCAAAGTAGTCTTACCAGCTCCACTAACACCCATCAAAGCTGTGAGAACACCAGGCCTGAATGCTCCACTAACACCCTTCAAAAGGACCAATCTATCCTCTTGTACACCTTGTTCCTTCATTTCCTGCAAGTTCAAATATATATAGAGTTAGAAATCCTAAGAGAAACACTATTAGAAACACAAATATTAAATTTGTATACAACTATGATTGTGATTTACCTGTGGCATGTCAACAGAGTATATGATCTCATCAAAGGTGATAGAATGTGGTTCAAAAGGAAGGACCATTCCTTTTTTCTTTCCATGGCTAGACTCCACAACAGAATCACCTCTTCCTGAACTTTCTGCAAGACATTTGAAAAAATGTTCAGATTTCAGCGTCTTAAGGTGTATTATGAATTACTAATTAATGAGTATGTTTGCCATAGCGTATTCATGAGTGATTTATAAGCAAGGTAGTGCACCTATGCGTGGTAATTCAACTTCTGCTACATTTCCTTGGTTAGGGTTATCTGCTTCTGGTTCATCTTCAGTAATTGATGCTTGTGGCTTATCAAATGCTGCACATTTAAATGCATATTTATTAATAAAACTTGCATCTATAAAAAAGACATTTTAAAGTACAAATGATGCAAAAAATACTCACCGTCGAGGAACTCAAGAGCTAAACCAAACATCAGGTTCAAAAGGAACACAAATCCAACAAGTGCCCCAACGCCTAACCAATACCAATATGAATCTGTGAAGAACCCACGAGTTTCCAAATATTGAACTCCTAAATTGTTGGTAGCCTGTAATTGGAGCAAAAATATTAGGCCTGCACTTTTCTTAACCAAAAGTAGGCAAATTCTAAAGTTGCAATTTCAAGAAATTACATTGTGCCAACTGTTCCCAAGAAATTCATTGACCATCAAAGCATTCTGCCCATACATCAAAGGTGAAATCCAGTAACCCCAAATCCACCAGCCTTTGATATCCTCTGTTTCATTGGCAAAGAAATGCAAGAAGCATTAGTTAAGGTTTATACATTATGAGAAAAATGCAACAATTTGTTTTTTTGGGGTCACGGGTGTGTGTTAATTCAACTTACTTCTTGACAGAATGAAACCACCCAATGCGAGAAGTGTGAGAACTGCAAAGGAACCAAATGTGTTGGCAACAATCATGTTTCTACCCAATGCTGCAATAGCTCGGAATAATCCAGAAGCCATTTGACTAACAAATAATAGCACAAGGTACTGCTTGAAGAGCCTGCACAAAATTCAAGACCTCACATCATTAGTAACATGCAAACTAGTATAAGTAGCATTCGCACTCCTAACTGATAAAAGCAGCTTCTTTACCTCCCAACATTTGGATCAAATCCAACAACATAGTAGGTGAGAAATACCCAAACAGCAACCTCCACTATTGTAACAGGAATCTTAAGAATCCATGAAGGAATAGCGTATGCCCAAGAGGGATAAAATAGAAGGTCCCTTTGCTTGTAGAAAACAGGAAGCTTAGCAATGGTCATAGAAATCTCAGCCATTCCATTAAACATAACCATTATTAATGTAAAAAACAGTGCACCAGCATAAACACCCGCATCATCCTGAGTGTCATGATGCATCTCGGTACGGAAAAATAGTGTCATTGCAATTAAGGCCATGACGAAAAGCTGAAAAGCATCAAGAGAAAAACGGTAGGTCAAAAACATGTACATGTAAAACATTCATTTATAAATGAAATATAGCATTTGGTTTTTATTCATATAAACGAGGAAGAACTCTAGAACCAACCTGACATAGCTTGAAGATGTAGACAAATGAATTCCTTTTCATAAGCAAGTACTCTCTTGAGAAGTTAGCCTTTAACAGCTCCTTCTTGTTGATACCATAACTCTTAGTGGTTAATGCAGCAGGGTGGTTCTTAGTCTTGTCATATGGAACTGCAAGCTCCTCGCCAAGTTTTCTACCAATATGGAATGATTGAAATGCCTCAGCAAATTGAGTAACAGTCACAAATCTATATGGTTCATCTCTTCGGGCCCAGTACTGTGCTTGATCCTTTTTAGAAGTCACTTCTTGAAGAAAATCAGCGACACCCTTCCTCTCAGGACATCTAAAACCCATGGTTTCAAAGAAGTCCAAAACATATTCACGTGGACCATGATAAACAACTTGTCCATCAGAGATTAAGATAATGTCATCAAAAAGCTCATAAGTCTCAGGTGCTGGCTGGAGCAAAGATATAACAGCAGTTCCATTAAGAATGTGAACATATTGCCTTAAAGAGCTCACAATCTGAAATGTTGTGGAACTGTCCAACCCAGTGGAGATTTCATCCATGAATAGAGCATTTGCTGGTCCAACCAACATCTCTCCTGTAGTAACACGCTTCCTTTGTCCTCCAGAGATCCCACGCAACATTTCATCTCCCACCATAGTATCAGCGCATATGTCCAACCCCAAAATCTGCAAAATCATACAGTTGAATAATTGAATACCTTGGCCTTTAAACAAACTTCAACTCATGACATCACGCAATTGAATTGAACCTTGAGTATTACCTTTAGTGTATAGTCCGTTACTAAGCTTGATTCCTGGCCTTCAGCAGCAGTTGCCTGTTATAGCAAAAGATAATCAGATTTAGATACAATGACAGTATTTAAATATATAAATAAAGTAGCTTTCTTTTTTTGTTTTCTTATTTTACTAAAGTAAAGGTTGATAATAGTTTGTTTTTCTCACCTTCATGTAGACATCAATATCTGGATCAGGCTTGATATTTGCATCTTTCTCTCTTCTGGACAACTCAGACAGCAAGTCTGTGGATCCCAAAAATGAAAACAAGTTGTGTTTATGCTACACACATCTTAAGTTAGATTTTGAAAATGTTATCAAGGTGGTAAAAATGGACTAACCATAACGTGATCCAACCCCTTGGCACCTAGCTGAGAAAGCCAAGGTTTCTCTCACAGTCATTTCTCCAATATGAACATCATGCTGGCTAATATACGCAGCAGTTCTCTGGGGTACAAACTCATTCATTCCATGTCCATTGTAAGTCACTCTCCCGGATACCTGAAAAACACATAGGTATCCAAATTAGATTTTGCTTTTAGTGATACCATATTTGTTATTTAATATACAATATTTAAGGTAGATCTTTTTCACCTGAAGACTTTTATCAAGCTTTCCTGACAAGGCTAAAAGGAGTGTAGTCTTTCCTGAACTGGGAGGACCCAAAAGCAGTGTCATCCTCCGAGGTTTAACAATCCCACTAACATCTTTAAGAATAGTGACGTGTTTCTTTTTGCTTGGGATAATATGGAGCAAATTCAGAAGTCCCTGAAAGACCAAAATAGAGAAAGACCATGAGACTAATCGCAAACCAAAACAAAGAAACCACGAAAACCAAAAAGCAAAATTTTATGCACTAGAATCTGTCCCTCCCTACCTCTATGACATTAGTAACAGAGTTGATGAAACTGGGCAAAGCTCTACTTCCCACAAATGCCTCTGCCTCAATATTCAGGTGCTCATATCTAACTTCAATTGTTGGAATATCAAGCCCAACTCTAGAAAAAAAGAATGAGATAAGAAGCTTATTAGTTATTACTTCATCAAACAGTGAATCTTGGAACAGAAGGACGCAAAAGCAATCCACATGCATGGTGGTATATTATATATATATACCTATCAATTCTCTCCTTGAGCTTCAACAAGAACTTCTCATTGTCCTCTTCAGCAACCTTGACCAACCTCTCAAGAAGTTTCTGTCTTTCTTGAAAACCGAGATCAGTGACATCGATCTCATTGGTGATTCCATGTGATGCAGTTAACAAACCTTTCTTGAGACGGTTGTATGTGGGTAGCTTCTCAAGTGCTGCCCATTTCAAAGCTTCTTCATCATCCTCTTCACGAGAAGACTTTGAGAAAACCTCAACACCACTGTTTCTCCAAACAGTGGAACTTCTTGCTCTTAAACTATTACTTGCTCTGTATACATCACTTCCCTCCATTGTCACTTACCCACCTCCTTGTTTCTTCTTCTTCAAGGTAGGCAAATTTAAAGCGTATGTGACCAAACCCAACAACACACTTCTCTTTTTGTTTGCAGCTGAATGCTAAAGAATCAAAGAATGAACAAAAACAAATGAAAGATAAAATTTTGATTTCTGGGGTGCGATGAAAATTGAGTATGGAATGGAAAAACATGTCTCTATTTATACCTTTGAAGTTCAAAAAACAGGCGGCGTAGGAAGAGTCAAACGTTGAAATATATCCCATTTTCTTTTATTTTTTCATATTAAAGATATAAGAAAAAGTACAATAAGTTAAACAATGAAACCAGAAAAGAAAGAAAAAAGAACACGGGGAAATTAAATTAATCATAACAAACTCTGAAGGGAAAGTTCCACTCTCCAATGGTCAAATAAAGAAAGAGGAAATTTCCTGGTTACTCGAATCATATGCTCTAATTTATTATTTATCTTTTCATAAAAAAAAAAAAGTATATCATTTATCTTAGAAATGTGTATAAATAACTAGTACGAGGCCGTAGAATGCACGGTCATGCAAAAGTTTCTCGGGATGTATCATTGTATTGTTCTAACTTTTAATAAAGCAATGTTTGCCAAAAATATACGAAAAAATCGAATTAAGAATTAAACAAAATCTATGAAAAAAAAAAAAGGTAGGGAATATTATTGTTCCGTAATTATTGGATTAAAACAAGGCGGCTGAGACTACTCGTTTGGGGATGGAAGAACAGTGTGTAATAATTGTATCTAACAATAATTCAGCAAAAGGGATTCATAAAACAACAAAATAACAAAAGAAGACAATTAAAAAAGGTTAGGATATTTAAAAATAATATTAAATAATTAAAAGGGTCTAGTCAGGACTTTGGGCTTGACCAGTACGGTTGTAAAGTATCCTACAAGGGAGGGAAGATCTTTTGTAGTTTTTGTAGAATTAAATTTAGAAATGCAAGACATGATATGACACTGTTTGAAAAACTATAATGTATGTCCAATGGAAGGACATAAGAATCCTTTGAGATGAAATTTGATTAAAAGAAAAGGAAACAGCAAAAATCAACTAATAAATTGAATCAGCAAAGACGTCACTCACAGATATTTTACATTTGTAATTTTAAAGAAAATAAAAGCTTGAAGGTTGGAAATTCACGTGTGTACTGTTTATGAGTCTTCACTTCCCAAATAATGGCAACTAGAACAATCAGCCATGGCATTTTGACTTCTAGATTCATAAAAACTTAAATTTAACGTCGGTCAACAAAATTGATCTGTTCTTCTCGTCGTTGAAAGGCGCTTTAGACCAATCAATCAACTTCTAGATAGATAGTACTCGATTGCAAAAAAAAAAGGAAAACTTATAGTAGTAATAGATCTAGTAGATTTTTACCCTTTTAATGGTCCACATTAAATACGAACTTAAACCCCTTTTTTATAATCAAAACAAGTGTGATTTATTATCAAGCTATGGTTTCAACCATAGGAGTAAAAAAATTGACACCAATTGGATTTGACTAAAGTTTTGTTTTTCTCCAAACTTGATAAAACAAGTTTAAAGTTTAGATTAAAGCTAATTCCAACATATATTAGATATCTCTTGATTTAGAGATTTTCATGAATCATGAATCATGGCACGATACTGTGTGTTTTTAAATTTATCCAATAAAAAAAAAGTAAACAGTGTAGGCTTCTAGATGCATGAAAAGCAGCCCACAAGTTTATTGGTTGAGCAAAGGGAAATGGAGAAGGATCACGTTATCTTTTAGCACTCCCACCAAGGGTCTACGCATGGCATCTGTAAAATCAATAAAATATTGTTGGACTTATTCTCTTTCATTGGTTTCCCATCTATATTCATGATTCGGTTTCGGTGGCTTGACCGATTTGAAATTTATGACGCAAATATTTAAATTGCCACCTGCTTCTAGATGGCTTATTTATTTTGATGTTTTTATATCAGTTAATATCATTTTATAATATGTACCCATGTCACAAAGTATCCTTAAATATTTAAGAATATTGTATATTATCATTTTTTTGGCCTCATTCCCATGGTATGAGTAGAGATTTTTTTTTTAAAAAAAAAATTACCATTAAGGGAGACTATGTTGGAAGACTTCAAGAAATTTGATCTACACAGCACAAATTAAAGTGTGGGGGTGACAAATTTGAGCAAAGTGTCTTTGCCAGATCTTTTGAACCTTTTTCAAAAGCTGATGAGCTAAGAAGTTTGTAATTTTGTTTAGTTTTTCTGAATAATTTGTAATTTTTTCTTTCCCTCAAGAAATTAGATAAATAATGTACTAAAAAATAACAAGTATCACCAATCGCCGCCCGGGGGGGGGGGGGGGGAGGTGTTAAAAACTTAGGGTCAATGTCCTCTGTTGATAAGTCAGAGACTGTGTAAATTGCACCACCTATTTAACAAATGGTTTAATGTCATAATCAGTTCCAAAGTCCAAACTGAGAGGCGTGGTAAGCTACCTTCAGTTCAATGCTTACAAAGGGGTCTTTCACCATATTCAAAGTTCAAACCATGCTTCCCATTTTTTATTTTTAGTTTTTCTTTCTATATCCACTAGTGACTTATATATACTATTTGCTATTCACTTGAAAGCTTCTATTCTATCGCCTTTGGAAATTGAAGACCTTTACAGATATAGCAAAGATAATAGCAAATAGAACTGCAAACCCAACAACTACACATGCAGCAACTCCTACAAAATCATCTCTATAACCGAAGTACCTCCTTAGAAACTCTTTAACTGTCTCATTAAACTCAATTGTACTTGTTACATCACCAAACTGCGATGCAGCCAATCCATACAAGGTCCAAGCCACAGGACATGCCCAATAGTACCATCTCCACCACACAGGAATACTCTGTCACCAAAATGAGTCAGAGAAAATAGAAAACAAAACTAAGCATTGGTATCCATATACATTTATTGAAATTCCTAATATGCATGCTTATTACATTTGTAAATTACATGACTTACAGGTCTTGGGACAATAAATCCAGAAAAAAGATTCCAAATTCCATAGAATGCAGTGGCCACAATTGAAGCAACATGTTGGTTTGGTGTTACAGCCACAGTCATCATGCCATAAAAGGTGAAGTATAGAAATGTGAAGTACATGAAGAATAGATACCAAAAGAATTTGGATGCAGTCCATTCAAATCCGATCATTGCATAAACTATGAGGCCATATGTAACAGCTTGAGCAAGAATATATGGTAGCTCTATTGCAACCTAAGAATTAAAAGATGTATAGATTAACATTAATATGCTAAAATATAAAATTGACATAGCCGTAAATACTAAATAATGCTACTAAAAGTTAAATTAATAACCTGCGCAATTGCATAGGGAATGGCTGAATACATTCCAGCTGCTCTTTCTCTATAAAATACTGTTCTTTCAATGGCCACCACTGGCTGCACAGAAGAGGCATTCTGGGTCCCAAGGAAGAGAATGGCATTGTACATGGAACCGATGGCATTAAACAGATCTTGTTTCCGTCGTCTGCAAATTTTTCAGAAGGGATCAAGTATCAACACATCTTATGCGCATGTTTTTTAATTATGAGTTAAGTGATAGTAACTCACGTTTTGGATCCAAGGTCCCAGAACATTGTTCCAAACATCAAAGCTACAAATGTAGTGAACAAAAATCTCACTGCAGTATATGGAGGATTGCGCCAGTATGACCAATGTTGTTTCCATAGGCAGGCCATGCATTGGATGAGAAATGGCTGTGCATATTGAGTAGGAAAATTGAGTTCCTTGAAACCAGGAGCAGGTTTGCTCAATTCAGCTATAAGTGCTTTATTCCTCCTAACATATGGCATAAATATAAATTTTTTAGCACTTGTTTTAAATAATATCCTTGTAATATTTTTTTTTAAAAAAATATTTTGACAAAATAAGAATCTTGTGCAACACTACAAACTAAATTACCTATGTAGTTCTGAATTTCTGTATATATCAGCAAAGTCAACATTCAAATCCATTTCTCGTGCCGAAGTTGTAATTTCCAACATCCATGTTGCAGGGTTATGTCCATCTTTGATTTTACTAACCCCTTCAATCCTCTGCTTGAAAGCAGAGTTAGAAATAATGCAGTATCAATAACAACTGTCAAGAACTCCTATAGATGTCATTTGAGATTTTTGTTGAGTCTTTTAGACATGCCTTACCTCAAAATACTCTATGAGGTGGTTCGAATGACGACCCAATGGGCCAACATATATTTCTTGTCCTCCTCGCTTCAGTAGGAAAAGCTGAAACCAATTTTTGTTGATCATGCTCAACTTGTACAAAGAGCCAAATCAGAATATAATTATCATTTGATCAAGAACAGAATTCACCTCATCAAAAGCTTCAAATATGTCAATGCTTGGTTGATGGATTGTACAAATAACTGTTCTTCCTGTGTCCACTGTATTTCTAACTGTTCTCATAACAATTGCAGCAGCTCTAGCATCTAGACCGGAAGTTGGCTCATCCATGAATATTATGGAAGGGTTAGCCACTAGCTCAACTGCTATAGTTAGCCTCTTGCGCTGTTCAGTAGAGAGACCACTCACACCAGGCAAACCAACTAAAGCTTGCCTCAACACGTTCAACTCTACCAGCTCCATCACTTCCTCAATGAACATCTATAATCATTTATAGTAAAGATAACTAATTCTTAGACTTATGATCAGTTAACATAGGTAATTACCAATTGCCAATATGTAAGGTTGGACTTTAAATGCTAACCATTCTGGTTTCAGAATTGACTTCAGGTGATAAACGAAGCCATGCTGAGTAAAGTAAGGATTCATAGACTGTAACATGAGGAGAGTGGATATCATTCTGCTCACAGTAGCCAGAGATTCGAGCATATGTTTCTTGCCTTTTAGGGTACCCTGAAATTGTGATCCTCCCCTCAGTGTACCCTCCAGTTTTCCTTCCAGCCAACACATCCATCAAAGTTGTTTTACCTGCTCCACTTACACCCATCAGAGCTGTGAGAACGCCTGGCCTAAATACTCCACTAACTCCCTTCAGAAGGACCAATCTGTCCTCAATTACACCTCTATTCTTCATTTCCTGCAAGTTGAAATAAAAAAGCAGACTTATGATATGATAATATTCTTTCCAAGTCCAATATCTTTAGTGTCTGTGTGAGAATCAATCACCTCTGGCATGTCTACCGAGTATGTGATTTCATCAAAGGTAAGAGAATGTGGCTCAAATGGAAGAATCATTCCCCTTTTCCTCCTGTGGCTGGACTCAACATCAGCCTCTGGCCTCACTGATGCAGAGCTGGAAGACATACTTTCTGTTCCATTGTCATCTAAGTTCCCTGCATGACAATTGAAAGGTTTTTCAGAATCTGAAAGACTTGCTACGAGTTCTAGAAGAAAAACACAAACATGCTACGTATATGCAAGTCATAAGCATAAAATAAATCACCTATCTTTATGTTGTTACTTGTTGTTGCATTTACTGTGAGGTTGAGTGTTAATTCAATATCTTCTATAGTTTTGTCTCTATGCTTCTTGCCAAGAGCTTCTTTAGATATGACAGCTTGTGGCTTCTCTAGTGCTGCTTAATCATTACCATAAGTCAGTCATGGTATCATTTTCAAGAATATAAAAGCTATATAAGGGAGATACTCACGGTTGAGATAAGTGAGAGCCAAAGTGAATGTGATGTTCAACAGAAAAACAAACCCAAACAATGCTCCAACCCCTATCCAATACCAGAATGCATGGGTGAAGAAACCACGAGACTTCAGAACCTCAACTCCCAATGGCTCGGTTGAATTTGGAAGAACCTATAGTTGGTGTTTGGTGAGCCAAAATAATAGATGTTCTAGCAACTCATTGGAAACTGGAAAACATTTGAAGTTTGATAATTTGAAAAATTACATGATTCCAACTCTGACCAAGGAACTCATTGACCATCATAGCATTCTGCTCATACATAATTGGTGAAATCCAGTAACCCCAAATCCACCATTTCTTAACATCCTCTGTTTCAATAGGAGACAAAAAAAGGGCAAACCACTACATAAGGTTCAAAAATTTGAAACGGAAAGACATATTTTACACTTATTGGACTGTTGTACCTCTTGACAATATGAAGCCACCCAATGTAAGAAGTGTGACTATTGCAAATGATCCAAATGTGTTAGCAATAATCATATTCCTACCCACTGCAGCAATTGAACGAAACAACGCAGAAGCCATCTGGCCAAGTAGTAATAACAAAAAATACTGTTTGAAAAACCTGCATCAAGAAAAGCATCTCATATCTAATTCACTGGAGTAAGTCTGTCCCAGGTGCAAAGTAAATGTTTATTAGTTTGCTCAACTTTATCCGTTAAGGCTTAGTTTAAGCATCTAAAAATAATAAATTTTTACTGAGAAATAAAGTATTTATTAAATTAAATATACAAAAGTATAATAAATGCTCTCATTTTCAGTAAAAGTTTACTATTTTTGAATGTTTAAACTTAATTCTAAAGGCTGAGATATGGAAAGACTATTTACCTGCCAACATTGGGGTCAAATCCAATTACATAGTAGGTGATAGATACCCAGACCACAACTTCAGTCAATGTAACAGGAATCTTAAGGATCCAGCTGGGGATAGCATATGCCCATGCAGGGTAGAATAGGAGGTCCCTTTGCTTGTAAAAAATAGGAAGTTTTGCTACAGTCATGGAAATATCAGGCATCCCATTAAACAAGACCATTACTATAGTGAAAAAAAGTGCACCACTGTAAACTCCCCCATTATCCACAGAATCTCTATGCATCTCAGTTCGCATGAATACTGTCATTGCTACCACTGCCATCACTGCCAGCTAATGGGAAAAGAAGAAAAATCACACGTAAAATCATGCAGGCAAAACACAAATTAAAAATCAAAACAATCAAACCTAATTGCATGTAAACACAACTGAGCCTAAAACTAACTTGTGATAGCTTGAAGATGTAAACAAATGCATTCCTCTTCATAAGCAGATACTCTCTTGAGAAGTTAGCTTTCAAAAGCTCCTTCTTGTTTACCCCATACTTCTTAGTAGTTAATGCAGCTGGGTGGTTCTTTGTCCTATCAAATGGAACTGATAGCTCATCTCCAATTTCCCTACCCACATGGAAGCGTTGAAATGCCACAGCAAATTCATTAACTCTAACAAAACTGTATGGCTCATCTTTGTGTACCCAGTACTGTTCTTGATCCTTCCTTGAAGTTACCTATAAGAGTAGGCAAAGAATATAGATACATCTACTATTCTGATTCACATATGTGGAGCCAAGTTTTTTTGATATCATCTTAAGTTTAGACTTGAACTTAATTCAACCCCAAAAGTTAGCTCTTAAAAGTCATGATTGTTTTAATCTTTATAAGTTTTAATTTAGTCATTTCTGCCTTCAACAAAGTAAATATTGACTTACTTCTTGAAGGAAGTCCGCAACACCTTTTCTCTCAGGACATCTGAAACCCATAGATTCAAAAAACTGAAGGACGAGCTGACGAGGTCCATGGTATACTATTTGGCCATCAGAGAGGAGAATAATGTCATCAAAAAGCTCATATGTCTCTGGCTCTGGTTGCAATAGTGAGATAACTGCTGTTCCATTTAGAATGTGAACAATTTGTCTAAGACATTTCATAATTTGAACAGTTGTGGAGCTGTCCAAGCCAGTTGATATTTCATCCATGAACAGTGCATTTGTTGGACCAACCAACATCTCCCCTGTAAATGATCCATACAAATTACAAGACACGAATATAGAATGCAGAAACTGAATTGAATCACTACCTGTGGTAACACGCTTCCTTTGTCCACCAGATATACCACGCAACATTTCATCCCCTACCACAGTATCAGCACATATTTCCAGCCCCAAGATCTATAAAATACAAGTAAGTAAATTCTTGAGAGCTTCATATTTGTGCAGTTGTAGTAAGCTCAGAACACTTTGAAGAATAATGAAGATATCACCTTAAGTATATATTCTGTCATCATCTGGTTTGCTTCCTGGCCTTCAGATGCTGTTGCCTGGTATCATAAGAAGCCAATAAAATGAATAGCATAAGCTTTATTAATCAAAATATAACTGGACTATAATAAGAGGTTGGGACGCTTAAATAATTTTTACTAAGTTGATTTATTTATAAAACAATCACTAAAAATCTCTTTAAGTAGATTTCTAATGGAAGCGTTGGACATAAAACAAACTTTAAAGCTCATTGTCACCTTCATGTAGATGTCAATATACGGGTCAGGCTTAATATTTGCTGCTATTTCTCTTCTTGACAGTTCAGATAGCAAGTCTGTGTATGGCCACAACAATATTGAGTAATGCTTGGATTACAAATTTGGAAGTAATCATTTTCAATAAAAGCATGAAATGAAAAGAAAGGCTTTTATTTAGGTGAAAGTTGACTACCATAACGTGATCCAACCCCTTGGCACCTTGCAGAGAAAGCCAAGGTTTCCCTTACAGTCATTTCTCCAATATGAACATCATGTTGGCCAATATAGGCAGCAGTTCTCTGAGGTACAAATTCATTCATTCCATGCCCATTATAAGTCACTCCCCCAGAAACCTGCACCATATATAAGCATTCAAGTTGGATATAAATAATTAAATTAATTGATTAAAATAGAACGAAGGATGAATTGAATTTTTTTCACCTTAAGATTTGGATCAAGTTTTCCTGCCAGAGCCAAAAGTAGTGTTGTTTTTCCAGAACTTGGAGGACCCAAAAGCAATGTCATCCTGATAAAAGCAATGGCGAAGTATGAGACTGAGATACAGGAAAATAAATAAGGTTTGAGCTTTATGAATCCACACAATCCTATCTTCTCACCTACAAGGTTTTACTATTCCACTAACATCTTTAAGAATAGTCACATGCTTCTTTTTGCTTGAAAGAATATGCAGATAATTCAAACAATTCTGAAAGATCAAAATTGTGAGAGTTATTATAGATCAAACATAAACTAATAGTAATTTTGATTAAAAAAAGGCAAGAAAGCACACGGTTTACCTCTAATGTATTAACAATGAAGTTAAAAAACGTGGGTAAGGCTCTGCTGCCAACATAAGCTTCTGCCTCAACATTTAGATGCTCAAATCTGGCTTCAATTGTTGGAATACAAATACCAACTCTAGAAATATTGGATGATAAAAAAGGGAGAGAAAACTCATTGTTGCGTTGTCAAGGAAATACATTAAAACAAAACAATAAAAGCTTAAACCATTTTGCCTTGTAATAATATGGTCAGAAAATAGAAGGATAAGTTACCTATCTATTCTTTCCCTTAGCTTCAACAGAAACTTCTCATTGTCCTCTTCAGCATCTCGTACCAACCTCTCCAACACTTTCTTTCTTGCCTTTGTTCCAATATCAGTGACATCAATTTCATTGACCTCACCACTGGATGTAGTTAACAAGCCTTTCTTTAAACGATTGTAAGTAGGGAGTTTTTCAAGTGCCGCCCATTTTAGAGCTTCTTCATCATCTACTTCATGAGCGGACCTAGAGAAAACGTCCATCGTATTGTTTCTCCAAATTGAAGAACTACTTACTCGTAAGCTGTTAGTAACATTATTCAGGTTACTAGTTTCCATTGTCAACCAAGAAAGGATGAAAAAGCAAAAAACTAGAGCTGCAACAACTACTCAAACTAGTTTAGCCCGACAACTTTATTCCAAACTTTTCTTACAAGTTGAAAACCAGGGAATAGTGTTACAAAATCTTTCTTTGCATGTTAAGTTCATTCCTCACGTCCTAAGAATACGTGAAAGGAAAAACAATGGCATGCATGAATACATATATACAGATGAAAGTGCTGGGGGTAAAGTGTCAGGAATAGGGATCCTGTTTTTACTGAAGTTTTGAGACTAAACAGGGCATGATATGACAATAGAGCCAAGCAAGGATGACGCAATAATCGTGGACTTTATGGCTAAATTTATCCATGCAAGTAGGTACACTCTTTTCTTGCTAATATTTTTCAAATGAAACTTATAAGAGTAGAACTCTGATTTGGACTCATAACGTCATCTGTTAACCGGCACAATCTATCAGTTGTTGACATTTAAATGAAACATAATTATAGATTATGGGGTCAACTAAAGCTATTATTTTGCTTCCTATTACACTTTACCATAATGAAAAGGGTTGGTTAAAAAGTTGGAACATGGACAAGTTCAAGCCTTAAAGAAATGAATACTTGGTTATTGCGTTGGACACTTGGAAATTGAAAAAATGCAGGCATTGTATCGTGTCATCTGTTTGATTGGCTAGCAGAAAACCACAAGGTAGTGAATTTGAAAATTTGTTAATCAACGTTAACAAGAAAAGGTTTGATTGATAATATTATCATCACTACTGCTATATCCTACTTATCGTTAACTGTGTTAATAGAAATAACAAGCGTTGCACTGACACTTTTTTTTTTTTTTTTGGTCAAGAACTTGATCATGCTAACATACTTCAATAACCAAATCATGTGTCAATTCGATGGTAAGGTTGTCAATTCGATGGATCCATGTTTATTGGATAAAATGTAGTCCTATTGACAAAAAAAAAATGTAGTCCAGAAAATATTTTATATTTATACTAAAACCATTAATATTTTATATTTTAAATTTCAATTTTTATTTTATACAAAAAGAATTAAGTAAAAGTATGTTTAAATATATTTATCAGTACTATTTATTATTAATTATCAAGTCAATTATTTAAGAACTCACCAAAGAAAAAGAGAACTAAAATAAAAATAATTATTTAAGAAGTCTGTTTAAATATTTTATAAAAAAATATAATCAAGTAATATATTTAAATTAACTTTTAATCACTGTTTATGTATTTTTCAACTGTAAATTAACTTAAATGAACCAAATTTTTAAATTACTGTTTATATATTAGATAAGTGGGGAATCGACCTACAAAGTTAAAAGCACAGTTGCTGAATCCATGGGCCATATTCACTTACTTACCCCACAAATGATGATTGGTGAGCATTGGCAATATCCAAATTCGCTCAACATAAACCCTGGGGTCTTGTGACCTTTGAGAGACAAAATCTTACAATTGGATTTCTTATTTGGGAGTGTACCTTGAGAAAAAAAGGGACTTTTTGGTAGCTTTTCTGGGAGCAGTGACCCAATTTGCTGTTCAAACGAGATTGATTTTTCAGGAATCATTTCCTACTTTTAACACCAATTTCAAATTTCGACATTATGTTAATCCACGGCAATTGTAACCAAACTAGTCTTCATCTCATCTTCTTTTGCCACTTTTTTGGGTTACATCTAAAATTTCAAGGACATTTTGGTCCAAATAAATTTATGACATTTATTTTCCTCCCATGTAACCGTTACCCCCAACCATAGTATAGCATCGAAATATATTAGGTATAACCCCAAACTTTGATTTAATAAATTTTCAGTTTGAAACCTTTGAAAGTTAAAAGCAATTCGACCGTTGCCTCTCTCCCCCACATAACACGCTCTCCCCCCCTGTCTTTGTATCTGCTTCAAACAAAAACTTCTTCAAGCTCAACGCTAATGGCGGAAGATTATGGGTTTGCCCCAGAGGAAATGAGTGTCAATGAGAACCTTGGATACCCTAAAGCCTACGCTAAACTCTGTCGTGACCGAGGTTTCACTCCCTATAGCCATGGCCCTCCCTTCACTTTCATACCTCATGCTTTGCACGAAGACGAGGTAAGCAAATTGGATCTGACCCTTTTCACTCTTCGTTCAGTTTTATAGAAAAAAAAAAACGCAACTTTAAGGAAGTTAAGTTGCGGGGTGAATGATTTGTTTCACTGGGTAGCTTCAAATTCAGTTTATGTGTTTGCTATGTTTTTGTTTGACTTTTAGGCTGAGAGAGCAAGGGATTTGGATGAGATGTTTCCGATGATTGATCCGAAAGCTAAACCAACGAGCAAACCTAAAATCTTTGTGAGTGTCTTGTGGAAGCAGCTGAGCCATCTTGGGTAGGTACTTTGAGTTTGGCAGCTTCAAACATGTTTTGGAAATTTCAATTCTGATTTGATTTGTGATCAATTTGGGAAATTTCAGGAATGCTGGCTTTGACCCTGCGGTGATTCGAGTTGATGCTTATGGCAACGTCCTCTATTATCATGCTGACTCAGCTTCTCCTTTGGCTTGGGATATTGATCACTGGTTTCCCTGTTCAAGTAATAATTTTCTTTCTCTTTTTCAATTAATCATTCGGTGTGATTTAGGACGTATTAAGAAAATTTGTTAAATTAAATGATTAATTGATTATAATTTCTCTTACTTTTATGCCTACAAATACTCTTAATTTTACTAACTAAAGAAAGTATTAAATCCTTTTTCATACTTTTAACATAATAAATATATATTTTTATTTAATATTTAGATTATTATGAAGATATTACAAAGCTGTTAAAGTTTATCCCTGTTTAAACTAAATTCAAATTCTATTATTATATTAATTACTGAGAAGTGAGAAAGGTTTAATATTTATGAAAGATAAATATAAAAAATTAATGAATGTTTTTAAAATTTCGTAGAGTGATATGTCAAGGACAATAAAATATCATCAAAGAGGTCTAAAAAAAATTGGAGGGAGTAGAATTCAATTGACATATCTTTCAATGTGTGATTTTGCTTCTTTGGGATGATAATGCAGGGGGAGGTTTGACTGTTCTTAGCAATCTAAGTATATTACAGAGGCAAGCCTGTAAGAGGAAGAAAAACAAACTGGAATTCTTGGTGCCATGGTGGGATTTCCAATTGGGTATATCTGTAAACCAGTTCATGTCCATTTTTGCTTCTTCAAACTCAGACTTCAGGCAGGTTTTCTGCTTTATTTAGTTTTATTGGGCCTTAATTTTCATTAACATGATGTGGAGAAGGGTGATGATATTTTTGTACTTGCAAACAACAGGCACAGAGCCTTTTCATTCTTGTTCTATGAAGGAGAAAATCAAGAATTGAATGCTTCACAAATAGTGGATTCTCATTCTTTTCCACAACACTTTGTTGGATTGAAAGATGAAATTGGCCTTGCTCCAGCTGCAATTGTGGAATCTAGAAGGGAACCTTATGATGCATTAAGACAACTTGATTACAATAGGAAGCAAAGGCCCATGTCTCCTGCAATAGGTTAGTAGCAGCGCATGATTATGGGATTATCATATCAAGTTTGAATTAATTATCTGAATTTGAATACGAAGATTGATTTTTGTGTCTGACCAGCCTCTGTTTGGAAATCTTTTCAGTTGCTGCAAGAAAAAGAAATGGCAATCTCCTGAAAGAAAATGAAGATCCAGAGTTTGTGAAAAACCCCTACCAAGCCATTGTCATGGCCAGAGATTCCCTGAAGCAAAGAGAGGAAACTACAAAAATGCACGCAGAAATGCTGAAGCTAGATAATGAAGTGAATGAAATGAAGCTCAAAAATGAGGAAGAAAAGCTCACTATTCAAGACCTGGAATTAACTCTCATTAAACGTAGGAGGAAAGCAGAAAAGTGCAGACGTTTAGCTGAGGCTCAATCTTCTTACAGGACTATGCTAGAGAAGATGATTAGAGACACTATGCACCAGTAAGTCCCAATAACCTCAATTGAAATAAATGCAATGTAATATCTAGCGTTGAAAACAGTGTGATTGAGTGTGTTGTACACATTTCTCTTTATATTTTCCTGGTAAAGAGCAGTAAAAGAACACTCCTATATACTTCAATAAAGCTAGTTCTAATATTTGTATTTTCAATATAATAATTGTATTATTGATCGTCAACAAGAAGTTTTTGAAAAATTGGTTTTGGTGCAGGAGTGTCATTTATAAGGAACAGGTAAGATTGAACCAGGCTGCAACTAATGCACTAATGGCTAGACTTGAAGCACAGAGGGCACTCTGCGATGCTGCTGAGAAAGATCTTCACAAGAAATACAAACAAAGGGATGACATAGAGAAACAGATTAGACCTGAATGGGAGCAAGGAAGGAAGAGGTCAAGAATAGATGATTTCACATTTGAAGAGAGAGACATTAAACCTGCTCTTTATTTGCCTGGACCCAGCAGACCAAGAACACCTTTGCACAAGGAGCTCAGAGTGTTTTTACAAGAAGAACAAAGGGCATCTGAAGCTGGCTTATCTGCAAACGAAGAACAAAAACAGGAAGAAAAAGAAGAGAAGCTGAAAATGCCAACTACTAATAAAACAGAAGAGAAGCTTGAGGAGCATACCAGATCAAGTGTTTTATTGGATGAAGAAAACTCAATTGAGCACAGACTTAAGAAGCTAGAAATCAGTGAAGAGAAGAGGAATTATGCCATTTCATTCCTGGGTCTTCATGAGACAGAAACCGAGGAAGATGATGAAGAAACAAGGAAGGAACGTGGCAAAGGAAATGTTGAAAGGTGGCTTCAAATGCTTTTAGAGAATGGTCAACAAGAAGGAACTGATCCACAAGAAACAAACAAAAACGCTTCTCTTGAAACTGAAGAAATAATCCAACAGCTGAATCAGAAGTTTCCACAAAAGGAGTTGAAGGTCTCAAAAGTTTCAGATTCTGATTATGAAGAGAAGAAGCTGCAACTTCTTCAAGACAATAAGGGCTGGACAGAGAAAGAAGATAGAATAGAAAATGAAGAAGATATAAGTGTTATGCCAACAAGATACAAAAATTACTGTGAAGAAGCTCGCATATGTGAAGGAAATGGCACTCCAAGTTTTGAAGGGATGGAAAGAAAGGAACAACATAAAAAGGGAAAAAAGCTTGCTAGATCAGAGAGTGCCAAGACCTTGAGGCGAATCCCATCTTCTCCATCTTTGCTTCTTGGGATAAAAAAAGGTGTGGACTACATACGGAAGAAGCCAATGGCAAGTGATGATGGTGTTAATGAGGATCTTGCATCAGGAAACAGCTTCTTGAGGTCATCCATGAAGACAATCAAGAAAGCTGTCAAATTATGAATACAAAATATATTTTAGGAATGCATTTGTACCTTGTGTTTCTTGATCTTGACTATTTTACAAATTTGAGTGATGCTAGGAGAATAAAATGAGTGAAATTTATTGTAATCCAAAAAAAGAAGAGAAAATAAGGTGTGAAATGTTGGTATTCTATTGTTTGATTTGTGTATAAGATTTTTAAGCTGTCAAATATTTGACAAGTGATAACAGCTTGTTGTTTTGCCGCAAGCATTTCTAGCTTCTTGTTATCGCAAACTTTGTGCAAGAAATTTGAAAATTCCCGCATCTGCTACAATAATTTCTTTGTTCACATACCCTTTTACACCTTTTACAAACAGAAATGACCTTGGTTGCTGTTGTTCCTATATGTCCATTGTTGCTGAAAGAACAATCTTGATGCAACTTGGCAAGAAGGTCAAGAATGGTTAAAATTTGTAAATTGGTGTATTAAAAATGAGGAAACATTTAAAAAAGAACGCACTTTAAATAGTACGTTGAATTTTCCTCCAGCAAATCAGATCTGTCCATTTTCTTGTCTCACTCTTTCTTTCATATATATCTTTACTTGGGGGCATACCTTAATATATGTAGTCACATTTGTATCTAGAACTTCGGTATACACACATCTTTATTGAATTGATTCCAAATACAACAGAGTTGTATCTTACATTATTTCTCAAGTTCCAACAAACGGACTTATATAACACAACAAATTATGTCAATCATATGTTTTTTATTCACAGCCTCTCTTTCAGGACAAAGATTTCCTCCACTTGTAGGGAGTCCTACTTTTGACCAGACCGGTTTTCATGTACATGGGCGTTTGCCTTCCAAACCCAACTTCCCTTTCAGCCTGTTCATCATCATCTTCTTCTTCTTCTTCTTCTTGGATTTTCTCCACCTCTCCCCAACTTTTACTAAACACAGGCATTCCAAATTTCTTCCATTTGAATAACCATTTCTTCTTCTCCATCATTCTCTCCATCTGAACTTGCATAGCATTGCACTGATTTTGCAGCCTGTGAACATCTTCCTTCAGCCTCCTTATCTCCATTTGTTGAGCATTCATTTCACGCTTTGAAAGGCATCGTATTGGTGGATCAAGGCCACTATTTGGGCTCCTCAAGCCACTGAAGGAGCCACTCCAATCTATGTGGCGATTGAGTTTGGTTTGTTCAGAGAAGAGCACCTGAATCACAGCTCTAACAGGTAACCTTTCATTTTGAGCTGCATGAAGTGAGGCCTCCGGTGTGAGTTTCCTGCTATCAATCAGCCTACACAGACCCTTCCTTTCTTGTTTTAACACTCCTGGATGTGCCTATAACACATAACCAGAGTTAGAAGAGTTTCAAGATCATACCCAAAAATAAACTTACTCTGATCAAGTACTCAAAACAAAATGCTATAAATTTCATTCAAATCTCTTCTTCTCTTTCTTTCCTCTTTTTATTCCTGGCTTTTCATGGGTTTTAGTATTACCCGTGTACCAAATATAAGTCTTCAAACGGTATTGAATTTAGGATTATTGCTTGCTATATCATGATCAGACGTACTAGTTATGGAAAGTCAATTCCCATGTTCTTCTTTTGAGCAATAACTAGTATCCCGCATTTTTAAATAGTAAAAATGAAGCTGTAATCATAAACTGGACAAGATTGTATTATTCAAATATCGTGGGAGAAGACTAACTACTAAGATGCATGTGGGTTACTTAAATTCAGAAGAACTACTATACTTGTTAGAGTGGCAACACCTAAGAAGTACACATTGCTATAGGAAGGAAATGCCCAGCTTTAGCGTCTACACCAAAAAGGGTTTCCCGTTTCCCATACCAAGTAATCATTAATTACGTTCCATTTCAGTAAAACAGTTGAATAACCTTTTCCATGCATCAGTAAGTGGACAAGAGAAAAGCCAAATGTAGAGAAGTGCTAATTACAGCTATGATCCTGTAGCCCCACATGAAAGACATTTATGTCATTTCACTTGGCTTTTTGCTCCCGGTCCCTGTTCAATCTCCTACCCTCCGAAGTATCTCATGTTGGTGACAACACAAGAAACATTTTCTGGGATATCCAGAATGAACCTCTAAATTCATCTCCACTTGTTTGCTTCTCTCCTTGTCTTTAATAAATAAACTAAGACAATGAAGATTACTGAATATCAAAGAATAATAAAACAAATTGAAACAAAAAAAGGCATACTTTTAAGTAAGTGTCAATGGCTCGGTACAAGCCATCATCGGTTGCTCTTGCATGGCATGGAAGAGCTCCAGCAAGTGCAACAAACTCAGATAAACTCAAGTTGGCATCCACAGCAGCCTCGGCGAGGTAGCAATCAACCAACTTGGCCACCTTAACCAAAGCAACACCAGTTTTAGCTCCATCATGGTCCAAACTCACGAACCTCTTAACCAGCCTAAGGACAAGCTCAACATCCAAGAGGGTCCCACAAGTGTGGCTGAAAGAGGGTATCATGAGCTCTTTGAGAGAAGCTTGATCTAGCTGCCATGAAATGCGCTTCTCAAGCTCAACTCTATAAGTGGCCTCAACACCAACCATGTTAGCAGTTCTTAGAAGACGAAGGAGGAAGTTGCATGGGATGGAATCCTTCTCTGGAGGAAGAACACCCACCAAGGTTTCCACGAAGAACCTCTTCTTCATCCATGATATTGTGACACTTTCGGGTGATTCATGGAAATGGGTGAGGCCATTTTCAGCCGCAGAAAGATCAGGGAGCCACTTGGAAGCATAGTGAGTGATGATGGAACCGATCAAGTCAGCACGCACACCTTTCTGTTTGATGCCTGAAAGGGTCTTCACGAAGTAATCCATGTCAAGGATGCATGCATCGTCGAACCAGCACTCCGAGGATAATTGGCTTACACATTTCTCTGGGAAACTGGTCTCTGATTCTTCACAAGATTGCTTCTTCATTTCTGTGAGCACTCAGAAACTCAGCTCCACAATTCCTTGCTTCTTATATGTAATGTAATGTACTCATATAAATACTTTCATCTATGAATTTATTTTTTTAATATTAAAAAATAGTGAAAATATCTTTGTGGACAACTATGACCTCGAAAAATGTTCATGTTGATTTTAGTATTTTACATTACAAAGCAGGTAAATAATAAAGATTTGTTCATATGTGGATAACAAACAGAACTAGGACCATTATTTGGCAGGTATGTAGTATATTTCGTTGACAAATGCTGTGAGATTTTATTCGGCTGTTCTCTAATTTAATTCCAATTCAATTTTAGTTATTTTAAGTTAAAATATTTTTGGGTGGAATGTCAGCGTGCAAAACAGTAAGATATATGAAGTATGACTGCATTGTATTGGTAAGATAATGATAAAAATATTTCAGTGTTTTAATTTTAGCCTTGTTGGGGAATTTAGAAAGAGGAGTGGGAGTATTCACACTGCTTAATCTTCCATTCCTATGACAGAGAGAGAGAGAGAGACTAAATTGCTGAAATCGTTGGAGAACAAAAGTAATTATAACAGCATCAGAGTTGAAAAGGACTTGAAAGAGAGTGGTTTGTTGGATCTAAGATTCTACATGTAATGTTTTGCGTGAGGGATTTGGACTCGTTCCATTTACATGGATAGAATACCATATAGGAAGGAATTGAGAAGGGATATACAAACAAAAATTGAAGGTTGTTTGTTTTGTTTATGATGTCACAGTTGCACCATAGTAAAGGTAGGTGATGATGGATTTACGATCGTCGATATCAAGAACGAGGAATTGAACCGTGCATAGCAGTGGGGACAATGAAACGGAAACCTGGGGGGGTCCCACATATACGCCAAAGTTTGTGTTTTGCATATCCCAATCTCGTGAACCATCCCAACGTTTGTTGCTTTCGAAGCTGCCATATGTACCTCTCAGTACCATGGGCCCCACCCTACTTCATTTTTAGAGTAAACCTCAATTTTGTGAAATTACATATTTCATTCACTTCAATTTTTTAATATATTTTTGAAAAATTTAAAAAGTAAGAATTGTATAAAATTAAAATAAATAATAGTTACTATGTTATTTTATTTTATTGAGGATAGCCCGGGCCATAATTCTTTTGCCTAAGGTGAAATCCAAAAATAATTATATTCTTGAATTGGGGCCATTTCCACGGCAGAATTCTTTTTCTTTTGGGTTCTGTGCCTACTCATACACAATATCTTTTGGGCTTTGTGTAAAAATATATGAACTACAGATTCAACTAGAAGCCCATGTAAGGACAGTGCTTAAAAATGAAATGCTTCGTTTGACCCAAAAAACCGAAAGACAATAATGAAATGCTTCCATCTCGACCAAAAAAAAGTGCTACTATCAATTCAAAAGTCTCCTAAAGAGTAAGCCTTATTTAATCAACTAACTAATCAAAATTATTTTACAGATCCTTTAATTAATTTTATCAATTATATATTGATAGATATTACCTGTTGTTTCCTAAATTCACTTGTAGAGTAATTTTCTTTTTTAATTATTTACATTCGTTTTTTTTTGTAGTGGCAAGTGGGTAGCATAGCTCCCTGTAAACCAACCAACATATATTGTTTACAAAACAAAAATTACAAATCTGTTCATTCTTTCATTTGATATAACTTGAAAACAAATGTGCTCCCACAAAATAGGAAAGCTTCATAATGAGAGAATGATAAAATCATTTATCTATGGGGACAAAAGTAACAACAATGAGACTTGAAAAAAATAGTGAGAAACTTATTCTATGAAATAATGACCTACAACAAATAGTTTGGGCTAACATCACTCATGAGTTCATCTGATTCTTTCTGCCATGCAATTCAACAGAAAGAAGTATGCTTAAATATTGCTAGGAGTTGAAGCTTCAGAAGGACTACTTGAGGAGTCACCTAGAGTTGGATTTAACAGTGAAACATTTGCATCCTCATTCTTAGCCACAACTGGTATCTTAACAGCAGCTGCTCTTTCCATCTCTTTCTCAAGTTCTTCTTCTCGACGCAATGCAGAAAACTGGGTATCCAGAGACTTAGCTGCTGATAACCAAGCAAGAACAATCACCAGAAGCACCCCTCCAAGGTATGGAGTTGAATTAGCTAGTGAACCAAAACTTAAGATCATAAACTGCTGAATTAGAGCTCCTCCAGACTTTCCCAATGGGTTGCACACCACATCAATGGCTGCCTTCCCCTTCACCTACACCAAGGAGTTTAACACAAGTCAACTATAAGTGGATACAGCTGCAAGATTTTGGGATTCAAAACCAGTCAAAGGTGAGAACATATTCTCATGAGAAAAATTAAGATTTTAATTTTAGTGATATAAGTGTAGAAAAAAATTATATTGCCACTCAATTAGAACATAACTTTTAAATTAAAAATCCCAAAAGACAATGATTCTTGCTGATATATTAATTCAAGATTGAATAATTTTTAAAAAAATTACAATATCGGTGTATTTTAATTAAATTCAAAATTTAATCTTTAATCATGCAACAACAAATAGATGGACATGATCAAATTTAAGTAATACAATCTTGACCATACAACCCTAATTATATATGTAATATAAATTATTAGAAGTTTCAAGTTGATTTAGCACAAATATTATTGTAGCAGATATAAGTACAAACCTTGGTATCCTCATCCAAGGGTATGTAGGCCATTTCTTTGCAAGGATCAAATAAACTGTACTTAGCACTTTTGCTGAATATGTTCTGCATGGCACCCACATATACAGCAGCAAGCAGTGGAGTCATTCCAAACTTAGCAATAACAGGAGCAATTGGGCCGCCAAATAATATAAGAGAAAAGAAACCAACTCCTGTCAAAAGCAGGACAGTAGGGGTGATCTTGGCAGCAACTCCCCATCCATATTTGTCAAATATAAATTGGCTTAGAAGCATCATTGTGAATGTAGCAATTCCAGTTGCAGTTGAGAAGTCACCCATAAAAGATGAGTACTCATTTGGGCTAGGAAACTGCACAAATTGCAATGGTGTGTATGAGAGAGTGATGAAAAAAGTTGTGATAAATCATAAAACCAAAAGTAAGAAAGTTTTACTTTACCTGAGCTTTGAGCTTTGATTTCCATGTAACCTCAACTAGATTAATGCTAATTCCATATGCAACCACTAAAGTGGCAAGATCCCTTATATATCTTGAAGAAACCAAGAACTTTATGCTCTCCATTGTTCCCATTTTAGGCTTCTCCTGGAAAAATTGCACAATATTAGTAGTTGACCCAAAAAATTGGAATTTCCTATTTTCGGACATTTAAAATAAAATGAGGATAACCAAAGAGCTAGGAGAATTTCATACACGCATAGAAATGAATCAATCATACTACAGAAATGATTCCCCATCTAAACATTATATTGAAAGCCAGTTTTTGTAATAAAATACTCCCTGTACCATTTAACACATCAGAAAAAAACTGAGAAATGATATATTACTTTGCTTTCAGTTTTCTCGACAACTAAATTAGTATACACTCAAGAATAAAAGAAAATATGTAAGCATTAGAAGAACAGAATGAGCACGATTCAAAAGACTACCTTCTTCTTCTTGCTTCTTGCAGGAAGAGGAACATAATTATTCACCCACCAATACAGGAAACAGATTGCTAGTCCCATAGCCACCACTATGCTCATCATCGCTTTCAGAGAGATGGCCCAGCCATCAACTCCAGGACCCAAATTCTGTCTCAGATTAGAAAAGTATTTCACTGTCCTACCAGAGAACACAAGGGCTACATTGGCCCCAAGTCCAAACAGTGGATAGAATCGTTTTGCTTCGTCAACGGTAGTTATCTGACAAAAAAAATGGTATTAGCACTCTCCTTCACAAAGAAGAAACTCAGTATCTTTATATTCATTATAATGTGCATAAAGCAGTTCAAATTGGAAAAATATATTCGCAATATAAAAGAAGAGGCTGCAACACCTTGCCCTACCATCACATGATCACAATCATTTAGCAATCATGAATTAAGCACATAAAAAGAAACAACATATAAGTGAATCATCGAAAGCTGAGCGGCTAAGCTATAATAGATAACAAATGAATAATTACCATTGACATGCAAACCTGAGGAAAATGAATCAATACCAACGAACAGATAAAAAAATGTAATAGATGAAAAGTGACACAATCCAATAGGGAATAGCCAATCATAATGATGATATTAAGATTCCATGTTCAAGATACCAGAATTAACAATGATAATATGAAAACAACACCAAAATATACTATAACAGAATCAAGCCAAAATCCAACTGACAAAATAGACTCAAAAGTTGAAACAATGAAAAAACCTGATTGGCAAACCCCCAAAACAGCACAGAAATCACCACACTCCCCCACAATTCAGCCATGACATAGAACAGACAGAAGCTCCAGATTCTCATAATTGCAAGTGGACCAAGGAAGCGAGGGCCAAGGACGTTAAGAAGGTTGTCAGCAAATGCCTCAGGGTGGATATAGTTACTGAGAGGGTAAAGAACAAACCCAAACGCCCCAAAGAAGGCAATGAAGGGGAGAATAATAGAATAGAAGAGTGCTTGCTTGGACAATACATTTGCCAATTTTGTGTACAGCAACATGAACCCAACAGCCATTGGAAGGTTCACCCAAGTTTTCAAAAACGGAATAATCTCCGCACTGCTTCCTCTGGCCGTGACAACCAGCACATCCTTAGTGTCTCTTAGAATGGTGTAATTGAAGAGTATACAAAAGAACATCATCCCCAAAGGCACAATCTTCTTGAGGGTGGCAACCTCAATACCCAAAATTTTGGCTTTCTCGTTTTCTGGCTCCCTAAATGCATCAGCTGCAGCTGCAGCAGCTTCAGCCCTGCACACGAACAAATTTCTGTTCCTTGGGCCAAAGACATTATTACCCATTGAGGCACAGCCATTGAACTTTTGGAATCCATTGGAAGTCAGAAAAGACCCACCAAGGATTTTTGGTTTTGGAGAGAAAAATCTATGCTTTAAACCCTGGGATGTTTGTAAAAGCCTGTTCCTTGGGTTTGTGGGGAGAGAGAGAAGCCCTTTGGTCTGAAGAACAACGTCCATGTCTCTCTTAGGTTGAACAAGAGAGACACAACACAAAGAAGCTGAGAGGGATAACGAGGGATAAGGTGGTTGCTCCTGGAGATATATATATTTGTTAAAGGAATGAAGGGACAGATACAAATAAATATCTTTTCGGAAAGGTTATATGCCAAAGAATCTTCGACTACTAATCCCTCTGTCTCAATTCTCAAATGACTGAGGAAGACAACAAAAAGTAAAATTAAGGGGTTAAAGTGAATGTGTTAACGTAAGGGATGTGTTATGTTGGAGATGAACTCGCACGAGTGGTAGTGTGGCAACAAATGGTGAGTGAACTGAAAAGGATAGATAAGGAAAAGTGCATGGGAAACGGTCAATCACAGGCACCAAATATAGAGCATTCGTAGGATCTTTCACTTTTAATGTAACAATAATTACTCCCACACAAGGCTAATAAAAATGGCAACTAAATTAGCTCTGATTTCCCAAAACCTCTCTCCTCTCTCCTACCAAATGTTCATTTGTTCTTTTTTGCAGATAACAGAAATAGAAAAAACGCTATTTGCATGGATTCACAGCATCTTAAAATTAAAAACAGACAACTTGAAAGTAACATTGCGTATTCCGGAACCTTGGACTTAGAACGTGATTCATGAGTGAATTAGCCGATTAAGAATTTTTTTATTCACAATTAAGAATATTCAATACGTCATATTTTGGTTAGTTTTCCTCTCTTATTTTGTGAGATTTAACATGTCATTAAATGCTTTCTATTTTTTTGTTTTTATACATAAATCTTTTAAATTATTTCAAAAATGAACTTTATAAAGGTGCATTTAATATGGTGTTTGATTTCTTGACTTTTGCACGATGAGGATGATTTGAACTATATTATTATAGTGACGAACAGTATCCAAATATTAAAATGCATGCAGGTTCATGCTAAATTGTTACATCCACGACCACCCACTTCTTGTTTGTTTTCCCCTTAACGTGAGAGTTTGTGCTGCCTTTCTTGGAACGTAAAGAAAGAGGACACAAAGCCGTGATTGCTTCAAACTATGTTGTCTGTTGCTTGTTGTGTTCTTCCTTCCCTTCTAACAAGCAACTAAAATATAATCATTGTTTGACTAACTGTTGTTGGAGGTACTACTAACCATAAGTAATAAAAGAAAGAAAATTACTAACATTCATATATAAGGCTGATTTTAAAGACTCAAAAGTGATAAAATTTTCTTATCTAAAAAGGTAAATATGTATCATATTAAAAAATATGCATATGTTATAAAAAATCTTTGGTAAAAAATATGTTATTTTTGTATGCATAAAATTAACGCTAAGGATAAATATTAATAAAATGAATTAAAAAATATCCATTCATACATTTTTTATGACATTATCAAGTTATAAATAAATTACGTATCAAAATTAATAATATTATAGTTGGACCAAAAAGGAATATATATCAAAATAGTTGTTTTTTGGGTCAACATGTTATAGTCTGCCATGAAAGTATCAGATGCACATGCGCGGGAGAACTTTTGGGCATATCTTAATCACTTTCATGGGACATTGCTAATTGGGCTTTGATCCCATTGTTTGGGGGGATCCATCACATTGAGAAATACAATACTGTTTGACCAATAATAATAATAATAAGCACAATATTTCTTTATAAATTGATAATATTTTGTAAGAAACTAGAAAAGGTTATTTTGATTAATATAAACAAATGGATATTGTTGGTATATCATATAATGTCACTTTGTTTAAAATATATAACTTTTTTTTTATATCATAAATGAACAACTTTAAGTACTATAAAGATTTAAAAAAATTTAATCCATATTATGATTAATGCTATTTCGTTAATTCGTGAGTTCTTCGCAATTAATATCATTCTGTTTTTGTTTCTTTGGTTCACATTTTGATATTTCCGGTAAAATTCTTTTTCCTGTACCTAGTTCTTTGTTTTTGGTCGTGTCCCTATACCCACGGCGATGGAAAAGTGGGCTTATAACTCTATCAAACCCAATCAACCAACAGACAAAGGAGGGGGTTGCTTTGACTCTGTCCCCTACAACATTTTTAATGAATTGTTAATTACCTAAAATAACATCAACCTAATTTGCTTCATGTAATTTGATGAGAAAACATACGGTTCCTGTTTACTTTGCTCATATCTACATACAATATATAAAAGGTGATTTATTTTGTCGGATAAAAATTCCATATATTAACTTTACATTAAAAAAGTAATGCCTAAACTGTTATCCACCCACTACATACATTGTCATTTTAAGACTTATACTCTAAGACACAGGTATAAGTTGCTAACAAAATTGGTGAAGTGTGATTTATTATTAGGATATTGCATTAGTTTAGAATTTTTCAAGAAGACTAAGAATCCTAATAGCGTGAGATTAAGGAAATTTTCTTTAAACAGAGTGAAGAAAAAAATATTTTTGTATGGATTTTTTTAAATTGTGACCCAACTAGTCATGGCTGGAATAAGAAATATGAGAGTTTGACATATATATTCAAGGAAACATTTCAAGTGAAAAGTTTATCTCTTAATCATTACCAAAGGATCAACTCAATCCAAACAAAATTGGTTCAACCTAAGAAAGCAAATAATATTATTAGGAAAAGTTTTCCTCCACATTACCACTAATTATATTTTCCCTAATCCAATATCCATTCTTTAATAAATATTTGTAACCAAAAAAAAATATTTATAGGAAGTATCAGTCACACTCCCATAAATTAATTACCTATCAAAGAAACACTGTTTAGCCCATCACATAAGGACCCAAAATTTTGTTATATCCTTGAAACTTACCGTGTTGTCCTTACCCACCAAAAATAGAAAAACAAACATATGAAGCAAAAGATAACAACAAAAGTTGTGTACTGGTTTCTTAATTATTCGTTGTTTTGAGCGTTTTATCTTTTAATGTGTTTTTTAACCCGACAGCTTTTCTTTCTCATATTTACTATATTATGTAAAGTGATAACAAAACTGTGTAGTATTTCATGTGCACGCCAAAATTACGTTAATAATTTACAATGCCATTGAAATTAGAACCTGCAAAATAAATTTGAAGTGTAAGTTTATTGTTCAATGTCAAGCCCTATGCACGTAGGGGGTTAAATCTAATTAAGTTATATATTAAAATAGGCCTAACTTTCGCAGGAAAAACTGATTATGACCCATCAAATTAAACCAAAACAAGTTTGAAAAACAAATAATTGAGCTGCCGATCTTCTGACTTATGCTGTCTTTTGGCACATAATTTATCATCAAATGGACAACACTGGGTTGCTTAGACTTTGTCATCTTTTAGATTTCCCGTTTTTCAACATCAACTATACAGGACTACCTGCCAAAGCCATTTTAACTATTTTAAGGAAACAAAATCTTATAAAATAATGAACGATCTCTCTCAATTTTTTCTAAAACGTTTTTATTTTTCTTTTAATTTAAAAAACGCAAAGTACAATACATATTGTGAAACTTTGAAGGTCGTATAATTATTCTAAAAAACAGAAACATATTGCAGAAAATGAGTCACGTCGTCCATCATTGTTCCCTGCACAAGAGAAAGCTGGGCTATGTGTTGGGAATCATTTTATTATATGTGTCTTTATTAAGAACATTATAGTAAAGAATATCTCAATAATATAACGGGTTCAAAGAACAACAATCCAAACAGGTAGGAGTACATGCACTGCTTTGATGGGGAAATCATGGCAAATTGTTGCTGTAAAGCCTATAATAAAGGGGACCACACAGATACACATGCTCTATGTGCAAGATGCCTGTGGTGTAATTAAGCATCTAGCTTACCTTGAGAAGAAAACAGAAAACGTAGATTAGTGTAGTTAACGAATAGCAAAATGTTCAAGTGTGTGTTGTTTCGTTTTTTTGCATGTAATAATGTGATAGACAAAGATTCTTCTATTGTTTCGACAATTTTGGCTAGAGACAGATGATTCCACAATTTATGTAACCAAGTGTATATATATAGATTGAAATATCTCGTTAATTAGATTATAATAACTGTACAGCTCAGTATTGTTTGTTTGTTTGTTAGATGCTAAATTATTTTCTATTTTGAAACTTTGAGCATTGAAAATGTAAAAGAAATACGCCAGTGTTGAAAATTTGATTCATTCTGACACCAGCTCGGAATTTTTTTATAGCACTTTATTGACTTGTCTTTTTTTATTTTGGCCATGATGTCGATAGTCTATAGTCACTGCAAATTTGCTTGATTCCAGGAGATTTAGAACAATCAATTTTGGAAGTAGAATACGTAAATCCAGAGATTTAATATTTCATTATAACGTTGTTAATGGTCTGTAGGATGTTTATTTAAAGTTTTTAATATAAATTATAAAATACTAAAAATGTTTTTTTGAAAAACTTTTACAATATATGATTAAAATCACTTTGTTTAATGTTTAGATAAACCAATCTATAATCATAAATTATGCTTCCATTTTGGAGATCAAGCCTACGCTATGGTTGCATTATTGGGCAATGAATTGGTATGACAGCACTATAGCCTATTTAGAAGGAAAAGATAGATTCATAAGTTGCCAATATTGTCATTACCAGGGAAAATTAAGCACAAAATATACTCTCCAGTTTTTTCGAACGGAAAAAGAGCGTATTATTAGATCCTCTGTGAGTATGTGTGGATCCTGTCATCAAACAGGACAGAGGAGAAGAACACAAAGGGGCCACATCGAAGCACAAATTTGACTCTTTCAAAATGAACAATTTATTTTACAGATAAATTATCTTGACTTTAATTAATCTTTAAACAGTGGTTAAATTTTTAAATATATCCTGTTCTAAAAAATAAAAAATCAGCAAACCATAGTTAAAGAAGCACATGGAGAGATAAAACTTAGAAGAAGAAGAAGAATCACGCATGACGCTTATTTGGGCCATCAGATATGCAAACCAAATTCATCTATTTTCTTTCATTTCCATGTATGAACTTGAAAATAATTATGGTAAAAGGAAAAGAATGGGTTAATTGGGCTCATTTTGCCTGACAAGGTTGTACTGGATACCTTGGTACTTGCTATGTTGCCAATGAGCTGCGCTGTGAATTCTGATGTGCCTTAAGAATGCAAGATGGGGTCCAATTTCATTTTTCATACGGAAAATTATATATACTAAAGTGAGGACCTTTCCTATAAAGCTTGTAAATTGCAGATGCGTCAATTCCTTTTCGGGGCTTCACTCTGATACACTCTGATTCTTGGGAATTGGCATATTCCCCTGTTATCACTGTCTTCCCCTCTCCGAATCTTTGTATTAAAATTCAATTTAAGCTTTCGGTCTATTTGGAATGAGTTCATACAAATCTATGTTTTACATTTAAATAGATTAAATTAATACGAACTTAATTAAAGAAATTGGCGAATGGTGAAGAGAAAAAATTTCATAATTAATTCACACACCAAGACAAACCATTTTTACCGCCTCCAGAAATTACAAAATATCATTTATTTAAAATTAATTAAGAATCCGGTAAAAAATTATAAAACGCTTAAAAGAACTCAAATCACATGTATATATATACATAAATGCACACATTTACAATAATTTGCATTTGAATTTTATCGTAATTTAAATGTTTGGTGAACAAAATTATTACTTAAAATATACGTTTGATTATCACGATATAGTCCTTTGGGGATACACGTGATGAGTGATCCATGATCCCTATAACCAGGGTAGTCCCTGAAAACAACATTTTTAAACAGAGGAAAGAAAAAAGAAAAGTTACAGAGAACGCGCATGCTTGTATCTGCTGCGGTGCGCGCAAAGAGAAAGTGAAAAGTGAAGATGTGAGCTAAGGTGTGGGAAGGGAAGCTGCTAATCTTATTCCTATTTCCCCACTCGCAATCAAATTATTTATTTGTCTTGTAATTTAGTAATTTTTTTACTAATAATAATTTCTAATTTTAATGAAGTGGCAACGGACAGTTTCGAGTGTAATTTGAAACCATTTTCCTACCGTTGAGGCTTAAAAGAATTATAGAAGGGGGGAAAATAAAATAAAATGAACCGAACAGGATTTGTTCGATGAATATGTGTATATTTAACATAAATATGAAATAATTTTATTATTTAAAAATAATAATTAAAACATTATGACGATTAATGGTAGGAGAAGAGAGGGAGACAGAGGAAAAGGTGGAAAATGATTCTAACGGACAGGTGGCAGCTAGCGAACATGGAAACAGGGTGTGACTGAGTGAGTGGTGCAAATGCAATGGTGACTCAGAGTTGGTTGGGTCCACTTGGCATTTCTCTTTGATTTGTTGGTCCCCATCACACCGAACCACTTGCCTCGCCCTAGCCGTTGCGAATCTCTGAGAGCGAGGATCCCCCGCTATTTATTTGAATCCTACAAACGTATTTAGTTAGAACCTTCATTGAATTATAATGCAATTAAACTAGCATTGTTTTAAAATTTTAATATAGCGATGTCCATATATTAAAATATAAATGGAAATGACAATTTGACATAAACTAAAAAAATAGAATAAACATCTGTTAACATGCATGCGTGGCTAAGTACTTGTCGAATTCAAATTTAAAAGAAAAAGGTAAATCAATCGAGACCGTTTCAGGGCTCAAGAACATCATGCCATTTGTACTCTGCATTATTAAAAGAAACTGCTAAGCTAATGCTACCAATTCGACCTCTTCAGCCCTTCTTCACAACACTTTTGACTAACTATTTAACTGTATTATTTATTTATTTTATGTCAAATTGAGTCCAAGCATACAATAATATAAAGGAAACAATATTAAAAAACACACACACACACAAAACACAAAATATCTGGTTTTGATGAAATAGAAAAAGAAAACAGAGGAAAATTATAAACAATTATTTATTTCTGTTTAGTTAAAAAAATAAAAATAAAATAACTCTTAAAATTATTTTTTTTTTCTAGAACTTTGTTTCCTTCAAATCTAACATAGATTAGCAAAAGGCGCCAGGTTTGCAACACGCTGGGAATGAATGGTGTAAAATTTAAAATAAAATCATTCTAATTAACTAATGATGATTTCCTGTCTGCCAACACAGCAAGTGATTATTAATAATTAAATAACCATAATAAAGAATCGCAATATATATATATATATATATATATATATATATATATATATTCATATTACATAATTCTATAAGTCTAGCATTTAAAAATAACTAATCCGAAATGAGTTCTTAAACAGGGAAATTAAAAAGAAATAAAAAATAAAAAAGGGAGAACGAGGAAAACAGAGAGAGAGAGAGAGAGAGGAAGGAAGTGAAACGAAGAAAGAAGTTGGAGAAGGCGAAAGGCAAAGGGGATTTCAAAACTTGTGGACAAATCATAGGGAGAGGGGTTTCATCGTTCCACCCTCTTGCTCTCTCTCTCTCTCTCTCTCTCTCTCTCTCTCTCTCTCTATCTCTATCTCTCTCTGTCTTCGTTTTCGTTTCCACTGAAACCCTAGCGATGTTCATGGCCTTCTTCTTGCCTCACACGCAATCGTTCCGGCGACACTGAACTTCCGCCGCCGGGAATGGCCGATGAGTCGCCGCCGGTTAACACCGTGTTCGATTTAGCTGAGCTAGGGTTTCTGTTGGATATCGGATTCGGAGATCATTCTCTTTCAAGTTTCGACTAATTAACCGATTTTTTCTTAAGAAAACCGTCGTAACCGCTCGCCGAACCTGGGAACCGTTACCGGCTGGCGGATCCCTATTTGTTGAGTCGTGATGGCGAGGGGAGGGCAGTGCTTCGAGAAGCTTCGGAGGTTCGTTCGGATGGTTTTTTTCGTGGGGACATTGGTAGCGTCGCTGCTGGTGACGTCGCTGCCGGTGCTCATTGCGGTGGTCGACGTTCTCGTGCCTTGCGTTTTGATTTCGAGCTTCACGTGCGTCAGGTGCTACGGCTTCAAGGAGCATTTTCGTCGATACGCTTTCAAGAGCTCATTGACGGATATTCCTCTCGTTTCAGTCATAAGATCCTTCATCATTATCTGTATGATCCATTATTCTGCTTTTGTGGCATCCCTTTCACTTTTCACTTGCATTATGACATGACGCCACGATGATGATCCTACTGTTAGGACAATTCATTTTTCATCTTTTTGTTCAGGTTGAGCATTTGAAGGTGAAGGATATATTGCTTAATTTGTCTATCGAACTATTTGTTCGCTGTTTATTTTATTATAGTTTAGCTTTATATTTTTGCTAATTAGATTCTTCCATGAAATCGTTTCTCGTAGTCGTACTAATTTACGCAGTTTTTATAGTGTTTCAACTGAGCACGTTATGATTCATCTTATGTTCTTTACGTGATAAATTTTATGTTCTTTTGCTTTACATCAAATGATAAAATGGAAGTTGATCAGGAATGGAAGGATGGTTTTTTTTTTTCCTGAAATGATGAGAAATACATTTTTAGTTAAATTCAATGTAGCAGCATCTCATACCGTTTGGCTGGAATTTTTTTAATCAAATGAATCGCTGCTGCGTGTTAATTTTTGCAGTTTTTTTCATATTAAAAATAAAAGTTTTGTTCTCATATTGGCCCTTTCTTTTCCACAAATGAATGCAGGTGTTTATTCCATTTGTGATGGACCCGCTCTTTCGCATGGTCCTTACCTTGGAACTGTGACTCTGTCCTCTTCTATTTCAATTGTTCTACTTTCAGTCAAAGCTTGCGTTTTCACTGTAAATTCCCAGATTGAAGCAGAAACTTCGGTTTCCCCTACAAGGCAGAGACTCCATTTGAAGAAGTCGTGGGGAATGCCTGTCTTATTTCTCTCGTCAGTTGTGTTTGCCCTTGGCCATACTGTGGTTGCTTATAGAACTAGCTGCCGAGCAAGGAGGAAGCTCCTGTTTCACCGAGTTGACCCTGAAGCGGTAAGTTTGCAATGGTTTTCGAGCGTTATAATAACATCTCAGTCTAGTGCTCAGTATGTTGGTTTCTCTTTTTTAATTTTTCAGAATTAGGTGGCGGTAATATTATGCTCCAGCTTAAAAAAATTTCTAAAAAAAAGCTTAAGTTGATCAGTTCTAATTACTTTTTTTCTCTAATGACAGTTGTAATTACTTTGATGATGCATATGTAATTTTTTTTTTAAAAATTCTGTCCAATTTAGCAGGTCCTTTCATGCAAAAACGTTTTCTCTGGCTATCAGAAGGTCCCTCGTTCTCCTGTTCCCTCTGGGGGGAGAACCCCAAAAAGTGATAGTGAAATGAAGTGTAGAGCTTTTGGAGCAGCTCGTGATGAGGAACTGCCAGTCAGATTACTTTCAGACTCAGAGAGCTTATTCCTCACCTGCCAAGGCCTTACCCTCCATTACAAGCTCAGCCTGCCTGGTTCACCTCCTCTTAACTTGTCCTCAACATCCTTGCTTGAATCTAGTTCTATTTGCAGTACTTCATCAATGGCTGGGGGCTTGTCAAAGTTTAGTAGGAATTTACTGTCTATGTCTCCAAAAAGCCAACGACAACTCTACAGGAGCTATAGCAATCAATTCCATAGCTTATCTTTACATGCCCCTCTTTTAGATGGTCCAGTAACTACTCCCCTTCTTTCTGACAATATCCCCATTTTTCATCTAGATGAAATTTGTGAAGCTGATGAAACAATTAATTTAGAATCTTCGTCTTTGGAGCAAAGTTTAGAGGGCGTTGGCCAAGTAGGTATTGTTTTAATACATGGGTTTGGGGGAGGTGTCTTCTCTTGGCGACAAGTAATGGGATCTCTAGCTCGGCAGAGTAATTGCACAGTTGCTGCATTTGACAGGCCTGGTTGGGGATTGACTTCAAGGCTGCGTCAGGAGGATTGGGAGAAAAAAGAACTGCCTAATCCTTATAAACTTGAAAGTCAGGTGATTACTATTAATCCTTAGTGAGGTGTTTTAGAATACATTCGATATTTTATATTTGTAGACATGATCATTAAACAAGTATCAAAAGTATGTGCCAATTTCCTTTTCTGTCTGAAGTTGTGATGAGATTGCTTCCCTTCGAATGGGATAGTTTATTTTTGGCTTTCAAGGTCTAGAGCTTTCAGTTTATATCCAACTGACAGCCTTTGGACCAACATATTCCCTTACGTTTTTAGTTTTTGATTAAGCTTTATCCGAAGTCACGTATCTGATGGAATTTTCTTTTTCTTCCAGGTTGACCTGCTTTTGTCTTTCTGTTCTGAGATTCGATTTTCTTCAGTTGTGCTAATTGGTCATGATGATGGAGGGTTGCTTGCTTTGATGGCTGCACAGAGAGTTCAAACATCAATGAATTCTTTCAATGTGAGTATTTCTTCCTGCTTTCATATGTTTAATAGATAACGGAACCAAATCTGCATTGTGCAGTTGAGCTTTTAATTGGACCTGGTAAGTGGACCTGATCGGTTAAAGAACAGCAAAACTCCTTTAAATTTTTCAAACAATATGGTGATGAAAGTATGCTATAGAGCATATTGTGTTCATTGTTTTAATGATTTATTTTTGTCGTGATATGTGGGGTCATGATGGCAAGCTGAAATAGAATCCATTAGGAGACCTACTTACTCAGAATGAAGGCCTCAATCCTCATGTAATGTTGGGATTAAAATATATATTCATGTGTGCCTAGGGTCACGTTAGTTGCTAATTATCCAACAAAATAGTCAAGACTGATAAAAAAAACTGGATTCCATGGACAGTAGTAAAGTAGCTTGGTAATGTATTCATTTTTGTATAGATGAAGATATCACTTTACAGTGGTCATGCACTCAGATTTAGTAAAGTTGTCTGATGTGAACTAATCGTTAATGATTGTGGTTATGATTTTTATTGTTAATGTGCGCATTACTCATTTGATTTAGTCATTACATCTGCTTGTGTCATTCAGGTTACAGTGAAAGGGGTTATATTGCTAAATGTTAGCTTGTCAAGAGAAGTAGTTCCTTCCTTTGCCAGAATCCTTCTGCATACCTCACTTGGAAAGAAGCATTTGGTTCGTCCACTCTTAAGAACAGAAATCACCCAAGTGGTGAATCGGCATTCATGGTATGATGCTACCAAATTGACATCAGAAGTTTTGACTCTCTACAAGGTATGTTGGTACCTTTAGCTACACGTTGATAATCATGAATAGGAGCTTCTCTTTCCTTTTAAACTGCAGTGATATGTAATTGTATAAAATGGAAAATTACTACTAACCTAAAGATAATGTCGTATAATGTACTTTCACAAACGTTAACTAGAGTAGACCCCCCATATTTCAAGCTATCTTTGGATAGTTTGGCATATTGAATACATAATATTATTAGTTTCATATATTCCTTTTTGAGAATGTTGTTAGTTTTACGTATAATCCTTGCTAATTTTTTTATTTTCATATCCTAATAAACCATGATAAACTTTGCTTGCTGGTTATAATTTTAGCTTACAACCTTCTATGTGATCTTTCTACCTCTTTTTTCTTTCCATCTGGGTGTTGGTTGCTTGTACTTTTATTGAGTATCACGTTTGGGGAAGGATTTTATTGACTTATGTTACACTGTACTTTAAATGTGTTTAGGCGCCTCTATATGTAGAGGGATGGGATGAAGCACTTCATGAGATTGGTAAATTGTCATCTGAAACCATTCTTTCAGCCAAAAATGAAGAATCATTATTACAAGCTGTAAAAGACATTCCAGTGTTGGTTATAGCTGGTGCTGAAGATTCACTTGTCTCTATGAAATATTGTCAAGCAATGGCCTCCAAATTTGTAAATTCTGTAAGTATACAAGTTCCCATCATGCTCTTGAATCGGGGGTAAGAAAGTAGGGTGTAATTGGAAGGAGTATCGGAAGGTGGATGATTCTTTTTTCATTTCCCCGTTGTTTTCCTGTCACATTTTTAATTTCCCAAGCATTTTTTGCGGCATATGATTACTTTTCAAGGTTTCCTAATACTTCCCTTACCCATTTCACATGCAGAGACTGGTTGCGATATCCGGATGTGGCCATTTACCTCATGAGGAGTGTCCAAATGCGTTGCTTGCAGCTATATCTCCCTTCATTAGTAAACTCTTCTCTGTATATAACTCGCAAAGCCAATGACCATCTCTTTTCATGTTGACAATACATAGGTTCATCAATTGAGCGTGCTTGTTTCCCCGTTTTCCCTTGCCCTGTCATTATCTTGGTTTCTACTTCTCTTTCTTTATAAGCAAATATTACTTCCAAGAGAAAGAGACCAAAGGCGTCTCTCTTCTCTTGGTTGTTTTTGATGTGCCAGCTTTAGGGGTTTTAACTCGTATCTTCCTACCCATCTTTTTTTAGCCGTCAATATTTATCCTCATTTGAGCTGCTTGTCATTTCCCACTAAAAGAAAGTGGGAAGATAAGTAAACATACATTTGTAAATTTAATTTATCATCAGGTTGATCATGAATATAATGTAGCATGATTATTTCCAGCTGCTGAAAATTATCATTTTATGATTCCGACCTTCTAAATAAAAGCACTTCACACTTCTTAACACAGTTTTTTATGACTATAATTTGGTCACAATTGAAGCCCACAAATTGTTTGAAATTCGTTTCCACATTTTTAATTGCTTTATTGGTTTCCTAAAGCCACATTGAAATTGAATTATGATGAATCCGAGTTGCGCTGACCTATCAAGTGCATGCTTGATATAAATTATTTTTAAAAAACCATTGCTTATTTATCAGTCTTTTACGAGTTTTTTTTAAAAGAATCGATTGTTTCTCTTGAAATATGCTATTTCAAACATGCTAAAATAAGGGGAGAATTTTATTAGCACAACTTTTTCTTCATTTACATTCATTCATAGGAACTTGGAAGAGCTTTGTTACCTTATGTGTTCACGACTTAAATTAATAGGGATTTAATATATCTTTTGGGTCTACGAACTAAAGCAATTAAACAACGTATCAAAATGAAATTTAAACTCTTTTTTGGGTGCCAAAACAATTTGTGGATACCTCAGGTTTAATCTTCTCTTTATTTCAGCTGGTAAAAAAGACTGGTTTTTTGAAATATTAATATTAGATAATAGCTTATGACTACTTATTTATTTATTTATTGTAATTTTAGTCTGTTTAATTTAAACTATTTGTAAGTTTGATCTCTCAAGTTCTTAGTTAATTAAGTCTCACTTCACTATTATAAAAGTTAAATAAATTTGGCCGTGTTAATTTTTTCATACTTAAACTTTTCATTTTTATCTAAATTTTTAAATTAATTTGAAGAGATGAGATTAACAAATCTGTTATTTTAAACTCATGAATTTTATTGCAGTTTTATCATTTCTTTAGTCAACATTTTCGTTTAGCTCCATATTTTGAATTAATTATTTCTTTTATTTAAATTTAAAATATGCTGAGGATAATAGTTAAATCGATAGAGATAAATTGTTAGCGTGTAAAATAAGTATTTCTATTCCAAGGATCACTTATCCAAATCAAACTAGACAAACTATAAATTGTTGAAATTTTTTCTAATATTTCTAACACCACATAAAAAAAAAAGTTTTGAAAATACATTTTTAGGTAGAGAAAAAAAGGTTGAACAAGAACAGATTGTAAGAGTGGGATGGGAAACGCTAGAAACGCGTGAATGAGTTTGGGAATGTGGTCAATGGTCATGCCAATGGTCATGCCATGCATGCTTCCATGCTCTCATTGCCCCTGCACTGGGCTAGGTAGCGCCTATTTCTTAACCCGTGCAGATACAAAACGATGTCGTTTACATTTCCCTCTTCCTCCATTACTTACTGTTAACTAGCCACTAAGTACTAACCAATGCTTTGCTTTCCTCTCTTCCACTTCCCCCCCGCACGTTGATACTCAGCTTCTCTGTTTTTAGGTACTCCATTCACACTGCTTCATTTTTACTATAATACTATCATTGCGCCATAAAAATGCAATGGAAGCATCTAAGCTAATAGATTATTGAAAATGTCACCGTATTCAAAACTCGTTTTTATTCTTCGCGACCGAAACGATGCTAACATTATCTTCTTTATTCATGTTCTACATAATAATCACGTTCTTGTTTGTCATAATCATTTTTTAATCCCTTTTAGTAACGACTTTGCCGCTTCAGCATTCTATACTTGATCTTCTATTAGATTCGCGTCTTGATAGTAATAATATATTGTTTTTAGTGTGTAATCTTCTTTTTTTATTATCTCAGGTTTTTGTCCAATCATTTGTGAGTGGCACGTGATAAGCCATGTCACATTCGTCAGAGGAAAATGTTGGAGAATTTAAGTGGGGTAATAAGAGGGAAGTTGGTGGGGAGAATAAGGACGTGCGGTACTATGAATCATTTGTTTTCGAAAATAAGGAGTACTTTCTACATGATTGTGCATTCTTTCATCCTACAGGGCTTGTTGAGACTTCTATCGGCAAGATTGTGAACTTGTTTGAGACGTCAACTTGTCAAAAGATGGCCAGAGTTATCTGGTTTCTTCGTCCTGCTGAGATTCGGAAGTTCTTTGGAGATTATAAGCCATGTTGGAATGAGTTGTTTTTGGCATCTGGTGGGGGCAAAGCTGTTTCCAATGACTTTCCTCTGGTAATTTAGTTGATTAATTGCTTCAATTTATGATATTATCTACGTATTGATCGTGTACGGTGTTAATTGCTTTTCAAGTTATCATTAAAGTTTTGAGTGTGAAGTTATATATTCAAGAAGAAGTTTTATTTCAATGTGGAATTTAAGGGGTCTGAATGTTTGGGATCATGACATCTGATTGCACATGTTAGTTTATTTTGGTAGGTTGAAAATGGTGATTATGCAAACTTTGGCATTGGTTATTTTTTCTAGCTTTCTGAGAGAGCTTTGAAAAATAAGCGATTATTTCTCCTATACAAAGCTTTTCCAAACACATAGTTGAAGTGTTTTGTGATTGGGGGAACTAGACGTCAACTCTACATCTACATACTAGAGAGCTGAGGATTATGAAGATCCCAATCAAGATTACACCGAGTCACAATTAATATAATGCCAGTTTTAAGAGGAACTTCAGAAGGTTAAAAATGAATGAGAGGAGCATTTTCCTGCATTCATCCAAATACCAGACTCCCTTTTGCACTTCTGAAATTGTTATTATTAATGAATTTGGTTTACTTTTTAGCACTGTTATAAACCACGCACCATGTTATCTTGCTGAAGATATGCATACATGCTTACTGGCATGCATTTAGATGGTTGGATTGAGATGTTACGTAAGTTGTTGTTAAACACGTTGTAGGCTTGTAGCTAACATGTTTTGAATTTCCTGTTTTGGTACATTCTGTCATTATCATTTTGGGAAGACCTAATGTGTCTTTTTGTTTTACATGGTACTTTTCTAGTTCATAAAATTTTATATGTTGAAAATTCAGTCTGTCATTTTCTAGAAGTTTGTTGATGCTATTTCCTCCATTTAAAATTTTGTTTTCAGGAAGCAATTCTTGGAAATTGCAGTATTGTTTGCACTTCAAAGGACAAGAGAAATCCTGAGCCATCTGAAACGGAATTAAAGATGGCAAACTACTTTTTCAGTTATACTTTTGATGTTGACAGGCGTGTAATCAGTGATAAATTTCCTGATGTGATTGGTGGAGTTAAAGGTGATCCATGTCTTGTATTTCTTGACCTGCTATCTTCATTAATTAAAACTGTGCATACCTCATGTAGAAACTCTTTGACTTGTTAATTTGGAGCAATTAGTGAAATTTTTGTAATACAGCAGCTTGCAGTTGTTTTAAGTTATCTTTCTAGACACATTAGCTCATTGTGTTACTGTTCTGCAGTGGAGCTGTTCTTTAACAGGGAGAGGGATATAAAACCCAGTACCCATCTGCATGTTGGGACAAATATAAGACCTAAAATTGAGATTAAGAATAAGAATGATCCTTCGACTATCTTGCACTGTCAAGTTAATGATAAAGCTGAAGTGAGGACTTCTGAGAATGTGTTGCCAAAGGGATCATCGCATTCTTTTCCATATAAAAAGAGGAAGATCGTAGAGGAGAAGTCAACCATTGGTCAAAGTAGCAAAACCCTTAAGGAAGAGGAAACTGATGAGAAGAAGCTACAAGTCAGTCAGGATAAAAGAGTCAAAACATACAAAAATGTTATTGTCGTGACCGAAAGACCAAATGCAGTAAGTTTCTAAAAATCAATGTTGGTTATCATATTTTAACTGCTTTCTCAAAGATTAATCCTAGATAAGGTGAATAAATCAGATACACCATAATATCTACTTGTTTCAAACCTTGTAAATATTGTCGAATATGAGAGATTCATCATCATTGTATATATTGTTAATTGTTATATCAAAGCTCTTTTTTTTCCCCTTTTATTATTTGACTACAATGATAGGACTCTTTCATCATTCACTTCTTTAAATGCAAAATGTCCCTTCTTTGCTGGGTATAAATGATTTAACTATCTTCTTAAGTGAGAAAAAAAGATTGGGAACCTTGTGGTAACAAAAACAAGTATTTGGGAACCTTGTGGTAACAAAAAAAGTATTTATAATCTGTAACCTGCAAATGTGATTTTGTATGTGATTCTAGTCACGGTTCTAATCCCTTGCCAACCTCCAATTTTGTTGTTGCAGGAAAAAAGAAAGTGGTTTAAGAAAATGGTGAGCTTTTATTTCTTTATTTTCATTTTAGATTCGTGGTTTAGGTTTTGATCATTTCATTGTTTGGATTTATCCAGCAAATAGTCTTTTTCTTATATGGATAATACAAAAAGGAGCTGGTTTCTGTGTCTAAAATAATATATAAATAGTGTTTATGTTGAAGGTTCTTTACTTTTCCAGAACTTTAAGACCTAGTACTTAGGGATCTAAACTGGTTTATATTGACCTAGTATCTAAAACTATAAACATTTTTCCTTATCTTTTTAGTCATGTTTACTTACCACAGATTTTATATATGAGTAAATGTAATATTTCTCTATCATAATGATATAACATTGTTATGCTTGATTTCTTAGTAACTATTTCATTTGTAGCCTTGGGATGACAGACTACAGAAAGCTCAAGAGTTGGATTCCCTGATTTTACTGAATAATCTGGATCCATCCTATACGTCACATGAAGTAGAGGTTCAAATTCTTTTCTTGTTGCTTGTTTACTTTTTATTGAATAGAACCTGTTTATATTTTTATTCGTGTTAAGATGGTGCTATGACAAACAAACTGTACAATTGTTGTTGCTGCCTAATTCATTTGCACATTAAACTTTTGAAAATAACAACCATCTACAATTATGAACAATTTTATGGAAATTTCAACATCAGCAGAGACACGACATGATTAGCTGTAGAATTGCTATTCAATGTGACAACTGAAAAGTGAAAAATCTTCTGTTAGTTGAAACTGATATAATCTATATGTTGGCATAGTTTTGGAAGGACCTTTGATTTATTTAAAATACGCTATATTGTTGTGTGCGGACGTGCCATGTATGATTATAATCAAATAATTGAAACTTAAATGGATGTAATGGGACAATCGGTTGTGAGAAGAGTTATTCTTCCCTCCTAAGTGGAAGTTTGGGTTTATATTTTAAATTAATGTTGACATTGTGCCTAGTGGTCTTGTTTCTTAATTTCTTTTTCTTCAATTCTTGTTCAGAATCTTGTATGGCATGCTCTCAATGAGCAGGTTGAGGCAAGGATGATAGAAAGGAGCCTGACTTCCAATACATACTGTGGTATTTACAGATTTACCTTTATAATCAGCAAACAATCCCATATTTCATTTTATTTTTGTTGCTGTTTCTTTGGTATGATGAGAAATGTCAAATTCATGGGTGCATGATAAATGTGTTGTGATTTTTAGATCATCCATTGATTTTGTTTTCTCATCTGCTGACAGGTAGAGCATTGGTTATTTTTAAAACAAAAAAAGCAGCTGAATCTGCAATATCTGAGTTGAACAAGAGATGCCTTATTCTTGGAGGAGGGAGGTAATTTGTTTGTTGCTTTGTTTTTCATGTTGAATTTATCTTCTAGTTTCTTTGATTGTTCTCCAGTGATAATTTGTTCTGTTTAGGAACTTGGATGACATCTAAGCGATATAACACCCCCTACCTCTTAAAAATATTATATTATGAAGTTGAAAAGTTAGCCAATATGGAAACTCCGTCCCAGTAGCTGCTGCATTGTTAATGCAAACCATATGCATTTTCCATTCCGCTTGTATCATTTGTTGTTGCAATGCAAGGGAAGAAATCTTTGATATTGGATGGCTTTGATTTTCTGAAGCATTTTAAACTTTGCATAATATTGTAACGGCAACCAAACCTTTCATACTAGTTAGAGTCAGCTACATAAATCGAATGATGCCATAATGTTCTATTATAAACAGGACTATAGACAAATTGCTAACTTCGCATGATAATGTACTGCGTAATATATACCGTTTAAAATTTTCATGCAGGATTGTATGTGCCACAAAGGAAACTTTAAGTGAACCAGTCAAGAGAGGAAAATTCACAGGCCATTTGGTCTTTGACAGAACTGCACTTCATAAGCAACGCCAGGAGATTGTAGCCTAACTCATCTAATTGGTTGATTTACTTTACCTTATTCCCCCACATTTGAAAACATGATTTACTTTGTGTTTTTTGCTTTTTTTAAGAGAAATGCAGTATCAACATCACATTGTTCCCAGCCCAACACAATTGAGTACGAGATGGCCACTGAATGGCTACTGCAATATCTGAAATCCAATTATCAGTGGAATGCGCTGTATAAGGTATAGCATCGTGAAAAATTATTCAATGTGTTTCCAATGCATGGCCGACAATCTTGTTGATTGAACATATCATGTCTAGGCTAGATGTTTTGATATAATTTGTTTTGTTTGCAGAAACAAATGAAGGAGATACAAGATGTAAAGAGTAAACTTAAAATGGACAGAATTTTTTGTGCCGACAGTTAAATCCTTCTTTATGAAAGAAAATTCTTTTTCTGATATTTGACTTTCTCTAAATAGCAATCTAACGAAATTTTGAGAGGGGCGTGTTGTAGTTATATATCCACAGGTAAGAGGAAAATTGTAGGAAGGCTAGTTCACCCCAGCCACGTTGTTTTGTAAGGACCAACCTATGTGGTATCCTCTTAAATGTTTGTCAACCTTTACGTTCAGTTAATACATTGTATTTGAACAATTTGGGTATAAATATATGCTAACAAGAGAATTTTAGGGGTATCGGATTTACCTTCTAGTTGGTTTAGCATCTCTATTCTCATCTCATCTTGGAGCTGCTGATGTAGCCGCCATTCTGTCCTTCAAATGCGTATCAACCTTCGTAAGCCACTATGCCAACAACTGAAATACAAGGAAACAGTGTGCATTGATCAGTGGGTCGCTGGTGCTTATTTGGGCCCTCAATTTAAGCGTAGTTAGCATTAAGGTGGTTGTTTTTAGCTACCTTTTCATAAATTAAATTCTGGAAGTGATTTTTGAAATTTAAATTCTTAAATTAACTAATAGGTTATATATTTTTATTTCCATACTAATGGGCTACCATGGTTGAAAAAAAGTGGTACAAAAAGAGAATACATAAAATTAAAGTATTCATAAACAAAGTCAAAATGTGCCTGCTCATTAATATTTGTAAATGGGCCCAGCATGTCCGCCCGACTGACAACTGAAGATGATTTGGGCAGCCCAACGCAGCTCATCTCTTTGTTGTTAATTTTGTTTAGCAAATGCTAAGCACTGTGGTTAATTTTTTTTCAAAAAAAAATAAAAGTATTATTATTATTATTATTATACCTTCATCATAATTTTTAATAAAATATTATTATTATTAATTACTTAGCCAATGTCCCACGGAACTGGTTAGCAAGATCATTCTTTTTTGGAAAAGAGAAATTTGTTGGCCATCAAATATTTATGGTCACAGCCTCCTATAAACCTTCGCATTGGTCCTGAAGCTGTGGCACCTGGAACCTCCACAAAATGGAAAAATAATAATCCAAGTGGATGATTTTATTTTTCTGAGATTGAAGAAAATTAAGAACCCACGTTTTTTTCTCTTCACCCTCCATTTGAGGTGACTACAAGACATAGTATTTTGGTCTCAATTTACTGTCACCACCAGCGAGACGCTGAGATGTTTCTTTATAGAGTTTCGCTGTACTTTTCTGCTTGTCATTCTAATAGTCTTATTATTTTATAAAAATAAACAGCAAATTAAAAAGTATGTTATTTGTTATTGTTAAAATATAAAAAATATATTTAATATCGTATTTAATAATTAAAAATTATAAAATACTTTATAACATATTAATAAGTTAAAAAATGGAACTTATTATTTTGATTTCGTTAATTTCTGTGTTGATGTTGGTTCATCAGTAGAAGTTAGACAGGCGTCTTAGTCAAGAATAACGCCATAACACAAATTTTCACAACGATTGTTTACCACACAGACAGACAGCTAATGAAATCAATTCTAAGGAGCCATTTTTTCAAGTCATTGTTTTCAGCAGCAACACACACACACATTTTCCAAGTGTTATTTTCCATGGTCAACATAAGAAAACTAAGCTTTGGGAATATTCTTGTCCAACGTTGTGTGCTTGATTGGTTAGACACTTGAAAAAGTGACAAGTAGGTAACCCTCGCACTCGTAAGTGGATGAACAGCGTCCAATCCTTTGGGAGAAGTAAAACTCTATTATTTTGATTTGTACACTTATCGCAACCATTCAATTCAAATCCATCCATGTTTGCGCCATCTACCACCACTTTATTTATTAGAAAAACGATTCTTTTAAAATTATAAAATTCAATATACTAATACTTACAGTTTCTAATAAAATATTATTTTTTATTGCTATATTTTTAGATATATAGCAGTTCAAATACATCGTGACATTGAGCATAAATCATTCCTCAGATTTGGAGAGAAAAAAATTACTCTTCAGATAGAGTAGATGTAAGACTGTTATTTCTCTAAATATTTAGAATTAAGTATTTTTTTAATATCACGGTTATTTACTAATAACTTACTTAAATATTCAATTAACTACAATCAAACTTAAACTTTTTTAAGAAAAATATTTTAATAGCAATATAAAGCTGTTTTATTGTAGTACTTTGTGTTTTTTTCCCAAATGTGCGCAATACTATAAAGGGTAGAAGATATTTTGAAATGAAGGATGTAACAGGCGTTGATTTAAATGTACAGAGCCAAAAAAGGTAATGACATACGTTTTGGGTTCATTAAAAAACATTGAAAGTAGGTGAAAAATAACCGTCCCATGTAATGTAGGTAGCCCAAAGCCCAATGTTGGGTTTATAAATAGTTGCTTATACGCATCAAATATGTTTGAATGGTCCCATAAAATCCCAGAAAGTGGAAAGATATTTTCATCATTGATTAGAGAGCTTCAATCTTTCTTCTCAAAATGCATAAGATTACAGGATAAAAGTTGCCCCTTAATTTAAATTTTGTTCATAATGTTTACCCATACTAATTAAACCAGGTTAACAATCAAATTTAATAATAATAATAATAATAATCCATCCAAGAAGGTGAAAAGAACATTGAATGTGAAAAAAAAGGTAAAAGTAGCTGAAGTAACACATTCAATAGTTTTTGTAGAAACAAAATTTAATTAATTTATTCAATTTAAAGTTTTTGTGAAATAAATTAAGATTATATTTAATTAAATATTTATATTTTAAAAGTATAAAATTATCGTGAAAGATAAAATTTTATAAGAAACACTTATCAGTTAATCCTAGTGTTATAACACTTATCCACGTGCGATTAATATAAATAATAAAGTTCTTACGTCAGTTTAGGTATTTGGTGATTAATTAAATATTTATTAAATTATTTTTATCATATTTAATTTTTTACATAGACTTGATAATATATAATTTATCAAATGACGGCAATAGTGACGTGTCTTTTTATTTTAATTTTGAAGCGCACGAAGCATCTTTATTTATTTACTTGATGTGACCAAAATACCAACGGTTACGATGAGAATTAGGTTCAGATTTAATGAATATAAAGGTGGGTAATTATTCACAAAAATTTAATTGCTATGATTTTATAATTTAGCTGTATCATCTTAATTTAAAACTTTTCACTTAAATTATATATTTTATTTGTAATTGATATTTCTTTTATTGTTTTTTTTATTAATGTTAGTATTACATAATAATATGTATATTTTATTAATTTGTCAAATTAATATATAGTAAGAGACCGTGTTTTTTAAATTAATAATTTACAAGTCTCTATAGAGTCTTAATTTTAATAACAATAACAATGATAATAATAATTTTTTAAAATTCTTTAATAATAAAAAATCCATTGAATAAATTTAGGTCGTTGAGTTAATTTTAAATTATAAGTAAATTAATATATAAAATTATTTCAAGAAAATACTAAAAATATATTTATATAATGGTTAATAAAAAAGAAGCTAAAAGTCATTCATGAAAAAAAATAAATTAAAAAAAAAATTTAATAGTCGGGGACCTCATGGAATAGTATGATCCCTCTCTCTATCCCTAAATCTACTTCAAATATTTTTATTTTCTTCTCTATTTTTCATGCGGTAAAGATTTAAAAATGGAGTAATCTCCATGAGAATCTCAAAAGACAGAAAAGATTGTCATTCTTTTACTGTTGTAAATAAAATTGTTTATTATTATAATATTTTTCATTAATAAGATTTTTTGGAGTAAATAAAATATTTTTCTCTTATTTTTAATATTTTTATTTTTACTTATATTCACAAATATTAAAGTAGTGGACCAATTGCTTGTTAATATTATCAAGGTTGAAAGCTTCTTAAGGAAACGTGTATATATATATATGGGAGAAAGAAAAAGAAAAAAGTATTGACAAAATTTAATTCATACATTAATAATTAATGTTTTATAACGTAATTAATTAGATTTGAGGACTAAAAGCGTAATACTATTAGGATTTTTTTGCTTTTTTTTTTTTGGGTATCATTTAAGTATTATTTTCTATTATTTTGTTTTTTTATCTGTCTTATAAAAAAAATTGTTTATATTAGAGTTTAATTATTAAGAAAGACCACAACATTAAGTATAAAATTTAATATAAGTAATTATATTTCTTAATTTATATTTTATAAGCTTATTTCTTCAACTTCCGAAATAAAGACATTGAATCTTTATTTTATTTCATCATAAAATTTCTTAAAAATAATAAAGTTATATATTTATTTTATTTTTAGATATCCAAACATGATTAAAAGATAAAAGAGAAATGAACTACTTAGCATATCTGTTTGACTTTTTTATGCATCATAACAACTACTTAGCACTAGAGTTAAAAACAATATATTTAAAATTAAAGTAAATATTATTAAATTATTTTATTTTTTTAGTTCGAAAAAGTAATTAGTTAGTGTGATTTTGATCTTACACAGATTAGCAAATAGTAGGGAGGGGTGAGAAGTTTCTAAAATTAATTAATTAAAAACATTTTTACGTTATATTGTTTTAAAAACTTTGTGCTTAATATTACTTCAGTAATTAAAAAAAAAGGATTTAAAATAAGTTAGTTCCAACATTTCCACAAAAGAGTAATGCCATTTGTTCAAAGACAAAAATACAAAAGAATGACAGTAGTATAAGATTCTATTATAATATCTTTCTATTAATCTTCTTATCAATCCTTTTAATACTTCGGATGTATTAGTAATAAATAAATAAATATATTAATGTCTCTAAAACATAAAGGTATTCAAAATCTCATATGCAATAAAATTATCAATCATTAGTATATTAAAAAGTCTTTTTCGTTTGAATGTAAAAGATGAAAAAAATTAAAATTAACAATACGAAAGGTCAACAAAGAGATAAGAGAGAGAAGTCAAGAAAAAAAATAATTTAGAAAAATGAAAAGATGACAGGTGGCAATTGTAGTAGGAAATTTATTTGCTTTGATTTATTGCCAAAAATGAGCTTGTTCTTCTTGTCACCTTAACATTGCTTTGAAAGTTTTGATTAAAAAATGTGAGTGTGATACTGTGATATCATATATTACATCATAGAAATAGAAATTCTCACAGCTGGGGACTACTTGGGATTCTCTCTCGTGGGTCTTTGAAAGGCAAAGACTTTGTTTTCCCACTGCATAAGTAGCACTCAAAGCCAAAGCAAATTCAAATACTCATTTTCGTTTGCTACACTGTCATCATTTTTTTCTCCCTTTGGTAAGTTTCTTCGTTGCATGTGCGTGCAAAGATGATAGAGTTTTCTTTCTTTTGTTTCTTTACATCGTGTTTGTGTTCCAATGATTCTTATGAAAAGCATTATGAGTTTCCTCTCACGTTTTTGTGTTACTTCTTCATCAATATTTCGCTATTTTTCTGTTCTTTGACTTTTCTTTTGGATGTCCCGTTATTATTTCCTTGATAATTAGGCCGTGGATGCAGAAATGGAGAGCTTAAAAACACCTTTCAAGGGTGTTTTGAACGATATTCGAGGAAGATTGGTGCACTATAAAGAAGATTGGACTTCTGGTTTCCGTTCAGGAAAAGGGTACGTTTCTTATCACAAAGATCATGAAGGGTTTTCTTTGAAAATTTTTAGTATTCTCTAACGACCATTCTCTGTTTAATGATAGGATATTGGCCCCAACTACCTATATTTTCTTCGCTTCTGCTCTACCTGTTATTGCCTTTGGCGAACAGATAAGTAAAGACACAGGTTTGCGCCTCTTAACTCAAAACTTAGAAGGCACAATACATATTTATACATACATAGATATTCATAGATACAAGCATGCATACGTATGTTTGTGTGTTATTTGTATTGAGCAATTTTTTGTCTGTGTATAGATGGAAGCTTGAGCACCGTAGAAACACTGGCTTCTACAGCTATTTGTGGCATCATACACTCAATTTTGGGAGGCCAGCCTCTCCTAATAGTAGGAGTTGCTGAACCCACTATCATTATGTACACATATTTGTACAATTTTGCTAAAGATAGGGACTCCTTGGGACGCGAACTCTTTTTAGCTTGGGCAGGATGGTAAGAATAACATTTTGTGTATAACCCAAGTTCATTTTGTAACCAATGTCTAATTGATATTATTATTAACATTTCAGGGTTTGTGTGTGGACTGCTCTCTTGCTGTTTCTTTTAGCAATATTCAATGCTGGCAATATCATTAATAGATTTACAAGGATTGCTGGTGAACTTTTTGGCATGTTGATCACTGTCTTGTTCATTCAAGAGGCTATCAAGGTCAGTTTGTGATATAATAGGTTAGGTATTAACTGTAAAATGAAACATGATTAGGCATAATACATGTGAAAAGGACTTTGATACAAGCTTTTGTAAGTTCAGGGAATGATAAGTGAGTTCAATCTTCCTAAGGATGGAAACCCAACAGCGGAAAAGTACCACTCTCCTTGGCTATATGCAAATGGATTGTTGGGTATTATATTCACCTTTGGCCTTCTCTATACTTCTTTAAAAAGCAGAAGAGCGAGGTCATGGTACTATGGGACAGGTTTGTCAAGTGAATTCTGTGTGATTTGAGTCATTATTAGGATGCATGGAATGGGGAATCTGACTCAGTTTGTTTATTGAGCAGGGTGGTTCAGAAGTTTCGTAGCAGATTATGGGGTGCCTTTCATGGTGGTGGTGTGGACAGCACTGTCATTTGTAGTACCAAGTAAAGTGCCTTCTGGTGTTCCCAGAAGGCTCACTTCTCCTCTGGCTTGGGAATCTACTTCCTTACATCATTGGACAGTAATCAAAGTAATCCATATTGCATATAATCACATCAATTATTTGCTTTTGTACTTTCGGAAATTACTAATCATCATTTGCTGCAGGATATGGGGAAGGTTTCTCCGGCATATATTTTTGCTGCTTTTATTCCTGCCTTAATGATCGCTGGACTCTACTTCTTTGATCATAGTGTGGCTTCTCAGCTGGCACAACAGAAGGAGTTCAATCTCAGAAAACCTTCTGCATATCACTATGACATATTGTTGCTAGGATTCATGGTATATATATAATATCTCTTTTGTAGTGACTTGTTTAATTGTCATTCACATTAATGATCATTTTGGAATTGATGCTTTGCTCTGTGGACAAAAATTCAGACATTGCTTTGTGGATTAATTGGCCTACCCCCTTCAAATGGAGTTCTGCCTCAATCCCCTATGCACACCAAGAGCCTATCTGTTTTCAAGAAACAAGTGGGTCATCAGTTTTGGGATTTTCTAGTAAGTATCATGATTGAATTGGATATTTGATATGGCAATTTTTCAACTGCAGTTGATCCGAAGAAAGATGGTTCAAAGTGCCAAGGAAAGCATAAGGTTGAAAGCTAGCAACTCTGAAATATATGGGAAGATGGAAGCAGTGTTCATAGAAATGGATAACAGCCCAGATGTAAGCATAAGCCTCCTCTTCCCTTAGCCTAATTAAGCTAACTTAGCAATAGCTAAATTCCTTATGATCATGAATATGATTATTTGCAGGATCATGCAGTGGCCAAAGAACTAGAGGATTTGAAAGTGGTTGTTCTAAATGGTGAAGACAAAGGAAACAACAATAAGAATAACTTTGATCCTGAGAAACACATTGATGCATATTTGCCTGTCAGAGTAAAGGAGCAGAGATTGAGCAATCTTTTACAATCACTCCTTGTAGGAGCATCAGTCTTTGCTATGCCTGCGATAAGAAAGATACCAACTTCAGTTCTGTGGGGATACTTTGCTTACATGGCCATAGATAGTCTTCCAGGGAATCAATTCTGGGAAAGGATACTACTTCTTTTTGTAACACCTAGTAGGTGGTACAAGTAAGTGGAAGTTGCTATGATTTCATCAATTTCACATAATCATGAAACTTCCCCTATCAATTATTTCATTCAATTTTCTTACACAATATTTGGCAGGTTGTTGGAAGGGGATCATGCTTCATTTGTGGAATCAGTACCTCATAGATACATAGTCTTTTTTACACTCTTCCAATGTGTATATTTTTTGGTTTGTTTTGGAGTGACATGGATCCCCATAGCTGGAATACTATTCCCTTTGCCTTTCTTTTTGCTGATCACATTGAGGCAGCATATACTCCCCAAGCTGTTCAAACCTCACCATCTTAGGGAACTAGATGCGGCTGAATATGAAGAAATAGCTGGTGCTCCAGGACTTAGTTTCAATATGTCTTTCAGGGTATGATGTGCTTAATTTTATGACTATTTCATCTTAATTCTCTTCTACACATCAATATTGGATATCAAAGATGTTCTTTACTTTTCATTAGATGGTGGAATCACCCAGAGTTGGATCCAAGGAAATGGATAATGCTGAAATATTGGATGGGTTAACTACTAATAGAGGGGAGTTGAAGGTCAGAACAAGAAGCTTTTGTGAGGAAAGACATGGCCAGGTAACCACAATTTGATTATTCTTTATTTGAATTTAGAGCTTAATATTTTTTGTTCTCTCTCTCACAAAAAGTGTGTTGTATTTGTTTTCACCGAGGGCTTTCAGGTTTATCCTGATGAAGTGGCGAGAAAAATTGATCCAAACTCACAGATTATCATGGAAATGTGATGAATATGGATATTATATAATAACTGCTCCAATCCCTGCCGAAAGAAAAAGATGATATCAATGTATATAGATATGAAGATCAAGTTTTAGAGTCTAAAATTTTCAAGCTGATGCTATTAAGTGGTATAGCGTATCATAATAGAAACTTTATATGTAAAATTAGCAAATCAATCACGAAAAATAATAGAATTCAAATTTCAGTGTTTTTGCTTTAGTTACTTGTATTCCTTATGTTATGCACAAAAAGGTATCAATATCACATATTAATGCATAAAAAGGAGCAATCGGTAAGTAATAAACCAACAACCTCATCTATGTTCTATATTGTACATGAAATCACTAAAATGCTCCAAGGAAAGATAATCTCGAGTTTTTTAGACAACAATAAAATGTGAAATATATTATAATTTCAACAGAAGTTTAATATTCAAATTCCACCTCGCAATGTTAGCCCTGCCAAAAGAGAATAGGCTCTTGTTATTGAGTGAAACTCCCACAAAATTTTATCAAATTATAAAGAAAATGTTAAAAAAATACTTTATCGAAACGTCTTTTGTTAATATTTTTCACATTTTTGTGCATTACGTCTTCTACATTGCAGCGACTAGTAATATATTGATCCTCTGTTAATATATTATGAAAAATATTAATCAGCCGGTTAAAAAAATAAAAATATTTTTTTTATTAAAAAGTGTAACACTCTACCTGATTTCTAATACACCCCAAACATATTTTTCAATACAAAAAAGTATTTATTAATTACTTAACCGGTGTTTTTGTTGATGACAAAACTTCTACTATTTAGCAAGAATAGCTCCTTAGCCCATCATTTTTCATAGCCATTTCTTCCTTGTAATCAAATGGGCTATTTTCAATATAGCCCATAAAGATAAATCAAATGGGCCTACGTTTTATCAAAAAACCCAAGCAAAACTTGTCTTAATTACGGTGCAATACTTTGTAATCATATTTTCAAATTTACTAACATGTGTCTATGTATGTCACTTTTCATTTGTGTTTCTAAGTTAGCCGTACATTTCTTCAAATGATATGCACTTTATACGGCTTAAGTAGTGCATAAGTTTGAACTTGTCGTGATTAGATACATATTCAAAAAAATATATAAAATAAAAAATGGCTCCCTATTTTATTTTATTTTTATTTGGAAGTTAAAAAGATATATTATAAAAGTTATGAAAATGAAAATCTCTTATTTTTTTTAATATGAATGAAAGGCAACAACTAACATAAAAGAGACCCAAAAATTTCTGGTACATCCCCTAGGCACATCTACTCACCATATGACATTGTCGGCTAAGGAATCTGCCATCAAATCACCCATGTTTTACCTCTTTTATTTCTGGTCTCTAGACTAAAAACTCATACTTAGGTGTAATAAACCTTAAATTTTGAATTTGTTTAATGAGTGAATTACATGTTTTGGCTAATATAGCAGGAAGAGGTTGTTAGGCTTTTATTCAATAATTTTCTTTTTGGTTCATTCCAGGTAAAATCTTTCATATTTAGGCTAGCGAATTGATGCAACTTTTATTTTGTACATATAAGTTTACACATTGGATAAAATTTATAGACAAGAAACAAAAGGATAAAAATTAAAGAATGGGCACCGATATATAGGCAAGGTGAAGGTGCATTGAAATAAAAAAATAACTCAAAACACTCACATGGGTTGCCTAGGATAGGATCTGATTCATCCTCTTTTTCATTTTCCAGTTTCATGATTTATCATTCACAGGTTAGATGCTGATCTGATGTACACTTCTGAATCCCCACGAGGGCATGCATTAAACCATGTAGATTTGGTATACAACACTTACCAATTTTAAATTATTGAGGGGTGATATTGTCTTTATAATCCAGATATCTTGGACCCAACCCACCTTCTTCGAAGATCCATATGAACATTATCAAATTCACAGCCATGTGTGTCGTCCTCATGGTACATTGAGGCTAAAGTCGCCATTTAATTCTCATATTTTCTTTTCTTGAATAAATTAACAAAGTTTGAAGGGGAAAAAACTAACCAAAACAGACAAAAACAGCCCGTGTCCACGAACATGTTTCATGTATCGTGAGCGACAGAAAATAAATTTAACCTTTTCACTCTAAAAGAGTTAAATTTTAAAAAATATCGTGTGGATATCATAGTCATACATAAATGGAATTTAAAATAATTTCATTTAAATGAATTATAATAATATATAATATAATATAGTACTTTTAGAACACCAAATCATTTCTCGTCACCGACAATGTATGTTCTGGATTGAAAGAGCATGTGGGTTTTAAATGGCTTTGTCTCACCTTGCTGCATAAAATTGAATCAATCTCATTATTACAACTACTAAAAGTTCATATTATATATATTTTTATATACATACACTTAAAAACATCTTTAATCTGTATAACCATTATTTTCCAAACTGAATATTGTACTTTATTTTGCAAACACTTGCAAATGCAAACCATGTCGTAGTAATAAAAATTCCTTTCTTTCAACTAAGGAAATAGTGCTGGCTCAATTCATTTCTTGCTTCGTCAAACCATTTCCTTCAATTAAGTGTTAACTTAGCAACTAAATTATGTGCTGGATTTGAATTAATTTAAACAAGTTACAACAAAACTCAGAATGTGCTGAATAATATGCAAACCTAGTGTATGAACAACTATAATTTATGCATTACATGCTTTTTATATACATTAGTTTTCCACTTTTATCAAAATCATGCAAAGTAGATGGTTCTGATAACAAAAATTAGATAAAAACAAAATTCGGTGTGAATCTCGTTACCAATGAAAAAGCATTAAATGAACTTTACTATAAAATACAAATGAACTGGTTTTTAACTTTGACACTATTGAGATTCGTTTGGCAACATTAACATGTCTTCGGGACAAAGCTATCTCTTCCGGGAAAAATGAAATCATAATGAAAAGGTTTAGAATTAGGATAGTTCCAGTGGCATTAATGTAGTTTTACGCCAAATAAGTGGCTTTTTCATGTAATGATTCAAATAAAACCGAGTGCTCGCTCCCCCTTGGATCCCAACCTCAACTCACATAAATCTCTCTCTGTTTCTGTGTTTTGTGGTTCATCAAAATGCAGAAGCTCAAAGTGCTACTTGTGCTATGCCTCTCAATCTCAACCTGCCACGTTGCTTTCTCCTTCACAGATGGTTAGTTCTACTTATATATGCAATCGTATCGTTCATCATATCATATAGTACTCATATATTATGATTTTATTCATTGTGCATTTCAATTGCTAAAGCATTCATATTTAATGTCTCGAAATTGACCAAGAATCGCATAATGCAGAACATGCTTCAATTTTAAATTTATCCGTTTAACAAGGTCGCTACTTACATTCCCATGATTAGAATATTTAATCACAGTTCACAACCCATTGAATACTATCTTGCTTACATTATGTATGTATAGTTCGTATGCTATGATCACTACCTTCCTCATAATACCACGAATGTTTTACCTACAAAATCACAAATAATTGAACAGTACTATATTACTATATTATGTAAATTGTTATATGTTTTTGTTCTGGTAAATCTGAATCCGTAACACCCCTTTGGTCAGATCTCAGGCACTCTATTATTATACTGACATTATTTACAATATGGGAACGGATGCCTTAGATCTTACTTTCCAATAATTGTAGACAAAGACTGTGTGTTTCTTTTTAGGTTGCAACCACTCAAACATAGATTCATACCGAACTGAATTTTTTTTAAAGTGAGCTCGTAGAAAATATGGCGATCCAACATACCAAAATCAAAACGAGAAAATAGTATTGTTGAAAAAACAGTTTGCTGTTTGTATATGAATTAGCTCTTAATCTGTTCCACTTCCATAATAACGAATCCATTTTGATACATTGGAACTTGTGTAACATATTCAGAAACAGTCTATGATGTGCTATCTAAAAGATAATTTCTCATATTTCCAGTCGGTTAATTGATTGAAGGAATATTTGATATATCTTATTAAATATATATAATTATTTGAAAAAAACTATATACTGAATAATTATATATTTTTAATGTCTCTGCTTTTCTTTAAATCCTTGAAATAATGAACTACATTTGTGAATTCTTGTGAAGAAAAGGAAATGTTTTCTGACTTACATCGCAATTTTTTTGCATTAAAATTTTATGTAAGGAAAATTTCTTTTACAGTCACTTTTATCTTTCTTTTCTTTGATGTAATATTAGAATTAAATTAACACTAAGACAGTTAAAGAATATAATCAATGTCCAATATCAAGATCCATTAAAAAATACACATACCGACAATCCATAAGGATCTACAAGAACAAAACAATATTTGGAAATCCACTCACATGGCTTACACATTCTTTCACGTGCTCACAGCTTGCACTAACACGTTCCTTACCATAAGGAACAAGACCAAAAAGTGTTCTTAAAAGAAATTACTTGATTCCTGCATAAATTAAATGAAAATGATTCATTTGATGTAAAGTGACACGACTCATGAACTTAATGAAGGGTTGTTGCCGAATGGGAACTTCGAGCGAGGCCCAAGCCCATCAGAATTGAATGGGTCGGTAGTGACAAAGGCAGATGCAATTCCGAATTGGATAACTTCGGGCTTTGTGGAATACATAAAATCAGGGCAGAAACAGGGGAACATGCTTTTAGTTGTGCCGGAAGGTGACTATGCAGTAAGGCTGGGTAACGAAGCTTCAATTAAGCAAAAGGTGAAGCTGATCAAGGGCTATTTCTACTCCATCACGCTCAGTGCAGCTCGCACGTGTGCCCAAGAAGAGAAGCTTAACGTGTCAGTGGTGCCAAACAATGAAAAGAGAGACTGGGGAATCATACCTATTCAAACTATGTATGGTAGCAACGGTTGGGAATCATTCACTTGTGGGTTCCGAGCAGATTACCCAGCAGGAGAAATTGTGATCCACAACCCTGGCAAAGAAGAGGATCCAGCTTGCGGGCCTCTTATTGATTCTGTTGCCCTCAAGGTTTTGAACCCACCCAGAAGAACCAGAGGTGAGTTCTCCCTTTCCTCTGCCTCTCCTTTAAATCTTTTATATATAAAAATATTTATGAATTAGCGTTACTGAATTGATAATGTGGGTGCAGCCAATTTGCTGAAAAATGGAAACTTTGAAGAAGGGCCATATTTGTTTCCCAATTCGTCATGGGGGGCTTTGATCCCACCCCACGTTGAGGATGCTCACGGTCCTTTGCCAGGGTGGATAGTTGAGTCTCTGAAGGCAGTGAAGTATATTGATTCTGATCACTTCGCTGTGCCTGAGGGAAAAAGAGCCATTGAACTTGTTGCTGGGAAAGAGAGCGCCCTTGCACAAATTGTCATCACTCAGGTTGACAAGGTTTATGACCTCACTTTCACTGTGGGCGATGCCAACAATGCATGTGAAGGTTCCATGGTCGTTGAAGCCTTTGCTGGCAAAGAAACCATCCAAGTTCCTTATCAATCTAAGGGTAAAGGAGGGTTTATTAGAGCCAAGCTTCGCTTCAAGGCCGTCTTGCCACGTACTCGTATTCGGTTCCTAAGCACATTTTACACTATGAAGAGTGATAACTCTGGTTCGCTTTGTGGACCCGTCATAGATGATATAAAATTGCTTAGTGTTCGTTATCCCACACATGCTTGATGATAATAATAGATTGCACACATAATGCAATGAAAAAGTGCATGTGTGCTTGATCTGTTTAGTTGGGCACATATACTATATAGGATTCTTGTAATAATAGAAGGAGGGTGAGTTTCGATGAGTGAGTTTACCAAGTCTGGCTCCTATCCATGTACCTATTTTTCCATCAAATCAAAAGCAGTTACCACTGAGAGTTCATTAATATAAAATTGAGAGGTTAATTTATGTAAACTACTAATTTTACTATTAAATAATAAAATTAATAATAATAATAATAATAATAATTTCACGTGTAAAATTCAGAGAGAACATGAAATAACTTATGACTTTAATTTTAAAGTCGCCGTTAAAAATTAATTTATAATATATTAGCACCCATATCAGACAAGTGTACGTGATGTACTTATCTTCTATTCCATCTAATTAAATGCAATCAAATACGATGAGATCAACATTTCCATTAATATATATATATATATATATATATATATATTATATTGAAATTTTATTTTACTACTATTGTCAATTTTATTGTCATTATAAATAAAGTAAGTAAGAGTTTCTACAAAATCATGAGTACAACCGCAAACACTAACCAAACTTTTTCTACTGAAATTTCTCCTATTCTCCTAAATTCACCAATCTCTTTACCAAAAGATTGTATTAGAACCACCTCTGATAAAATAAAGAACCTATGTTCCTGAAGATGCTCAAATTCAAGAATCTATAGCTCCTTTGGTAAACCCCTATAATGTTTTCAAAAGGAAAAAATCTTGGACCAACAAAGTCAACTTGTTGATTCTTAGGAAACAATCTCTTATCAAAGAATATGTCCAATCCACTCGAATGGACCAGTGTGATATACCTGCCACCAAAGAAGAAAGGTATATTAATCTCGAGATCCCTAAAACCTTCATAGACCACTGAAAAACTGAAGGATATACTGCTCTACATTTTGGAGTAATCAGATTAGTCCTATCACTGCATGGTAGAAAAAATCTCCCAGTAACTGCCAGAATCACTCTCCTTGATTCTACTTATATCCATTATGAACATGCTGTTATAGTAACATTGCTAACCACTCTTCATGCTGGAAGTGTGGTCCTCACTATCTTTTCAAACTACAATGTCTCATTGAGAGATAAAACTCTGCCAACCAGATTGAAGGTTCAGATTCAGCTCACTGGAGCTGAACAGATTGAAGAAGCCATCACCGCAACACTTCATCATCAAATGATATACAGATTGCAAAACCATGCCCATGACCTTCCTCTTCCAGGAATGGTGAATGATAATCTATTTGTCATAGCCAATAGAAGTGAAGATGAGGTACCATCCATTATCCAAGTTCTCAGGCAAATCCCCACAAAGGAACTTCTCAAGTTGATTCCGCTTGAGTGGACAACTAACTATGAGAAAATCAGGCAAAACAACAAACCTATTCAATCTTTTGAAGCTACTTTTAGAAGATCTGTTGATGGTGGTGTCCAAACTATATTCAAAAAGCCTGAAGACGAGTCAAGCCCTTCTTCCAACTGCTTCTGATCACTTATGGTTGTTCCTGTTGGAAAAGAACACAGAATCCCAGTATACAGCTTTAAACCTGATGGATCTTCCATCTATTCAGACAAATTTGATGGTCACTTCATGTGGGATGTTGATCCTTCTATGTGTGATCCTGACTGTGATTGCTGGATGCATACTGGTGATACATCTGATAAAGAATCAGATGATGATGATGAAGACGATCAGAGAAGGAAGAAAAAGAAACCGTGTAAGCCACCTCCTAAGCCCAGAAGAAGAGACTCTGGATTTTCTCCATGGTTAGGAATTAGGAATGAAAGAAAACCTTTGCCCATCTATGATAAGGCCCTGGAGATTCTGAGGAAAGAAGGTCTGTTGTCCAAACCTCCTAGTGATCCAGATCTGATCACATGGCCTCCTCCTCCAGGATTGTGCAATTCTTTCAGCACACCTTTAGAAAAGGTTCCAACTCTTGTTCCATTTATGATGTTTACAAAGTATGATGAAGAATTTCCTTCATTAGAAAGGAAAGTGGATCCAGTCACTAAAGTCAATACTAGGCCTTTAGTGATACTTACAGAAGTACAACCAGATGGAGCTCTTAAAGCTCCATCCCAGGCTGAAGAAGTTCTCAATTGTCAAACTAAGAATTCTTTGGCTTAGAACAAACTGTTGAAGAAGATGGACGGAAAAATGGATCAGATTGTTGAATCTGTCCATAAGAATGAAGAAAGACTCCAATATCTTTCTGATAAACTCAGAAAGTGTTATAAAGAATCTCAGAAGCAGATTGCTAAATTGGAGTTAGACATTTCGAAGCTGACAGAAGAAAAAGCTGTTTTCACTGAAGAATACCACAAAAAATATAGAGAAATTAGGAGACTCAAAGAGCAAGTCAAAAAAATGGATGAATTGATTGCTGCTAAACAACAGAATAGGGAAGCTGAAGTTAATCCCTTTCTTGTTCCACCTCATGTACAATCTAGTTACTATTCTCCTTTCAGTCCATCTCCCTTCTATCAAGGAACTTTCACAGCACCATCTTATTCCTTACCCTCTGCTTATAGACCTAAACCTAGGTCTTCCACACGTGATTTTAAGGAAAAATGAAAGATGAGTATTTCCTCTTCAGAAACTATCAAGACAAAAAGCTTAGAATCTTCTGAAGAAGAAAAATCTCCACCAAAAAAGTCATCAAAAGGAAGTCAAGAGAAAACACCTTTCATAGGTGTAATATTTGAAGAAGATGACTTAGTTGATGATTCAAATTCCAACTTATCCGAAGAAACTGAGAAAGATTCCCATGAGGGATCTTATGGATCTTCAACAGCTGAAGAATCCCAGAGTGAATCAGACTTGTCAGAAATCAAATCCTCAGATGAAAACTTCACCAATATTACTAAAATGCTGATGGTTAATACAGCACAATCCAGTAATCAAAGAGGATCCTTTTATGATTCACCTGATGAAGAAGAAGAAACCAGTAGGCAAGAGAAAAAAGGATAAAAAATTAATGGAGGTCTTTATTTCACTCTTGATGATGTCTCTTCAAAATATTGAAGAAAGAGATTACTTGATTTTGAAGCTTGGTTAGACACCCAATTCATGAAGTTAGATGCAGATCCATACAAAGTCATTGAAGAATTCTGTTGCAGAATGATTGACACCTTGAAAGAATGGTATCACAACCTTGGCAGTGTCAAACAGAACCAGTTTCATCAACTGAGAAATACTCACCAAGTTCTTGGAGCTATACATCAAGAATTTGTGGGTGACATGGATCTCTATGACAAGAAAATCACGCAAAAATATTTTGAAATGAGATGTTGTTCATTAAAGAGAAGTGATTTAGAAAGACATTATAAAAGAATGGTAGAAATTTTCTATCTTCTTAATGGATACAATGATGTTAGTCTAAAAAACACTTATGTTGCTTCTCTTCCTCAAGAACTGCAGCCAGAGATTCACAAACTTATTACAGCTCAAGGACAAGACTTAACCAGTTTAAGCCTTAGCCAAATTCACCAGAAGACATTGGAATCTCTTGACAAATTATGCAGAATGCATCTATTCATCTCTGATGTGATGAATGAAAGATCAAAGTTTACTAAGGCCTGCAAGAAAAAATATCTTGAAATTGGATGTAAAGACAAGAAGTGTGTTTGTTCATCCAAGAAAAAAGGCAAAATAAAGAAGTTTTCAAAGAAGAAGAATAAGATAAAATACTTCAAGAAGAAAAACAAGAAGGGAAAAAGCAAAGGTACCAGATGTTTTATCTGCGAAAAAAAAGGACACTTTGCAAAAAAAAAATGTCCTAACAAAGATGCCAAAGCCCAAAACCTGATAAATTCATTAGACCCTGTTGAAGGGGACATTGAATCTGAATATTCTGAATAAGAAGAAGCAGACTAGGATACTATCTTTGCTATTCAAGAATCTTCTGATGATTCTTCAGATTTTTCAAGCAAAAAAGAAGAGTACATTCCTCTTTATTTTACTCAAGAAGTAAATAGTGTCCTTCAAACTCCGTCACAACCTTGTGCTGAGGTTCAAGTTCTTATCAACAAATATGCTACACCAATTAGAGCCATAACTTATATGGATACTGGAGCACAAAGAACCATGATGAATCCAGATATCCTTCCAAAAGAATGCTGGACTCAATATACAACCAGTTTTGTAGTAGCTGATGGAAAGGTCTTCAATACACACTTAATTTTCAAAATGCCCATTGAAATTAAGTTGTTTCCAGATTGCATTAGGAACTTATCTTCCCAATAAAGATATTCTGCTTGGAATGGATGCTTACTGCCTGACGGACAAACTTCAAATTCTTCCTAGAGGAATAAAATTCAAAAGAAGCTTTAAGCCCTACACAGATGTTTTAAAGCTTTATTTGCTTGAAGAAAGTCCAATAGAATATTCTGAAATCAAGGAAAAGTTAAAAACTCTATGTGTAGATGGTCATGAGAATTTTTCTCATCCCAATGCAATCTGGAATAATCCAGAATTTTTTATAAAGCTTCCTTTTAAGCTTAATGAAGACATCAATCCTACTAAAGCTACTCATCCTGGAATGAGTCCAAGTGATCTTCAGCTGGCTAGACAAGAATGCAATGAACTTCTTCATCAAGGATTGATCGAACCAACCAAATCTGAATGGGCATGCCAGACATTCTATGTTGAAAAAAGATCAGAAAAACTCAGAGGAAAGAAGAGGTTAGTAATTGATTACAAGCCTCTTAATCATTTTCTCAAAGATGATAAGTTTCCTACCCCAAAAACCTCATCTCTCCATACCCTTATCAAAGATACCATGATCTTTTCAAAGTTTGATTTAAAATCAGGATTTTGGCAACTTGGTGTTGATCCTTCTGATCGATACAAAACTGCTTTCTGTATACCGAATGCCCAGTATCAATGGAAAGTCCTTCCATTTGGTTTAAAAGTGGCACCTTTCTTATTTCAGAAAGCCATGACTAGAATCTTTGAACCTATTCTTGATGGTATACTCATCTACATAGATGATGTATTATTATTTTCAAAAGACACAGAGTCTTATAAAGCCATGTTGACAAGTTCTTTAATATTGCCAATACTTATGAGATTATGTTGTCAGAAAAAAAGATTCAATTAGCTCAAACCCAGATAGATTTTTTGCGAATGCATTTTTTTCAGGAAAATTATTAACCACAGCCTCACATTGTAGAAGAACTTCTGAATTTTCCTAATGAAAATTTCATAATCAAGCAAATCTAACAGTTTCTTGGAGTTCTGAATTATATTAGGGATTTTATTCCTAATGCTGCCAAATATACAAGCCCTTTGTCAAGATTACTTAGAAAAAATCCTCCACCATGGAGCAATGAACAGACTGAAGCTGTTCGACATCTTAAAAAGGTAGCTCAGAATCCTCCACCATTAAAGATTCCTAGAGATGAAAAAAGAATATTGCAAACAGATGCTAGTGATCATTATTGAGGAGCTGTTCTACTTGAGGAAATTGATGGGAAAAAGTCATATTGTGGTCATGCCAGTGGACAATTCAAAGAATCTGAGAAGCATTATCATACTACTTACAAAGAAGCCTTAGCAGTCAAAAATGGTATCCAAAAATTTGACTTTTATCTTAGAGGTCATAATTTTGAAGTTCAAATGGATAATTCTGCTTTTTCTGCCCTGCTTGATTTCAAAAACAAAATGCCACCTGATCCTCAGGTTCTCAGACTAAAAAATTGGTTCTGCAGGTATGATTTTACTGTTAAACATATTAAAGGAGAAAAAAATGTTGTCCCTAATCTTTTGTCCAGACCAAAAAAGCCTATTGCCATTGTCACCTCTTTAAACACATATCCACTAATCTTCCCCCTCAATATTGCTGAAGCCAGTACCAACACTGGTCACAATCCTCTTCCAATATTTCCTCCTGACATGAGAAATGATGGGGTTATTACAGTAGAATACATTAAAGATTTTGCCAGAAACCATATGTTCCACTATCTAGCTCTTTCTCTCCACAATCATGGCGCTAAACCTAAACCTTCATGGTTTCATCCTAATGCACCATATCTAAATATCTTTACTTTATTAATGAATTTTCCCTTGATTGAAGAAGATGTGTGGTATCTTTGGTGTGTTACTCTTTTATTCCATTATCACATAGTCTTTCCCACATATAGTATGTTTGAGTTTCTTAGTGATCCTCGAAACCATTTAACCCTGTTATGGAAGTTTCTAACTTGGTATCAACCCATTCATAACTGGAAAAAGGATGTCTAATCTGAAATGGAAAGACTCAGCATATGGAAAGAAATTAATCTGCCTCCAACTGAAGTTCCTAAGCATGTAACGGTGGTAATTATTCATAGGCCTTATTTTGAACATCCACTCTGAAAATTACTCTACACTCAGAACCAAGTCAAAGTTTGGAGTACATATCAGAGTCTGAGAGAAATATCTGAACCAGATAGACCACCTCATAACCAGGCAGATTTAAATATTCATCTTCATGTTGAGAATGGAGCTCAAGAAGAAATGCTCAAGGTCAAATCCACATGCTCTAAGTTAAAAGCCATGGACATAATTTGCCCTTCAGATACTGATAATCCAACCATGTGGGACAAAATTCAACAAGTAAGTCCATCAGTAATTTGTTCCAGTATTACTTTTAGAAATTGGAAAACAATTAGCCATGTCATAATTAAAGATGAAGAGTCATCACATACTGACACATTGATGGACTCATAAGATCCATATGATTCTGTCAGCTTCAGCACTGATGATGATCCCAACATGTCACCAAGTCACGAGCCTATCTTCAAGGATTGAAAAAATCTCTGTTAAAGACACTTTATTACATAAAGTGTCTTTATGAAATATGTTTTTTGTGTGAGTCAGATGTACTTAAAGTTTTTTTCTTTGTATGCTTGTCAAAAGCTACTTTGTAAAAGGTTGGAATCTTATCCAAACCTGTCTGATGTAATAATTTTGTCCGCTGTCTATCCTCTATATAAGGAGGAATCCTTGCCATTTGAAGGTAGACCGAACAAAAATAAAACTTGTGTGTTTTCATATATCATAAGTTGTTTCTAAGTTTCTCTCTCTGAAAGCTTTGTTTATAATGACTATCCTCTAGTTCCTGACTAGAAAGAAGTATGCTCTGCACTTGTCATTTTAATGGATCCTGTGCATCAGAAAATTTATAGGTGAAAGATCCTGTTACTACGGTCCTCTTTATTATAATTCAGAAAGAATGACTAGCATTAATATAAGAAAAATGCATATGGATTTGTTTCAAAGTATTAGAAAGTACTGTTAGTTTCTTTGTGGGTTATGATATAAGGGGCTCCCGGCCAGTATGTTGCTTCTCTTCCTCAAGAACTGCAGTCAGAGATTCACAAACTTATTATAGCTCAATTCTTCTTCATTAGGTGAATCATAAAAGAATCATCTTTGATTACTGGATTGTGCTGTATTAAAAAAAAAAAAGAAACACTACCAATATATCTCATAAATATTATATCTCACACCTTAACATAGCAAGAAATATACATCGTCACTCACACAAACTTTGCTTTTTATAGGCATCCTAAAGTAACAACTAACAACAAAACTAATAAGATTGAAGATAATGTAAACGGTAAATAATAAGAAAATAAAGATTTTAACAAATTTAAAATGCAACTGTTGGTGCAGATTGTATTTCTAAAAATAGGTGGATATATAATTAAAGAAGTTAAAAATATATGGTCTATGCTTGCACTTTTCTTGTCTATTTTAACGGGTTTTCCTTCTAAAATAAACCCAATTAGTTACCTCAATTCGAGGGATGAACTATTTTGAGCGACTAATGTTCTTATAAAAGCCCACACTTTCGTTTTTTTCAATAGGAGAACAACAAAGATTGAAAAATCACATCTCTATGTATATAAATAAATTTTATAATGGATTTTACTTTCTGGGTTAGGATTCTCTTGTTGAGCAATTTTCTCGCGACGTTATGCCTTGCCACGGAGGTGTCATATGATGCACGTTCTCTAATTATTAATGGAGAGAGGCGCATTATTTTTTCCGGTGCAGTTCATTATCCACGAAGCACGGCGGAGATGTGGCCTGACATCATTCAAAAGGCCAAGGATGGAGGTCTTGATGCCATTGAAAGTTATGTATTCTGGGACCGTCATGAACCTGTTCGACGTGAATATGATTTTTCAGGAAATTTGGATTTCATCAAATTTTTCCAATTAGTCCAAGAAGCTGGTTTGTATGCCATTATAAGGATTGGTCCTTATGTTTGTGCGGAATGGAACTATGGTGGCTTCCCTCTCTGGCTACACAATATGCCAGGGATTGAATTGAGAACCAATAACGCAATTTACAAAAATGAAATGCAAGTTTTCACAACAAAGATTGTGAACATGCTCAAAGAAGCAAAGCTGTTTGCATCACAAGGAGGACCGATTATTCTTGCTCAAATTGAAAATGAATATGGAAACATCATGTCAGGTTATGGAGATGCTGGGAAGACATACATTAATTGGTGTGCTCAGATGGCTTTGGCACAAAATATTGGTGTTCCATGGATCATGTGTCAGCAAGGTGATGCTCCCCAACCTATGATCAATACTTGTAACGGATACTATTGTGATCAATTTGAACCCAATAACCCGAAAAGTCCCAAATTTTTCACTGAGAACTGGATTGGATGGTTCCAAAAATGGGGTGAAAGGGTCCCCCACAGAAGTGCTGAAGATTCAGCTTTCTCAGTTGCACGGTTTTTCCAAAATGGTGGAGTACTCAATAACTACTACATGTACCATGGAGGAACCAACTTTGGTCGCACAGCAGGAGGTCCATACATCACAACATCTTACGAGTATGATGCCCCTATTGATGAGTATGGCAATTTGAATCAACCCAAGTGGGGACATCTTAAGGATCTTCATGCAGCGATAAAATTAGGAGAAAAGATCCTCACCAACGGAACAAGAACTGACAAGGATTTTGGCAATCAAGTCACACTGACAACATATAAGAATGCAAGTGGGGCAAGATTTTGTTTTTTGAGCAATGCAAACGAGAACCAAGATGCAAATGTTGACTTACAACAAGATGGTAAATACTCTGTCCCTGCTTGGTCTGTTTCCATTCTTGATGGTTGCAACAAAGAAGTTTTCAACACCGCAACGGTTAATAGTCAAACCTCAATAATGGTGAAAAAGAGTGATGATGCTTCTCCTAAGCTCACATGGGCATGGCTCCAAGAGAAAAAGAAAGACACCATGCATGGAAAGGGTACTCTTCAAGCAAACCTGCTTCTTGAGCAGAAGGAAACAACTATGGATGTGAGTGACTACTTGTGGTACATGACTAGTGTCAATATCAGTGACACTTCCATTTGGAGCAATGCAACTCTTCACGTGGACACTATGGGCCATACCCTTCATGCTTATGTTAATGGAAGGCGTGTAGGATACCAATTTAGCCAATGGGGAGGCAAATTAACATACGAGAAACAAGTTCCTATAAAGGAGGGATCAAACATCATAACTTTGCTTAGTGCCACCGTTGGGCTTCCAAATTATGGAGCAGGGTTTGACAAGATAAAAACCGGTATAGCAGGTGGTCCTGTTCAATTAATTGGAAAGAACAATGTGACTATGGATTTGACAACTAACCTTTGGTCTTACAAAGTTGGTTTGAACGGTGAAACAAGGCGTTTATATGATCCACAACCACGCCCTGGTGTATTGTGGCGCACTAGTTCATCTCCTATTGGGAAGCCCATGACTTGGTATAAGGCAGAGTTCAAAGCTCCTTTGGGAACAAACCCTGTGGTTGTGGACTTGCAAGGCATGGGAAAAGGTCAAGCTTGGGTGAATGGGCAAAGCATTGGTCGATATTGGTCTTCTTGGACTTCACCTACCAATGGATGTAGTGACACTTGTGACTACCGTGGAAAATACGAACCAGCCAAGTGCAACACTAATTGTGGCAACCCATCACAAAGGTGGTACCATGTTCCAAGGTCCTTCCTCAACAATGACAAAAACACGTTGGTTTTATTTGAAGAAATAGGTGGAAATCCTCAAAATGTTTCCTTCCAAACAGTGACGACAGGAACCATTTGTGCTAATGTTGTTGAAGGGGCAGAATTAGAACTATCATGCCAAGGTGACCAAGTAATCTCTCAAATCGTATTTGCTAACTTTGGAAACCCACAAGGCAAGTGCGGTTCTTTCCAGAAAGGGTCTTGGGAAGCTACTGATAGCCAATCCGTGGTTGAAGCTGCATGCATAGGAAAAAATAGTTGTGGATTTACAGTAACAAAAGAAGCATTTGGTGTACCTGCTGGTGACGAGGTGGGTAGACTAGCTGTGCAAGCAACTTGTTGAATCAATATCTAATATATACTGAGAAAATGAGACACTCCGTGAAATCAATTGTACTTTGGATTAATGGCTCCGTTGTAAGATTTGCTCAATATTAAATCAATATGTTCTCCTTTTTTATACTGTTGATGTTGATCCTTTCTAATCCATTTTTAAGGCTGCTTTTGTCATCCATGTTGTTACACTTAGAGGCATGTTTGTTTATGTTTTAGTTTTTAACTTTTAAAAATATATTTTAAATAACTATTTTTAAGAAAAAAATAAAAATAATTATTTTTAAGATAAAAAATAAAAAAATATTATTTGATAATTTTATTTTAAAAACAAATTTTAAAAATTAAAAAAATGTATTTAGTTTTATTTACTTTTTTATTTAGTATTTTAAATTAAATGAATATATGTATATATATATATATATATATATATTTAATTTTAATATTTTTTATTTTCTTAAATATATTTTGTATATTTAAAATAAAATATTAAATTAAAAAATATTAAAATATTAAAATCTAATTAATATAGAGTTGAAAAATATTCTTACTTAGAAGTAATATTTGCAATTTATACAGAATTTAATAAATGATGATTAATTTTAAAATTTAAATAATTTTTAATAAATAAATTTAAATAGTATGAATGTGTAATGTTACAGAGAAAACAAGTGAATACCATTGATACATTAGAACAAGTGAACACATATGTTAAAAATATTTTTAGTTGGAAAAAGAAATGAAAAAACAAAAACCAAAATATCTTAATTTTTTTTTAGTTTTAAAAACTAAAAATGAAAAAAATATTTTTAAAAATTTAGGTTGACAAACAAGATATTATTATTATTATTATTTAATAACAATTTTTTTTTTTGAAAAAATAAACATGCTCTAAAACTCCACATTTACTTTTACTCGTTTCTTTTGTGCTTCTATATTTTCTTACTTTACTAATTTATTTGAAATTTTTTTATAAATAAGTCGATATTTAGCCACTATCAAAACATTTTCTCGATCAATTAAACAAGACTTTTCACCCTTGAAAGTATCAAATTGTAAACATGCTGCTAATTGCTCATTCTATATATTTTATTAATACATATTTACTATAATAAATTAATCAAGAAAAATAATATCTATAAAATTTTAAAAGTTTCATAAATTACCACAAAATTGAAAATAAAATAAAAAATATACGAAATAGTAGTTTAATAAAATACTTTTTTTTTTACAAGTTTCTTTTGTTTTCTTATTTTTTTCATTTTTCATTTTTTTTCTTTTCTATCTAACCAAAGAATATCATTAACCAACTCTTTCATCCTTCGATAGTCAACAAGTCTTAATTACCCATCCTCATCCTATTTAGACTATCAGCAGATCTTTACTATAAATTTATACAGGGTTTGTCTATCCTTTTTTTTATTAGATTAATGTAATTCACAATAAAAAAAATTATTCAGTTTAATTCAATTCTATTGCTAGATCATTTAGAATATATTTTGTGGCCTAAGATTAAGTTTACTCGTACATTTTAATTGATTCTTGAAATATAACGTGTCACTAAATTTTCTAAAATAAAACATACTGCAATAGCTTATACATTAATCTGTTTGATAAAATTTTATAAACTTTACTGTATCATTATTATATATAGCAACAATATTTTTATTTATTTATATTTATATTATATTTTAAGAATATTTATTTTATATAAAAAAATATTATCTCGTGTGTATAGCATGGGTAACTTATCAGACCCAAAAAAATTCGTTCTACTAGTTTCGTCTAAATCAAAATCGAGACATGAAATCATTGTAGACTCTTGAGCTAAATTGAGATAAGAATAATGTTTGATGAGTATGCACACAGCACTTCATCTAAACGTAGGGGAAATGATTTATGCATTCACCATTAATGCATTTCATTCCATAAAGTAACGGGAAGGAAGTATAAGAGTTAAATTATGATCTAACATTGATCTTAACACAAATGAAAAATATAAAATTATATTTTATAAACATAAACATATGTTTTTTTTTTTTACTTCCATTTATTACATATATTTTAAAATTGTTTATAAAATAGCACGTAACATCTATTTTTTTTCTTATTATTTATTTTATTAAGTTTTAGAATGAAAATCTTAATTTAAATTTGATAAAATCACTTGTCACGCGAATAATGAGGTTTGAATAGCGAAATGTTAGAGTGGCACGTGGCAGAGGGTCCTGGTTGCGCTTTGAAAGAGCATGGGGTGCATCATTTGGATTGTTGAGAAATATTAACACTGTTTGTGCTGTGGAACGAAAGAAAGGGCATTCTCTTGCATTTGAACACAGCGACGGCACCTTCACATTAGATCCAAACCACACCAAACGATGTTGCGGAGACTCTTCTCTCCTTCTCACCTCAGATCCCTACCCACCGCACTCTCTCCTTCTCTTCCCCGATTCGCCGCTCCTCTCCTCACGCGCCACGTCACTGCCCAATCAGGTACTATCTCTTTCTCCGATTGCACGATTCGCATTTAGATTCGATTCGATTCGATACGATTCAGTTTTCGTTATTGTTACTGCAGGTTCTTCTATCAGAAAGAGAGTTGAGGATGTAGTGCCAATTGCTACTGGCCACGAGCGTGAGGAGATTCAGGCTGAGCTTGAGGTATTCTCTTTCCTTCATTTGTTTTCGGATCATGTTCTATCTTATACTTTTCCTTTTAAATCGGAGTGATGCTGTTGTTAATTAATGTCAATTGAATTTATTTATCCTCATTTCTCTAACATATGAAAACTATGGATTGGAAATTTTAAGAAATTCCTTTGCGTTTGATGCCCAAATTTTTCAATGTTAGTTTGCTGATCATTTTCGCAGGTGCTTTTTGGTGTTTTATGGGCGTTTCTAATTTTTTTTTTGTTTATTTTTGTTTAGGGAAGGGATATTCTTGAAATAAACCATCCCATTGGTCCTTTCGGCACAAAGGTTAGTGTCATTACTTTGTTCGTATATATATAATTACGTGTATGCAAACGTTTGACTCTGTATATTCGTGTCATGAGTGTTGCAGCTGCTTCCGTTTGTGTGTCGATAAGTCGGTGTATATGAGCAAATCTCATGTGTTTGTGCGTAGATAGATAGTAGTGGTTAATCTGTTCTTAAAAGTAGGCTAATATGAATATCTTAAGTGCCTATAAATGACACTCATTCTCAGTTTGATCCCTGACTTCACTGTGGTAAAAACGAGATTTTGTTGTTTAACCTATTCATTTGCAAATTCTTGAAAGCAGAAAACAATTTGAAAACAAAGATGATATTTCTGTGATTATTAGTGAAACCATATCAATTGAGAAGGAAAACATAGAATAGATCATAAACCACCTTGACTTTCTGTTTTTCACTTTGCATTTTGTTATCAGGGTTAAATATTGTTTTTTTCTCGCTTAATCCCTATGTTTGATGTATGTCTTCTTTGTTGTTTGTTTTGGTTGATAGGAAGCACCTGCTGTTGTTAAATCTTACTTTGACAGAAGGATAGTTGGATGCCCAGGATGTGAAGGTGGTAAGTGTTGCTTGTCTTTTTTCTTTTTATGAATTTGTGTTCAATCCTTTTAATTGTGTTATTTTATGAGTGTGATTTTTTTTTCCCTGCAGAGGATGAGCATGATGTTGTCTGGTTTTGGTTGGAGAAAGGCAAGCAGATTGAATGTCCAGTGTGCTCACAGTATTTTGTGGTAAGTTGTGGTTGAGAATTAGTTAGAATTTTATTGTTACCACTGGCAAGATAGATTTGTGGTTAAATGTCAAGATACGTAAGTATGTAGATTGAAAATAATCTGCTTGTTTGCTTGTTATGGATTGCTAAGGTTGATGCTGCTACTATAAGATTTGTGTTTTGACATGCTTTGGGCCCCTTTCCAATTTTCTTATCTGAATCCCCTGATAAATTAGTGTATAATTATCTGACAATTAATTGCCTGGTTTTTGCAGCAATCGCTAGCTGCTGTTTAATTTGTATATGTGATTCGTACTTTAGCAATAATTTACATTCTAAATAAATGAATGTGGAAGTGACACGTCAATTTTTTGCAATTTTTTTAAAAAGTTGTTTGGCATCGATTAACATTTGAGGCCGTTTTATAAGTCCCAGTCGTCAATCTGGTTTTAACTTTGAACCTCAAAAATAAGTGGTAAGCCAGAAAATTAGCCTTTTGGCTCGAGGTGCAATACCCTAGCATGGACTTAATTTGATTTGAAATTAAATTTCGATTCATCTTGAACCGAAAATACTACGGTATTTTGATTTGTTATCGTGTTGTCATCACTCACCAACGCTTCTATGTAATATCTAAGCTTGTGTTATGTTTGATTTAGAGGAATCATGGGGTGCATGCCTATATTAGAACACTAATGGTGGTTTATGGAACCATAGTTCCTCTACAGGGAGAATGTATAGCCACTCTTTATTTATATGGTTCCGAAGTTAATCTAGCGCACCGTGTTCACTGCTTCTGCATACAGCCTAAATAAACAAATTATAATCTTGTGCATAATAAATGACTGTTTTGAATGGGTGCTTTACTGCTCATTGGAACTAATTATTTGGTTTTTCTTTACAGCTGGATGTGGTCGGACCCGGCGGTGATCCTTATGGACATGGCGATCACGATCACCATTGATTGCATCCGCCAATTTTCATTCAGAATAAAATTTGCAGAGATAGAGACATTTTCACCTTTCAAATCACGAGACCTTGTTTTGTTCGGTTCTGATTGGTCTCTATACTTGCGGTTTTGCAACTTTAGAGATAGAAAGTTTCTGTGATTATTTGAACAGATCTGCTCATTTGATTGAGCTATCAAATCCTGTTAGAATTTTTTTATTGCTCTGCCAAATAATATATAGCAACCCTGATTCTTTAACAATGCTTGAAAAACCTATGCATATACTTGAGCACCCAAACCACGAAAGGGGCCACAATTTTAAGGTTAAAATAAAAATTTAGTCCCTAATCTTGATCTTATTTTTTTATTTTAGCCCTTATATAAAAAATTCTCGCTGTGCAAAAGAAATAAATAAACTCTATATTCTAGTTTCCACGTACTTTTACGAAATAGTCCTTACTGTGGGTTGCAGTTATCATGGTATTATATTCACTTTATAAATTTGACAATATTCTGCTTTAATTTTTATACAAAAAAAATTTACGCAATAATTTGTCTTGTGAGAAAACTTTTACGTTTTAGTCTTTACATTTAATTTTTTTAATACTACTATAACTGTGGAAAGTATTTATAATTTTTTTATGTGGAGGTTAAAATGTAGAACTTTTTAATGTAAAGATTAAATTAAAAACATTAATCAATTGTAACAAAAGAAATTAATTTAACTAAAATATATTTGAATTGAAGGGCTTTTTTTTCTGTCAAAGAAGGGCTTTTTTTGTCTTGATATTTTTCAAGTGGTTCATAGACAGTGAAACTGGTCCATCGGCCCAAAATTCAAATGTTAGCCCAAAGATTGAACAGGACGGTTTTGATCGACAGGTTTTGATAACATCTAACTGAAGGAAGAAAAAAAAAGGGATTCTCGACCATGACATGGTTTGTTTTGATTTTTCTTTTTTTTTTATTCATACTGAAATATAAATGAGAAAATGCATATAACAAAAAAAAAATTTGAAAAATATTTCTTATATAAAAGAGATATTCGAGTAAAGGGCACCAAACTCACCTGTTGCCAAAGGGAACAGAGGAAACGAAAGAAAAAGGTCGCACTGACAAAATACTGAAATGACAATGAAATATTCTTAGGAAGTTGTATCCGAAATGCTTTTGTCCTTTTGTGAGCCCTTGAAATGGCAAGGTAGCATTCCCAAGTAATAAATTCTAAATCAAGAAATTAGAATCAGAACAGAATAGATTCAAAGCCTCACTCACATCCCCATCTTACCAATTATGAAAAGGAAATAATTGTCACTTCTTTTCAAATTAGAATTATAAGGATAAACAAATGAAACATAGAAATGAAGGAAATTTTGGACACATTGCTTTACCAACCATTATTCTTCCTTTTGGATCATTTTCTTCTTGAAGATGTTTTACTTTACTGCTACCTTTTTCTCTATATTAAGTCAGAATCAATCTCACTTTGCATGCTTATGAAAGTGAATTCCATTACGTTTGAGGAGATCAGGTTACCAAGATATCTCTTTAACAACAAACATCCCTCTATGGACGTTGTGGGATTCAATAATATTATTTACTTCATTCGTGTTGCTATTATTAACACTAGCAGAGAACCAAGAATTTCGATGTCTAGTATGAATCAGGAAACGAAAGAAAGTGGAAAATGAAAACAAAATCGGAATAAAATAACTTTTTTAGCTTTACAGTATATTATAGTGTGTGGCTCATGAAATACTCAAGAAATCCCTTTTAAAAAAGTATACATATATTATTGCTGTAACAGTTAGCACTATGATTTTCAATACCACCCAAAAAGTATTATGATCGATATTTTTAAGAATTTAATACTATAACGATGTATTGCTCTTCAGTAATGATGTCTGCAGATTTTTTAATGTTTAATTGTGATGCGTCTTGATTAATAAAGAAATAAACAGCTCTCTGAGATATATCATAAATATAAATAAAATGCTTACTATTATAGTTTATATAGAAAATCACTTAAAACTTTAAAGATAAATACATAAAAAGATCAATTTCTATTTACACCGCATTCTAATATATTAAAGCTAATAATAATTTTAAGGATGCTTTAAAATTAATTATTATTATTTTGGCTGAAACATAAATAGTATATTAAAATACTTCTTTGTGATATCTACTTATTTTAAAATTATTACATTATAATTGTCTTGATAAGACTTGGATACTATCATCAATATATATTAATTTTAAAATAAAAATAGAATTATGAAATAAAAAAGAGAATATGTGATTGTGATAAAGAGAAAAATTAATCATATAAAATAATTTTAGAATCAAACAAAATCTGTTTTTAGTAAAGATATTAAATAATTAATAAAAAAATAACATGATTGTTTTTAAAATAAAATTATAGAATGATGAAATCAAAAATATTATGATGTTGATACGAAAAAAAAAAATATTAGCATGATAGCATACATATAAGATTAATAAATATTAAACACAAAATAGCCCATGCATTGTAAAAGTAAGAAAACTAACTATTTGGTAGTAGTAATAATAATATGAATTAAAATTAATAATTTAATAAAACAGAAAAAATTTCCATTATGTGGCTATATTATTTTTTCTCAATAAACTAAAAGCATGCAGATCTAACTTATTAAAATTAAGGATATTAATTAAGAGAGAATATACATATTTTTAAATTTAATAAATATAGAATTGAAAGAAAAGAAAAAAAAACCAATGTTGGTTCTAACTTTTAATGCATACGTTATTTTTTACTTGGTTACTAAATCAAAGTTTTTATGCTAGCGTTGTTTTTAAAGAATTAACAAAATACTTCTAATTATTTATTTTCAGTCAAATAAATAAATAAATTAGCGTATAAACTATTGTCAACACATATTAAAGCTAAATAATTGATATAATAATTTTTATTATTCCGTCATCATGAACTAGAGGGAAAAAGTATAACCGCCAACATAATTTAATTAAATTTGTAAATATTCACGTAAGATAATCCAAAAGCATAACATTTAATGATTATCCGAAGACCAAACATGAAGTGCAATATATCAATGTGGCTTATCATTTGTATTTGACTTTTAATGATGAGATCAAAGTTGCTTTTCACTTTTTAAACATGTTTTGTCTTGTAATTATAATGGTCCACCCTAACATCGAACCAAAATTTGAAAAATTCATAGCAATCAAAACCTTCTTTTGTAACTGAAATAATAATTGGACAGATACACTTTTATTAAAAGAAGATGTTTTATTTGCAAGGGAAGTGGCTAAATAATTTGTCTTTCTCCATGCTATTCAAGTATTTCAAAAGATTTTTTTTTTTCATGTTTCTTTAAAGGATAAAACTCCAAAAGAAGAAACTTCAGAACTTAAAAATCAAAACAATCATTTTATTCTTTTAATAATTAGTATGTTGTTCCATATTTTAATTTTTTAAATTGATAATATCAAATATTATCAATCATTTATGAAATAATTAATAAAATAAATTTCATATTATTATCACTTTATATTCACATAATTTTTTATTCACCCCTAATATATGGTAATATACAATGTAACATTGTGCACCCTTCATTCCAAGTGTCATGTCAAAGAAGAATGCTAGAATTATTATTGGGATGGTACACCGAATTAATGGATTCAATATTTGTGAATGCAAACGAAGATAAATACCTAAAATTATTCTCCATCTTAAATGCAGGAAAGGCGTGCTGCTGGGTGTGCTTTCAGCAATTTTTTAGTTAAATGTTTTTTAAGGACGATGGAATCATTATTAAATCATGGATAATTGTAACTTCTTTTTTTAAATATAATTGTATATACAAAGTTAACAATGCGAAAAAAAATAGATATCTATTTTAATACAATGAGTGTAGAAAAATTAACACCTTATCCCATCAACTTAAATTTGGTTTCAATATAAAAAATCCTTATTTATTCTAATATAAACGAAATAAATTCACAATATGAATGCTTGCTTAGTTTTGTAATTTTTAAAATCTTTTTCTTCTTAATACATAACATTACCTATCTTATCAATCATTTTTCTTCTTTTTTCTATCTAGCTTTTGGTGCATGCACGTGATCAAGAGAGTGTCCATGAAGCATTTTCCATTGTTTAACTTATCATCATCCACTTATAAGCCCTTCCTTTTAAATGAAGAAAAAGTTAAGCTAGAAACAGCATGTTGTGGTTCACAAATGTCTAATCAATAGATGAGCACTCTCTTGGCCTAGATGATAAGTTAATTAGTACCAAAAGCTTAATGTTGATGTCAAAATTAAAGTCCCTAATTAAGGGATTTTCAATTTGAGGAGGTATTAGCCGGCACAAGCTTAATGTTGGGATTGAATCTCACTCACTACTTTACACCCATGAACTTGAAACTTAGTGAGAGTGCATTAGTGTGTATTCCTAAACTAGTTTATTGTGTTAACGTGTGTAAATATATAACTTTTTCTTGAAGCAAAGGAATATTTTGCTGGGTGTGCATGCCAGCTTATGGCGAATGAGAGTTGTAAAATATTTGAAAATGGTCATACGCGAGTTGCACTATAATTTTCAGATTTTGAAGTTTACACACTTTTTTCAATTGGGTACTCAAAAATGTTCCCTTTACTGTAAAGCTTTGCCTATTTCAGCCGCCTAATTTGCAAGATCACACCCACCATACAGTACTTTAATCTCCAATAACAAGATAGTGCCAACAGCATATCTTGTCTCATCATAAACAAACGCTCCTATTTGTACCTTTGTATTATTATTGCGGTTTTTTGTTGTTGTTATTGTTATTATTATTATTATTTAAGTTTTGGAGTTATTCTCTCTCTGAATTGAGTGTGGGGCTGGTAAGAAGTTGACGAAAATAAAAAGTTGATCTAAATTCTCCTTAGATGAGGGAAAATCTACTAATTTTTGACCCTGGAGGGATATTAGATGCTCAATCATTAACAGCAACCAATTAGCATTTGCCATGTCACAACTTATTTGCAGTTTAAGTCAACCAGTTTAATATTGATGCTCTTTTGTTGTGCTAACGCTGTCTTATATGCAACCAATCTTATTGATATTTAACGTATTTTAATGCAATGCATATCTCCTAAGATTTTCTTTCTTCAACTTCCAAAAACTTTCCCTTCTAAACTTGATTAATTTTTTATGCATTTTGATTTTGTGGTGTTTCGATACTCTTTTAAGTAAAAAAATATTGCAGTACTTTTTAAAACAGCAAATTATGACAAAATATAAAATTTTAAAAAGGATAGTAACTTTTTTCTTTTTTTCATAAAGGAAGTATACCCCATTAATTTTTATATTTGGATTTATCTAATCAAGAGGTTCAAAAGTGCTGAAGTTCAAATGGAATCTCATTTATTCGAAAAACTTATCTTATTTAAACAGACAAATTTAAAACCATGGGGGTTAAAAGAAACATAAAAGGAACTGTTAACAGTGTCTACAGTGTGTTGAGTGAGAAATATTTGCATTCACCTTTTCTAAAGTGGGGACGTGTCCATGTTGCAGAGGATAATTCACTTAATAATTCTACCTTGACAAGAAATCAAAAAGGTTGAAAGGTTTGTTACACTAACAAGGTGAAGAGTACTTGCATTGCATATCATGAGAGTTTGACATTAGACAAAAGAAATTGGTTCATGAATTACATTCCAATTTGAATTGTTCAAGTTAGTCCATAGTCTCCATCAATGCAAGCATAGAAAAATGGTGCAAAACTATAAACGGGTTAGTGGATAGAGGGAAGGACAGGTAGCATTTGAAGATATCAAAGTAAGCTGCATTTTATAGGGGAGCAGACATAGTGGTGCACAATGAATGTACTCATTGACCTATACATAGTGATAGTGGCTCTACCTCTGTATACCCCAATTAATCTTGTTGAGTCTGGGATATATGCCAACTCCACCTTTCACTTTGCAATAAATTACATTTTTGCTGTTACTGTGAGAATCAAAGCTGCAAATATCTGCACAACTTGGAGAGAAATAAAATTATAAACCAATAAAGAAGTTGGCCAGTGGGATATATTCAAGTTGGAGTCCACTAAGGCCCTTTCTAACTGACAAAACTAAAGATACACAGAAATCTGCTAATAGTTTATCACATTCAGATTTTATAAACAATGGGCTTATGTCTGTTATGTTTCTTGAGATTCCTTTTGGGGAAGATCATTTTCTTCTAAATAATTTGGCTCTCTGCTAAGTAAATGAAGATTTTAGGACCTTATTTTTTCTCATTATGCGTTAGTTAAAGAGTTCTGTTATTACTATTGTCATTATTATTATTATTTGTGGCTATACTTCAGAGAAGGTCTAGACTTTGGACTTATGCTGTTTCTCATGTGTATAAACAAATAAAACTTTTCTTCAAGTGGGGTATGAGCAACCAAGTTTAGTGGCAAGCAAGAAAACAAAAAAGAGGAAGGTTAGAATGAAAAGCTTACATGCTTTTTCTTGTCAATTCTAATATGAAATCCAGGTTACTGAGCTTAATTGTGAATCCGTAGGGGACTAGAAAGGAGGGGAAAATACCAAGAAGCTCCGGTTGCTTTTTCATGTGCAATTGTTGGTGATTTCCCATTTTTTCTTGAGTTACTTTACGTATTTGAGTAGGCAATAAATTGAAAGAAAAAAAAAAAACTTTAGTTTGAGGTTAATGGGTATCCATCAATCATGTAGAAATTCATAAACAAATGATTGTGAAAAGATATTTTCTTTTTACAAACTTAGGTTATTCTTTCTTGTTTTCAGTAATATTCTTCAGTGGTTGTTGTGGTTTGCTTTATTTTCGGGCCACTTCCTACAAGCATAGATTCTCTCTATGCGAGAGTCCAGAGCCCTCTCTCCTAGCTGTGCGGCTTAGGAATGGATGATTGTGCTCTGCTCTGCTTTGATTCTCTTTGCTCATAAAGGTTTCATGCTTTTGTCTTTGTCTTTACCTCTCCTTTTCATGGATACCCTTCTAGGCGGTTGCAGGAGCAGTCTATAGCCGGTGCACCCACTATACATACATGGCAATGCATATTCACACGTTTTATTCTAACTCCACCATACCCTACTGGGTATAAAGGGGCATCACCATCCTGCATTTTCTTCATTGCAGAACCTCTTCATAGTCATTGCAGTAGAAGATTTAAACACCTTTCTCTAGCAGCAAAATGAGTCATGCACATTCTCATATGGGCTCTGGTTTGTTCTTTTGCTCCATTTTATAGTCCTTTATCCTTTCTTGCACCTTGCATGAATTTTAGTTTGTAGATTGCTGTCACTCATTTATAGGAGCTTTTCCTTTCCATTTATTTGTTGTGTAAACCATTTGGTAAGTCATATTTGTAATCTTTTCCTCTGTTTTCCTTTAGCTTCCTGCATTATTTAACTTCAATGCATGCTATTCTCAGTTCATTTAAAGGATTATCATTATTTTGTCATCATCGGTCAGTTATCTCTGAACTTGGTATGTCATTAAGTAGTAAGGCTTATCCCTTACAATTGCAGGTAGTAGAACTGCTCGAAGAGCTTTTGAGTTTGGGAAGACCCATGTAGTGAGGCCCAAAGGGAAACACCAAGCCACTATAGTATGGCTGCATGGTCTTGGTGATAATGGTTTGAGGTATGAATGTCATCTTCTCAATATTATTATGTGCCATAACTATTATAAGTTGTCCATTTTCCTACTGGTCCTATATTTACTTTTTCTTTGTGAATCCTTCATTTCCTTTTTCCTTTGTACCTCATCTAACCTTTTAATGTTTTCTAATTGTTACCTTTTTCTTTCCCCAACCTCTCCTTTTGCTTTTCTTTTTTTGCTTTTTGATGGGAACAGTATACAGTGGAGGTATCATATATGTAGACATGGGAATGGATCCTCTTATGTTGAATTTTCACACAATCTTGTTACGTGAAAACTGTGTCTACCACTCTTCATAGACATTAAATAAGTGGGTCATAATTGATATTTGTGAATATTATGAAGAGAGAGATGACAAAATTTTCACGTGACATGGTTGTTAAAATTTAACATGATAAGATTCACTCATGTAGACATTTTTATGGACACCCCCCACAAAGAAAAGAAAAAAAATTCTTCCACGGTCAACTTTCTGCAAAAATGTTTAGTTAGGGAGATGGAGGAGTTTACACCCTGGATCTAGGTTTTACTTCTTTCCAATCCAAAAAGTTTGTCCTATTCTTGTTCTTTTGTGTCTTGCCTCATACTTTTGCTTCAAGTACACAATCCGTAAATGAAGTTGGGTTTTCCTGATGTTGAATGTTTTCAGCGTCAAACTTCCTTATGCTTGGAATAAATTCTGTTGAAGAAAGTTGTGATTTTAATTCTTGGAAATCTGAATTGGAAGAGTATATACTAAATTCTCAATTTGGGGACCACACGCTCACTTGTTTCTCTACCAAATGAACAGCTAGACATGACTTTAGACAGAAGAAAATATAATATTGAATAAAAGCTGGTACATTCTAGTAATGTTCTTTATTGTGTTTAGTGTGGTCACAAAAAATACCATGAGCATTTCAATGCATGGCTTTAGTACTTTATTCTAGAAGATTTTATCTAGGAAATTAGTGGTTCCTAATTGATGCCATATTTACTGGCCGGGGACATGCTAATCTGACGTTGAGCTTTGTTTTGTTGCAGCTCATCTCAGCTCCTGGAATCCCTTCCACTTCCAAATGTGAGAATATTTATTCTTTTAATCAGTTTGAAATTAAATTAACTTGCTTTCCTAAGCTAATATTCTCACTCCATAACTAAGATAAATTTGGTGTTTATGCAGATAAAATGGATTTGCCCAACTGCTCCTACCCGTCCTGTGGCCATACTTGGTGGTTTTCCCTGCACTGCATGTAATATCGTCTTTTTTCCTTCAACTCTTTTTTAGTTAATTCAGCACTGTGTAAGCTAAAACTTATAGTAAAAAAAATTGAAGTCTAACTAGCTAATTGAATGTTAATCAGGGTTTGATGTGGGAGAACTTTCAGAAGATGGTCCTGATGATTGGGAGGGTTTGGATGCCTCAGCAGCACACATTGCAAACTTGTTGTCAACAGAGCCAGCTGATGGTACTTTTAAGGCTAAACAACAATAAATTTACAATTAGACCTCAAAAATTTGCAATTTGACAAGGTCCCCTTTATATAATTTCTATATTAGAATGAGTATTTCTTCATCAATGACCCTCATTCAAGGGGGAAAAAAGGATCAAACTCCAATTTATTACCGTATACATTCATTTATAACTATGGGTGAATCTGTCTCCTTTAAACATATCTAATTTGAGTATATATGTAATTGATATCTTGAAGATTCATTTTGTTGAAAAATTGATTGTGACAGTGAAAGTTGGTATTGGAGGCTTCAGCATGGGTGCAGCAATAGCCCTATACTCTGCAACATGTTTTGCCATGGGAAGGTATGGAAATGGCATCCCATACCCACTCAACTTAAGAACAGTGGTTGGACTAAGTGGTTGGCTTCCCGGATCAAGGTATATTACAAGATTATTTGTTTTACAGACATTGCATTTATGTTGATAATAAGATTGGTCATTCTGCTGAAAGTCTCAAACACGAGGCTTAGTTGATATATTGTTTGTAGCAACAACATCCATCGTTTATTGAAAAGTCCATAATGGTGCATGTAATCATGTACTGATTTCACATGGTTGACACTGCTATTTGTAGGAGCTTAAGGAACAAGATAGAAGTGTCGCATGAAGCAAGAAGGCGAGCAGCTTCATTACCAATTTTGCTTTGCCATGGAATCAGTATGTTGTATCTATAAATCTGATATGCTGATGTCCTTATTCCTCTTTGATGGAGAGGCATGATTATAAATTAAATACTATTTTATTGCATAGGATTCTAGCGTGCCTTATGTTAAATTGAAGCTTCATTTTGTAGGTGATGATGTAGTCCTGTGCAAATATGGAGAAAAATCTGCTCAATCCTTATGTTCAGCAGGGTTTCGATATGTTGCATTCAAATCCTATGACGGGTAGCTTATTTATTTGGTCGATAACATCCCACTAATAGATCACAGATCAGTTAAAGCAACTGCCTCACTTTTGTGTTTGTCGTGTGTGCAGGCTTGGTCATTATACAGTTCCTAGAGAGATGGATGAAGTTTGCACCTGGCTCAGTTCAAGGCTAGGGCTTGAGGGATCCTCATAAATGACATAACTAGTATCAGTCCCCGTAGAAGGTATATGGAACAATAATTGGGAAGGTGGGGTGTTGCATATGCACAAATAGGTAGATCATGGACAGGTTCATGGGTATATATAAAAAATAGGAGAATTAATTTTCTGGGTCTCTTTTTGTCATGTTCCTCAGCAATAAAGATATGTGTTTTCTAAGTATTTCGCTTATTGTATTATTGTAGAACCTAGCGAGTGAATTAGTTGTACTATTGAAGAGATTTTAGTCTTTATTATTGTAACAAAGCCTGGAACTTGGCATCCTTATTTCTCAATTTCGAGGAAGATTTTTATTATTTTTAAGCAAACACCGTAATTATTACCCATAGCATCACGTACAAAGATAAAAGGCTAAGGTTGAAAAAAATAGTTACAAATAGTTTGCTCAAGAAATAAACCAGTTTGCCTCTTCTACTGTTCTTGAATACTTATCAAATGTTTTATTTATTTAGAAAAAAAACACATGAAATCATCAACAGTCAAATAGTCCAAACGAAATAACATAACCAAAGCAAAACTGTTGTTGGGGCTACAAGCTTAGATTACAATTTTGACTCGCATCATCATAACGTCATCAAATAAAGAGCGAACGAGTTGAATTAGTTAGGATGAGATACAAATCACGTCATGAATATTGAATAGGATAGTTACTTAAGTTCCTCTGCATGTGGCAGGTTGCGAGTGAAATGTAGAATGAAAGAAAGAGGAGAGGACTAGAGAGGTTCAGCAGCCTTTGTTAAGGAAGGTTCCATATATTCTGCCATCTTCCATCCTTTGTTTTGTATTTGCCGTGAGCGAGAATGATGATCCCTATCTTTTAACAAAGAAAATACATAGGTTTCTACCATATTATTCCAATTTCATCTGAATAAAAAGTTAGGTCTCGACTCCTATTTCATATACAACATCTCAACATTAAACCAAGTTACACACAAATTAAGGGAATACCTTAACACACAATTCTTTATTTATCAAAATTAACTCCGTACTATCCAGAAAACCCGAAATAAAGAAGTCACGAATGTCATCTTTCAACAACGGAAACAGATTACATCAAATACGTTTGTCTAAACTACCTCACTCTCTTAAATATCATCATCTCACTTGTCCCTTCCCTTTACTGCTTGGACGTAATATCTTTAAGCTTTTCCTTCAATTCACCCGTCTACATCATGTAAAATATTAATAAACACGAGTTCAAAATAACAAGTTAAAAAAGAGATCAAAACTCTGGAAAAGGGAATTAACCTGATGCATATTAAGAATAATATCTGATCCACCAACAAACTCCCCCTTAATGAAAACTTGTGGAAATGTTGGCCAATTACTGCAGAGAAAGAACATGACAGAACAGTAGGACATCAGAAAGTATATTCGCCTGCAATAGAGCATTAGTCTGGTGAAACAAGAGTAATAAAACCAGAAAGAATGGACTTACCTGAAAGCTTTTACCGCACTTTTCAGTTCAGCATCCTCCAAAATGTTTCTAGCACTTAAAGGAACATCTGCAACACCAACGTATAATGATGATTCCAACTAATAGAATTGTCACCCAGTAAAGTGAGTTCATATTTCAATGTATGTAATAAATTCCTTTAGACTATAGGTAAAATAAAATAAAAAATATACATCCATTAGAAAAGCTCATTAAAGCATGGTATATAATCTGAGCATAGGCATTAATATAGGTCATCAAAATTATGTTTCAGGTCAACAGCGATTGACTACTCTTTCTTCTGGCTTCTTTCATTGTTCTCATTAAAAATTATGTCACTGCCCCTTTTTGTTGGTGAAGATAAACTGAAATGGCAAGGCCAAAAAGTCTAATGATTCCATCCAACATAATAAAACCAGAGAACATGAGATTACAGAAACACGGTAGCCAGAATGAAGTGAGCTACTTTCAGCAAACTAATCACCATAGTGTTTAATAGAAATGTAATCCCATATCAGTCCTGAGTCTACACTTATAATTATGGGTGTGCAAATTTTCGAACACGGGGAAAAGCAACATTTCTACCATGAACAGACAAGTTCAGAAAATATAATTTCTTGAATAGCTAAGGATGCAGGAGAAAATTATTGACTTACCGTAGTGTTTTAACACTCTAACTGCAAGAGAACTAAATCCACACTGTGGAAAATCAGGTACACCTTTCATATAAATCATAACAGGATTATCCTTGACATCCTGCGCACATTGACCAAAGTAAACAGCAGCTCAATTTCTAGTAACAGACTACTTATATTATTGAAACAAGACATAATTGATATATTTTCTTCATGTATGAGATTCAATTCAATTGATAAGCAATTTACCTGCTCAACAACATCGGCTAAAGAAATATTTGAATTCTCAATTTTATTAGCTGGCTTGAAGTCATCATGGGTATCAGGATCATTTGACACCTTAGTGAAATATCTCATTCCATAATAAGAGGAGCTGGTTACCTGTGAACGCATTAAAGGAAGACCAATACCATTACAAAAGGAAAGCGTAACTTGCAATTTGAGGAACAAATATTCTGGTCCATCAATTATGGAATTAATTCATAAAGGAGAACAATGCAATATGATGGCCAACCTCTCCAAAATTGCAGGTAAATAGTAATTCCAAACTAAACTCAGTTAGTGAGCAGATAAATTTTTATTATTTAATTTTTTTATTAAGTAAGACCCGGCATTCTATTCAATTGAAAATCATAACATGAATAAAAATTATACGAAAACATGGATGACACAAGAATAAGATTTCAATAAATAAATAAAACAGTTTTCTAAATTCCCATACTTTAATAGGAAATAACAAGACAATATGTTTGGATTGATGGAAGGGGATGGAATGAGATCTTGTTCCATTGTTCAACCTAGAATGAAACTTGATGGAATGCATTCTATTCCATTCCATCCAATCCCTCTATTTTTTATCCGAATAATAGAATGGTAACCTAATTCTATTCTATTCCATCCCATTCCATTCTACTTCACACAGCATTAGATATCCAAACATAGCCTAACTATTTCACGATTTAACTGAAACAAGGGCAGAAAGAAACGAAGTCGCAAGGTAGGAAGGGGGAAACGAAAAATCAAAGGATGCCCATAAAAGATAAGTGCAGAAAGCATGCAACTTTATATAAGAGAAAGAAAGTTATAGGAAATGGAAGAGTAGGGTTTGTTTTGGGTTTTACAGGTTTGGTGAAAGAACGAGCTGCGATTCCCTTGAGAAGGATGCTTGACAACGATGTCGCCATGTGAATAATCCCTTCCTTTCTATCAACTATGTGAAAGTAAAGGTAGCAAGCAACACCGCTTCAGAACGCACACAACTCTCAAAACTAGCTTTCAGGTTTTGGATTGATCGATTCTCAGAGGAAATCTTGTTCCAACTTTCCTGCAATAAATTTGTTTCTATTCACTAAATTATATTATCACTTTTTAGTTTTTAAATTAATTTTATTTAATCTAATATTTGTTACTAATAATAAAAATATTTATTTTAAATTTATAAACCTAAAATTAACAATACAATAAGTCTTTAAAGTTTATGTAATAATATAATAAAAATCTTTACTAATATACTTTAAAATATACTAAAATAATAAAACATGTTTTAATAATAAAATGTGCTCCATTGTGTTTTCATGTATTCAACATAATTATTGAAAATTTAAATATATCTCAAAACACAGTTAATTAATTAAGCATATTTATAGTTATAAGAATAGATCATATAAACTTGTAATTGTAACTGTAATCTTAAGCCGTAAATCTTTGTTATTGCATTGTTTTAAACTTGTTACATTGTATTAAATGCTTTTAACTTTTTAAACTCAAAACATGCTCTTGTAGGTGTCACGGATTTGTCTAACATATTAAACATCTTGTTTCAATATAAAATACAATTATTTAATAAATTTATTCAAATATTGTTTATTTTTACCTAATCCCATTTTTAGAATGCATGTGAAATGAAACATTTAGTAATTAAAATAAATTATAAATATCGTCTGTCAATCATTAACTTCTATTTTAAAACCACAACTTTTTCCAACATTTAGCAGTTTAGTTAATTTAATTTAATCATTTACGTACAAAATAAATTAAAGTACAACTTTATAAATAATATATTCTTATATTAAGGTTTGTTTTTTTCTTAAAATGAAAAATATTATAAATGAAATGCAGATAAAGTTTTCATTTAATTAATTTTGGATTTATGATATTTATTTATTTATTCAATTTTATATACCGTGGGTATAAAACCCAAACAAAAAATCGGCGAATTTGAGCCCTAAATTGATTAAACTCAAAACCCTTGTCGTTCCCCAAATCACTCACTCTCTCAAAGAAGCAGCAGTCTTCATTGTCGCGTTGTTTCTCTTTCTACGTAAAATTGATTTCTCCTGCAAATTATTATCCTTATTTGTTCCTTTTAAGTTTTTGAAATGTTTCATACTCTTTCATCTGTTTCTTTGACTTGCAATTCCATGCAGCAGTGCCAATGGAAACCAGGAAAAGACAAGCTACTTCTGAGCCTCATCAATTAGGTTTGCTATTGATTTAACTGTTTTACTTCAAAGTTCGTTCAATGTTAAAGCGTGAAAAGGTTTACTGTTGGGTTAGTCTGGTAGATGAGTTGTATCATCATTCTGAGAGGTATTGTTTGAAGTTTCTTCTTATACTGGAATCAGATGTAGATCAAGGGGAGGTTGCGGATGAAGTCCTTCATGATGATGATTTAAGTGAGCCAACTATGGGTGAGAAGCTTGCAGGTCTCACTTTGCCAGACAATAGCAAACTCAAGAGTGATAAGGAGCAAGATTCTTCTCTACTAACCAAGCCTCCAAGTGCAGACTCTGTTCATGTTTTGCTTATGCAAGCATTAAATGCTGATGATCGCGCCCTTTTACTAGATTGCTTGTATACGCAAGATGAGAAGGTTCTTTTTCTACTGCAGAGAAAAAATAATAATATAATAAATAAATAAATAAAACTTCTTTCTTTTAAGTTAAAAATAACTCATATCTTCATGTTTTAGAGAAATTAACGAGAATAGCTTCTAAAAAGTTGAAAAGTATAAGAATGGGAATAAGAAATTTACCTACTTTTCCAGTTTCTCATATGATATGCATGATGACTGATGTAGCTCATTTAATTCTTTTGCAGGTAATTACAAAGTCAATAGCACAGTTGAGCCCTTCAAACGTCATCAAATTCCTACACTATCTCATATCCATTACCGAGTCTAGGTAACACATCGAAGTGATAATTGGAGCATTTGTGTTTAATAAGCCTAGTAGTGTCCATGTTGAACTTTTATTTGTTTCAATTGTTACTGGATGCAGTTCTGTTACTCCATGATTGGCTGTTTCTTGAATTTACATTTCCTGGTTAAAATAATTTTTTACCTGTCGATTCAGTTACACAGTTGTGTATAAGGTATTCTCTCTCGCTATTTTAGGGGTGCAGTTTTGACATGTGCTCTTCCATGGCTCAAGCGTCTAATTCTACTGCATGCAAGTGCGATAATGTCCCAGGAATCTTCGGTACACGTTTTGAACTCTTTGTATCAGGTGAGATATGTTACATCGTCATTTTTTATGGTGTACTTGACAAGCTTTCTGTGTGTCACTTGCTCAATCTATACCTTCCAAGTTCTAAGATATGTCATATATGTATGTCATATCTGCTGGATGTGCTTGAGAAAAGGCATTTTAGCATCAATTTAACTGCAAATACGATTGAATTTATGCGTGGGTATGCTATGATGTGGCAAGGCATCCCCACTCTCCAATAGCGTTTTAATAATTTAGTTGGATTGTTAACAATGGAAATAATCTGTACTGTTAGTAATCGATAAGAATATTACAGAATAATTTTACATTCGATCATATTATGATGACTTCAGGTGCACGCTAGGTAGGCTTAATTTCGTTGAGTAAACCGTGAATATTATCATTTAAGTTAGAGCACTTATTACCATAGTGCTTTTCTTAATTGGAACTGCTATATGTTTTGTGCAGCTGATTGAATCTAGAGTTTCCACTTTTGACCCTGCCGTTCATCTGTCAAGTTGCTTAGACATTCTTTACTCAAGGGTAAGTGCCCCCCGCGTTACAATGTGTTGGCACAATTTGAGATCACTGATTCATGGTTTTTTGGGACAGGTTATTGATGAAGAAGTAGGTGATGGTCAAACTGTACCAGTTATCTACGAGGATAAGGATGATAGTGAAGAAGAATCCGAGGCTTTGGAAACACACCAAGATAGCAATGGTGAAGAACAATCTGATGAAGCGTTTGAAGAAGTCAGTGATATTGAAGAAAGTAACGATATGATGGACGAATGATCATGCACGCACGCATCTTTATTGTTCTTCTCAGAACCGTCATAGCATGATGCCCCGGCTGAGAACAACTAGCTACAGTACTCGTGATTGGGTTTGCTGAAACCGGTAAATAGGGCCGACGACTCCGAGGGAGTCAAGGCTGAGTGCGCTTCTTTGCACCCATTTGGTCACTCACAAATCACAATTTTGAAGTCTAAAGACTAGCGTATTGCGCTGACAGCCCATTCTCTCAGTTATTGGAATTTTTAAATTTTTAACCTATAAATTTGATTCGTACTTTTAAGTTATTGTCAAATTATTTTATATAGTAGTTAAATTATAAACCAGACAGTTGCATTTGAAGTGTATTAGAAATTTTAATTCACCACTCCCGAGACAAAATTGTAATGTACTTCGTAATAAACGCAAATCATGGATACATAGTTGATACTAATTCAATGCTATATATGTAGATTATTAGAGCACACTTGAAACCATGGAATAGTAACTGTGTGTAATGGTACACCCGTAAGATTATGACGGAAGAGCAGCTTATTTAAAAGTCATGCTGCGTAACCACTTCTGGAAGAACTAAAGACAAACTTAATTATGGGATTTATTTATTTATTGGTCAACGTAACTATTGAAAGTGAAATGAACTAGCAGCTAGTGATCCCTGCCGTGATCTTGATCATGCTGGCCCAAGCCAAGCGTTTGCTTCACGGCCTCGGTAGCACCCTGGGTTATACCCTTCACCTTCTCCCCTGTCTGCTGCAGGAACCCTTCTGTGTTGTCTTTCCCTGACTGGGCAGATTCCTTGGTAGACTGGCCCATTTCTGAGGCCTTCTGTTGAGCAGCATCTTTATTCTGTTGGGCCTTCTCCTTTGCAGCGTGGGAAGTGTCCGAAGTCTTGTCCTTTGCAGATTGGGCAGTTTGTTGGGTCTTGTCCTTTGCTGCTTGGGCTGCTTGTTGAGTCTTGTCCTTCGTTGCATCGGCCATTTCCTTGGTCTTGTCCTTTGCAGCTTGGGCCTTCTCCCCAAGATTGCCCATCATCTGGTTCGTCTTTTCCTAACCAAAAGGGCAGTTAAAAGATAAGTCTCTTTTATCCATCAATATTTATCAACAATATATACATTTTCTAATGACAGTTTTATAGTAATTCGTGGATAGAAAATGAATAAGAAAGCAAAATAGTTACGAGTGACTGTTACCTGAGTTCGGCCCTTGGCTTCTCCAGCTCCATAGCTTTGCTCATGGGATGCCATCTTACCTTTAAACTTGCAAGTCTCAAACTTTCTTTTTCCTTTTCGCAGCTAACTGTGAGTCTTTTTTATCAACTTCCCGTGGCCATGTTTGAGTTGCATGCTGTGTATTTATAGCATTTCATGGTTTGTGTAGCTTTAGCACGTGTCCAACCTCCTGACACGTGTAAGGCACGTGCCTCTCTTGAAATGGAGTGCCGTTTAGAAGATTTCGATGAAGGGAATGAGCCTATAGAAATTTGCCACGTTATGCAGTTGTTTTCATATTTTCTCAAACGACAATTCCTCTCGTGCTAATCACCTGTGAATAAATTTCACTTTTCCTCTTTAATTAATATCTGAATTTGAACATTTACTACAAGACATTATATTGAAACATACATGACCCACGACAGATTTTGACCATGAAAATCAAGGAAAGAAATAGATAGAGACGAAGAAAGTAAGCGCCGTTTACTGTTCAAGTTAAGGCTTAACAATTTATTAGTCCAATTTTCTAATATTAAATCTCTTTATAAAATGTTTTTTAACATATAGATATAATCTCATATGAAAAATGCAATCTAAAACTCTAAATAGATAGGAACACTATAAATAAATAATTAATTAAACTACTAGATTACCTTAATTTATATGATTTAATTAATTTTCAGATTGAGTTGAGCTAGATTTAGAGTATATTTGATTTTTTTTAAAATAGTTATTTATTTTTTTAAAAATATAGTATAAATTTATGCTATATTAAAAAAATAAAAAAAATAAAAGAAAAATCAAACATATCCTTAGTGTGGTAAATATATCGGATTTATTTTGTTATCTTATGGACATTGTTGTGTTGCTGTTCGCCCGATTTTGGTTTTCGAGTAAAAGAAAAAATGAAGTAAATGAAAATAAGAACCTAGTTTTAAACAATATAGTGCAAATCAAATATCAGAATATTTGGATAAGTTTATTGAACCTTGCTAAAGAAGTAAAATTATTCTTTTTATTAGAAATATTACTAATGCATGTTTATTAATGTACTTTTAACATAATTTTTAAAGTTTTCATTAACCAATATCTCAAAGACTATAATTAATAAGACCTTTATGATTATTTATCATATTTAATTTTAAATCTTTCAGATTGAAAATATTTAATATGTTAATTTTTAGAAACTTAATTGCAACATTTTAAATTTATTGTATTTAAATTAAATTTGTTATCATATAAATTGTTAAAAAAAAGAAAGAAAGATTCAATATTCATAAAATATGATATAAGAAAAATAAATACTATTTAATTAAAAAAAATGATGAAAAAGTTTTTAAAAACCTTAAAAATATATAATAAAAAATTAGAGGGAATAAAAATTAAATTTCTTTTCTTTTTTTTGTGCTCTATTGGAAAGAGATACACGAGAGGGTAAGAAATAGGTGATGGCGTGAGGGTAGGGATTATGTAAGAGAACAGTGAGTGTTAGTTTTGTTGAGGCTGAGAGTTTGGGGGTTTTGCCTAATGCTATGAACAGAGTGAGAGAGCGAGAGAGAGAAAGAGAGAGTAATTGGAGAGTTATCGAATCGGAGAATGTCGCTGACGAGCGTGAAGATGTCGGAGGAGGTTTGGTTAACTTGCGTGACTCACGCATTGTCCACCGAAACCGAAGAGATTATGGGCCTTCTACTCGGCGACATACAGGTAGCTTCCTTCTTCTTAGATTCGTAGATTCTTTCATTCTTCAATTCAAGTTTTTGTGGATCCGATCCAGCATTCCAAAAACGGCGCCGTAACGGCATTGATATGGGGAGCGTCTCCTCAGACGAGGTCTGATCGGAGAAAGGATCGAGTCGAAACCAATCCTGAACAATTGGCTGCTGCTTCTGCTCTCGCCGATAGAATGACCGCTTCCACCGGAAGAACAACCAGAGTCATTGGTTGGTACCATTCACATCCTCACATTACCGTTCTTCCTTCTCATGTTGGTATGTATTATGTTACTTAGGTTATGTATCCTCTTCGACATGATCAATTATTTCTAACTAATATTTTTACTATTTCGTAGATGTGCGCACTCAGGCTATGTATCAGCTTCTTGATTCTGGTTTTATTGGCTTGATTTTTTCCTGTTATAGTGAAGATGTAAACAAGGTTTGTCTGTGTTCAATGCATTATTGTTTTTAATTCTATTATTTTTGTTGGGTTTAATATGAATTAGCTATGGACTGTATTTAGGTAGGAAGGATTCAAGTCATTGCTTTCCAGTCATCTGATGGGAAGCAGAATCAACTGTCAAGACCTATACCTCTCTCTCCTGTAAATAGAACCTCTGTTATTGATATTGATTCGTCACCAAGTTCCTCGGAGAATGTATCAATAAGATCTGGTTACTTCAAGGCAGAGAGCCCTGAGCTCGACACCGGCGATTCAAGAACTGTTGGAGCTAGTAAGGTACTCTCCAGTCCTTTTTATCAGGCACCTTCAATTAAATTACGCAGATGAATAAAAGCAGATGAAGTTATTTTTTTTCTTGATTTTTAAAAATTATCATAACCCGGCAAATTTACTCTCATTTAATATCATTATACTTAATCTCATTATCAATATTTACCCTTTCCACCAATTCCATTTATTAAGGGAAAAAGGAAAAAAAAAAAACATATAAATGCTTCGTATGGAATATAAAGTGCCTTACAAAAAAGACTACTAAAACCTTCTAGAAGGTGAGTTATAGAAAGGACCAGAAGGAGTATAATTTATCGTTTCTCAAATAGATTTTATGTCCACTATGTTGTGTTGTGTGGTTTGCCTGAAGAATAGCCAATGGTTTTTAATATGCTTGAATGCAGAATTGCAAAACATGATGTAGCCTTTAGAATATCCAAGACTGGGATGTTTCTTTGTTAAAATACAGTACTGTTTGTTTTCTGCTTTTCTGTCTTAATTTTTAAACGAACTCTTGGATGACTTTGCAGAGTTTTTTTAATGTTGAATTATTCAGGTTAAAAAACTGATGTGACAGATATTGGATATTCATAGCATGGAAATTTTTCTTGTGTAAGACAATTTAACCCACGAGCTTTAGAATCCCATCTTCTTTTCAACATATGAAAAGCAGAAGTGGGATAGAACCGCCCTTGGCATGTGTCCAATCTGCAAATTTTTTTTCATAGAGAAGTTTTACTTGAAGATAATGTATATATCTTTTTGTTGATATGTTGAGGCGTGAGTGTAAGCTGAAACACCCAAGGTTCATCTTACAGGAAATAAATTTTGTCCCTTGAGTTTGTCCAATACTCCAATCAATATAGTAATACTTGTTTAGGATAAAAAATACTTTATTTTGTGTCTTTTTATAGTTATGCAATTATATATTTTGGCTAGGGTGGGGGGAGACCTTCAGACTTGGGGAATTTCTTCGCTAATGCTGATGCCAACTATCTAGGGAGGGAAAAAGGTGGAGAAAACTACCATCTCAACAATTCAGACACCAACATAATTGATGTTGATCCCATGGATATGTCAGAAAGTATGCAGGAGGCAATGCATCGCTCAAATTTGGATGTGAGGTATAGAATATTGTTGACTTTGTAGTTGACCACTAATATCTTTATTTCTTATCAACTGCCATTTTTGGTATCCATCATGGCCCCTTGAAACAAAAGGGAACATGGTAGCTGCTGTTTCATATCTTAAGCCTCAAATCCCCAGCAATTAGGAGATTAGGATCTGGATAGCTGCTAGGTACTTGCCAATGGAGTCTGAGAGAGAGAATAAGGGAAGGCCCCAATATCCATTTATGTTGTAAGCAATAATTGGCACCCATTTGAACATAAATCCTAGCCTGTCTTGAAAAAATACCCTCTAAGCTTCTCAATGATTCCACTGCCTTTGGTTATTTGAAATTTTCCTTGGCAGCACCAAGCATGTATGACAGGCCTTAAACAGCATGGTACCCCATTAATTTTCTATTAAGAAATATAATCAACAAAGGAGATAGAGATAGGCATTCTGTGGATGCTTCTCAATATGTTTGTTGGTTAAAATATGAATGATAAATGGATGTTATAACTGTTGAGCAACTCTTTAAACATGATAATGATATCACATTTTCCTGTCTTCATTGCATTATAATTAGTTAGGTCAACCATTTTAATTGTTTATGAGGTTTACAAGAGTTTCACAACCTTGGGTTTTAAACTAGCTTTTATGTGGTGGCAGTGGTGCAGAGTTTGTAAGAAGAGAAATTCCTCTTTATGTCTTGCCTGCCTTGTCTTTAATCAACCTTGATTCGCCACTATTATCATACAAGGATCTGCAACATGTACTATTTGAAGAGGAGCGAGCTGCATATAATCAAGCCATCTTACAAAATATGAGGTAATAATTTGATAAACTGTATGCTTATTCTTAATACATAAATTTTTTATGGAGTCATTTTATTTGCTTTGATCATATACCATCCTTATTGTGTTGTCGCTAATTTCCTGTGCCATTTTTTTGTTACTTTGCAGGGATGGAAAAGTGCATCCACTCACTTTCATTCACCACACTTCAACTTATCAGGCTTCCTTGTGCAAGTTGATTGAATATTGGTCAGAGCAAAATTCCCTTTTTCTCATTCCTTCTCTTTTTCTTTGTTTCTTCTCCTATAACAACTACTACTTTTCTGAATTTACAGTTTAAGTCCCGCCATAAGTGTGCTTCAAGATCGACTGAGAGAGAATGAAACTCGGGTACATTTCAACCTTTTAGTTGCATTGCGATAGTTTTTGCTTACTATATTACCAATTTCTAAAAGTTCAGGGGATTTGGGATATGTATTTCAAATACCTTTTGCTCTATTCTCTGTGAAATTCAACTTTTTTTACGTTTTATTTACAGAAGGGCCCTACTTTGGATTGGAAACTAACTTGCCTAGTCTCTTTTATTGTGTTCTATGTAGCTTTAGATGTATTATCTTCTTAAGTATGCTCACAAGTTATTTGATCATCCAGCAAATTTGAGATTTCTTTGTCCTCCGGTACTATTCTACTTTGTTCAGCCATTCTAAATATATGTTGAACTTATGTTTTTGATATAACAGTTAGCAGTTCTGAGTGAAGAAGCCAAAAGTCTGGAGGCTGAGGCTTATAGAGGGAGTGAAGCAAGTTTAGGATCTCCACGACAAGTTGCATCTCCTGTACATCGAGGAGGTTCGTCCCCGGGTCTAAGAAACTTGCACAGTTCAGGTGAATCTCTCGGTTCTAGGAATGTAGGTAGTCCTGGTAGCCGGAGCAGAAAAGGATATTAAATTGAAACTCTTTTGGAAGCAATGCTTCAAGCAATGTAAGCAATGATGATTTACAATGATTTTGCTAAAATGGGATATTCAATACGTAGAATGTACATGAAAATGATATTGCCTCAGCAAAGATTGCTAGTTTGAAAATGATGCTAAATGAAGTATTCTGCTAATCAGACTCCAATATTGTACTGTATGATGCATTATTGGATTAGAAGCATGTTAATAAACTCGTACTCGTATCTTCGCCGATTGACCCCGATCCTTGTGTTAATGAAATTATAGCAGGGCTAAATGATGAGGGGAGGGAAGAAAACCTACTATAATAAAATAACATAAAAATGTTTGTGTGATTATACTGATTCCTCGACCGTCGCAATTTGCTTCCATTTTCGACGTGGAAAAGGATTTTTGTCAGAAAAAAAAAAAAGATGGATGGTTAATGATTAAGCATAGTCAAATGAACAAAAGGGGTAATAGCAAATATAAATTCATAATAATTCCATGAAGCATTAATTCTGCCGATATAATTGGAAAAAAAAAAAAACATTTGTCAGCGAGTTTGCCAAAGGAGTAAATGTACGATCTGGAGTCCCGTTGCAGTGAAAAAAATTTCTATGGGTCGCAACCACAGTCTCTGCCACTCGCATATAATTTTTTCTCATAAATTGTAAAAAAGTTGACATCTGACTTAAAATGAGTGATCAGGTCACATACTTCTGAATCACTCAATAATTTTTCCTTTTTAGCTTGGGTTCCTCAAGTTGTCTCAGTCAACCCTATTGCTCGTCAGTCTAGGATGGTACATTTTACTAGAGTTAACTTGGTTTTATTTTTTAAAGGAGACTTGTATTACATCTTGTCACAAGGAGGGAGGAAAGGGATTGTTAGAGGATGAGATCAAAGTTACGCATGCACAATCGATGTCGTAGAATTACATTTTTTTCTAGTTATTATTGTAACATTATTATAATTTTTATATTTTGTAATTTTTAACTGAAATTAATATTGTGTATAAAACTCATGTTTGCAATAACATCTTAAATTGTGATTTTTACATTAAATTAAAAATTCTATACTAAATTTCACTATAAATTTACTGAATTACATTATTTTAAACTTACTTTTAAACGAAATTATTTTTATAATATATAGTTTATTCAAATTCAAATTTACAAACAATCATTCAAGTATAGTTGGAATTGATTCCTGAGCCTGTTATCAACTGTGCTAAGAATGAAAAACTATTATCAGAATATCAACTACCAAGCGAAGTGTCAGACTACACTTCTAGATAAGCTGTGCGGCATAAGTTATACTTCCTACCTAAAATTCAAGACGTGATGTCATCATGGAAAGCATTGATATGTCATCTATAAATATAGTACTTTTTTAAGGAAGATAAAAGTAAAGACAGCCTGAAATTGTCTTGCATTCTTCCAAATTAATAGCATCTACACCACCATGTCGGGCATCGACACTGCTTATGCTTTTGATCATAATCATAGGCCACATAAAGCAAGCCAACCTGCTTTGCAAGCAATAAAGAACCTTTGTACACAACATGGACAACTTCAACTGCATCATTTCCAACTCTTATGCCGCCTAGGCTGCGGGGATATTGGAAAAGTTTTCCTCTGCAAGATTCACAAATCTTTTAAGCCACACCCCAATTGCTATTTTGCCATGAAAGTAGTGGACAGAAAATCTCTGACTTTGAAAAATAAGCTGAAGAGGGCAAACATGGAGAAGCACGTGTTGAGTATGCTTGACCACCCTTTCTTGCCAACCCTTTATGCAAATTTTAATGCTTATCAATACTCTTGTTTGGTCATGGATTATTGCCCTGGTGGTGACTTGTTTACACTTCAGCAGCATCAGTCAGATCTTCATTTTAGCATCTCCACTGCAAAGTAAGTTCCCCCTTGCCAGAGTATTATATCAAGTCAATGCTACATATACAAACTCGTTTATCCTAGTTTCATTTTGTCCGACACAATACTCTTACTTCTTTAATGAGTTTTCTAAAAATGTTCTGGATTTGGCAGAAAAAGTTTCCCAAGTTGAAGCCTTCAATATCTTAATCCTGCCTGGAAAATTTAAACAATTTTTTTCCTTCTTTTCTCGTTGAAGATTGAAGAATGACTTTTTTTGTTTTTTTGTGTCATTCATATATGTGCCTACATGGGAAAGATTCTTTGCAGCTGAGGTGCTTCTAGCTCTTGAGTATCTCCACATGTTGGGGATAATTTATAGAGACCTCAAGCCAGAAAATGTGCTTATTCAAGAAGATGGCCATATCATGTTATCTGACTTTGATCTCTCTCTTCACTTGGAAGTTCATCCCAAGATTCTAAAATTTGGGCCTCACTATGAGATTGTGAACAAGAGAATAAAGAAGCCAATGTTGTGTTGCAGAAATTCAGATGAATTTGTGAAAAGGGGTATGAAGAAAGCAGCCATTGCAGATAGTGTGATACTGCTACATGCTTCAGAAGGAGCACATGGAGTGGACATGATTGATATGTCAGCTGAGCCCATTAATGGTAGATCACATTCATTTGTTGGGACTCACGAGTATTTGGCACCAGAAGTGATTTTGGCACTGGGCCATGGAAGTGCAGTGGATTGGTGGGCATTTGGTGTGTTTCTTTATGAGCTTTTGTTTGGATTTACACCTTTTAAAGACACAAGCAGTGAGAAAACACTGAACAATATCATAGAGAAGCCATTAACCTTCCCAAGAAGAACAAACACTAGAGACAGAAAAAATCATGGGGAGATTGCGAAGGCACAGGACCTTATTAGGAAGCTGCTCGTGAAAAATCCCATTAAGAGAATGGGATACAACATGGGATCTTGCGAGATAAAAAAACATGAGTTCTTTGAAGGGGTCAACTGGGCCTTAATCAGATCAATTAAAGCTCCTTTTATTCCTAGAACTAGAACTTTACTCGAAAAACAAACCTCATTTACTACCATGCCAAAACTTGGCTCCAAGGACAAAGCAACAATGCAAGGCCCTCATCAATTTGATTTCTTCTAATTAACTTTAATTAGTGCCATTATTAAGGTCAAGAACAGACTCATGTTGGCAACCTTTCCCTACCTGCTAGATTCACTGTTTACAAGGTGGCATGGCATGCAATAGTGTATTTTGGCTTCAACCCACTTGAATACTCGGCCAAAGTGAAATAGTGGCGCGAAACATGTTTAATATGTTTTTTTTTCAAACCGTGTACCATATTGTTTTTATTTAATCTTCGTAAAGTAGAAATGAAACATTTATCTATCTATCTTGTGCATGTAAAAGAGTGATGTTATATATCTATCTATGTCTTCCTTCCGAAGTTTATTACTCTGATTGGATGTTTAACTCTTTCTTTATCCCCAATCTCAAATAAAACAAATAATTGTATTTTGGGTATTGTCATTGGTTAAAAAATAATGTTAGAAATATAGTAGAAATTATAATAAATTTATAAAATAAAACAAAAATTTTGATACATAGTTTTCCTTCGTCATTTTGTAGGTATATATCATTTTTCTATAATTAATTGAAGGAATTGAGTTGTAGCCCTGAAGAGAATGACAATGGATCCCCTAATTAATAATTTCTGAAAGCTTCCAAAAAATAATAATGAGCTATATACATTTGAACCCTTGAAAGGTATGGCAATAGCAATGTGATTGTAACACTAATGCCTACCTTTGTGACACGTTTGGCTTCCATGCATTGTTACTGCCTTTTGCTAAGATTACTAAATGTTTTTGGTCTTTTGGATTAGCAACGTGGTATTGTTGTGGGACAACTTCTTTGTCACACTTCAAATTGTCACTTATCAAATTATGCTTCGTAATTAATATCTGCTTTCATTTCTACAGCAAAATTGCAAAAAATTGATCTTCAATTTTGTTTCCATGGATCTCATCTTTCTTCCTTTTGGTATATATTCATGATCAGATACGAACAAAGCAATCTAATTTCTCTTTAGTTTTGTTTACATAGAGGGAATGGTTTCGTTGTAATTGTAGGAATCTTTTTCCAAGCTAGAATTAATTAATCATAGGAATTTAGGAAATACTATTAAAATATGTTAATATTTTTGTCTTTTAAGTAAATTTTAAATTTTATTATAATTTATTATTCAATTCTTCACTTTAATATAATTTTTATCACAACATTTTTTCATCATGAATTATGTTTTAAAATTTATTGTAAGTGCCTCTACCAAAGTTATCCACCTTATATACTAAACTAAAATTATCTAATGATGCAGCATTTCAATTTCTTTGGTACGTGTAACAAAAGCATCTCGATTGAAAGATACAAAAAATTAAGCAAAAGTATATATCATCAAAGTGACTATTACTTCTCTTAACCATACCTTTTTCATATATATAACCAAAAATTGAACCTCTCCCAAAATATTTATTTAATTAAGTGACTTAATTAACTTAAGCTTTTAACTACAATTTCAACTTCTAAAGTGAAAAATTCTTGACACATTACTAATTAAAATGTATCGTTGCCACGAAAGAGGACATTTTAATCAAATAATTAACACGTAATATGATATTTTAAAATTAAAATTTTAAGGAAATACTTGTTTTTTTTTTCTATTGTTTGAATAAACACCTGCATGCATGTTGACTACATTCCATATGCCATGTGGAGAACTGTCAGATACATTATTGAAGCCCTAAATTTATAATAATAATAATAATAATAATAATAATAATAACAACAAATTTTTTTCTCATAATGATTTTGCTATTTTAAAGATGTCAACGTAATTTATTTTAAATAATAAAAATGATGAAGTAATTACACAATTATTTGTAGTTACAGTTGTTTGAATGTTCAAATACTTCTCACTTTAAAGGGAAATGATTTTTCTTTCTATAAATATAGAGTTGCGATTATTGATGATATTAAAACTCAAACTCTTTTTAAATTATAATTTTTATTTAATTTGTTAGAAATAAAAATAAATATCAATATTGTATCTCAAAATTATTTAGAGTATCTAGTAATATCTAAAATGTATCTGAAAAATTATCTTTTTAGAGGTAGGGTTTGTTTCTGTTTTGATTTTTAATTTTTAAAAATTATATTTTAAAAAGAAAATAAAATAAAACATTAATTGAAAAACACATTTATTTTATTTAAAAAAAAAATTGAAAACAGAAAACAGAGCAATTGTATGGGACGATATTATTAACACGTTATTAATTAATAATTAACCCTAAAGGGGAACCTTAGTCAAATGATGAGATAAAGAAAAGGGTTAAGAGAATAGAGAATGAAATAATGTTGGACCTAAGCAATCCAAAATCCAAGTGTAGCCCAGCTGTAACCTTCAATCTTCGTCCATTCCATGTTCTCTGTCTTCTTCTGGCTATTCACTCTCACTCTCTCAACTTTCAATTAACATGGGATTCTCTCCTCTTTGAGCTTCTTCATTCTCAATTGTTTAACCCTTTTCTGTTGTGAGAAAGATTTTCTGTTCCACTCTTCCAATGGCTTCATGTGAGTCTTCCCTCTATTTTTTTTTCTCACCCCGTCTCATTGATTGGAATTGGATAACAAATTACAATTGCCACTTCAAAAAAGAAGAAAACTTCTTAATTTTTTACACTCCTTTTGTTGTCCATAATTTTCTCTTCTGCATGTGCTTTTCAACATCAGAGACTGTGGGGTTGGTACATGGAATGTGGAATATGATGCCAAAATTGATGTGTGCCCTTCATTTTTTTTTAATTATTAAGATGGAAAATTTTGATTTTTGGAAGTCTGAAACGGGATACGAAAGTGGGTCTTGGATAAAGGTTTGGGTTATCTTATATGGTACTGGTTGCTGGTTTGATGAGATTAAATTTGCTTTGTACTTAGTACTGACAAAGAGTTCTGATTTTAGATAAATAAATTGCGACTTAAAAGAGGTAGAGCAACATAAGTGACATGATTAAAAATAAAGTAGATTGTCACATCAAGGGTAGGAAAAATTTTCAAATGAGGGGTCAAGCGCATAGTATTCTTCTGTGCTAACCCGAGAGACTTTTCAATTCTAAAGGTATCAGATTGTTAAATTCATAAATTGGCAAATTGCCAGGCCATGTCTTTCTTTTTTTTAAAAATGTTTTGATAAGCAGCATAATGAGTTGTAACTTCGTAATAATATTTTGAAGTAAACGTTGGAAAAAGTGCCTTGGTTTGTATAAACTGTATCATGTGTTAAATAATCAATACTACAATATTTCCAGTGTTTTTATTTTGCTTTATGTTGGTGCTTGAGGCTTCTGGGAATATTCATTCCATGACTGAACTTAGTACAACTCTGCTCTTTTTCTAGATTATGGCAGATATTTCTTCTTGTTATTTAATTTGTGATTCCACTGAATAACTGTTCTTTGAGTGATGAGTATGTATGGGCTTGCTGTTCTAAACCTCAAAGGTGGAATGCAGAAATAGACATCACTTCTACTGATTTCTGATAATTGGACGTCTGTTATAAACTAATGAGTGCCAGTGCAAAGAATACATGTCTCCACCTCTAGCACTTTCATTTCATGTGTAAAATACAATCATAATGAGGGCTTAAAATGTTACTTTTAACACCGTGATCATGTCATGTCTACTGCAGTCACTTTGCACATTTGGGTAAGCTTTGTCAAAGTTACACAATGTAATCTAAGAATCTATTGGAAATTCTATTATTTTGTTTCTTCAGTACCTTTGTTATTTATATCATCAAAGTATGCTTTGTTCTGATTATGATTTCTGCAAATTAGAGCAGTATTTAATTTAAATATGTATTTGTCAAATTTTGTAACAATTTAAAGCAATTCTTTTTTTTTTTTTTTCTTCAACCATCATGTTGTCTTGACATATAGATACTTAACATGCTAGTGATGAAAGGGTCTGGAGTTTCTTTTCTAATCGTTAAATGGTTCTTTGTATATAGCCCCAGAAGATAATGGTTATTTTTGTCATTAATTCTATCACAGGTAGTTTAGGGACTCCTCATATTAAAGTATTGAACTTGCACTTTAGTGCAAAAAGAGTTGGCCTTTCACAACAGTTTGGTACAAGAAGTTGGATCAGTAGGCAGTCACTGCAGTACACTAGTTTGGCTATATCACAACAGACAGACAGGTTTTTAGCATCATCCAATGATCCATCATCAGAGATCCAATGTAAGTTCTTTTATTCATTGTTTTTTAACAATTTTTTTTTTGTACAGGTTATATAAAACTATCATTTATTACTGAGTTTCTTTGAGCCTATTAAAAAAAAAATTTAATATCAATGCTTTCTAGAAGATCCAATGTGTCATCTCTGTCCTACTTAGGGACTCGGGGTTACAGAAATTATCTGATGTGTTTTGGCATGCATGTTGATGTCATACTGTTTGTGCATGATATAAAATGTATACACTCATGCAGATCCTATTATTGCTGTTAGACATGAAATCATTCATGTGCTTTCACTCAAAAGCATAAGCTTTTAAGGGCAGGAGGTTTGTGACATGGCATTAGAACCTATATCATCAAGTGGCCTAGAGTTCAATCCTTGTTGCTCCCATTCTTCCAATAAAAAAGTCGAATTCTAACACAAGATGAGTGAGTCTTGCATTGTCCAGTCTTCAAAGCCCAAAGGGCTTTTGCATGAGGGGGTGTGTTAGATATAAAACCATTCACATACTTTCATCCAAAAGCTCACGCTTTTGAGATTGTTGGTTCGTGACAATTACATTTTATAAAAAGCCTTACATTAGCTTGAGATCAGTACCATAATCTGGCTTCTATAGCTTACCTTTATTGATGCACAGCAGTTGTTACAAGGTTAGAAGAAGGTTCTGAAGAGATTAAATCTTCTGGTGTGACAAGTGAGCTTATTCCAAAGTTCGATGAGGTTAGTACTCAGTAAATCTCATCATCTATTCTCTCCTCGTTTGTTACCATCAATCGGCACATGTAAGCAGATCCAAATTGTGATGACTGATGAGTTTATTAGGTAGTCTTCATCTATTACCTTGTATGCTAAGATAAGTTTGTAACTACTATTAAGGTTATTTTCAGTTTCCCACCTGTGTTTGGTTTATGAGTGAATTGCTTCACATTTATAAAACAATTTCATTTATATAACTTTTTGTGCTCTGATACATTTTACAGCATATGTTACCTGAGTGCCAGTATATACGTGTGGTCTAAAATTGGCCAATGCCTAGCTTGAAATCTTGTTCTATATTAGGCTTTTGTCCTTAAGCTCTTTCCGATTAAACTGGCAAGGCACAGGCCAAATAAGAGTATTACAGTCTGTGTCCAAGTTCATGAGCCTATCAGATGTTTAACACCCTAACACTCAAGCTACGGCACACTGCTCAGGCTTGTGGTCTCATTAGAATGCTGTATAGAATCTGGATTACCAAAATTTGTATGGTTTCTTTGTGATTTCCTTTACTTGGCAGTGTTAAGTAATCATTTAATCTTTAGTTCTGAAATTTCGTTATACTTGAAAAACTTCTATTTTATGACTCTTGAGGGTGAGATATGTCATATTGTAACTCAAAAGTCTATTTTCTACCTTATTCTTAATGAATGGAAAATTTTGAAAGATCACTTTGCTAAACCTGAAAGCACTGATGCCTTGACATAGGCATGTATTCCTATATGCACAGACATTCTTGTTCTAAAATTTTAAAAGATATATTACTTCAATCTCTCTACAGGTGGAGTTCCTGCTCACAAAATTATGCGACTCAAATTCAATTGGAGAGTTAGAGTTAAAAGTAAGCTCAATGAAGTTGACCTTTGAATTTGGATCTCTTTCTTAACACTCTATTATTCGTGTTCTCCCTCATAATAGTATTTTATATTAAATCTTGCTTCCTAATGTTGTTTCCTTTCTTCTTTGTCATCTGTCCAACCTCCAAATGACATCAGCTTGCTGGGTTTCATCTGCATGTGGTGAGGGATTTGAGTGAAAAAGTTAAAACTCTACCTCCTCCAATTCCTTCCTCTGTAAGCATAAATAATGTCACAGAAACACCTAAATCAAATGGATCAGTTCCTACAACTTCGTTGGCCATCTCAGAGCCATTACCTTCTTCAGGGTCTATCCAGAGATTCCTGGACAAAGCTGCTGACGAAGGCTTGGTGATTATTCAGTCTCCAAAGGTAAGAATCTAAAACTTCTACTTTACATTCCTTACATGATGCACTCTAAAACCATAGAGCAGGTTGGTTTCTTTAGGAGATCACGAACCATAAAGGGGAAGCGTGCTCCACCATCATGTAAAGAGGTACAGTTGCTACAATGCAAGACTTTTCTTTCCTCTCTTCTCTTATCATTTTTGGAACTGGCTAAGGAAATCTTGTTATCTTGCACATTCATACCTTTTGTGGATACAGAGAAATCTACCACTTGTAAAAGTTATTTATATTCTTTTTATGATTTTCCTATCTCTCTGTCTGTATTGACAGTTAAATATATAAATACAAAATTGCAATGCTTTTAAAATGGATTTTACTAACCTCAGTTCTTAAAGCTGATTTTAAACATCCAAAAGTAGCAAGTTTATGTGGAAAAAAGAATATATTTATTAAATTGAAGTTACAAAAATGTATGCCTTTGGGTTGGTTTTATTAAGAAAATTGTTTGGTAATTGACAGAAGCAAAACGTTGAGGAGGGTCAAGTGATCTGTTATATTGAACAGCTTGGTGGTGAGCTGCCAATTGAGGTTTGGTTCTTTCACTCTCTTTCCTTAAAAAAGAAAAAGAAAAACTTCCAAATTCCCATAATTAAAAGGATTATCTTCTAACCATTGCAATGACTCATGTTTGTTTGTTTTATAGTCTGATGTGTCGGGTGAGATCATCAAGATATTACGAAAGGATGGTGGTTAGTTACCTAAATCAATTCAATCTCTCTTTAAACTCTCTCTAAAGACTACATGTCACTAACTAGACAAATACTATATGTTTTGTGTCTTCGACAGATCCTGTTGGATATGGTGACGCACTTGTTGCAGTATTGCCATCATTTCCTGGAATAAAGAAGCTTCAATAGCCATGCTGTATTCACTGATACATTCATTACTTTTTGGAGCAACTTCTATTGTTTTGTGACACAGCTTGTTTGTTTTTACAATTCTCATATATGAATTTTAAGTTTATTAGTCTATTTAGAGAAGTTTTATATTTTACTTTTTGGTATTTGGTTTTATAATTTATTTCAAGTCTCTTATTCTAAAATAGGTTTTTAAATAAACTTTTGGACTAGGTCAGAGTTTTTTTTTAAAAAAGGACTATTTTTTGGTCCAAGAAATAAACTCAGATAAATTAAATTAAATAAATTAGATTCGAGTTTTGTAAATCTTCACTTAGCCTATTTTTATCCCAAAAACAATAGTGTCACTAAGCATATCAAATGATAATTGTGAGAAATTTTGATGCTAAATCTTTTTCAATATATTCTAATCTTTTTCAATATAAATGTAAAGTCTAAAAAAAGAATTCATGATATTTTAAAAATTAAAAATAGGTAAGAAAAATGAAATTCAATGCATAAAATAAACAAAATATTAAACAAAATGATTATACAAGAAAAAAATTAGAAAGACACGATTAGAAATTTTTAAAATAGAAATTAAACGAAAAATTATGATATTTTTTTTTAAAAAAATTAATTAAAAAACCAAATCTGAGAATACTTTTGGAAAATGCTAATATTCCTCGATGTGGAAGGTCGAAAAAAAAACTGATAAGCGAGTCCGAAGCCCATAAGTCTACAGAGAAAGCCCAAAAAAGGCCTTCATATATATTGGTGTTGAGGATTGTGTCTTGCAGCAGAAGAAAAAACAAGTCTTTGCTTTCTTGATTTGCATTTGAGAAGAATCAAAGAAACATGGAAACAGAGACACATCGTTTGAACAATCGTAATATGAAGAGATTCAGACATACCCATGTCAATGCCAATCTCAGATGCCATCCCAAACTCTGCAGACTCTTCCTTCGAACCAAACACTGCCCCTATGGACGCTCTTGTCGTTATCTTCATCTTCATATTCCTGTTCCCATTTCCACTTCCAATGCTCCACAACACACCACACTGCAAACTCCTACAAACTCCTCAACTACCCCTTTGCATAATGCTTTTGCTGTGAAGCGCTTTTTCAACAAAAATGAACTGCAGAGGAACAGTCGCATTTATGCTGATTGGATCAACAGTTTCTCTTAAGGGTAAAGAATGCTTCAAGAATCAAGCAAGACTTTTACTTCACAGTTCCTTGTTTTCAGAAGTATGCCTTTTTGGTGCAAAGTATATGCTATTGATGTATTCATGCTGATATTAATAGATCTCTTTGTACAAAGTCTGACAATTTTATGACACTATTATGCTTTCGCATTTATTTCATCAATATCAATGCCCCCCTTTCTCTTGTAGAAACGAAAATGATAACATTAGCTAAGTAGATAATCAAAAAAAAGTTTCAAAGAAATTAAAATTATAATATTGGGAAATACAAGAGTTTGCATTAAAGAGATGCGAGATATCAATGAAATTAAAAGAATATTGATACATAATGAAATACAACAAACAGTTGCTATCTATTGTTGTTCATCTATTATCCCCCCCCAGATGATTTTACGCATTTGATGGTTGACCGGGCTAAGGCCTCCATTGGATCAGTACATTTCTTGAGAAGAGGATCATTTGGGGGCAAGAGATCCTGCATGTCATCAGAAGCAAGGACAACAGAACTAGCTGCCCTCACCAAAAGAACTTGAAGTGCAATTCTCAATAGATTGCATGCCCCTTCCATGTCCTTTCTGTTCAAAGCTTCAATTGCAGGTATCACTGTGTGTTCCATAGTTGCTCTATCAGGAAGTACAACCTCAAATCCCTGAACATATAAGTAAATAAGGTGAATAGATATTCGCATATCTATTTCTTGCAGAAAAAATGAAATCAACTAGTGTATTATTTGTAGTACATACATGACAATCAACTCCTTGTTCAGAAATAAGAAAATGGCAAAAACCACCATTTTTACATGAAAATAGGCAATTGCTCCTCATGGTTCATCCTGTTCTGGACTACAAATTAAAGATTAAGGGATAATAAACTCCCTCCTTCCGAGGTTGTTTCTGTGTTCTAACTGTCATAAGAAGAAAACCAGCAATGATTCATTTGAACTCTAACATGACATTGTGTGATCAAAGTTTGATTGTCTAGCAATTCTTTTGTCATAGGAAACAGGTAAAGGGATTACTGAAGAAATTGGATCTTCATGGACCCAGGAAAGGAAACAATGTTCCAGTGTTTTGTTTAGGCATATCTGAGAAATTCTGTTGGCACTAGCGACACAAAGTTATGAAACACAAGCAATATACAAATTATATAATCATCGCAAAGATTGTCCTACTGGGCTTAAACAAAGTTCCCAACAAAGTACATAGATATCATATGCAATTGAAAAATCACGAATTGTTAAAACATTAAATAAGGCATCTCAAATTTCAGACTGCCGGGCCGTCACTTCCATCTATCACATTTCCCATTACAGATGGAAAGTTCCTACAATCTTTGTAGAAATGTACTGCCTTGGACCTTCACGTTTTACATTATTGTTATGAAATTTTATATGTCGAAGTCTGTCGAAACTTAACACTAGTGTTGTAGTTATTCAATACTCAAGCAACTATTTTCAAAAGGATTATATAAAGGTCTGCCTCATTTAGTCTTACTGAAAGTATACTTAAAACAGGCAAGGCTGTAATGGGGCAATCCTTCTACGGTATGCACTAATGGATATGCACATCACATTCAGTCCAACAAGCTATTTAACCAAAAGAAAAATACGGTATGCTGAAGTTTCTAATGGCATGCACTTTCTCTTGGTCTACTATAATCTAATAAGATGCTGTTGAGGTTTAGGATAGCATGATATTAAGAACAACAGAGGGAAATTACTTCATTCTGAAGCTTCTGTTTATAAAAACCAGCTGCAAGAATTGCATTTGTTGCGAGCACTCCAATGCGCAAAGGACTACCAGCTTCCAGTGGCTTTAACTTAGCTTCCTTGAGTTCCTTGGCTACACACTCGGCCATGTGAAGAAAAGGAACGGAACATCCCTCAGATACTTGTTCATACCAAGAATGTGACACATTACAAGGCATCACTATGCAACGAGCCCCAGAATTCTCAAGAAAAACCCTCTTATTTCTTAGTGTCTGCACAATCGAAGAAGAATCCACCTTCAAACTTTCTACTTTACTTGTGGTAGAAACAATATAACTCCTTTCATGGGACAGAAGATCCTTACTTAACAGAGGGTCAGAACAAAGCACAAAAGGAATGGAATTTCCTCCATCCTCTGAACTCAACTCCACAAGTTTTCTTAAAAATTTGAGGGTGGTATCCACAGACACCCCTCCTATTATGCCCACCCCATTTCCCTGACTAACAAAAGGAGAAACAGATTCATCCCTTCCTGAAGCAAGATTTGAGCCATGAAGCTTCTGAGAAAATTTCCCACTTCCATCTGCATTCAAAATAACTGAAGATGGGGGTGTGGCTTGAACTTGACACGACCTTATCTTGCACAGGTATCTAGGACTAGGGGTACTTACACAACCTAATAATGTCTGCAATGGGGAACTCAAACACATGACATCCAACATCTCCAATGTCAAATAAATTTGGGAGTTGAAATTCTCTCACCACCCAAAATGGTTTCTTATTCTTGTCTTTGAACTTTACAAGCCAGTTCCAGTTCCAGCTCCAGAGCAAGAGACTCAGTGAGCAAGAACAAAACTATAGAAAATGCCTTGTGTTGTGCAGACATGTGAGTTCTCTCTCAATTCTCACCTCACAGTAAAAGACAGCATGCTTCTCTTTCTCAAATAAGTGTTAGCACAGACTCACCATACTTGCAATATATCTTCAATTCTTCACAAAATAAATTAATTAATTAATAAATTAAGTAATGATGTATTATCTGACTCACATGAAATTTTATTTAACAAAAATCTAAAATATCATCATAAGTGAATAGAAATCGAATAAGCAAAACAATATACAAATTTTCAATGAAGTTACTGAATTTTTAAAATTTTATGTAATGTAACCTTATAAATGTTGTTATCAGAACATCTTATAATTGTTTAAAATAAAATATGTCTAAATTTTTCATAGATTATCACTGTAGCTTTAATGTTACAATCAGCGGAGAATGAAAATTGCAAGTCTAACAAAGTTAATAAAAGGGAATAAGTTTTAAGGAAGTAAAAGTGCATAATTTGTATGAACCGAAAACATAAAGTGTATAACAACTAAGGGAGACCAAAGATTTCAACATATACCAAATTTCATGAGATACCAATTATTCACAAATGGACCAGAATTAGACAAGTGGGAAGCATCGAAGAATGTTCTCGCCATGTGCAGCATTAGTGTCACGTTTCACATTGGTTGTATCATTCTCCACTGGGCTCCACCACTTGTGAACCAATTGAAATTATAAAGTTTCTTCACAATTCTTTTCTTTTTTTTGGTAAACAGTTTCTTCTCAATTCAGATAACCTTTTCTTGAAGGCTTTCGTTTTATATTTTTGGCAGGAAGGCATTGCAAATATATTTAGGATCTAGAGTTTGGGCCCAGGCCCATCAAATTTCTTCACTAATGAGCCCAGATTTACTGCAATGGATTATGCACCTTGATGGACCCTCTTGTTATATTTGTCACCTTGTTCATCTACATTCGTAGAAAACTACTGTATAGAATCAAACCCACTTCTAATTATGGTAGGTAACTTTACTCCTGTAAAATTAAAGGTGTTCAATAAACTGATTCAGTTCAAAACCAATGACAAAAGTTAAATTAAAAAGCTAAAATTGAAATTAACCAAAATAAATAAAACTTATTTCTCAAATTGGATCAAAACTAACTTATTCTAACTTAACATGTGATCTCGATTTTAAGTCTTAATAAATATAATTATATTAAATATTTTAATAAAGTGTTTTGCCACACATAATGATCTTATCTTATTCAAACAAGATTATTTAAAAAAAAAAAGATTAGATCAAAATTAAACTTGTACATACGATTCTATTTATAAATCATCATATAACTCGTTTATATAAACAAATATTTATGAATTTATTATAATTATGTACTTTTCTATAATCTCATTACTTAAATTATGTCTTCTTACTATAATTATGTACTCATCATATGACTTTTTGTTAATATATAACTTTTATAATTTGGCCCTTGCTGTATAACTTATGCTACCTTGCACGAATATAAAAAATTAGTGAGGAACAATATTAAGAGTCTAATTGAACCATAACCAAATGTGGTTATCATCATGATTTTATGAGTAGATGGACCCAATAAAGAATGAGCCAGCGATCATTCAGGAAAGCAAAGGGATTATTTCAACAACCTTTGGTTCTTCCATGAGGCCATTAAACTTTCGGAAGAACTTTATTTTTTATTTTTTTTGCTAATATATTTAGGATATATTTTTGGCAGGAAGACTTTTGTTTCAGGTGTACATATAAGAATATATTTTATTTGAACTAGAATTAGTATAATTAAATGCATTTAAATGTAATTATAAACACAGAAAGGAAGCTATTTTATCCAATCAGTGAATGTTTCATTTCAATATGTTGAGTTCTATTGAAAAAAATCTCCTTGTGCTGTAATAAAGCCTGGTAATAAAAAACCATTAAGGTGTTCCTCCTCTTTCTTGAAGCACAAAACAATGAATGCTCTCACTGTGATTTTGATCTTCACATTTTGCATCATCACTGCCTTTTCACATGCAATGCCAACAGCCACTAAGCCTAAACCCATCGAATCTTTCAAGCTCAACCAAACCCAGCAGCAGGTAAGAAATTTCCCTTTATTTTTTTGAAAAATGTTCTAAGAGTATTGTAGGCTCAATTTAGATAATTTCTTTTAATAAATTCTTAACAAAATTAAAATTAAATTATAAAATAAATCAAACATTTTTCATAACTTAAAATCAATGTATGCTTCTTTATTCTTTTAAAAGTTTTTATAAATAACTTCTTTAAAATTTGAAAAATACATATTAGAGAAAATTTATTAATATTTTTATTTATAATGTTATCCAAATTAGAGGATAGTTTTTTTATTATTATTGATGACCCTTTTACCTACAAAGTTTAGTTACTATATAATATATATGAACTAACTGTATTAACTAAAAGAACATATATATAGCTAAATTAGAGAACAAAGGGCTATACTTTCAGATTTCAACTGAAGCATTTTCCCAGATCTTCTTGCATCCGAAACTAAATTCAATATCTTAATTAATTGCAGAAAGAGGGTGGTAGCTGTAGTTACACGCTCACCATAAAGACAAGCTGCAGTTCTTATATGTATACTACTGAAATCATCGGTGTTTTATTTGGTGACGCCTATGGCAATCAGGTTCCGGCTCTACTATACCATAATCATATAAATATACAGATGTATCTCTTGCTCTTAAAAAATTATATTCACATGTCACAAGTGAAATCAACCTAATAAAAAATGCAAAATGGGTAAGTTATTAATGGTTTTTGTGACTTTGGTGCTAATGTCTTGGTTGATAAATGATGATTAATCAGGTTTATGTTCCAAGTCTTGATGGTCCTAATTTAGGGACGTTCGGGCAGTGCTCTACGAATACGTATGAAATATACGGACCATGTACCTTCCAAATATGTGATCTGTACCTATACAGGACTGGAGATGATGGTTGGATACCAGAGACAGTGACCGTATATGACTACGCATACGACCCTATTACATTTTACTACAACATTAATATTCCTGACGATGATGGCTATGGCTTTGACTACTGTCATGGTGTTTAGTTTTAGTACAACCTTAGTTCCCTTAATACTATTGTACTATAATAAGAGTTGAGACCATCTTCCCGCATTTACCCTAGTCTGATAAAAATGATAGAAGATTTTAATTTCATGTTTTAAATTTAATGAGTTGGTTTATGTATAATTAAATATGTTGTTTTGAAGAGCTATGTATTTCCTTACTCTAAAAGTAAGATTTGAATATTTTCCTCTCCTTAATAATATTTTATAACCTATGAATTTAACAATATTTTTCTAGAACTATAATTTAGTTTTTTTCTGTGTTGGACGTGTTGCTCCCTTCTTCAGTATAAAAAAAAAAAAGAGTCAATTTTTATTTATATTTTTTGAGATTTAATAAAATTATAGGTGATATTATATTATTATACAATCAAAAAATAACTTTTCAATATTCTCGAGCATCAAAATTTAGTGCATTTTAAAATTCAGTTTAAGAGTTGATATATTTGACTAGATCAAGAGACTAAAGAATGAAAAATAAATAAAAACTGTTTATAAAGATTAGTGAGAAGCAATATTAAAAAGATCTAAATTCTAACTCAACTATAGGCACGTCTTGAACTAAAAAATGTGAATTTTTCCTGTCTAGAATTTAAAATGAGTGAGTCAATGATCTTTCAGCGTAGCAAGGTGATTACATTCCACAACCTTTGGTTATTTCATACGCCATTAAGCTTTCGGAAGATCTACAATGTTGCGAAAAAAAAAATCCCCCTCGTGATTTCATGGTGGGGTTCATGAAATTACTCTCGTTTGAAAGTAATAATCCTTTCATTTTCTTAAGATGTAAGTTCTCAACACTATCTTAATATTTTAAAATTGTCAGATATGTTTAATAAAATTTCAATACGTTTTAAATTTAATATGTTTGCTATATGTGTGTTTACATTAATACTAAAATATAGAAAAACGTTTTATAAAATAATAAAATACTTTAAATAATGACCTTACGCTAGTTTGTACATATAAAAAATATTGCTGAGAATAATAATAACAGGTCATAATTAAATCAGAATCAATAGGCGTGTCTTCAACCAAAAAATGTGATAATCAAGTCTTTTTGTGTTTTAAAGCTATTGAACCGAATCAAGAATGAGTCAATGATCTTTAGGAAAAGCAAAAGGATACATTCCTCAACTTTTAGTTCTTCTATAAGCCTATTCGTTTTAATGCATTAACTTAGACATTAACATTTAATTTGACAAAAAAGAAAAATATATATATTAACATTTAATTAAGCAACTCAATTAAGCAATAATTATAAATTATTATAAGTGACATTAAAGAATTATTTATACAATTTTCTAGTATAATTTTAAGAAGTGTGTAAGATATAGTATAATAAAATTATTTATGTAATAAATATATGATCTTATTGATACATTTACTTGTATAAACCAATTACAAAATGGTGATAAAATTTTCTTGTAAAATATATGTAAATTACAGTCATTATCATTCAATTCATTATGATTTTTGCAACCTAAGAATTTATTCCCATTTTTTATGTATTAAGCAAAAAATAGCTTCCAACTTCTTGTTTAACAATCTAGGAAGGCCAACTTAAATTCTTTAATCTTTATAGTTTATACCACTCCATCAATGAACCAAAGAAAACTTTTTGTAGTCGCTGATGGGCATTAATTGATAGGAACCCGTGACATTTACTCTTTCTATGTAGCTAACTAATTAACTTATTTTATATTTCACTTAATCAAGTGTCAAATTAAAAAAGAATCCAAACCTAACGTGAGATGTAGCGGTTTGAAAAGTTTAGCATAAATAATATCTTTTATAACAAATATTTTCCATAATTAATTCATAATTGATTATTTGATCAGCCATTTTCATTGGAAATAGCTAACGGCAGCGTAAATGTGCCTTTGGCCCTGCGTTAATAAAACCTGGTAATCCAAAATCAGTGAGGTGCTAACTCTTCCTTCTCTTTCTTTAAACACAGCAATCAACAATGAATGCTCTAACTCTGATTTCAACCCTCACATTTTGTATCATCGCTGCATTCTCACTAGCAGCGCCAATTGCCATGCAGTCTCAACCCAACAAATCTTTCAAGCTCAACCAAACCCAGCAACAGGTAAGAAATTTTATTTTTTTTTACTCCATAGTCTAATTTTTTAAATATTCCAAATATAAGAATTAATACCCCTTTAATTCAAAATATTAAAAATCATTCACAGTCTTATGGCATGGTAGCTTTCCATTTGTGATAGCTAGTGGTCCTTTTTACCTATAAATTAGTAAGCGTGTGTGTGTGTGTGTGTATATATATATATATATATATATTTAGATAGATAGATAGATAATAAAAGGTACGTACTTCGGTTTCAATTTTCAACTGAAGTTATAGCATTTCTTGCATATGAAATTATATTAAAGGGGGTATGCATCTCGCAGAATGAGTGTATTGGCTGCTGCACTTACACGATCATCATAAAGACAAGTTGCAGTTCTCCCACCAATACAAGAGATGAAATCAACCTTATATTTGGTGATGATTATGGCAATAAGGTTTCTTCTCTATCACCAAGTTTCAACCATAATCATGGATCTTTTTCTATTGCACTTTTAATTAAGTTATTAGTCATAAAATCAACCCAATAAAAACTGCCAAGTGGGTAATTGATACTTGATGGTTAATGACTTAATTTGCTACTAATTAATGTATTGGTTGATAATCAGGTTTATGTTCCAAGACTGGATGATCCAAATTCAGGAAAATTCAACCAGTGTTCTACAGATAAATTTGAGATATACCGACCATGTTTGCGTCCATTGTGCTATCTGCTCTTATACAGAACCGGAGTCGATGGTTGGATACCAAACACAGTGACCATATATGATTACTTCCACCAACCTTTTATATTTCACTACGAAATTGATGCTAATTTGGGCAGCTACGGCACTGACAACTGTAATATGGTGTCTAGCAATGATGCAACATTAATTCCTTAAATACCACAATAACAAGAGGCAATAATGCTTGCAACATGTTCCTTTAAACACATTTTTTCAATTCACTCTCTGTGATTAGTTTATTTTTTCAAGAAGTTAAAACACTTATTTTGTACATTAATCTTTTTAAAAAATTGTTTTAACTCCTTGAAAAAAAAATCCATCGCAATAAGTGTGTTGAAAAATATATTTAAAAGAATGTGTTATTAATATTTATGTAACAAGAGGTGAGACTAGCTCACCACATTAAGATTAGCCTAGTTTATTTAACGCTTTTAAAATGCCTAGTTAAAGAGTTCTAGTTTCACGTACTTAATGGATTCTTCCTTTTATTGCTATTGTATTGAACTTTATTATAATGTTTTGAAATTATATGTTTATTTTAAAATTTAGACATTAATTCATTAAGAGTTTAGTTAGATCATTTACTTAAAGAACAATTGAATGAAACTTACATCAAATACATAGAACAAAAGAAAATTAGACAAAGTAAGTAAATACAAATACTTCACCCAAGTTGGTCTTATCATCGGAATCAAACCGTTGCCTGCCAAGCGAGGATAATTTTCTTTTTGTTCTTTATTTTGGCTCAACTATCTCTAGAGGAAATGAAAGAGAAAACACTCACCTTGGATTATGGTTGAGAGAGAGAGAGAGACAACCCCCTCAAGTGGAGTTTGCAGAAGAAAGATTGGGTTTGCTAACTGTAATTGTATTGGATAAGCAAGAGTAGATACTGGATCATTTGTGTAATTTAGTCCAAAAACCAAAGTAGTTATGCTTGCTAGAATCCCTAATTGCCTTAGTTTTTTATGTGAAAACTTTTTAACTTCGGCAAAACATGTTGACTCTTTTAAATGTCCATTTCCAACCGTTTTAACTTCTTTCGGAGGAAGGTTCAGAATTGTCAGAGAATCTCTCTTCTTTAAGCTTGAGGCTTCTGAGAACAAAACTGTAGAGCATCAGTCCCATAATGAATTAATCATCTAAACTTCAATTTTATTTATTTTTTTCGTTCTTTTCTCTCTTCTCAGCATAACATTTTTCATACATGCGATCAATAATCGAATTCTAATTAATATACTTGAGAGATTCATCTAACCAACTGTTAAAAGTTTTGTATGTTGAAATCGAGTATATATTAACAATACTCGATACACCAAAAAAATATATTCGCATTACTCTTTCGACTAATGACTTGACTTTGGTTATGCACGTATCGCACCCCAAAAAAAGTTCAAGATTTTAGTTACCAACGGCAAGAGCAATATCCGCACGTTACGTTGCTCTTGTTACGTCTTTCATAGTCATAATAATGCTTCCGTATTGCTGCTGCAATAACCCATTCATACTATTTTTGCCATGGATTATGCTTCCATGGAAAGAGTAAATAGGTAATGTCCCATATATCTCTTAAGTTGTAAAGGCTATACGAACATATCTGCAGAAGGTATTAGTTGTAACGGCTGCACAAACACATTTACAGAAGGTTCATAATACCCTTCATCAGGTTCAATTCTTAAGTTTTGTTTAAAAGTTTAGAGGGAAAAAAATAATTTCAAAGATAAAGAAAAGGAGTCAATACAAAATTCCCTAAATAAGATTAAAAATACAAAATTAAAAAAATTTTGAACAATTTATAAATTCCTCCTTTTTTATCTTAAAATCTCAAACATGTGTAAATATCGCATAAGCATTCACATTTCCTTCCTCTTAAACAAAATACAACTCTTCTAATATATACTTAAACGCAGACAATATGAATCTATATATAATATTTTTTAAAGAATTATAAAATCAAATACATTAATTATATTAAATGTAATATTTTCTAATAAAAAACATTAATCTCTTTAGAAAAACTGTTCTTGATGAATGGTATGCAGTGGGTAATCAAGAAAATAAAGTCAACTAGATGTAATCAGGCTTTCAAATGAAATGACAAATTGGAGGAGCCGGGACAGAGCTACGCAGTTTGGATCAGCAACTAAATACATTTCGGGCTCGATAATTACTGAGATAAAAAAATCTGTTTTTCCAATAACTAAGATTTTAACTATAACGTTCCAAATACAAAATAAACCAATTCAAACAAATATTTATTTCTTATGCTACTAGAGTATTTCAGCACAAGGGCATGTTAATCCCACGAATATAACGAAAAAGTTGAAAAACAGCGTGCTATTTACTGGATTTTTAAACAAAAATGGAAGCGGCGCAAAGTAAACGTTCCTTATTAACCAAGCCTGTGAACGATATATTACCAATAGTTATAACAGGAGAAAAGAGTTATGAAAAAACTCATAACATGTGTATTTCTTCCTCCCAATATATCTCCATGGCATATGACTACCAAAGTGTGAGACTACTTTACATATGTTACACTACTGAGACCCCTTTATCCATCGCATATTTACTTTCACAACCTCTGCGCAACTCTCTCATACAAATCACGAGGCCAATTCCTCTTTAAATTATTCGCAATAAAACTCGCAATCTGCACAAAGAAAAAGATTTAACCATTATTAAACAAGAACACATTATTAAATTAAATATCAAATAGCATATTAATCATGCCATCAGACACCAAATGTAAGATAAGGAATAACCCACAAATGCTTGACATAATCAACTGAGCATTATTTTGAAGCTACAACAGATGATAACTAAGAGGCTTTACTGCTGTCAAGAAAGCTCCATAAATTGCTGGTATAAGGCAACCATGCCCAAACCATCATTTACCCTCCGTCAAAAAGTGAGTAAATGAATATTTCGATAACAATTTAATTAACTGAAAGTAATCCCTACTTCAATCTCTTTTCATTCTAGTAAAGTCCAGATTTTGTACAAAATCAACTGAATCTTCCGTGTCGTCTTCCTTTCTGGTACAAGTATTGAATTAATTTGATATCTATGACGTATACTTTATATTTTATATAAAATCAGAAAAAAGAAAAAATGAGTATTAACTACAGCAAAATGATGCAAGGGCAGAGGATAGATATTAAAAGTAGTGGTCACATAAAATAATGAACATAGATTTGTATTTAACAGATTAAGACAAACTCCTAAGAAAGCTTCAAGAGATGGGTTATATTTTCAATTTGACCAGAGTTTACCAGACTATACGGCAGGCATTAAGCTCATTACGTGCACCCAACACACCACTTTTGAAAAGCATTAAGTGAATTATGGTACTTCAACAGAAGCAAATAAAGCAAGGACATAGCCCAACCATACAACAGAATCCACAAGATAATACCTTAGCCCTCAAGGCACGAATCGATCCATCAGAGTCTGGCACATTGTCCAGACAAGTGAGAGCAGCCTTCAGAAGATCTGGAATACATGCTTGAACATGAGGAGATAAACTTTCAAACACATCAACAGCAATATCAGGGGCTCGAGGGTCTAGAGGAAGAAATTGAAGTTTGGCAACCTCCCTTAATGCATTGACATGATGCCCCAGTCTTGCCAATTTGTGAATTGACAATATAGACTCAAGTTGTCTTAACACAGTTTGCTGCTCAAAAACATGCTCTCTCTCTTGAAGACTGCAAAAAGAATTCAATCCTTCATTTCACTAAGGGATGGAATCCCAATATGTTACTGAGAAAGAAAAGCGGTCCTTATTTTTATAATTGACACCATTCATCATCGCAATTCTGATTGAAAAGTCAAAATCCAAATTACTGGGGTCTTAAATTCATTAAAATGCAGCATCTTCAACTTCTAAAATCAATCCAAGCTGCAGCAACTCAAACAATAGTAAGGCATCTAGGAATATTCCCTAGGCTGACTTCTTAAGAATACTACACAAGGAAGACCTCAATGAATATTAATTGCAAATGAAGAAAAAAAAAATCACTTACAAATCCATGAAATTATGCTACTAATAAAATATTGTATAGGTCTTTATTTATTTTTTTGGGCAGGTGGGGGGTGTCTACAGCAAAGAGAAAGAAAATAGAATGCCTAACAAAGACTAAACCCGTGGAATCAGTTGATCTGATCCTGCATCTCAATTCTAAGCATGCCTCTATGGTTCATATATGCCGGTTATAAGTAGAAATAGAAGAATATTAATATCTCAAAGCCAAACATGGTCATGCATAAAACAATGACATAAGGTAAGAGCTTGAATATCACCTGACATCTGGGTAATAAGTGTATGTCTCCAAAATTTCATTGCCAGAATGGATTAGGCCAGCAGTCCGGCTCTCGCCATCTAATCTTCCACGGAAAAGAGCACAAATAGCTTCAGAGAGGCATTTGTTGATGGTATCCAGTGCCATTGAGAAGGAACCCACTCTCTTCTGAATTTCTATAGACTGAACCAGAAACATCCAATATCAGCAAAAGCAATAGTACGTTTAGATGAAAATTCAATAATCCACTACAGAGAATGTGAACTAAGGGAAAAAGAGAGGCAATGAAAAAATGAATGATGGAAAAAGAAGTATGGATAGTATTATTGGTAAGATAAAGCTCAGAGTGAAGATACAAGACAAGAAACATAAGAATGTGAATATTAGTTACAACTTATAAGTAATCAAAGATATTAAATTTGAAAATAGATGCGAGTGAACAAAATTCCTGAATGCTTTAAAGTTTAAATAATGATTTAGTTTTGTTCCAGAAAAAGGAAGTGAGGTCAGTGAGGTCAGTGAGATCTAAAAATCAGAATTAAGTGCTTCCCCACTCTAGCTACCTCAAGAGCCTGATTATAGTCTGCAAGATAATGCAATGCCTAACAGCCAGGTCATGTTATAATTTGTTAATGCAGATAAGGGCCTTCCTGCTTTTCCCCTAAGATATAACAGTAATATAAGAAAGAAAGAAATTACTTTGTCATACATCCCAGCCTCCTGACACTGGCATGCAGCTTCTATTAAAAATTGTTGCCTTGCTTTTGGATCAGTCACAAAACGTCCCAATTCACCTTCATCTCCAGCACCCCTCACACCAAGTAAAAGATATATGCCCCCATCCCTTAACAA